AGAATGCACGGCCAAATATTTTCCTTTTGTGGGTTTCTTGCACGGAGAAATCAGTCCCCGACAAATTTGTCTGCTTTGATGAGTGCGTGGTGTGAGGGAACACTGGGATATTATACTCAACGGGGAATCAGCGCAGAGCTCACAATGATCGCCCATCACTCTTTTGGATAATCCTTTTATTGCCGTTTTAGGACAAAGAACATCAAAAGAGCTGGTCTTTCAAAAGCATACAGAGAAAGAGAGGAAGAACAGAGATGCATTACCCCTAAGGAACGTTTTTTTTTTCCTAGTTGGGTCAGGTGAGTTAATAACCAAGCTGTGGAAAAAACAAATATTGAATAGATTGTCCGGAATTGAAGATCAACGTAATTTGAGGGTTCGGCACTCATAATAACAATGTGAAATCCAGAAAATAACTAAAGAACCAATTCTTTCGGCAATTTTCAAAGAGAATTTTCAAAAAAACAAATTCAAATTAAGTCAGAACAAGCTGCAGTTGTGTTGCAGCCGCGTTTTGGATTATGATGAAGACCGGGTCAATACAGTATATATTCTATGGGTCAATCTAACGTATTATTCTGGAGGTTTGAACGTTGTTTTATCTTCAAAAAAGTGTTAAGAGATAATGGTAACATAGATTCAACCTCTTAGCAAATAGTTCTATAGTAGTATTTTCTTCCTATGTTTTATTTTTCTTTTGTTGGGTAGGTACAATCTTGAAATTAGGGAATTGTCAATAATGAATGTTCTTGAATCAAGATTTAAGTATATATTGCCATGTTTTTATATATAAAAAGAAGAGAGCTTTACTAAAATGCTGTAATTTATTTAATTTAGAGGAAGGTATTGTCAACTGGGATTGTTTTATATTTTATTGCCCTTGTTGTAGTATTTATTTTTGAATGGTGGGCTAACCGATATATTAGTATGGATATGTTATTTGGTTAACTTTGTACTCACTCTAATAGAAGCAACGTAGACTAACCCATAATTGTCTTTTGAAAATTGAATTGTCGTGCGAGATAGTGGAAAAATCACTCAGAAAAGAGAGAAGGTTTGAGGCGGAATATTCAATATGGTATATCACTGTTTCGTCAAATAATTAAGATTAGACTAAAAACTGATTGGCTACTACTATTGATTTTAAAAAGGATGCGTTGAATATAATGAGGTTTAGATATAACCCTTATAGATACATCTTTATTCTCTCCCAGTTCTCTGACAAGTGGTAAAATTCGACAACGGAATATCATACAAGTTCGATTTTGAAGGAGGGGCATGCCTCTTTCGATAGAGTGATGGAGAGTCATACATTCGAAAATACCGCATATATTGTTCATTCTATAAACTTGGTTATGAAAAGAAAGAAAATAAATTTTGTAACATTTACTTCTCATTTAGAAAAAGGATAAAAATTATAAGTAGGTTAAGAGGAAATCAAAAGGAGGTGTCAACAACACTAATACATTTTTTGATATATTTTATGGTTCGGGTAATATTAGTAATTTTGCGTTTTAATATTCTTGTGAACTGGTTTTTAGTGGAATCTCAACTCACAATGCAAAACACTGATTAAATTTTTGGAAGTAGTACTTGCCATTAATACCTTAGGAAGGGCCTTTGAAATGAATTATTTTCATAAAATGACAACAGAATAATATTTGTTCATTCGTCTTAAATATAATATAAATTTATCGATACATTTCTTTTTATTCTGCTTAATTTTTCTTAAAGAAATGTTTTTCATAATTTTCCAGATTTCATACAAAGTGGAAAATATCTTTTATTCCATATAATATAATAGAAGAACAATGTAATTTATCGACACATTCTTAGAATATATATTATTTCATATTAACCACTCACCTTAGGATCTAAGTTCAAGATGATGAGATAGTCAAAAAGAAAAGTATGATGTTCTCTTTATGAACTAATCTGGTTTCCTGTCTCTTTTCCTACAATTTGTTGAATCAGCGATCCTTCATTGACTATAAAGCATCTCGATGCTACCATTCTTAGCAAACTCCGAAATTTCTAATTTTTGTCCCACTGATGGTATGGGTAATGATACTTGGCCGAACACAAGATTACTCTACGTTCAACTGTTCAATCGTTGTCTATTGATAAATCTCTTTAGCACCGCTCACCGAACCGGCCGATTCGAACAACTGTACAGTATAACAATTATTGAAATTCGTGCGACTATTTTTGAACGAATTTTAATATACGTGATATCATTTTCGTTCGGCGCCGAATCTCCCTAAAATTTTCACTCACTTCCCACGAAAAACCGAACTTCGTCTTTAAATCAAAAAAAAATGTATTATTATTATTGAGGAAGGTCCAGCATTTTAACAAAATTAAATATTTGTCTGGTTGTTTCTCCGGAGCAAGAGGATGGTTGGGTGGGTGTTGTTGTTGTTTTTCGCTCAACCCCCACTCCCCACAACGTAACCGGCCGAATCAAACCGAATGTGCCCAATAAGTTCGGCCGCGTATTGTTGTTTACGCTGAGTGAAAAGGAAGCATTTAACTTGAATGTTGTTACATTTTCCACCGAGGAAAGTGTGAACTCAATTGTTTTTTTTAATTTCATTACCTGAAATTTTATTTAGCATTCTAAGGGATATTTTCAACATATTACGTATAAACAATTTAAGATTTTGATAGTGATATAAGAGTTAGTAATGACGTTTTCCTGATTTAAAAAAAACATATATAAACAGTGTATTTAATGCTATTTTTATTTCTTATTATTAGGAGATTATTATTATTATCGATTAAATATTGAAAATAAAACTATCAAACAATAATAGTAAACACTATCTCTTTTTGTTTAATAATACCTCTGTCGAAACAAAGAAAAAGGTAAAACACTCCTAATCTTTGAAAAAAAAATGTCTGCTTTAGTTACTTTGAATAACGGTTTGAAAATGCCATTAATTGGTCTAGGTTGTTGGAAGATTCCAAACAAAGTCTGTGCTGAACAAGTGTATGATGCTATTAAGTTGGGTTATCGTCTATTCGATGGTGCTACTGATTATGGTAATGAAGCTGAAGTCGGACAAGGGATCAAAAAAGCCATTGATGATAAAATTGTCACCAGAGCTGATTTGTTTATTGTCTCTAAGCTATGGAACTCATTCCATCGTCCAGAACATGTAAGATTGAATGTTAAGAAAAATTTAGAAGATCTAGGTCTAGATTATGTCGATCTTTACTACATCCATTTCCCAATTGCCTTCAAGTTCGTACCAATTGAAGAAAGATATCCACCATCTTTTTACTCTGGTATTAAAGAAGAAGCGCAAGGTATTATTGCTACTGAAAGGGTTGGTTTAGCTGATACTTACCATGCTATGGAAGCTTTGGTAGATGAAGGTTTAATCAAGTCTATTGGTATCTCCAATTATAATGGTGGTTTAGTTCAAGATGTTTTGAACTATTGTAGGATTAAACCTGTAGCTTTACAAATTGAACATCATCCATATTTGACTCAAGCACATTTGGTTGAGTACTGTAAGTTAAACCAAATTCAAATTGTTGCCTATTCTTCCTTTGGTCCTCAATCATATGTTGAATTGAAATCTGAAGTTGCTATTGAAACTGTCCCATTATTTGAACATCCAACTGTGAAGAAGATTGCTTCTGCGCACGGTTCTGATATCTCTACTTCCCAAGTTCTATTGAGATGGGCAACTCAACAAGGTGTTGCTATCATTCCAAAATCTTCTAAGAAGGAAAGATTGCTTGCAAATTTGAAGGTAGATGAAACTCTAACCTTAACTGACGATGAATTGAAGGAAATAAACAACTTGAACAAGAATCTGAGATTTAATCAACCATGGGAGTGGATGAACATGAAGTTCCCAATCTTTGATTAAGAAACTACTCTATATCCAAAATATAATTGCAATATAGTATAATTTTTTCATATCTTCTTTTGATTATATTTTAATAATATTATTTTCTTTACGTATATAGTAAGGATATATATATTAGTTATTAGAATATTTCTTTACAGCATTTGTAATTTGTTTTATATCATCAGGAGATGTTCTACAGCATCCGCCTATGATTCTTGCACCTGCCTCGATATATCTTTTAACTACAGCATCCCAAGTGAACGTTGGATGACTGTTTGGTAACCAGATCTTCTTCACGGTGTCGTAGACTTCACCACTGTTAGGATACGCAATAAGTGGCATATTAGGTAATTGTTTATGTATCGATTCCATGATATCAGCAGAATGGTTGAAACTGACACAATTGATTCCTAATAACAGCAAATTTGGATTTATTTTATCGCCAATGGATTTGATCAATTCTGCAACGTCTATCATGGTAGAACCATCTCTTAGGAGCCCATTTTCATGAACTGATAGACCAATATAGAAAGGTTTTGACAATATGGATTCATCCCAAGACAAAATTGCTCTCAATTCATGGATGTTTGGAATAGTCTCAAATGCAATCAAGTCCAAGTTGTCGTTTTGGAAAAAATTATCTAATTGAGGTTTGAAATAATTATAATAGTCTATCTTTTCTGGATGTTCACCATAGTCACCATTAAATTCTGCGCATACATGGGCACCCCAAGGGCCGATACAACCAATTAAAAATTTCTCTTCACCGATACAATCACGAGAGAACTGTACAATATGGTTCAATAAAACGTTATATTCTTCAACAGTCTTGATAGGAGTATTTTCGGAGACAGACTTAAAACTGGTTTGATAAGTAGTGGTCATTAAAATCTCTGCACCTGCAGCTAAAAAGTCATTGAACATTCCCTTGACAATCTGTCTATCCTTAGAAGATTGGTCCGACCAAAATGAATCACTAATGAAAGGTACAGTAGACCATACTGGGTTTGCAACGTCGATACCTCTATTTTCTAATTCGGTCCCTTGACCACCATCTAACACAAGGACTTTTCCAGGATTAGATGCTAAATATTCTTTAATTGAAGGACGAGCCATGTTTTCGTTTTATAATACACGTCTATATATATATATATATATATATGTATAGTCGGATGAAATACACTACAAACAAATAATAACTACGGTATGTAAATTGTATAGGAATAGAGATATAGGTTTATTTAACTTCTCCTTATGTATATATACATATATCGAAATCATGTAAGTGTTGTCTTTGTTGTCAAATGCAATAGAATGCCACAAGAAAAATGATGAATCATACATTTGTGCTGAAAGACCTGGAAGAATAGAAAACATCAAGAGATAAAATACAGGGGGGGTGAATAAATGAGAAAACAGGTTGAAATTTTCATTCTGTTAGGGATTATATAATATCATCAGCAATAATTTTTCACTTTACTGCAGTCCAATCTGTGAAAGCAAAAGAGAGGAAGCGAGCCGTTTATGGGATCTACGCAGTCTCTGAGTTTGTCCTGATGAGAACCGTTCAACGCAAACTGAAATTCAGCAAAATGCTCACAGTGTAGGAGGGAAGTAAAAAGGTACAGAATTTTAAAATATCATCTATTGCCGTATGTATTTCAACTATTGTTTGTCTTGCTTGGTTTTACAATAACGTGTTTAACAAGGGCGCCGTATCAGTTGTTGCTGTTGTTGTTCTGAGTAGCAAAAGGACTTTCTTGCAACTGAGGCAGAATGAAAAGTGATGTATTTAGTAAAATTGTTATAAGAGTCATCGTTAAGTAAGATATTACTGTTAAATCTAGTTTGGGGAAGTTTTCCGTTTTAAAGATAATAGTAATACATGAATGTGTCATACACGGAATATATTTGCTAGACTAGATATAGGCAGCAGAATTAGATGAAAGAACGATTACATAGTACAGGATAAGGGGCATACTCATATATCTCATGTTGGTTATTCTGATACATCACTAGGAGTATATCTCATATATATCATATTTCTCTTCTTAGCCTTGTTCATCGAGCATATTACACTATTACTCTCTCAGACTTGCAGCCAATAAATATTCCTATAGTGAAGGGAGAAAAATTAAAAAACGAATGAATTTTTTGAAGTAGAAAAAAATAAAGGAAAGATATAAAAATCATTTTTAGTATAGTTTAGTGCTGCTGTTAGGTTCTGTGAAAACAATAAAGGTTAACGTTATTGTTCCTATACAAATCAGTTTCTGTTAGGGCTTTGCAGTTTGCCATCAATATCATTTATACTATATATTTAGATCGAAATATAATACCAATCATAAAATGTCTTCTGCAAGTACAGAGAGTATTCAATCTTCAGATAATAACAAGTCTTCTAGACAGCCAAGAAATAAAAGGAATAACAGACGTCCCAAGAGTAATAAGAAGGATGAATCAAATGATAAGAAGAATGAAACCGATTTTGTAAAAAAATTAAATAAGAAAAATGGTAAAAGTAGGCATGGAGGTCCAAGAAGAAAGAGAAATGAGAATTCCAGCACAAATGGTTCTGTAAAAGAATATATTAAACCTGAATATAAAGAAAATTCAGCTTCAGCCAAACAGAGACATGATCAAATAGATCAATGTCTTCACGCTTTAGGGAAGGATAATTTCAAATTGTTTAGAAATGGGAAATATGTCACCACATATGCTGTGAACTTCCGTAACAATAACATATCATCGTTTTTCCCAAAAGATATGGGTATCAAATTTGCTATTAATATTCCACATGATTATCCAGAACAGAGTCTGAAGCTGTCTAGTAATAAGAGTAATAGTCAAGAAACTTCAGATAACGCAACTTTGAACAATTTAGTAAGAAACTTCAATAGTAAAATGCGGAACAATGATAATAACGTATACCCAATTCTAGCGCAGTTAAATTATTTGGTTCAGGAGGTTGATTTTCTAACACAATCAAATTTTAAAAAAAATGATAACTCAAGATCTGAATTCTATGCTCAGTTTACACAAACTGAGCAAACTGCATAGAATCCTATATTTCACATTATTTTGCGATTAATACGTCACTCATACCCATCTTCCTCCATTTTTGCATCTCATCTATAAACAATTTATAGCTTAGTTTAGACTTATTTATTGCATATAGCCATTCAAGCTATTTTAATGTTTGTTGTTCTCTAATATATCTATAAGAATATCTTCCTACACCATAAATGATAATTTTACAATGCGGCGCGAAAATATGTGCATATACATCTAAAGTTGATCTAATAGAAACACGTTAAATATTTTCATTAGGACAAGGTTTCTTTGATTTTAGAAAGAATGCCAACTCACAAAAAGCTGAGATTATTGGTGATTAGATTTCAAATAAAGACTCTATCGTGAAGTGGAGAATTGTGATTATGAACAAATGGAACAATCTACATCGATTAAAAATACTATTTCAATTAAACGACAACAAATCAATGATATTCTTGAACCAAATAATAATGACAGATCTAAATCATTTGCAACAACTTCAAATATACAAACCAATGATGTCATTAAGAGAGGACTAAGTCTTGCTGGAACAGGTCTAGTATCATCTGGTAGGACGAGATACTCCTTTAAAGCAACAAAATCAAATAAAACTCGTCAATCTGTGAACCTACACACAAGAACTATTAAGTCGCAAGCTCCTGAAAAGACTATTGAAAACAACAAGACTGAAATTCCGGACAAAGAAACCGTGGATAGATTATTTGAAAAGGCATTAGATAGTGGGATGTATTTTTGGGGTTCTGCACATAGCACCTTACAGAATGTATCTACCGCTAGAAAATGGCAATTGATTCAAAAAATACGTCACAATGAACAGGAACATGCCGACCAGGGTGACTCTAAACTATCAGTACAAAATGATCAAGTATTCTTGGAAAACTTGAAATACTCTTTGAATGACCCTTCCAAGAGATTAAGGTCGTTGTACCAACTAGAAAAACGGTTAAGACAAAAGACATTTTTAGCATCATTTGTTTCAGGTGATTATTATGTCGATTTAGTTGATCAAATTCCAACGATTACCATTGATATAGAGTATGCATATTTTTCATCTTTCAAGACTTTAATGAATAACATGGAGGTTCGGATAAAAATATTGAATAACCCAATATTAATTGGATTTTTCATAGATTCAATGATTAACGATATTTCACCTATAAAGATAAAACTACAAACTTGTCAGTTACTTCTGTTATTAACATATTTAGACTCTGAAAAAGGTTATGATGTCATATGGAACTCCTTAGAAAAAAAACTAGAGCTATGGATGAACGATATTAAAGGAATAATTGAAAATACAGACGATATTTTAGAAAGAATAAATAGTAATAAATCGGTCATTCAATTTCGTCACCCAGAACAAGTCATTTCGGATTACCTTTCTTCGGTACTGTTCTTAGTTAATTCAATAATTGAAGGATATCCTTCATATAATAAGAAAGAATTTATTATTGAACAATTTAGGAACATGGAAATCCACAAATTATTTTATAAAATGGAAAATTTTGAATCTACCACTATAAAAGAACAAATCCAGAACTATAAGATTAAGGAGGAAGGTGTCCGTATGAGAATGAACAACGAGGCACCTATATTTCCTACATTATCCTATGGACCTGTTTTGGAATCGTTAGTACAGAAAACACAAGATACACCTTTAGAACAACCATTTGGTGATTTGGTTAAGTCACTTTCTGCAATGCTTGATAATCGTACCTATTCGGAATCAATTAAACTTTACAAAGCATTGAGTTCCATGCTGGTATATTTATTAGAAAAATTCCAATCTGATGTTGATGAAGATTTATCTCCTAATTCATTATTACACGAATCTTTAGAAAGGTTACTCGATGGTCTTCAATCTGATGACATTGCTAGAAGAGCCATGAATGACTTGAAAGAAGCCCAGAAAAGCATTGCGGCGTTAACTAGCGAATTGAAACAGGTACGGACTGAAAAAAGACTTGATGATAATGAGCTTTTGGTTAAATTACATAATAATTCAGAGTTACTGTCTTCAAAGGTGAGTGAAATAAAGACATTGAAATTCCGAAATAAATCACTCGAAGAACTTTTAAAAGATTCAAAATTCAAACAAGACAAGATTGCAACATATGAACGTCTACAATATAAAGTTAAGGCTCGACCTCTGTCAGTGTTTGGTAACAATAAATCCGATCTAAAACTTCAGCTTGGAATAAAAAACAATATAAGGTACTCTAACTCTCATATAATCCGCGAAAGTAAAGGTGTATTATCTCTTTCCTCATTCTTGGAGGATGACTCCATGGATAATATTTTAAATAATCAATCTTATACTGGACAGTTTTCTAATTCTACTGACTTAAAGTCTTCCGCTGCAAATACCTCAATTATGGGTGAATCAATGGTTGGGGAAGTAACTGATGGACAGATTAATGGAGGTAATTTACTTGTGACTGGGTCAAAGACCATTAAATATAGTACTGATAATTTCCAGTATTCTGAAAATGGTTCAAATGACAGGTATGGGTATTGCATACCCGGTACTAGCACCACAGATAAGACTAGAAGTATGAATAGTGCCACTAATCGAGACATAATTAATGGATCTCTATCATATTTACCTAGTCCGGATCCTGTCCTGGACGGAACTATTCAACCCGTTTTGACAAGTGGTTTTTCTAATTCTACTGACTATTATCATAGTCATCACATGCGGTCCATTGAAGAAGGTAATGGTGTATCTGTATCTGGACCCTATCTGACATTCGAAGGGCAACAATCAACTATTTTGGATGTTTCAGAAACACCTCGATTTGGGGTGATGATACCCTACGGGAAAAATGACACTGGTAGTTCCTTAAACCTCAATGAAATGCCAACCAATAATTTGAACATTAATGGATTGAATATAGGTGGTACTGGCATTGGTTCCGATTTCAGTTTGGGTGGTTCCGGGACATTGAATCCTGGAACTAGATCTTCAATTTTAACTACTAGCGTATTACAAGAAGGAATAAAACTATCATCTGTTGCTGCTGCTGCTGCTGCTGCTCCTCCTCCTCCTCCTCCTCCTCCTCCTCCTCCTCCTCCCTTACCACCACAATTGTCTGATAAAACAGAAGAACAAGAGAATGAAGATCCAGAGCCAGAGCCAGATACGAATGTAGGTTCATCGATATCACTGGCGCCGCCACCACCACCACCGCCATTGCCCACGAATCTTGTTAAAATGGATGTCACATCAAGGCATTCCGCACTGAAATTAAAACAAATACATTGGGATAATGTAGATGATGTTGAGAATACTATTTGGGCAGACCAAGTTTCTCTAGGAGAAATATTTTCCAAATTAAAGAAGGGTGGCATCTTAAATAATGTTAATGATATGTTCAAAATAAAGGACAATAAACTAAAAATTAAAAAAGACAAAAAGGACGAAAATAAACCTAAGAAATTGAGCTTTTTGCCAAGAGATCTTGCCCAACAATTTGGTATCAATTTACATATATTTTCAAATTATTCTGTGGATGCCTTGGTTTCCAAAGTCCTGGCCTGTGATAGCGAAATACTAAGGAATATTCCGGTACTGGAATATTTCAACAAAGAAGATTTGAATAACATTCCACGTAGTATATCAATAAAGTTTGATCCATTTAGCTCAAATTATTTAACAGGAGCCAAACCTACGAAATCACCAGAGTCTCTTGAAAGATCCGATCAGATTTATTTAGAACTCTGCTACAACTTGAGAAGTTATTGGTCGGTTAGATCAAAAGTATTGCTACTTATGATGACTTATGAAAAGGATTACTACGACTTGACGTATAAGTTACAAAAGATCGATGATGCAGTTAGAACTCTTAAAAATTCTACAAAACTGCGAGATGTGTTGTACATCATCTATTCTATTGGTAATTATATGAATAAAAGAGGCGTTCGTGGTATTAGGTTAAGTTCCTTAACAAAACTTGTATTTGTGAAATCAAGTAATGATAGCAATATATCGTTTCTACATTTTATCGAGAAAATTATTAGGTTCAACTACCCCGATGTATATTCCTTTTTAGATGATTTGAAACTTGTCGACGATATCAGCAATTTGAGTTTCGAATCTTTGGAAGCTGAGTGTTCTGAATTCACCAGGAAGATTAGAGAGGCTGTACATGAGGTGAGCAAAGGGAAACTTTCTGATCCAAAATTATTACATCCTCAGGATGAAATTTTAAGCAAAATTAGGTACAAAACGAATAAGGCAAAGACAAAAAGTGGTCTGCTTGATGCGCAATTTAAATTAACTGATAGTGATATTGACAAGATTATATTATTTTACGGTGAGAACCCTAAGGATACTGAATCTAAACGGATGTTTTTCAAGAATATTATGGATTTTGTGGCCGTATTTAAGAAATGTGCTAGAGAAAATAAAGAAAGAGAAGAAATGGATCGTATTTATGAAGAGAGAAAGAAATTGATGGAACAAAATCTACGTCTCAAGAGAGATGATAGCAACGGGAGCAGTGATGACGCAGAAGATGATGCTGTGGATGTGTTGCTTTCACAACTTCGCGGTGTCGATTCAAATTCAATGAAATTGAGGTCTAAAAGACGCGATTCTAGAGTTTTATCAAAAGTAGATTCTAAAGCTAGTAATAATGATGAGTTGCTAGAAAGGACACATGCATTGATGAGCGATTTACAGAATATCTAATAATTTTTATATAAAAATTATTTCTTAAATTAATGGTCTATCTAAGTCGTTATTAATTTTCCTCATTTCAAAGGCGATGGATGAAGAATTGTTTTGCGACGTAAAAAAAATAAAAAATGTCTCAAAGTGTTTGTTCTTTACAGAATGTACCACATATGAAATTAAATGCCTAATAAGGTAAGTATCATTAGTATTAGTGTGTGGATATACCTGGGGAATTGCTATAAGTTTATACATATATCTGTTCATTTTTCAGGTTATGAGTATTAATGGTAGACCAAGAAAATGGTTAGTGTGGCTACAGCAGTTATATGTTTAGTTGGGATACCACTTTTTTTTGGTTTATCGATAGCTCTATTTTTTGGGTTGCAGCTTTTTAAAAGACTTAGGAAAGAAGATGAAGAATTTGAAGAAGAAATTAAGCAAGGTGATGATTTTTTCCAATTTGATGATATCGAAACTTGGAAAGTCGATTTAACGAAAAATGTTAAACCAGAGGATTTAGAATCTGGAAAAATTCTAGTAGATCTGGAAGTAAGACAGTCATTACAATCTAATAGGAGTGAAGATACAAATATCATATCACGGTCATATATACCTGCATATAGAAAAACTTTTCGAACACGATATAATGAATTCAAAGAAAAAGGCAAAACAATAAATCTTGAAAATGGAAGCTATGAAGGTAATTCGAAAAGAAAGAGCATATACGAACAAATTCTTCCCGTTATGGAGGAGGATGTTTTCAGTCATCAAGAAATGCATGCGCAAACAAAAACAAAATTACTTCGAAACTATAGGGTTGAAATGGAAAATGTTCTTTTGGGAAAATCACTTGCAAAGCAAGATCTTGGATCGTATTATCCTCGCAGTTGAGAGGTATTTGTATTGTCACTGTTAAATTTTTATTTACCGGAATATATCTATTTGTACATAAAAGGCTCTACAGCAAAGTAATATAATTTTCAACAAAACATAAAAAAGGAAGTAATTTTAATTATTGGTTCATATTTACAATGATAGTTATATAAAGTGAAGAAAAGGTTATTTAGTAGGAAAATAAAGTAGAATGAATTTGCCTCTTATTTAAGATGGAGTTAATTAACCATGAGGTATAGAAAATACCTATACTCCTCTAATTGTGATTTAAGGTCTTAGAAGAACTTTCACTTAATAAATCGAACTTCTTGTCATTAACTGTTAGACTCCATTCATGAATCAAGAATTCATCACGACGGTTTTCTCTATCTGCGACCAATCTAATCATACCTGATTGGTTTTTATCACCTTTAATGTAAAATGTGATATTAATGATACCTGCCACAGGATTTAGTTTCCCATATACCCATGGAATGATACCGTCAAACTCGATATTCTCTCCTAACCATTCCTTCGTAGTGGCAGACTTACGTAGTTGGTATAATGTATCAGATATAATTGGATTTTCTGTCTTCTCATAATTGAACATGATGGCTAAGGCGGAGCACATTGCGACGGAGAAAGCAGCAAAACCTGCCCACTGTTTCTTTCTGTCAGCCCTTGGATCAGGCAATTCCCTGTCGATTCTCATTGGTTTCTCATTATTAATAATAGTTTTAGATTGTTGGGAATTCTGTCTTATTGTTGTTGTAACCAGAGTACGACATGTGGAGTGTCTTGCCAACCTAGTCGACGTTTTCAATGAATTTAGACCGATTGCTCTTAACATTCTTGGATGTGATGAAAGTGTTAAAAGAAATTAAGATACTTAAGAATACACAATAGACTCTAAAACACCTTTATTATAACGTAATGCAGTTCTTTTATCTCATGTTTTGCAATTGAAGACGATATTATTAGTAGTATGGTCTATCCCCTTCTTTATTATTAACCAAAATAATGGAAATTCCTTACTTGAAGACCGGCCGACTCAAAGCCTCTGAAAAGTTTGAAACTACGAGGCGGTTCTCCTCCAGAAAATAAAAATTAGCAGAGGGAAAGTTAGGGAAAGAGACCACAGCTGGAAGGATGATATTTAAGGAATAACAAAATATGACATTTTTCTCTTTGGAATGTTAATAAGAATCCTCCAAGGTCGATATTTATAATCTATGAAACATGATTAAAGATTTGTCGTAGTTGTAGTAACGCTAAACGTGCAAGAGGTTTGGAACGTTCGAAGGGCATCGGATCATTAATTCTCAATCCTTAGGGTTTTTTATCGTATTCTTTCCGACAGTGAATAATATATCCTAATATACGAGCTCTATTGAAGCCATATAGTGTTTGATATCTTGCTTCAGGAACATTATTATAGTGGCTGATCAACAGAACAATAATAGTTACTTTAGAGGATATTTGCCGAATTACATTGCGTATCACTATAACAGGATCTGGCTTCTCACACTTTTGACGAAGAAATAACTTATATAGTAAGCAAAGAAATAGACGTTTCGAAATAAACAATAAGTTGGAGTATACTCTACAAGTTTATTTATAATATATCGAGAAGTATGATAAGTATATCTGAATGTTATAAATATGTTCTTCTTTCATTAAAGTATGATATACATAGAACGAAATATATTTTGAACTGCAAGTAGTTGTGTAGTCCAGACTCATTTAGTCGTTATAAGCCATTGTTTACCAAGTGAATTTAACTTAAAAATGAAACCCTTTCACATAAGTCGAGTGGAGATCCCTAACATTCTAGGGGGGGGGGGAAAGAAAGCTTCAATGTTTAATACTGTATGCAATCTTTAATCTTGCAGATGAAACTTGTTATTATCATAATAGTAGGTTATCAGAAATACACAATTCCTTATATAAATTAGATAGAGAATAGTTAATAAGATTCAAATATTTCTGCTGCATTCCAAGACATATTTAATTCAACCATGTGTTTTCAGCTTTAAACTATATAGGAAGTGAATTATTTACAGATCCTTATACCTTCACGATATAATATTTCTTTTCTATTAAGTTTTAGACCGTTGGTCCAATTATAAAATGGATAGTTATCTAGGTATTATGGCAACAACATTTAACAAATAGCAGGTTAAGTTATGACCATTTTCGTCCTTCTGGTCACCAAGTTCAGGCCATGCATTAAAGAACGTAATGTAAGATCTATTAAGCGTTATGATAAAAAGACGACCCTACAGTTCATAGAAGTAGGGCTTTCTGTATTCTGGCATGATATTTTTCATACCCTAGGGTTCCTATATAGTTAACATACAAGAAACCCTAACATAGGGCGACATAATTTCCTCCACCTTTTGGAGTCTTCACAAATCGCGTTCCTCAAATCAAATTGCTGAACAGCTTTTCTTAACAGTATACAAACAGAAGACACAGTAATACTTTGTATATTCTTAATATATATATGTGGTTTACTTCAACATGGTGATCCTGTACTTAACCTATAAATAGGAGTAAACCTACAAGTACTAACAAAATGACATTTGTATGTATGTTGATTAGTTAACTGGTTAATGAAGAAGTTATATAATACTAACATTATTATGATAATGAATATTTACTGCTTAAGACACAGAGAGATAGAGAAGCATATATAGGCATATACTTTAACGACATCTCTTTCCTTTCTTTCCAGTAATGGTATCTTTTGAAATTAGATCGGAAAAGCGATACATATATCCATTGATCTTGCATTAGTTTCAACATGTCTTGCGGGAATGAAGAGAAATACGGGGCTCACGTTCAAGACAGAATCTATCGAGAACGAGACTGCAAGAGTATACACTAGGAAATATCTCAATATAGGTGAGTCACTCTATGATAGTGCGGTAGCTTCATGTGGATCTTCTAAATATTTCGTTCGCAAATAGTGCATAGTTCAAAGAAATATAATGAATCAAGCGTTGTCATTATCATTATCACCATCACTATACAAGGCGTATTAAGACCCCCTCCAATTTCAATGACCCCCAGAGTTTAAAGTTTCAAAAGTTACTGTTACTTCCTCCTTCGATGATTCCGATAATGTGGTTGTCAGCCTGTTTGTTTCTTGACATATAGATTATTTGATTATCACGCTCACATATTCAAGTCTATACTCACTTTTAAATAGTTCCCATATATACATACATAGTAATCCAATAATATTCTAGAATAGAAAAACTACGATCTCTCTCGAAAGGGTAATTCAAGTATCATCTTCTCAACTCCCTACTCACTTCACGTTATCTATATGCAGCACGGTTTTCATCAAATTTCACATAACTCTTCATCAGGAATGTGTTATTCGTCAAATCATCAAGACAGGTTGGCACATACATATATATGTATATATATGTATATATACCATCCCTACCATCACCACATACAGTTATCTTCAAACAGCACCCCATTTGCCTATACATCACTAAGCATATCTTGTGTACCCTGTAGTTCATACTAAGCCTGGAAGTCCTTTCTCGAAGGTTTATTTTTGATTCAACAAAATCGGTAAAAGCCACAACTCCCCCCACGTACCGTACCCTATTCGGAGAATCCCGTAGGAACATTCATTATATATATATATATATATATATATATATATAATAACGAAACAATTGATATAAAAGAGGTACATATAGTATAAATATATTTTCTTTTATTAATCACTGTAGTTCATACGTTCACTAATCATAGTAAGAATCTAACACCCTCTCTTCTAACGATAAAACAGCATTCCTTTCCTCTTTTGCATTAACACACAAACATAATGAATAAGGAGAAAGTGGTGTTATTCTCTCCAGAATATTCCCCAGAATTAGCCAAAAGAATTAAAAGTATATATAAAGATGATATCAAGCATTACTACTCGCAGTTGAAGTTAGAGAAATTAATTGATCTATTGGAACACACACAATATTTGTTTGAGCTTTATGTAAGATTTGCCAACGATAAAAATGATAATGATTCACTCACATCATACATTATTGGTTGCTTCTATGTTTATCTGATAATGCCAAACTCCATTCAATTTCAAACTAAAAATAAGGATTACAGCATATACGCTGACATGAAAGCCATATATGAAGGCCAAATGAACATGACCAACGTACGTCTCATGGTAAGGGATGAGGTTGATAATATACTGGATCACATAAACCCTGAGCCAATCAATCTTACACAACTCATGGAAAGAAAAAGGGCATATTCAGTACCAGATGGCAGTATAACGGAATCACTACAGAATTTAAAAATTAATGATCCGACTACGACAACGACTATAACTATGACTAAAAATCTAGATGAAATAATTCCTTATAAAAGTGAGCATCCTGGTAGTCAAACAACCGGTTCCAGTTATTCAAGCTCAGTAACTTCTACTGAAGAAGATGGTTACAATAGTAGTAATGTATTCAGCGGTCAACAAGGTACAGAAAGGATGCCAATTAATAGCGATAGTGAACCTTTTACTGATGATGCCGATACTGCTTCTCAGTTATGGACTGCTCCTGCATTAGAACCGAATGATCAATTAAAAATAGCATTATATTCTGAACCCCTTACGTTACCAACAATGTCAACAGAAGAAGATTTCTCGCATCCAATAGAGTTCCCAACGTACAATGCAAATAATGAAATCACCAATCCCTCCAACCTTTCAAGGAAAAGTAGCACTATAATTGATAAACGTGCACCTTTACTTCGTGCTAGAACTGAAAGTGTTGCTATGTCAATGTTTGACGAACCTAACAGTAACAAAAGCAATTACAATCATAATCCATACCCATACGCAAATTATAGAACCAGTCCGCTTGGTAGCAGTGATGAACTGATCGCAGATAGAAGTTTAACACACAGGAAGAACTCGTATCATTCTGTTTATATGATGGAGAATGAAAATGATGAATTAAAAAATGAAAATTACTATGATCGAACAGACGATTTTATTCGTTCAATCGAAAGACTGGAAAAACAAAGCATCATAACCGCCCCTGAATTATTCACAATATTATCGAATCCAATCGATAGAAACAAATTATTATTGATTGATTTAAGATTAGAGAAAAGGTTCACTTACAATAATATAATTGCCGATAATTATGTACAATTGGATCCAACTACCTTATGGGACTCTCAAAAGGGTACACCAATATACGATATCAAAATAATCGAACAGACATTGAACAACAAATTATTTACTAATAGGAATGAATTTGATTATATTGTTTATTATTCAGATATGAAAACATACATGAAACTGAATTTTGATTACCACTTTGTGCTATTTTACTTACTAATCACATCTGCAAAATCTACAGATAAGTCTAAACGAGCTCCAACTGCTTTATTAGGTGGGTTTGAGAAATGGAAAAAGATGATGCATAAATATACAAAGGAATACAGTATCGACGTTAGACAATATATATACGGTCCCTATGATAGAGAAGGTAAGAAAATCAGCCAAAATGTGGCTTCTCCAACATATTCCACTAATAATTCATATAGACAGACACCCTATCCTTATGCCAGCATTTCAAATATTAAATTTCCAGAGGCACCATCGTTCAGACCACCAGAGGTACCTTTCAGAATAAGGAAAAGACCTCCGCCACCTCCCCCAGCAGTGAGACCCAAGACCCCACCACCTCCAATCTTGGCACCACCTAGTATACCACCACGATTACCAGCTAAAATAAAATTGGAAATAAATAATAATAATAGCCATATAACTCGTATTCCTACACATATACCTGTGCTACCTTCGACTATCCCGGAGAATAGACAACTTACAAAGTTTGAATTGTTTGAAAATGAAAATAAAGAAGTTGTCAAGAAAAGAAGCTACTCCATTCCAACAATCGAAAAAAATTCCAACATATTTGTTTCGTTATCAATTACAGGGTTAAGAAATTTAGGCAACACATGCTATATTAATAGTATGATACAATGCCTGTTTTCCACTACAGCATTCAGAGATATATTTTTGAGTAATGAATATGAAAAATATTTGAATATGTCGAATAAACATATTTCTGCTAATACAAGGAGACTTTCGCTATCAAAATCTCTGAACATTCTTTTCAGGAAGATGTACTTAAACGGTGGTTGCTCGGTAGTTCCGATTGCATTTTTAAAAACATGCAGCATATTAAGACCCGATTTGAAAATTCCAGATGACCAACAGGATACACAGGAATTTTTAATGCTGATGCTCGACAGGTTACATGATGAATTATCAAAACAAGATGAAGTAGTTAATAAAAACCCTAAATTATTGCTATATGATACTACCCATCTAAAAGTTAATGAAAAAGAGTATAAGAAATGGTTTGATGAGAACATAATGGGTAATGGATTATCACCAATAGATGATTTTTTCCAAGGTCAAATGGAAAGTTGTTTACAATGTGAAAGGTGTGGTTATTGCACCTATAACTATTCCAGCTTTTATGTTCTATCTTTGGCAATTCCTAAAAAACAAAAAGGTTTTACCAAACTATCAAAAAGCATTAATCTGGAGGAGTGTATTAGTATGTTCACAGCTGATGAAATTTTATCTGGTGAGAATGCCTGGAATTGTCCTAGATGTTATGAGGAACAGAAGAAGAAATTACTGGAAAAGAAGAAGAAAGTGAAGCAAAGTCAAAACTTACAAGTTCCGACTAAATCTCTTGAGAGAAGCCGTGAAAAACATTCAATCTTCAAATTTGGTGGCTCAAAGAGAAAGAAACCTAAGACTATCAACAGATCCTTGTCACCCTTTAGATTAATCAGAAGAAGTGAATCTAAGAATCGTGAACCAGAAAATAATATTCCAACAACTAGTTCATCTGATTTCGATGCCAAATATAATAGTTATGATGAATCTGAAGACGATTTCGATGAATTAGATGAAGAAAAATTAAGACATTGGAAAAATAAGAAACTTATTACTGTGAAGACATTAAAATTCATTACTTTACCAAAAGTTTTGATGATTCATTTGTCTCGATTCTATTATGATTTAACTAAGAAGAATAATACCATTATTACATACCCATTAATTTTAACTATGACTTTAAAGAATAAAGAAGTTGTAAGATATAGATTATATGGGATTGTAAACCACACTGGTAATTTGATCAGTGGTCATTACACATCTTTGATTAATAAAGATTATGATCATAGTTTGAAAAGTAAAGAACAAAAATGGTACTATTTCGACGATGAAGTTGTGAAGGAAGAGAGAAATCATGGTGATATGGATAATGGCATAAACAAAATATCCAGCAAAGATGCGTACGTTCTATTTTATGAAAAGATTGAATAGAAAACTTTATTAATTACAGCAGTTGCAAATCTTTTAACCATATATATTCATTATAGAACCTAATAGACAACGCCATGTATACAATTATTTAAGTGAAAAGTGCATATTATCATTAATCATAAATATATATATATATTTATTTGTTTATTTATTTGAATATAAAGAAATACTAATGGAGAAGTCAAATATTGGGAATATTAATAGGTAAGAATATTTCAGGAGACTACAAGACTACCAATATTTAAATTAGAAGAAGAAGAAAACATAGACAGTGCAATAAGGTAGACAATTTCGACAGAAATAATAGTGATAAATAAAACTAGTATTTGAATTTTTGTTTCATATGTGAAAAGGGAACATATATCAAACACCAAAAGTCTTTATGTAACGTTTAGTATTCTCTATTTCTTTGGCTCTTCTTTTATTATCCCAGTTAAGCTCATCTCCCATAATCTTAACGGTACCATCTACCGCATTTAATGCTTGCCTTGCATCAAGGAATGCAAATCTTGTTCTTCTCAATAAGAAATCTAAAGCTGTTCTAGTATATTCATGTTGAATAGAATATTTCAATTCTCCAATGGTAAATGGGTAACGGAAGGAATCAAACAGGTTAATTTCATTATTTTCGATAAGATGAACATCAGCTATAGTATCAACTTCATCTGGATTACCTGGAGGAACTTTCTCACTTAGGATTTGGAAATTTGTTGCCAATGTGACAGGGAGTTGATTAATATTATTCTGTTTAAATGACTCACAAATTAAAGGAGCTCTCGTACCATAACTATCAGCTAAATGTTGAGCCATCTTTGAAGATAAATTGTATTTTTGTGCCAATAAAGCTTCTAAATTTGGATTCCAATTCTCAGCACCAACTAATTTCAATTTTCTTGTCGAACAAGGTTTGACATCTTTAAAATTCCCAATCTTGACGACTTCATTAATTGTTTCTTCAGCCATTTCTCTATAAGTTGTCCATTTTCCACCTGCAATAGTGATCAAATTTGAAGGTGATGTAAAAATAAAATGTGATCTAACCAAACCTTCAGTCTTCCCACCCTCATTTTCAAGAATTCTTGGGTCTTTAACAAGAGGTCTAATACCAGCCCATGCACTTAAGACATCATCTCTTTTTACAGGGAATTTAATATAATGTTGCAACTCTTTTAATATATCTTGAATATCTGCCTCAGTTGCTGTTGGGGTCTCTGGTACTTGCTTCAAAGGTATGTCAGTGGTACCGGCCAATACTTTTCCTTGCCAAGGTAAGAAAAACATGACTCTACCATCTGATGTTCTCACATCTAACAAGCCGACATTCTTTGGACAATAAAAACTTGGTAAAATGATATGAACCCCGGATGATGGAACAACCATTTTAGGGTTCTTAACCGCAATTTGTGAAGTAATATCATCAGAGTGATAATTTGAAGAATCAATATCAGGTAAACCATCTTTATTATTATCCATTTGTAAAATATGATCACTATAAGGTCCCGTTGCATTAACTACAGTCTTAGCCATAACTTCATAAATTTTATTGGTCTCGGTATCCTTTACAATAGCACCTTTAACATTATTATTATCATCTTTAATTAATTGTTGGACTTGCATATAGTTCAAAATGGTAGCCCCTTTGGAGACAGCTGTAATAGCTAGAGTAGAATTTAAACGAGAATCATTAAATGAACCATCATGATAAACTAGTCCCGCAGTTAATTTTGAAGAATCAAGCATTGGAGCTAATTCTGCCGCATTTGCCTTTGATAAAAGATAAGAACTTTTCAAATTTTGTGAACCAGCAAATAGATCATAAAATTTACAACCTGCATAGAAATAAGGAATTTGCCAATAGGTATAAACCGGAATCAAGATAGGTAAAATTTTACACAAATGAGGTGCAGTATTAATCAAATGTGCTCTTTCATTTAGTGCTTCGACGACTAAATCTAATTGATCCTTTGAGAATTCTAAGAAAGCTTTTTCCAAGTAACGAACACCACCATGAGCCATTTTGGTCGACTTAGACGACGTACCAGAGGCAAAATCAGCTTTCTCGACCAATGCTACATTCAATCCTCTCGTAACAGCATCAACGGCACAGCCTGTACCAGTAGCACCACCACCAATAATTAGCACATCGAATTGAGAAGTAGAAGATAAATTATTTAGTAAACTTTCACGAGTCGGAGTAGAAATATCCTTAACAGCCACAGACTCTAATGTCTTCACAGGACTTAAGTTTGTGTAATCTGCCAAGGGAGACTTCTTAGTCTTTGCATTGAAATATAATATAGAACCGCCAAGGATTGTAACGGAGGAGACACCCAGAAATACTTTTGGTCTCAAAAGACGCTTCCCAGCACTAGAGAACATCTTGTGTGAGTATATATTAAATATGAGGCTTATTGTAAGTAAATTTTATTAGTAGAAGTAAGCTAAATGATATTTTCTAAGTTGTAGAAACCCATTTTTTTTCCAGTCTTCATTCTCCAACGTCCTTCCCTTTATATAAGTTCAAGATTCCCATTCTGTTCCCTTCCCTCCCCTCTCCCCCGCATCATGCCGCTCGACACATAATGAACGGCGTTAACGACGAGCGCCGCCCGTTGGCATTCGGAGAAACGGCGATGAAGTCAGGGTAAACTGAGTCAGAGTCATTGGATTATATAAGACCACAAATCTGCTGATACGTTGATAGATTCGTTGATGGTAATGATGTTCTTGCAAATGTGAAGGATTTTTGGTAAGGTAGAGTCATTTGACCAGACATCTAGTATGGTATGGCTATTGCCCGGGTCTCCGGTGTGACGTGCGTGGATGTGTTAGTCTTCGACATCACTCGCAACGAATAATTAAATCTTTGAATCACCTCATACCATGATGACGACTGCCACGACAACGACTATTATCATCTTTATCAGAAGAGTTATGACACAATCTGTTGTTTAATTCAATCAAATTTGAATATCGTCCTCTTGTGGGATTGTACATTTGCCATTATCATTGACATATCGAAACATTACTTGCATATTTATTATTATTCATTTATTTGTATTCGTATATTATATTATATATACGTTTACTTATTATAATTTTTTGTTTAAATTGATCGTATTTTTAAAATATCTGATAATACCTTGTTACTATTCCATCGTGAAAAATCACTCCATTATACCTTTCTTCTTAGTTCTCTTTAGTTTCTTCCTTATGACAAGTGTAGGTACACCACAAACAAAATTTTGTAAACCGGATAAAATCATAGATAATGAGCAACATAACGTTTGTGGTTTCAACGTGGATATCATTTCATTCAATAAATGTTTTGGATAAGGATGAGTCAACGATAATATTATTACATCCAATGTATCTACTACACCGCTGATACAATCAAATAAATGGTAACAATGTTCACCAAGTTTGACGATATTTTGTCTTATTATATCTTCAGAGACATTTTTGCCACTAGATTCCCAATGGACAATATATAACATATCTCCATTATTAACAATCGTACCCATCAAATAAGTTAAGGCATACATGGATTCACTGGACATGTCAACGTACAATATGTAGCAATTCCCATTTGATTCTGTATTGTTTTTAGCATCACCTTCAATAGTAGTTGATTGGATTGTATCAGCTACAGGTCCTTCGATATCTAGTCTCTTAGTCAATAATTTTAATCCACGTACATACCCTTCATCCATCTTATCAAATTTAATTCCTTCTTCAATTTTGGCATCTCCACCATCTCTAACAAATTTTGCAATCCATGGTTTCTTGCTCTCTAATACATCATTAATACTGACAACAAAATTGGGTAAGACTTTCATTCCAGGATCGTAATCAAATTTAGAGTCAATTTCAGCATCATCTTCAATATCACTTACTTGCTCTTCATCCGATTCTTCTTCTTCCTCATCATCCTCATCCTCATCGTCTTCCTCGGAATCCTCAGAATGTCCTTCCCCTTCTTCTTCTTCTTCATCTTCTTCAGTAACTTTCTTGTCAACAACATTTTTCTTCTTGATATTCTTATGTTTCACATTATATAATCTCATCGACGGATCTTGTCTTAATACTGTCCATTTTAAAAACTCTTCTTCACGGATCCTACTCCTTGATCTGGACATCGACCTTGACCTTGATCGTGATCTACTCATGCTACCAACACTCTTGCTATTAGAACGAGACCCACTACTATCATTACGCACAGCAATATCACGTTTCATAATACGACTTCTACCTCTCTTCAGTTGTTCAGAATCAAATTGGACTCCCATTCCGCCTGTTCCATCTACACTACCTCCCCTCTGAGTCTCGGGACTGATTGGTTCAGGTTCATCCGCTGGTACCACATGTTCGATATTAGCAACATCATTAGTGTGGCTAGTGGATGGCTCAAATAAATGAGATTGGAACCCATCGGGATTAGTTAAAAGTATACTTTTATGATGATTTTTACTGCTCATTATGAATAGAACTAATTAAAGTAACCAGTTTCCAAAAAGGAGTAAATAAATAAGTTAAAAAAAATACAACTGCAGTTGTACTCGACGGGGTAATAATATGTATCAATGGAAACACGTTCTCTCAACTGAAAAACGCACCTTAAATAGACTCAGCTGAATATCACAGTCCTTTTACACACATAATTTCTTATCATGAAACAACGCAACCTTCCTCCCCCTTTAAGTTCTGTTCTTTCACAACTTCACTTTATAAATTTAAAGAAAGAAAATCGCAACGTGAGAGAAAACCGAAAAATCGTCATTGTAAAGCGATGAAAAGGGTGTATAAGGAATAGAGAGAACACTACAGAAATCAAAATATTGATTTAAGAAGACATTGAATTTAAGTAAGTGTTATTTGATAAGCTGTAATATAATATATAACCATTCAGAAGATTTAAAACTAATTTGCTTTTGCTTCTTATAGGAGAGAAATGGTATTGCCTGATCAAAAGCCGTTAAGAGCATTCCCAAAGGATACAGTCTTTACTTCACCTGTAAAAAGGATATTTGATTCGCAGACAACTGTTTATTTTCAACATTCTGAAGCATTAGCACGACTGAAATATTTTGTTTCAAAATATACAATATTGGTCCAATCTAAATCATATAATTCTGATTATGCGGCTACGTCATTTGATAAAGAGTCATCGGGCGCATTAACTGATGTAATAGATATATTGAATCGACTTTCAGGTTATATAGATGACATACCACCGTTTGACGGACCAAGAAGATATGGGAACCTTGCATGTCGAATCTGGCATGACAAGTTAAATAGCGTCATCACCGAGGAAATAAGAAATTTACTTAAGAATAATGGTATTCAGAATGTTAATCAAGATTTTGTATTAGAAATGACCTATTATATTCAAAACTGTTTTGGATCCAAGACAAGATTAGATTTTGGAACAGGGCATGAACTCTCATTTGTTGCATTCATTGGGGCGTTAGATATGTCTGATCTATTACCAAATTTGACTGGTTACAGCATAATGGAAATATTTAACCATTATTATAAATTAGTGAAAAAACTTATTCTTACATATACATTAGAACCTGCTGGATCTCATGGTGTATGGGGTTTAGATGACCATTTCCATTTCATATATTTACTTGGTGCATCTCAATGGATAAATAATGAAGAAGTATCTCCAAAGGATATGTTAGAAAAATCTGTGCTAGATCGATATAAGGATCAAAATTTCTATTGTATGGCTCTGTCATTTATTTTCCAAGTTAAATCTGGCCCCTTCAGTGAACATTCACCCATCCTTTATGACATATCTCATAATGTAAAGCAATGGTCCAAGGTGTACAAGGGTCTACTGAAAATGTACGATGAAGAGGTGTTGAATAAATACCCAGTGGTTCAACATTTTTGGTTTGGTACAGGATTCTTTCCGTGGGTTGATTCAAAGACAAAGAAACCTTTACCGGTATATGAAATAGTAGAGGAGTCACAAGAGGAGTCAAGTACATCAGAACGCATTAATATAGATAACGATGTATCCACCGGGATGCCCAATGGGACGACGTTCTCAAAGCAGCCAGTCACGTATAATACAAATTTACACACTCCTACATTAATGATGAGAAACGAAACAACACCTAGCGTAATTAGCAACGTATTCACTAGAAATCCACATCCTTTATCTTCTCGGACTGTAACATCGATGGCCCCTCCTTCTTCAAGAATATTCAATAATTATACAACCTCAACTCGGAACTCTAACATGACTCCCAGCTTGCCCTCATCACGTCGAAATCAGGAAGATAAACTCAGGAACTCACTTCCAAAGAGATAGAGATCGAGAATATCAGTAACAAAGTATATATATGTTTATAACAATATAATGATATATTCAACAAATAAATCATTGTACGCATTCAACCGAAACTCTTTCAAATCTATATGGTTTTAATGTGGCTCTTCACAGAAGCCGCGGCGGTACATTTGTTTGTTTATATTATTAATAAAGCCAATGTCTTATATGTCGTTACTTTCAGAAACAAATAACAAGATAGGGGAAGAGTAAAGATTTAAACTTCAACACTACTACTATCTGTATTTAAGTTTGATAATTTACTGAGAACTTGATTAGATAAACAGGTGATTAAAAATAGCTATGAAGAGAAGAGACTTTGTTAAATCTCCAGTGGTAAATCGTTCAAGTGATCAACAGGAAGCTAAATCCATAACAGAGCTAAGATTATCCATATCTAAAAGAAAGGAGTACCATTTGCCAGATATTTCACTCACTCAGTTAAGTAAATTTATATTAAAGAAAAAATTAAAGAAACCTTTAGAATCTCAAAATGTCAATATTTCTAAAGTTATTAATTCGTTTGCTCTAAAGAAGAAGAATCTTCGTCGAAGTCAAATCACATCAAAATCGTCAAGTCTGACAAGCATTGTTAAGCGAATTAATAAGCACAATAGATATCATGAACCAAAAATTGTAAAATGGGCTCCTTTAAATGATATTCTAACTAACTCTAAAATTAAGGATACCAATACAGAATTAAAATACTCCTTTACATCATACAACGATTACATCAAGAAACCTCCTATTGATGAAACCTCGAAGTTGTATCAAGGCAGTATACTTTCCACACTACATGAATCTCTATGGCAATTTAACTCTAAACTGAAACTGTTGGAAGTTCATGACAAATGTAAGTACGATACATTAGTAGGAATCCAAATAATAAAGCCATTATCATCAAATGAGATTATGATTATTACATCACATGGAAATTTTTCTTTTATTCTGCATAATTCACGGAACGATCAACATATTCCTAAGCTAGAAATAATTCAACAATATAAATTGGCTATATATTCAAAAACTACGATTAAATTGAACGATAATCTCATATGGTGTCTACAATGGAAATTCATTCAATTAAACACTTAACTAACATTCGCGTATCACCTAACATACATAATCTATAAAACTAAGCATCTATTACTAATTATTATATGAATATAATTAAATAATATCCAAATCACTGTCACTATCGTTATTTTTTCTGGCCGGGCTCTCATTTTCCTTAAATGTGGCTTTGAATACACTTTCTCTATGATTAATTTTATTCATTAGAGCAACTCTCGAAGGTTTTAAAAAGACTTTTTCTTTTTTAAAGCTTATTAAATCGTTAATGTCACTATTTTTTTTTTGTAATGACTGGCTTTGCTCTTTGGGCTCAGCATTTTTTGATTTCATATCGTTAGTATGATGATTCAAAACAGTAGCCATTTGCCCACGGGTAGGATCAAATCCTAATCTTTGAATTAACCCACTTTCTAGTACATGTTGGGTGTTTGCTTTCATTTTTCTTGCCTTCTTTTCATTCGCCAGACCTTCGACATCATGTGTACCTTTCTTCAGTATCTTGTTCAACTGTTTATCAATCCTAGAATTTTTCTTCTTATCCATTAGTTTCCTCTTTTTATTATCCAAATTGGTTAGCATGTCTGGATTTTGATATTTCTCATCAAAAAATGCTTTTGCAGCGGAAGATGAACTAAAATGTCGTGAATTACCACCATATTTATCATAAAACTGAGGATTTTGTTGCGACCAACTCGGCAGTACTCGATATTGGTTCGAAGTTGGTTTTGAGGTAACAGAACCAGCCTTGGATTTATATAACATGGGTTGATTTTCAGCCTTCATTGGAGCACCTAATGCATAGTTACCAGTTAAGTCAACGCGCTTGGAATTAGTTTTACGAAATTGGATCTCACGGTGATATTCACAACATCGGTCTGTTGATATATTTATTGGAGTTCCACATGATACATTTTTTGTCTTTATAATTTCTGGACACCATCCTATATCCTTACTTTGGCCAATCTCTAATATACAGTTGTAGCCGTGACTAATTCGTAAATTAAATGATTTAATAAACTGTTCTTTACCACTGGGACGCCACGGTAATATTTCAGGGTTCAATATTGCGATTATATCACCAACTCTAAGGTTGTAATACTTCTCCGCCCCTTGTTTACCAAAAATATATACATCTAAAGTATGCCTGAAGTCTGTGATCACAAATTTAAAATATTTTTGAGGTTTTGCAGAAGATGTAAACTTGATTTCATCCTTTTTTGAAATAATCCCAATTGTAGCCCAGTTCGAATATTGAGGTTCCTGAAATTTTGGAGGACGTACCTTGGCAAAAAGTTTACTTAAACGAAGAACCTTTATATCCTGGAGCATTTGTTTCAGATCGCTTGAAGGAATATATCTTTTCTTTACCCACAGGTGAGAAAATTCATCCATTTCATCAGTTATCATTGTTGGATAAGATTTTCCCTCCGAAATGTTATCGAATGCATGAACTCTGGTACTCATCATTGTTTGATATTGATGAATAGCGTCCTTGCCTTGTTGTTTCGATTCCTGGAATTTTTTAGAAAAATAAGATGGATTATTGATTATGCCAGTCACATCACTGTCAGTAGAATATTTACGATGGAGTTTTTCGGATAACCCAACTTCATTGATATTTAAACTTGTTTGAGAAGTTTGACTTTCTTCTTTTAGGTAAGTTCGTGGATTTACCTGATAATGAGTCTTAATTACTGGTTTCTTCTTTTCTGGCGAACTTGGAACTTGAGCACCTCTGAAATTAGGATCTAATATTTTAGACCTTTCTTTCTTCGCTCGTAATCTGTTCTCTAGATCTGCCTTCTGAGCAGCCATTTCATCTAACTGTCGCTGTATTTCGTGTTCCTCATCGCTATCTGATGAATTGTTATCGTAATGGTCAACTTCTTTCAGTTCTCGAGGATCATCCATATATGTTTTATAGTTAGTTACAGAATTGTTATGAACTATACTTGTTGAATTGAAATCGTTTTATAATAAATGATGGTCAAATATATTCTTATTTATGTTATGTATTGACAATTATTTGTTATATATGGTATTCAGAGTCAATCCCGCGAAGCTGTTTGAGCGTGAAATTATGAAAATGGATTATAACGTTCTAAAGAGGGACGACGATAAATAATCATGTTTTATAAATAATGGTTTATTATGTTTATTTATTTTTAGAAAATATAACATTACATGACGCTTTACAGAAGTGTCTATTTAAGGTTCTTCTGTTCTACTTCTTTTGAACGGTCTCTCCACAGTGTCATCTGAGTCTGCTGAACTCGAAGTTTTATGGTTGTTGAAGTCTGCTTTACTTAGTGTATCAGAATCTGACTTGATTGCATCAGTATTGTTCTGAATTTCTGAGGATTTATAATTGTTATTTCCAAATGATGTAGATGGTTTGCCAAAAATAGGTGTAAAATTCGTAATTTTATTATTACCGAATGGAGATCCTGCATTGGCTGTTTGGAATGTTCCTAACGATGAATTCGAGGATTGAGTGGAAAAGGTAAAAGGGTTTCCACTTGCAGTTACTGGTAATCCGAAATTTGTTAAGCTAGAGCCATTTCCTAATTGTGTATTTTCTGCAATTTGTTTGTAACCATCATCATTACTTTCTTGGTGACGATTTGCACTTTCTGTAGTTGTGGGCTGGGAACCTTCTAATTTTGAGAGTTTTCTCTCTAACAGTTTTGTTTTCATTAATTCTTGTTGTCTGCCCTCTTCAAAAGATTTTTTTCTTAATTGTTCAAGACTCTCTTGCATCTCTGATTCAACAAGTTCTTTTAGTTCTGCCTTTACTTCAGTAGCTGTTAGATTTAACTCTTTAGATAATATAAGTGATTTTGCTTTTTCGGTTGCCATTTCCTCAAGATTTTCTTGCAATTCTTTTTTCCTTTTCTCAATTATTCTATTGATTTTCTCTTCTGTTGGTTGCCTTAGATGCCTTTTTAAATCATCTTTGGCTTCTTCGATCCTTTTTAATGTTTCAGTTTCCCATTTTTCCTTTTCTTTGTCTAGGAATTTTTTATCAATGCTTAGATTACCTTCTGCTTCCATCAGATCTGAGCTTTTATCACTTTGATCTCCGGCTGTTAATGATATTGTATCTTTCTGTAATTGTTTCTTAATGATGCCAAGTCTTTCCAAATAATTGATAAGGTCAGGGCTTTTTGTAGATTCATCAAACAACTCAAGTTTTCCATTTAAGTATGCTATCTCCCTTTCTAATTTGACAACATATTCCTTCGAAGCATTATTAGGAGATAAATTAGATTCATTACCTTTCGACCTGTTTGAAACATCGATTTTTTTTAGTTCTTCAATCTCTAGCTTCATTTTTCCAGATTCTGAAACTTTGTCCTCCAGTGCAAGTTGAATGACTTCTTTTTCAGACTTTAAAGCGCTGATTTCATCATTCAATTGATTAACAACAAGTTTTGTAGAGTCTAATCTTTCATGTGCCTGTTTTTTTAATCTGGCAAATTTTGCATCCATTTCTTTGCTTTGTAAGTCTTTCTCATTAATACGAGCATCCAAAATGTTTATTTGTTGTTTGAGTTCAACAATTTCATTTGGATTTGTTTTTGATTCGTCTGATAACCTCATCGATTGCAATTTCCATCTATTACTCTCCTCTTGCAATAATTTAACACTCTGAGTTTTCTCTAGTATGATTTCATTTAATTTTTGAACCTCCATTCTAGAGGGTTCCAATTGATCTTTCAAATTAGCAATATCATTCTTGTTGACTTCCTGTTCATTAGTTAAATTTCTTAGTTGAATCTCTAATTCTTCATTCTTATGATTTATGAGATTAATTTCATGAATCTTATTCACTAACTCATCGTGACTTTCGGTTATAAGGCTGGTTTGACTTTCATTCATTTGCGAATTAGTATCTTGTATATCACTTGCAGCATGTACTTGAATTCTTATTTCACGCTCTAAAATGTTTACCCTTTTACGAAGGTCGTCCCTCTCATGTCTCAAACAAAATAATATGTCGTCGATCTGTCGATTATCAGCAATTGACTCCATTTTGTGCAATTTCTCCAGTAGCAAATCATTTTGAGTGGATATATTCTCAAGTTGTTCTTTGGCGAAAGATAATTGTGATTCTAATATGTTAGTGTTCTCTTTGGAATGGTCAATAATGTAATCTTCTTTTTCTGCAGACGAAAATAACAAGTTTTCTGGATCTATATTCTTGGATTTTTCTGGTTGGTGATTGCCTTCCTTAAGAGATTGTTCTAATTTGTTTTGAGTTTCAGTTAAGCGGTTTTTTAAAGAAATATTTTGATCCTTCATAACTGAAAGAGATAAAATTAACTCACGGTTTTTGGATCCTAAATCCAGGTTTCTTGGGCTGTAGTTCCCGCTACCATTTTGAGTGGTCATATCCCCTACCTCACTGTCCTTCTCTCTGGACAAGTCACTTGGTGTTTGATCAGTCACACTTTCTGTACTATTTGCAATATTGAATACACCAGAATTGTAGTGTGTTGACCTCAAACTCTGCAATTCGACGTTGAGCATTATTTGATTGTGTTTATGATCCTCATTTTCTTTTATAAGCTTTGAAATAGTTGTCTCAGAGTCCATATATTTATTATTCATCGTGGTTGATTCGTCCTGAAACCATCGAACTTCTGTTCTTCTTTTTTCTTCTAACTCGCGCAACATTTGCTGTTGATCGCTCGTCTGTTCTGATAATAGTTCAATTTCTCCTTTTAAAGTGTTATACTGGTCAGTGGATGTTGTATGTATATCTTCCAGAGTCTTTAACTTGATTTCTAATTCTCCAATTTGAATTTTAAGTTCATTTTTTTCTTCACAAGCATGTATATACTTCCCTTGAAGGGACCTATTCGCATCTGTCAATTTATTACAACGTGCGTCAGATGTTTCCTGTAATAACCTCTGAGAAGATACTTTATTGTTCAAGTTGTTAATTTGGTTAATATTAGCATTCTCATTTGTTTGAAATTCCGTTATCGTTCTTTGGGCTTTTCCTAATTCCTCTTTCATCGATTTTCCAGATTTACTGGCATTGTTTACCTGGCGTTCAAGATCATTTGCGTGATTTTGCAGTAGTAACTTACTATTTGAAAATTTTTCAAGTTCGAGTTTTAGCTGATGAATGGAGTTACTTTGTTTTTCAATAACAGAATTCAGCTCTGAAATTTTTTCGTTCTTCTTGACCTCTAAATTTACAAATTTTTCGTTTAAATGAATCAATTCTTCATTTACAGGCTCATTTGAATCGTTTGTTGGTTCCATTGAAATATTATTTAACTTCTCTTGTGGGAGTAATAATCGTAAAGAGTCACATTCCTTGGTTAATTTATCTACATTGTCCTGTAAATCATTTGCATGATTTTGCAAATCTATTATTGCCAATTTTGCTTCCTTGATGGTATTATTGTTATATTCTGGTATACTTCCATTTTCTGTGGATTCTAATTGTTTTGCTAACCCTCTAATGGAATTCAATAAATCCATATTCTTTTGTTGGAGCTCCTTAATATTTTTAAACTGAACTAGCCTATTAGATATAACTTTTTGAGAATCACTATAATCATTTTCATTTTCATTTGAGATTATCTTTTTTATGAGTCCTAGTTCTTCAGTAGAAAACAATGACGAACTATCTTCAAAATGTGTCGCGACGACCAATAGAAACTGAACCTGTCTTGCGAGGTCATTTCTTTGTATTCTCAATAATTTCATATTGTCAGCCTTGTTTTCTTGTTTTTTCTTATTAATTCTCAATTCCTTTGATATTTCTGTTTTTTGATGGGATACTTTCTCCAATAAATCGGACGTGTCAAGTAATTGATGTTCCAGTTCTTCTGTTCTCTTCTTGAACGATTCTATTAAAGGCATTTTTGTTTCCATTTCGGCGATCATTATTTCTAGTTGTCTCTGCAAATGCTCCTTCTGTTGTCTGTCTCGAAGAAGTTGTCTCTTTAGATACTCTATTTCTTGGTATAAATGGTTGATATTTAATGATTGATTATGGGTTGAAGGCACGCTTCCAGAATCATTCTCTTCATTTGCTATGAATGAATCGATCATGTCCTGGAGATTGGTACATTTCTCTTTGTATTCTCTGAGGTTCTCTTTGGTTAAAGCAATGTCATTTATTAATCTATCTCTTTCGTGTGAATCGAAGGCGTCTGTGCTATTTTCGATGTTCTTTTTGACTTGCTTCTCACAGTTACGAAGTTGCTCTGTAAGTGTTTGTTTCATCTTGTCAGAGACACTCATTTCTTTAGTGAATTCAGATTCTTTCAATTTCAAGTCGTCTTTTACCGATTTCAATTCGTTAGACGTTGTTTCTACGATTGAAGATAATTCCGCATTTTTAGATCGAAGTGTCTTTTGCGTCGATAATAAAAGTTTGATCTGATCTGATACATCAATAACCTTACGGCTCATTTTCGATAACTCGTTTTCCTTCACTTCTTTGTATTCGATAAATTCATTCGTATCCTTTCTTATTTGGGATTCCATCCATGTTTTATGAGTATTTAACAATGATATTTCTTCAGCTTTTCTCAATAGTTCGCGTCTATTGTATGCATTCTCTTCTTCGAGTATTTGAACATTCGTTGACAATTCTATAGTCTGATCCTTTAATTCTGTTATTATTTTGTTTTGTTCTGTAAAGTTTTCTTTTCTATGGATAGCATTTTCTGGTGTATCATTTTTCGAGAGCTCTACTAGTAATTGGTTCGAAATATTTTGTGAAGGTTCCATTGATATACTTTTTTCGGTGTTGTAGGTGGCTGGGATGTTACCAATATTTGATAATTCTAATTTCTTAAGTAATATTAGGGTCGTTTCGTGGTCGATTCCAATCAGTTTATCCTGCGAAACACCTAATTCATTAGCAAGTCGTATCACGACATCGTTAACATCCATGACTTAAATATTATATCTGTATTGTTACAACACGTTAAAAGGTGTTTATGATTTAAAATAAAATGTCAAATGTAGATTTTTTTCAAACGTGTAAATGACGTCAAAGAGTGTAATATATATTCAGACTCTTTTGTCTCCTCCAGTATTATTTTTCGCACTTCTTTACCCACTCAATATAATCAATTGATCTAGACGTGAAATTAAAGACTTTTCGTTATGTTTTCAGGTTTGTTGCTGCCTGTAGATGTGTTCATCACTTTTGTCTGTTTACTGAACCTTTTTAACAGTAAGATAGTTGTGTAAATTTTTGAAAATTTAAAATGAGGGTAAACAAAAGCTGGTCAAAAATATTATTTCTTTAGACTGTTAGAACATCCAGACATTTCTACAATGTCTGGGTTTGTAAACTTCAAAAACCTTTTTTTTATTTTTTTGTTTTCCTGAAATAAATAAATTAGAAAGCCGGATGCGTCGTAAGCGTTTCGCCTTTTTTGGCCTTTTCTAATTGAGCCTAAGAACACGTTGAAAAACCTTTTGAAGCAATTCTCATTCTAGGGTGTGCTCTACCTGGAAAGAATGTCTGTTCCTTGTGAGAACTGTCTTTTCTCTTTAGGAGCCAGACGGAGAATCTAGCTTTTGGTAGGATGAAGTCTCTCTTTAGTTCCTTCCTAAAATTCCTTTCACCATTAGCCTGAATTTTCAAGGTACAGCCCAAATTTATACCCGTTGCTGAGGTAGAGATGGGATACTGGGAAATTACTCTGCTACGTGCATGGTTAGTATGAAGTCCAACTTACCAAGAAACGTAATCCACCTTTCTTGATGTCAATCTAACAAAGAAGCTTAGATGGTATTATTAATTAAAATAACGTGAATTTTACATTGAATAAAAGCCTTAGATCTTGAGTAATACGTTTTATTACTTATTGTTACTTAATAAAGAACTGTAAGCTTCAAAGATGCAAATGTATGTACCAATTAGATATAAAATAAAATGGATAACGAAATGTTTGATCAGTAGATAATAATTGTTAAAAGCGTTATATGGAAATGAATAAAAATACAAACTAGGATTTAAAATTGCGAAAGAATTGTTTTAATAATACGACTTAGAGATGATTTAATGAGATACTTATTTTCTTTATTTAAAGAACCATCTTCAGTGGGAAATGATTAATTATATATGATCCAACCTAAATGAACGGAAGGTCTATTTCAGATTAAATATACTATATCAAAAGTGTAATATATTATAAGGGGGATGTTAATGGTACTGTTTAATGATGTTTGTTAAATAAATGAAGATTTATCTATTTGGTTCGACATTATATTTCGTAATTTTATAATACCCTTATCAAATATGGAATACTAACAATATATTGAATAAATTGTTTTCTATTTTTATTCATTTTTCTTTTCAATATAGTTTCGTCAAAACTCTAACAGGTAAGACTATCACTTTGGAAGTCGAATCCTCCGACACCATTGACAATGTCAAGTCCAAGATCCAAGACAAGGAAGGTATCCCACCTGACCAACAAAGATTGATCTTTGCTGGTAAGCAATTGGAAGACGGTAGAACTCTATCCGACTACAACATCCAAAAGGAATCCACTCTTCACTTGGTCCTAAGACTAAGAGGTGGTATCATTGAACCATCCCTAAAGGCTCTAGCTTCCAAGTACAACTGTGACAAATCTGTTTGTCGTAAGTGTTACGCTAGACTACCACCAAGAGCTACCAACTGTAGAAAGAGAAAGTGTGGTCACACCAACCAACTACGTCCAAAGAAGAAGTTAAAATGATTGAGATGGCTCAGTTGTTTCATCTTATTATATATATAATATCGTTTAATAATTTTTAGATTTATTAATATCTTTTAATGGAATAAAAAATAGGAATTTAAAAAAAAGTTCATTGAGTAGAGCTACTGTAACATATGGTATTGTTGCAGTTGTTTTAACTATGATGCAGCATTTTTATTAAAATGTGTTAACTAAAATAAATAATGTATATGTATATGTATATGAATACCTTTAGGTCTACATATTATGCAAAGTTTGTTATACCCTTTCAGAGTACGAGGTGGATATGTTAGAATATTGTTAATTATTATTGTTGAACGTCTTTCGATGAAGCCGGTTTAGTTTCCTCGTTTGGAGGGGAGGAAACCACCTTCGAAGTTTTGGCTGATGACCTCTCTTTCAAATATTTTGAGTCAGTCTTTTTAACTGGGGGTTCCCAGTCTGGACAGTATTCCTTTATTATAGTCTTCAATTGCGGTCTCTTGATAGGCTTCGATAAGAAACCATCCATACCTGCCTCGATACATTCTTTAATGTTGCTATCATCAGCAAATGCTGTCAAAGCAACGATAGGAGATGTGTAATCTAATTCTTGACGAATCATTCTCGTAGATAATAATCCGTCTATCTTTGGCATTTGAACATCCATAAACACAATATCATAATTCTCATCCTCAGATTTAAGTTCTTTAATTTTATCAAACGCTTCTTGACCATCGCAAGCTAAATCAATTGAATTGATACCTTCCAGGTTCAGCATACGTTTTATAACCTCTTGGTTGACATGGTTGTCTTCTGCAACAAGAATTTTTAGGCTCTTACCGCTGTTAGCTAGGGATGGTATACTTCTGGATGACGTGGCTGTACCCGTACTTTGTAAGAATGGTCTATCTAAATTCAACGAACTTTTTGTGTGATAGTTTTCTTTAGATAAGGCTACCTCATGTAGCTGTTCTGTATTCGTTTCTTTGTCATAGGTTGCATCTTCAAGAGGTGTTTCCTGGACATCTTCCGTGCTTAAGCGGCTAATTCTGGAACTGCTGCCTGCGGTAACAATGGATGACCGAGACTTTCTACTGTTAATACTTCTAGCCACTCTGAATTTAACCTTTCTATTTTTCTTACTCTTGGCATTGAATTCATCTTCAAATGCAGTCTCAATATCATCGAATTGTAATTCTCTAGTTTGTTTTAATGGTACAGTAAACGTAAATTTACTACCAACACCAACATCACTCTTTAATTCCATGGTACCATTCATCATAGTTGCCAGTTGTCTACAGATAGATAAACCTAGACCAGTACCACCATATTGTCTTGAAAGCGTTTGATCACCTTGAACAAATGGTTCAAAAACTGAGTCATGTAAACTCTTATCGATACCAGAACCTGTATCTTCGACTTCTATGGATATAACCCATGTCTTTGGTTCTTTCAATTCGGTACCCTTATCATTATCAATTTCTTCGTACAAATGTGGAGTTTTCTTAAATTGACTATTGAAAACAGTATCATCATAAGAACTTGTACTTACAGAAACTAATGATTTGCTATCTGTTTCGTCGCCCTCTTTATCAGAATCTGTCGATGAATGTCCATCCTCTATTTTATCAGCTTGTTCTTTATTAAGATCAGTACCATCTTGGACATAACTATCTCCAACTTCACCATTATTCAGAATTTGTTTACGACCAACCCTAGAGGTAGATTCATCATCTGGAAATTCTGTCCCATTTTTAACATAAACTTTCTTGTGTTGGAACTTATCGCTTAAGATTGCGTCATACTCACCTAAAAGTTTGATTCTGACATCAACTTTACCATCTTCAGGTGTAAATTTTAATGCATTCGATACCAAATTCATCACAATCTGGATGATTCTATTAGAATCCCCATATAAAATCATTGTTCTCATGATATTTGGTGAAAGAATAATAGAAAGACGAACATGTTGATCCTTGGCAATCTTACCAAAGATGGACTTAATTTGTAATGCAACATCAGTGATGCAGAAGTTTCTTTTCTCTAGCTTTGTTCTTCTTAAAACATTTTTCGAAAATGTAAGAAGTTCAGTTAGGATATGTAATAGAAGTTCACCAGATCTAAAGATAAGTTTCAAACTGTTTTTGATTTTATCCATATCCTCTTCCTCCATTGAAATTGCAGCCATACCTAAGATACCGTTTAATGGGGTTCTTAACTCATGTGAGATATTAGCTATAAACACTGTTTTTGCTTCATTTGCAGTTTCTGCTTCAATTTTAGCAGCCTCTAATTGTTTTGTTCTAGCTCTAACACGGTCTTCCAGCAATGCATAATGCTGATCTAATGCATCTGTCATGGTATTGAATGTTTCTGTAAGGTCCGAAAGTTCATCAGAAAATAATGTTCTCGAGAATGGTACTCTAGCTTCAATTAGATTAGTCGAGGTTGTGAGGTTTCTAGACTTATTTGATAATCTTTCGTTAGAATCTGTTGTCATACTGTGAGCTTCTTTATTTGATGAGGCGTCATCTAGAGGAGATATAGGATGTAAGTTACTCCCATCTATGTGGTGTAGGCTATCAGCATGCATAGATGCTGCTAATGACGACGACGTCAAATGGACCTTTTCATTCACACTGTTGTTAAAATTTTGGTCATTTCTATCAAATTTTAGATTTCCTATTATACTATTGGAGAAATGGAATCGCGATGATTGGAATGATGTTCTTCTTATGGAATTATTGCGACTGGCGGATTGGCTTCCAGGTGAATTAGTTCTTAGACCTCTACCTTCGGTTATTAATTCAGTAGCCTTCTGTAATCTTACAATAGGTTTGACAGCCCAATGTGCTAAGGGAAACGTGACTACAATCACAAAAACGCCTATGGCCACTACTGTTCCTGCAATAATTTTTGCCAATTTAATCGATTGCGATAAGAATACAGATTCGGCTTGAGATACAATGGCAACCCAATTCACTAGCGGAAAGGTACAGGGGGAATAACCAACAGCAACATTATTCGAATAAATAATAAACTTCGTACTCTTTACAGAACCAGCTCTACCAAGCCTAAAAGCCGAGTTTAAGAAAGTCCCATTTACCAGAGCAATTTCTGTTGATATTATATCAGATGGTGTCCCCTGTGGTGGGAATACAAAATGATAACCAGTAAGATATCCTGAGCTATTCCTCACTGATGATAGTACGGCAACATTTGATTTCTCCAATGCAGTAGTATCCTTGAAAACACCATATGCACCTTGAGCTGACATAACAATGGTGATGTATCCATAAACTTTACTAACGTCGCTTAAAATAATGGATGGATTGGTAAAAATTGGTAGAGACATGGACATCAAGTAATCTGTACCATTTTTAACTGGATCGGTAAGTATACCCTCTGAGTCCAGTGAAGAAGGTAGAGAGATATTTGTTGATAATGGAAATAACTGCGATAAAACTGAATCTGGTATCTGATCACCTGTAGAATTATTTGTGGCGTTCATGACTGTCGAAAAAGTCGAATCATACACTCTAGAAGCATAAAATAAATTCGAAGAACTTAAGAATTTTTCAACAACACTTAGAGAATCTACCCAATTACTCTCGGATTTATTTCCTGCAACATAATTTGCCAGACTTTTCTGTAAAGTATCTCTTGAAGATAAGTAATAACATTGATAAAACAGATAGTTCAAAGTTTGGGTCAGTTGAGATGATTTAAGTTGTGCAGCAATATACAGACGATTAGATCTCAAATCCTTATAATTTGATGTAAAATAAACACCTGTGGTGATTGCCAAAATAACCAACGATAAAATGGCAACAAGACTAACTAGTGCTGTTAACTGAGTTCTTATACTAACCTTATATGGAGGTTTCGGAGAAAACCTTCTAGGTATTAGTTTAGTTAAGGAATGTAACATAAGTTTGTCATGTATTGATGAACAAATATAAATAGTTTGGTTATGATAGACTGAATACCGTGCTTGGTAGTATGTGCTGTGATCCAATATTTAGTTATAGGGTATTTATATTATTGTTGTTGATTGGAACAATTTATCCTTATTATTGGTGAGTTGAGAACTTCTTCTCGAACATAATATAATTATGTTTACTGTGGGACCATTTGTAGATGTGCGTGCTATCGTAAAATTTTATAATTGGAGACTGACATAGCCTCGCCGCGTCAAATTAAAATACCAAAAATATATAACTTTAACGCGAAAGGTTGTTGGATAGTATTCTCTTTCTGTCCGGTCATCAAATATGAGAGCAATCCAAGGTTATTTGATTACCACTATTTTATCTCAAAGAAATATTTTGCATTTCTTTGAGAACTTTTAAGTTTTTTGGAACATTTGATTTGATTTTATAAAATTAGAATAAAAGATATGTATGTAGTTTAATAATTTTATGTAGAATATTATTACCTGAAGTTTTAAGAATGGCATTGTTTTTTAAAAATGAAAATAAAAATCATAGCTTTGGGGAATAAGCTATTAATATGGCATAACATTTTATTTAGGATTTTCAGAGCGCAATAGAATTTTGTACATTAAAGAAGAACATATCCTAATGCGAATAATTTACTCTGGTTGTTTTCCTGGTTGTAACCAACAGACAATTTTCTGTCCTTTGAGATCACGCCGTACATTTCTTCAAAAAATGTTAAACCTTTATTGAAATTTTCTTTTAAAACTGAGCCAACATTTTCCACAAAATGCAAACCATGTTTTACAACTTTGAATGATTTTGTATATATTCCATGGCTGTCTGGATCTAATTCTTTATCCAAGAATTTTAATAACCTTTTCAAAATCGATGATGATGAATGTGAAGTAACGTCAGCGATTGTTTTGATATCTTTGTTATTGGGATGTATGTAAGTACTTGTAGTACATACGATCCATCTTAGTACATTAAAATATGATAAACAATACCCAACACCGACCCCTACCGATAAAGAGACACCCCATATAAACCATTTATTTTCCGTAACGGACTTATATTTATGATTCGTACTTTTGCTTTGTTTCCTCTTTCTTCTATCTTTCTTTTCTTGATGCGATAAAATGTATTCATTTATCTTATTACCATTTTGATACTGTAGTTTTTTTAATCTCTTATTAGTTGTAGAGTCCCTTGATTCTGAAGAATCAGAATAATCAGAAGAAGATTGTGAAGTATAAACATATACTGAGCTTGATACTTTTCTTTCTCTCTGTGTTGTAGTTTGCTCTTTGATAAATTTTTGTTCAAGACCTGTTAAAAACAGAAGTAATTTGTTTACGTCTTTGTCATTTGAGAACACTATAGGTGTGTACATAACATTGATCAGACTTCTTCTTAGATATGAGTTTATTATATTTTTGATCTGAAGAAGATTATCACTATCTAAAGTAATAGTGGCAATGGGAATATTATTTTTAACTTTTTGGGAAACTTTGTTCAACATGCTCATTAGTTCACTTGCTTCTTCTATAACTATTAGTATTCCGTTGTATTCAATATATTCATTACTATCATAACTTCTTGGCAAATAAAAAATGTGTTCATAGGTTGCAGGTATAGATTTATAAAATTGTAAACCAATCCTTCCCAGAATAAGGATTTTAAAGTTTTTCCTTTCAGTATTCTTAGAACATTCACCTTTTCTAGAGATAGAAAGTTTTGGCATAACAAAGGAACCAGATGAAGATGATACACTTTTTGTTAGAGTGACACTATCTTCTTCATTAAATTGATTAAATCCGATAGATGGTAATTTTGATTTTGCCGATACTTGATGAAAATCAAATTGATTATTTTGGGATGATTCCAACTGGCTAACATTTAGTCTATTTGAGCTAATACATTTGAGTAAAGTAGTGTTTCTAGTTGGAGATTGATTGTCTTTCTCATTCTTCAAGATCGAAAACTTGTTAGGAGAAGGAGAATTTTGAGGATCTAATTCTTCTTCTGAAGTGTCACTGGAAGATAAAATTCCGACTGTATTTGTTTGTGATGTACACCTTTCCACTTGACATGAATTTGTTATATCATTCTTTTGGATGGCGAACCATGATTCTGGAAGTTCTTGCTTATCTAGTTGATTGTCTTCCTGTATTGCCTCTTCGAGTGTCAATGGTCTCTCTGTTATAGTTTTGGCAGAAGTTTCTCCAGATATATTATTCGGATCATTGATGGAACGTTGCGTTTTATTTTCATTTTGACACTCACCTGATGAAATAGGTAAAATATTATGACTTCTCTCCAGTAAGTCATATATAGAATGGTGAGGGTCTAAAGAGTTTGTGTTATTATTCATCTTATCCTTTTCTGAACGTTTCTGATAAACTGACATATTTTGGGGGAAGGCGATGTAAACTTATATCAGGTAAATTTAATAAAATGTATATTGAATACCTTATTCCAGTAAAAGAAGAAATGTTAGTAACGTGGTAATTCTAATCTTATGCCACTTTTCTTGTTTTCCCTTTTCGTGAAAAATTTACTAAACAGTGGATATGTAAATATACTAATAATGATTTGGAGTTTTCAAATCTCACCCTAACGTTTGTGCCACTTTTATTTTTGGGTGTCACTTAATAAAAAGTACCTTATATCTCACTTTATTGAAGAGATAAATAGAAATATATATGTGTCCCAAATTGTAATGTTTAACCTTGGGTGCAACTATACCAACACTATAATATATGTGGGTATGTGAGTTACGATACGAATAGATGATAGCACAGATATGGATGTGTATTGTGTTCTAATAATGGCTATATATAACTTCTCCATTATCCGATTTTGTTCTTAAATAAAAATCTCCCCTAAAATGTGTTGATTATTTTGTTGGGGGAAGTGCAGCCACACCAACTACTAACCACAACACCGCGTATTATTTAGAGCTCTGTGTGTGTTTTGCGCATCGTCTGTCACACTTGATAAGCGCCACTAAATAGGGAAATTTGATTATCTCCTGGGGGGAAGCAGGGTTGGGGTATAAAAGCATGGAGGTTTATAAAATTAGTCGTATATTGTTTTAATCTTCCCATGTAAGAACTCCTGTTACTTAAATAGCCACTATTAGGCAAAGAATTGCTTCCACTATGGGCACATTTTTATACTGGGTATTATTTGGAAGGTTGCCATATTTACTGCCGATAACACTTATTTTTTTGAGAACAGTGTGGAATACGACTCCTAGGAAGTATGGGGAAGGGACAACCCTTCTGGAACTGCTTCTTTTCTAATTTTGTTTGTAGGTCATTTAACATTTCTTTTAAGTGGTGCTTTTTTAGCTCTGATAGATATTGTACTAACTGCTGGTTGTGTTTCTCCTTGCTGGGCCATTGTTCATATATTCAGAATTTTATCGATATGGTACCAAGAGGAATAATAGTCTTTGTTATGTATTTAATGCCAGAACGTGCGACAACTTTTGAGTTCCAATTCTGAAGATTATTATTGTTCATAGAAGCATGCTGCATTGCTTTGTCTAATTATAATAATACATCTCAATTCATTATTTACAATGTTTCGTTTTATATTTGATATGCTTCTTTCGACTGTTGTCGATACCAAAACCATCATATTGGAGAGTTCCTGATTATTATGGCGTACCAATTCTTGAATATGTTTCCATCAAATATGTGGAACTTTCAATTGGTTATGTAACAGGTACTTTATATGCAGTAGACTATATATCTGTCTCAACGTCTTGTACTATTTTGGTAAGTTTTTTCAATCTCTAGAGAAGCGTTTAATACGAACACCGCCAACAATCTTGCTCAAGCTTGCCTATGTACATGTACGAATTTTATTTTATATAACCGATATTTACATTACGATATTATCTATCAATCTGACAGTATTTTTACTAATCTTATCGAGGACGTTAACAGCGCAACTAATGACGATCTTGTCGTTCGGTCCAACGGTATCTAATTCATTCAAAGTATAGAAGTCTGCAATGGATATATAGTCAATCTTAAAGTCACCTGTTGCGGTGTAAGGCTCCCATACTGTCTTAATCTGTTGCAACAGGGCGTCTCTGTTGACGGACGAGCCCGTCGCGATGATATCAGTTATAGTGGTCTGTGCTAATGAAAGACCTCTGTATATGTTTGACGCCATAGTGACATATTCAGCAGATAAATATTTATTTCTACTGCTTAAGGCCAAGCCTGAGTCATTTCTTACAATGGGGACCATAGTCAATTTGGTATTAACGAATAATTCTTTGACCATAACGTTTAATACAATATATTGTTGAATATCTTTTTGTCCAAAATATGCATTATCGGCCATGACAATGTTGAACAATTTAGTCACTACGGTAGTAACGCCTCTAAAGAAGTTTGGTCTAGTTTTCCCTTCCAACATCTCGCTGACACCGAGAACACTGACAAATGGGCCTCTTTGTTGGTCGATATCTAGCGGGATACCTTGTGGATACATTTCCTTGGCAGAGGGGGCAAAAAGAACATCAACGTTCAGGGACTCTAGCAATTCGATATCTTTGTCGGGAGTACGAGGGTATTGATCCAGATCCTCGTCTGGGGCAAACTGCGATGGATTCACAAATATACTCACCGCTGTAAAATCGTTGTTATTCACAGATTGTTTAATCAAAGTGGCGTGACCATTATGTAGACAGCCCATAGTGGGGACAAACCCAATTGTCTTACCACGACGATCGATCGTGGTTGTTCTCCATTGAACGACTTCCTGGATAGTATGTAGAATCTTCATTTTCAATTGCACCTAAATCAATTTTTCGATGTTTCGTTGTTTCGTTCTTTGGTGCTACTGGTCTCAAACTATCCCTAATAAATTACAGCCCTCACAGAGACACTAGAACCTTCCACACACATATATATACCTACATCGGTCAGGACAATTAAACTTCACAGTACATACTACTGCTAGCTGCATGTGAAAGTGTGCACTCCAGTTCGCCCAACTCCCCTCGACCTCTAAGTGGATGACTCTTCTTGCTCATCGAGGCACAGCGACAACTTTTTCACGAAATTTTCCATCGCCGTCGCTGCACTCATTTTGGCTGTTCAGTGGGGAGGTGTGAATTGAACCGTATTTGTTGTGGAAGGGACACGACTTTTCGGTGATTATGGGACGTCAGGATGCTAAATGCTGGATCAGCATGTTGAAAGTTCTCAGGTTTGATGTTGTTGTCTGTGTAATGTGAAGATTGTGTAGACACTTAACTCTATAGGAAGATGTGTTGTCTCTGTGCTCTCCACGTGACCTGGAGAGAAACCCAGTAGAACAGTTCGATTTGTAAGCTGGAAATTTTTACGACAGGCGATTCGCGATTTAAAAGGGTAAACAAATCAAAACAAACAATAAACAAACAAAGAAGAGCTTGTCACATATACATCTAGTAACTCTATTTTGGTAATATATAGAAACGCATACTTATTCTCTGATAGATAGTATTCGGTTCTAAATTGTGGCTTTGATAATCAATAGTAGAGCAAAAAGTATAGGATACTTGAATATCCCTCTACGTACATATATATATTTCAGCTCTTTTTATTTTTCTGACAATTTTATTAAGATGAGCAGTAATTCTAGAGTGGGAGCTAGTCAAATCCCTAATCCATTTCAATCGGCGGGGAATGTTTCTTTGGGATCCATTCCATCAGCTGCAACATTTAGGCATGAATCACAAATACCTTTGCCCTCATTCTCTCAGCCTACTGTGAGTTCTACATTACAATCACAAGAACGAGAAACTGCAACAAATTTACCCGTAAGAAGAAATAGTGTGAATTCAACATCGGGACTTGCAAATATGATGAATAAGAGCCTAAATAAACAAAATACTCAGGTGCAAAGTTCTAATTTAAGGAAAAGATCTAGGACCACTATGATCACGAATGAACAGGAGGCGAAACAGAATGATGCCATGATACCCAATACAAGAAGAAAAAGTCTTCCCAGTAGATCGAATAACGAAATTTATACCAATCCTGATAGGAAACCATCTCGTTATTCAAATCTAGGCTTGGCTCCAACTACAGATTTCTTAAGAAATGAATCTCAATATTATAATAGTAGTAATAATAATAACAGTACCTTGACTAATAGAGATACAAGACCCTTGAGAGATAGAAATTTTCAACAAGCAATTCAAGAGGAAATTATTAACTACCTGATTAAAAATAAATTCGATATTGAAACCAATCACCCTGTGTCTATTAAATCATTAAAACAACCCACTCAGAAGGGATTCCTAATAATATTTAAATGGTTATATCAAAGAACAGACCCCGGTCATAAATTTAACAAATCAATTGAATCTGATGTATATCAAGTCTTGAAAAACTTACAATACCCTTATTTAGAATCGATCAATAAATCACAAATAAGTGCCGTAGGTGGTTCATCCTGGCATAAATTCCTCGGGATGTTACATTGGTTAGTTAGAGTCAATATGAAACTTGATCAAGTGACGGGTAAAATGGATGATGTGATTGAGAATCAACCCACACAGGAGATGATATCGATTAATAAACCTGTCAAGACTCTGGATGAACAAAACCATATCCAGGAAAAATATGAATTAATGGTGGAAAATTTGTTTATTAGTTATATCACTGAATCTTACAAGAATTTTTTAAATGTTGATGATAATTATGAAGTACCAATGGAAAAATTAACTTTAGGATTTGAAAAATTTACTCATATCATAGAGAGTGATGTTTATAATTTAAATTCACAAAATGAAAATTATTTTAAGAAATATCAATACGTTCAAAAGGTAAGTGAAAGATTCACAACATCGATGGAAAAATTTAATGCTCTAAAGAATGATTTAGAAAAATTTAAAAAATACATTGATTCGATGGAAGTCAAATCTCAGGAGTGGCCTAAAAAATTAAAGAAAATGAATGAAGAATTAATGAAAAAAAAAGATGATGTTACAAATATTGAGACAAACATTCGTGAAATTTTAAGAACATTGGATCTTAAGGGTCTCTCCGTAGAGACAATAGATGACAGAAACAAAGAAAAGACACAGCTTCTGGAAAAGTATGACACAATAACTGACAATTGTGATAGATTAACAGGTATAATAAAGACCAAAAAATATGAAAATAATGGATTAGTACGAAACTTAATTAGTGTACAGAAACAATACGAGTTATCCTTAGATAGATTCTTTCAGGAGAGATCAGAGACATTCGGTATAAAAGAAAATAATGAAACTAAGAATAAGTTCCAAATAAAGATTAATGAATCGAATTTAACAAATGTCGATGAATCGATCCAAGTCAAACATAGTGATTTATCTGATGGTCAATATGGTCCCTTAGCAACTTCACTATTAGAGAGTCAAAAAGAAGAATTCCAAAAACTTTTACAAGAAATTAACTTGAAAAGTGAAAAGTTGAATATTGATAATGATATAATTAAGGAAAAAATCTTAGATCTTCAAGATGAAATAAAACTAAAAAATGTAGAATATCAAAAAAGAGAAAAGACATTATCTGAATTGAAATCACAAATCGTTTCGCAGAAACAAAAGAATGAAAGTAATTTGGTGATCCAACGGATCGAACTTGAAGAACTTCAGAACAGAAATCAAAGAATTCTTAAAGATATGGAAAGACGTGTAAAAGATGCAGAAAATCAGTTACAAGAAAAAGAGAGAGAATTGGAGACGTGGAAATTGAATGCTGCTTCAGAATCTACCCAGTTGAAACAAAAGACACAAGAGATAATAGGACATTCAGTAGATTTTAAAACTACAATTGAAAAATCGATTATTACAACGAAGGAAGATATCTTAAAGGCACTTCAGGAGATAGAAGAATTTAAATTAAATAAATAGCTGCAGAAATGATACTACTTTTGAAGTAGTAGTTAAATAGAATTGTCAATTGTGTTTATTTTTTTTTTATTTTATTGAGTTATTATTTAAAATAAGTATGCAGATGTTATATATGAATGGGAATTAAAGAAAGAAAGAAAGTTCTTTTAAAAAAAGTAATGTTGTTGTTTTTTAATTTTTGGTATTTTCTAGTTTGTTTTTGTTTTATAATTTTTAATTTTTAACTTGAAAATCTATGCAGAATGTTTTAATATTGGAAAAAGTATCCCATGGTGGTTCGATACAATAAATCTAAATTATTTCTTTAGGTTGTTGTAATACATTTTACGGATTAAAGGATGATGTTCCTTCAATTCCTTGTTCTTGTTGGTACTATATTCCATATATGCCATATCTTCACCACCAGCTAAACCAGCTAGTGAACCTTCACCTCTGACTGCCTTAGACTTAAATCTCTTATGAATGTTAGAACCACGACCAATAGAATTGTCAGCATCATCACCAACTTCAAGGCCAGCAGCTTCTTCATTCTTTAATAGAACCTCTTGCAACAATTCTCTACGTTCTCTTGCAGAAGCATAGGCCAAATTAGGTAGATTTTCCATACCATGTAAATGTGTGATGACCTTAAATGCGTAACCTTGATCAACTAAGAAAGCCTGTCTCTTTGTTGAGTAGTACATTTCTTGGGTATCCTTGGATACTAATGAGTAAAAGAATGCGTTGAAACCTTGATCATTACGTCTCTTAGCTCTTAGAATTCTACCCAATCTCTGTGCTTCTTGACGACGGGAACCATAATGAGAGGATATTTGAATCAGACAAGTAGCTTCTGGTAAATCAATAGAGGTATCACCAACCTTTGATAAAAATATAGTATTAATTTGGTCGTTGTATTGGAAGTTTTGCAAAATATTCATACGTTCTTGTTGTGGAGTAGAACCATAAATAAATGGTTTACCTAACTTTAGAGCGTATTCCTGTAGCGCATACACATTATCTGAAAAGACAATAATTTTATCACCTCTTCTTTCGTGATATTGAATCAAAAATTGGCATGCTTGGAATTTTGTAGGATTCATAATGTATAGAAGCATTCTCTTTCTTGCAGATTCTCTTAAGTATTCTTGGTAAAATTCTGCAGTCATTGGACACCATACTTCTGCACATTGAACATTAGCAATATGACCTTTTTGTGATAGTTCCATCCAGTTGGCTTCGTATAATTTTGGACCAATTAAGAAATTCAAATCACTAATTTTATCATCTTCTCTGACTAATGTAGCAGTCAACCCAAGCTTAGCGTGTGCAGCAATAGTAGAAACGACTCTACGGAACATAGCTGCTGGAACGACATGAACTTCATCAAGAATAATGAACCCCCATTCTCTACCGGTTAAAAAATCCATAACTTTTTGGGAGTCATGAGATCTATTTCTTGTATTAGCAACCATGGAATATGTAGAGACGACAAGACCAGATTCTGTTTGGAACATTTCTTTATTATCTGAAGTGAAAACAGCACAATTCTCTGGTTGTAAAGTACACCATTGCAAAAATTGTTGTCTCCATTGCATAACAGAGACAGATGATGTACATAGAACAATCACAGACTTTTTGATGGTACATGCGGCAGTAATACCAACTAAAGTTTTACCTGCACCACATGGTAAAACAATAATCCCACTTCTTGCACGACCATTACCAAACATCTTACTTAAAGACTTCTCTTGGTATGGTCTAATTTGGGTAGATGGTTTCAAATCGATATCTAGATCAGGATTACGATGATCATTTCTGAAATCATATTCTTCTAAAACTGGATAATCAATCTCTTGACATCTTTTCTTCACAATTTCAACAGCTTCGTTACCAATTTCAAAAGCGTGGACTGCATCCAAATCGTCTTCGTCTTCATCTCTTTCATTATCACCACCTACAACAGCGCTAAACATTGCTTCGACATCATTTGGGTTGACATTAGCTTTTGTATCAGAAGTTTTGGTATCATTTGCTTGATCCTGTTCACCATCCATTTGTTGCTGTTCACTATCAATTCTTAATGGACCAATAATTGAATCTCTTAATAGCATTTGTAAAATATCGGCCTGTGTGGTTTCAACGAAATATCTGTTATGTTTGATAACTAGTTTAACCTTACCATACGAGACAGTAGCACCTTTAATGAAATCAATGATTGATTGTGCAACAGGAACTTTGGATAATCTATCTAACACAGAAATAATATCGTCAGTTTCAAGCCCCACAGATACAGCTGCATATAAAGAATACGCTGTAATCTTATATTCATGGATATGAGATGGTCTACTGATAGGTTCAGCTATAGTAACTAAGAAATCCTGTGCTTGTTCAGCCAAAGGTGAGAAACTTTCTAGAATAATTCTACCATCACTTGGAGAAATCCAAATAGGTCTCGAAGAATGATCAGGTCTTAATTTCAAATAACTGAAGTCATGAGATCTAAACATACCTGAAACAGTATCTGGTTGGAAATCTGCCGGAATATCTGTATTTGCATGGCTTAGAAAACTTTGATCCTTTTGGGCTAACATATTCATTGCATCATTTGCAGCTTTCTTTCTTGCCCTAACAGATCTGTTAGGTTTCTTCACAGGATTTGCACCGTTATGAGTACTAACAAACCCATCATTCTCGGCCTCGTTAACAAATGTATCATCATTATCAATATTATCTTCAACAACAGATTCATCGGTAACAGAAGATTCATCATCAGAAAAGAACGATTCGCTCATCTTTGGAAAGACTCTAGCAGTACCTTCACTAGTCTTTGAGGTATCAACGTCAGTCATACTTGTTGGTTTTCTAGTATCTCTATTACTAAATAGAAGGGTAATTATCTAATAACGATAGATTAGAAGTCTTTGATAAAAAAAATTAATATTTGGAACTTATATTATATAAGCAAACGTCAATAAGGTAAATACTTCTCCTAAACTATTAAAATTAAAACAAAGCTGGGAGTTTTCAACTACTAAACACTTGAAAGCTTTATCGATGTTATGTTCTGTTATAACTTGATAAATATTTTCTGTATTTGTGTAGTTACCGTTTCTATTCAGGGTTATAAATCAGAAATCTTCCACAGATATAACTTGTTTGATAGTCTCGATTTATATATGAAATGTGTTCCATTTTCACCTCTTCAACCTTAGTAATGATCCATAAAGGTAATTTTATATCCTTTTTTTCTTCTTCTCAGTTATGAAAATGGCTTCAGCTGACTAAAGACCCTAGGGCTAAAATAGGGTTTCGTCTTTAACGATCGTCCGGGTAATGCTATTTTGAAACCAATTACTAAAGTGCCAGCTCTTGAACCAGGAGTATAAGAACTTGATTTCTGTACAGTGATACTTAATATTTTACCCATCAAGACTACAATATCAAGAATTCAAAAATATTTTCGAATTATTGATAGAACTTATTTGAAATACTAAAGCATAGAAAGTACTACGCCATAGTGGCACATATTTGATAGTTAAACTATAAGATGTTTCAACTATGTATATTACTATTGTTGGTTTAAATGTACTTAAATATACCTTTATATTTCAGATTGTCTTTCAAGTGTGATTCACACTACGAAATTACGAATTAACTTTATCCAGACAACTAAATTGCATTAATTAGATTAGACGAAATAAATAATAAGAAGTTATGTGTATATCTCTAAAATCTTAAAGTAATAGAATGATCGTTCCATCCTACTTTTTATAATTTTGCCAGTTTAATCGGACCATCTTTTACTCTCTCATTTTTAAACAAAGCAAACTGTTCTTCGAACAATTTCAACCTATAGCGGTCATTATCCTTATTAGGGGTACGTTTTCTCATATTCATTTTAAAATTATCGACAAATTTATTGACACAGTGAAAAATTTTCGTTAAACACTCTCCAGGATCTTCTAAATTTAGTAAATGGTCACCATCGGGAATTATATCTTTTTGATATTTAGGAATCTTTGCTACTAATAATTCTTGGTTTTGTGGGGGACACCAAGTTGACTTTCCACCGACAATTCCGTAGACAGGAGTATTAATGTATGGCAAGGAATCGATCAACCACTTAGCTGTGGGATCTAACGTTAAATAGCAGATGATATTTTGTTGTTGGGAAATTTTTGTTCTAATTATTCCTTCAGCTGTATGAACAGCTTCAAACTGGATCATCCTCTCTATTATTTCAGCGTTTGCATTTTTATAAAAGCTTCGTTTTTTCATAAATTTCTTAAAATCATTCATATCTTTAAATTTATCTTCCATTTTATTCCAAAGTGCCTCGTAAAACCTAGGTGGAACAATCGTTACATTCAATTTATTTTCTACATGCGGTACGTATACCACTGGCTCTATCACAATGATGAGGTCAAAGAGTGTGGGTGAAAGAATACCACATGATAATGCTTGAAATCCTCCCATTGAATGACCGACAATAACATTAACACAATTTGACATACGTTTGGGTAAAAATTCTTCTTGGGCAACTTTACAAGCGTCTCTAGCTCCATCTGCCCAATCGAAATTGGTCCCCAACAAGTTTCTATTAATTTCAGCAGAATCACCATGTGTAACTTGGTCAAGTGTAATCATTTTATTGATTTGCCATTTTGTATTATTATCAAAATGCTTTGACATGTAGGCAATATAATATTCCCATACAGATCTGTTCATGCCACTACCATGAAGAAACATAAAATTTATCAGACAAGTATCGGAATTCCGTTTATTTGAACCTGCAGAATAAGTAAACACATCGTAAACCAATTGTAATGTATCACTTTCTTCAATTAATGTTGCATTTTTTGATCGTGAAGCGACAGCCGCCGTTGTCTTTGTTTCCTTTTTGAATAGAGTGCTTATAATTGATTCCATTTTCTTGAAGAATTGACCTAACAGTGAACACCTCGAAACTCTACAAATTTTATTTGAGAAAAATAATCATTGTAATTAAAAGAAGCCCTAAAATATTTTGATATGTTACTTGTATTTATACCTCGTCATTATCTGAGAAGTAGTAGGAAAATTGGTGTTTATTTCCCCACTTCTTTGTATATAGTCCGGTTTTTATATTGTTTACTTCCGTGAGTCAACGAAATAAAAAATAAAAAATGAGAAAGTAAAGAAAGTTCAATATACGTCATTTTATTTGATAAAATTGACACATTACAATTTGATAATTATAAATTAGATTAGATTATTAGAGAATTATAGATTATTATATGATTAGAGAAAGCATACACCGGCGAAATGCTGTGATATTCGTGGCTCTTTATATATATATAGTACAAACTACTGTCCAGTTTGAAATGTAAATGTGAAAATAAAGGAAACAGAAAAAAAAATAGTGATAGTAATAAAAGGATCAGAGAGTAGTGAATTGCCCAGTTTGTGTAGTACCTGAAGTTGATGCAGAAGCTATTAAGATAGCAGATGTTTTAAAGAAAGAGATAAGGATAGAAAGATGTAGTCATTTTTTGAGTTGTTTGAACTCTAATTTGATATACTATTATCAGAGTCATCTACTTCTGTATCATTTTCTGTATCTTGTGTACTGTTATCGTTGAATGATACAGTAGGTTTGGATTTCTTTGGTGAAGATAATGACATTAATGTTTCTATAGCGGCTACTTCAGTTGCACCTTCTTTTTTCTTTGGTTGGATTTTAGAGTTATCTTCAGTCTCCTTTGAAATTTCTTTAAAGGGTTCTTTAACTTGATTTGAAGGTTTTCGAGAATCCTGAGACCATTTTAAAGGTGATGAAGATGAGTTGTTGTCTATATTATTCTTTTGTGATGTCATATTTCCTGATTTTAATATCCTACTTGAGTCGCTCAAAGTTGAAGAAGAAGATGGTAAACCATGGTGTGATTGTACTTGACCTCTTGCAGGTGATGACAGTGCTTTCATAAATGCTAAACGAGCAGAATTTGTGCTATCTGATCTTTCTTCATCCTGTAAGTTATCAGTGTCTTCATCCATATTGATTCCATTACCATAAGCAAACTTATTTGTGTATGAACTTGAAATGGAATGAGCAGGAGAAAGATGAACTGATCTTTGTGGACTAAAATGAGAATTTTGTAAATGTTGTCTTTGTTGAATTAAAGTTTGTTGTCTATCTAATTCATTTTCTAATTCTGGTAAAGTACGATCCACCCAGCCGTTTTGTAATTTTACAAAAGCATAATTTAATCTTGTCTTTAAATTATTAGATATTTCTCTTATTGGTTTATTTGATTCCTTATAGATACTTGGTGAAGTGATATGAGGAGAAGGAGATAAGAAAGTTTCTATATTTCTTGATTTTGGAGTAGTTGGTGGTAATAGACGTGTACTTCTAGATGTAGGTGAGAAAGGTATGGCTGCTTCATGTTGTTGTTGTTCTTCTTCTTCTTCTTCATTATCACTAGAATTATGTGATCTTAATTTCTTATGAGATAGTACCTGTTGTTGTTCCGACAAATTATTTAATGAATTGAATTTAGGGGTCGCTAAGAAACTCATTGAAGCTGACGATCTTCTAACTTTATTTGGAGGTGAGGGAGTCATTGGATAATCCATATCGTTGTTGTTGTTATTATTGCTGGTATTGTTTTGTGAATGACGAGGAGTCCTTGTATTATCGTTCTGATTCCGAGGACTGTTCTTCAAAGAAGATGAGGAGTCGTCATTGCCATAACCCTTTGGAGACATCATAGTGAGATAATTTGAATGTTGTTGTTGTTGTTGTTGTTGTTGTGGATGTTTAATATTGATACGATCGGAATCTCTCAATGATAATTCACTAAGTGGCTGTTGTTTTTTATTTATAACTTTCCCTTGCATTAAAGCCAAAAAAAAAGAGACTCTATTATTATTAACTTTTTAAAAAGGGAGAAAAAAAGGTAACAAAGTTCTGTAAATAATAAACGAGGTAGGATTCTATTCTCTCTGTCTCTTTTTATCTTAATGAGGAAGGAAAATAAAAGTATGTATAGGGGGAGTTGGAGAAGGGTTGTTATTATGTTCTGTCACTAGTAATATTTAATTCAAACCGTCCTTTGATACTAGTTAATGCCTAGTATATTGCAGTAATTATGAAAAATGACAAAATATATATATAAATAGACAGATAGTTCTCACTTTTTAAAAATCCTTTCGTGTGTTTAGGAGTTATAAAACCAATATTTAAAAATAAAATTAGACCACACACACAATTCGCAGATAATTAATAATGCAAATAAATTTGTAATCACACCTGTTGTAGATTAACCGAAGAACCTCTTTGGGATAGCAGTTTCCTAAACAGTTCAATCGGTATTTAAAATGGCTTGCCACGCAACGAGCATACTTTATCCTTTGGGTAATAAAAGTTATTATATCATAATTTGTCAAAATATGACAAATTTACTGAAAACAAGAAAGAAAACCATCCCATCAAAGGAAGAAAAAAACTATCCTTGTTCCGTGTCTGCTCAATCTAAAATTAGCTCTCTGTCTGCGTATATCTCCGCAGAGCAAACAGCAACCACCGAAACAGAAAAAAGAAAAAATGGCGCACGCGGAGAAGCGAACGGTCCACCATTAGTCGTTTTGGCTGTGGTGGGCGGGTGCGCACTATAGCAAAAAATGGCAAAAAACAATTTTATTGCGAGCCTTGCGATACTTTCACGCTGCATGATAACGGCCGCGATTAGGTAAATTCTTGGCCTGGGAGAGTTTTACCCTTTTGGGTGCTGTTGTTATGGTAAAGGGAAACGGTCGCCATGGGCACCCCAATTTGTTTAGTTGGTTTGGGATGAGAGGAGTTGCCTGACATTTGCGAGTTTTTAGGATGTCAGTCTGTTGTATTTGAGGAATAAAAAAAGAGAAAATGGTGTTAAATGCTTGGTGTGTTTTGTCCATTTGTTTCTCTTATTAAATATTAGTTATATATACATATGTATATATATTGCTATATACATACGTGAAGTGGTGTGTGAGTGTGTGAGTGTGTGAGTGTGTGAGGTTAGCTGGATAATTTTAATTTATTATTGAGCTAATTTTTCTACACTTCGAAGATGCCTTGTTCGGCTAAAGTCTCTAGGTTGTGCTCTTTGCAAATGGGTATGGTGTCGTTGATAAGTGTATATCCTCTTGTTATTAAAGTGTTGCATACATAGCATTGCATGCACGCCATATGGAAGCGTTCATTCTTATGATTTTCTAAGCATTCACCTTCGACTATACCATGACATATATTGCAAAGACTACCATTGTGTTCGTGATAATGTAATTGGCAGTATGGCTCATCCTCGTATACATAGCATTGATTGTGTCTATCTAGTGTCTTTGAACAGTCTGTACACTTGAAACAGCTACGATGCCATTGTCCGTGTAATTCTTCTGCATATATTGGTCTTTTAGGCCTGTTTTGCTCGAATGGCTCAGTTGTGACAATCTCCTCATGACAAAATCTACATGGTCCTGTCCCTGTAGGCCATTCCACATTGTCATTTATATTACTCCTAGTGCTACTGCTAGTAGTAGTAGTATTATGACTTATGTCTGATTGGATACCTTCTGGAAGGACTGTGGATTGACTTAGGTTTGCCACTAATGATTCGGTAGAGTCTAAAAAAATAGGTTCATACCCTTTGAAGTTTTGGAATGGTATCGTTGGTTCTTCAACGGTCATACCTGCATCCAGCATTGTAATAGATTCATCTGTTAACCCAGTAGGATCCATTAACGTGGGTACAATATTTTCATTTATTACTGTCTTTTGTTTTCGGTTTAATGGTGAACCTTCTTGTAGAATACATCGACTTAAATCGACTAATGTACCCTTCGCTGTGATAGGTGTATGATCATCTGCTGTGACATAATCCACTAGGGAATCAACTCCGTCCAGATCCTTCTTTAATCCAGCATCTACCTTATTTGAATCTGTTTGGAAAAAAATGTTATTTTTTTGCATTTTTTTCATTGTTAATAAGGGAGGGGAAGGTGGAGGTGTCCCTTCCATTGTATCTCTCTCTACAATGATTGAACCCATGTTTGCTCTTAAAGCAGCATTTTCTTGTGATTCAAATAAATCATACGCAAATGGCAAATCATGTTCTTTACTGGTTTGTTCAACCGTTGGTAATAAATCCTCAGCGTTTTCATATTCAAAATAGCCTGAGAATTTTTTTGGTTGAATAGTAGATCGTTTGATGATTTTCTTGAAATGGAATTGCAGCCCTGCTCTTTTCAAACTGGCAACTTGTGCTTTAGGATATGGAGACGTCTTAAGTACTCCCATTTTATGTTGTTGTTGTTTTGGAATTTTATATGAATCTGTGTGTGTGTGTCTCTTGTAGAACTGTATTGTTTTGTCTTTGATTCAAAAACTGCGACAATTTCCCAGAATAAACTTTTGCAAAAAGGTATGGCAGCAAAATGCAAGGCTCCCGATGCAAATAAATACATAAACATACGTATATATATATATATATATGGTGGTCGTGGAAGGGGTTCTAATTTAGATGGAGTCTACAAGATTGTTTACATTTTTTTTTGTTTTAGATTATCATGTCATAAAAAGGAAAACATTGCAGTTCTACTCACCTTTCTTCGCTACCCCCCAATATAATTACTCCAAATGTAAATAAACTACATGCAAAAACGAACATGTGGGTTGATTATACAGTATGCAACCAAAGCCTTATTCATGTCTATCAGGCTGGTAATTAACACGACAAAGTGTCCTTCCTCCCTTGCCCAGTACTTTTTACTGTAATTCTTTTTTTTCATTCTATGTAAGATCTAAATTGATCTACTCGGTATTGTACATTGAATGCCTGCATTCCTACAATTAGAATAAAATGTTTTGTTTTCTCTTCGTCATTTTGTTATGAACTTACCGAATTAGGCAACACATAATCAATAAAAAACAAATTAAATTAGTTAATTAAGACGAAAACAGGCAATATGTTTTCATAGTTTTTCTACTTCGAATTCTGAAATATTTTAATATTTTCATGGAGATTTGTTGTCATTGTCTGGTCGTTGCAATCAAACCCCCCAGATAATTCTCGCAAAAAGAATGGTAAACTCTTTCGCCATCACGAAAAAATAAGTTGTCCTTTTCTTTTTAAAAACATTTTAGTTTGTTTGTTGTTGTCTGAAACGTCACATACTCCTCGTGTGTGTGTGTTTCAACATCATAATAATTGAAAATGCAAGATTCGGCAAGATATGTATTGCTAGTTGAGATTTCTAAACGTGGGTTCACTCTCAATGGCCATTCTCTTACACTTTATTATTTTTAAAGACCCTCGCTCTCCTTATTTTCTCTGTAACACAAGCGCGTAAAAGTTTAAATTCCATTTTGTTTTGATTTCAACCAGATATAGCTCCTTATATCCATAGGTGATTCATTTCCTCTTTTATTGTACTCGTGTCCTCTGATTGAGAAAAAACTTTATTCCTACACTTTATTTACTAAAATGGCATCCGTGCTGTTGTGAAGAAGAAAAAAATATCATTTAACGAAGTAAATGAGTAGAGCACCCTCTTTTTGTGAAAGAAACGGAAAAAAAAACTTTAAATGATCAAAACTTCTTCCGTTCCACCACCCGTTTGTTGGGAACTACACCCACTTCTGTGTAGACATCTTACAAAATTAGCAAAAACTCAATTATCCAAAACGGATACAAAAGAAAAAAAGATCCATTTTCTAACAAATTCCCGAACAACTAATAGAACTAACCTCCCTTTTAATGTTTGACTCTAATAGTTTGTGCGACATATAACCCCATTCCTTCATTTGTCTGTATATTCGCTGTGCATTGTCTCACTATTCGGTCATTTTGGTTTTTTGGTTCATGGCCTCGCCCTCTTTATATGTATTTTTTTAATATTTGGTTTGTTTTTCTCCTTTAGGCTGCGATTTTATGTGAAGAGGAAGTGGTAAGCCCATCACTAAACCATATTATACAACCTCTAAGATGAGGAAAGAAGAAGAAAAAAGGGTCGTGACTATACTCATACTGAAACCTAGATAGATCATACAGTTTAACTAATATATAGTTAAACCATTTTCTTCATTTTCAAGTCTAAATTTCACCAATATAACTTCAATTTCGTTTCCTTTTTTGCCATTTAAACTATACAAATTTCAACGATAAGAGATGGTATTACAACGAAGCTCTTATCCCGTTACTCAATACCTTATTGAACGATATTATGAAATATTAGGGGTTCCATTACCTGATGGTCCAAATTTAGAACTTCATAAGAATAGTGATGAACTTTTTGATATTATATCTGGTAACGACGTATCAAGGAGTACAGATTCTGCTCCAGATATAACAGTAGATAATGAGAAAAGTACAGTTGATGAGCAACAAGAAAATGAATGTATGGAAAACATCAGTTTATTGGAAAAGATAAAAGGTTTGGTAAATTCAATTACATCATGGAATTTCTCGTATGAAAAATCGATACAAATTGGAGCTCTATTAAAGGAAAGAAATAATGCTTTATCATTTCGTCAATGGGAAAAAATTGGTCTTAAATTAGATTCATTGATGATGAAATCATCTTGGAAGTTTCAAACAGAATCAAATCTTTATGATTATAAATTGGTTACTGAATTAACAGAAAAATTGGTTTTATTTAGAACGACAGAAGATTATGAAAATTTATTATATTTAATACGTACAACTTGGGTCAGGAACCTAGGTGAAACTTGTAATTTGAACCTATACAGACACTCTAATATAGGAACCAAAAAAGTTATAGAAACATATTTACATGAATCTCAATTAGCAATTGATGCGCTTCTTAATAAATCTGACATGGATCCACAATATATGTTAAGAATCCTACAACAAACTAGAAGAAATGTTGGAAGAACGGCTTTAGTCTTAAGTGGTGGCGCAACGTTTGGTCTTTTCCATATTGGTGTTCTTTCTGCATTATATGAGGAAGATCTAGTACCGAGAGTCATCAGTGGAACAAGTGCAGGATCTATTGTGGCAAGTATATTTTGCGTTCATACCAGAGATGAAATCCCAGCATTGTTAGCAAACGTACTAAACATGCAATTTAATATATTCAAAGACAATAGAGACCAAAGTAATAGTGAGGATTTTCTAATTAAAGTTGATAGATTCTTTAAACAAGGTACATGGTTTACAAATAGGCATTTAGTGAACACCATGGTTGGATTTTTGGGTGATATGACATTTAAGGAGGCTTATTATAGAACTGGGAGAATCTTGAATATTACGGTGTCTTCAGCGTCAATATTTGAACAACCAAGGTTATTAAATAATTTGACAGCTCCGAATGTTCTAATATGGTCCGCGGTATGTGCATCTTGTGCAGTTCCAGGTGTGTTCCCTGCAACACCATTATATGAGAAGGACCCTAAAACTGGCCAAAAGAAAGAATGGACAGGAAACAGTTCCATCAAATTTGTTGATGGATCTGTCGAGAATGATTTGCCCATTACAAGACTCTCCGAAATGTTTAATATTGATCACATCATTGCATGTCAAGTTAACTTCCACGTTTTTCCATTTTTAAAATTTTCTGTCAACTGCGTTGGGGGTGAAGTTCAAAATGAAATGAGTGCAAGATTCAAGAAACATCTTAACAATTTTTATGATTTCTTTACAGGAGAAATTGTGCATTATTTAGAGATTGGTAGTGAACTTGGGATCGCTAGAAATCTTCTCACAAAACTTAGATCGGTGCTGTCACAGCAATATTCTGGGAATGTAACAATTTTGCCAAATATGAATATGTTGTTCAAGTCTAAAGAATTAATGAATAATCCTTCACAGGAATTCCTATTGTACGAAACTGTTAATGGTGCTCGGGCAACGTGGCCAAAGATATCTATGATCAAAAACAATTGTAGACAAGAATTTGCTTTGGATAAAGCAATTTTCTTTTTGAAGGAAAAGATTATCATGTCAACCTCGATTAAGAATCCATTACAATTTAGTGAGGCAACAATTAGAGTTTCCGATATTCCGTCAAACAAAGACGTCGTATCACCATCACAGGAGAGTAAAGATACTCATACCGAACATGCAGGTTCTTTAGACGATAATATAGCCGAGCCAGAAGAGCTGGACTCTTTATTAATTCATCCGAATAATGGAAATAGTGATCGTCCAGACACAAGATTGAGATCATTAAGTTTAAGAGAGCCGGTCTCTCTCACTAAAAGACCTCCGATCTTGGGAAATAGATCCTCCAGTAATATAAGACGTACTTCTACACCAGGGGTTACATACGGTGTAATAGCTGTTCCTACTTCTGCCAGAATGATTAGCCCAAAGAAGTCGAATGGAGCAACAATTAGAAGGTCTCCATCTAGTGCCGATCGTAATGATAAACGAAGGAAAGAGAGGTCTAGTACAATTATTACATACTCTACAACTTCATCTGCAAACAGATACTAATGTCACTATGAAATATATTTAGTATATATAATTATTTATTCAATTCATACGATTTGTTTTTGAAATAGCATATATGAAATTTATTGACTTTGAGGATTATGTCGCCCAATTTATGCCCTGTATTGTTTTTTATTAAAATTTTTAAAATTTATGTATTTGCTACTTAACATAAAACATTTTGTTATGGTTTGCCATGTAAACAAAATTTAAAAGTGACAATTTTTGAAATAATTGTGAATCTCCATTACATAAATACAATTTTAAATTTCTATAAATTTATCAAGTTATGGATGCTAATTAAATACGATATTTAAATGAATTAACTCCGAATCGTTCCCAACTTTCCCTTTCATAAACGCATTCCATATTTGTAACCAATTTTTTGCTACGCATCATATTTACTGTAACATGGGACACTGACGGACATCCGTTTAACATTAAACTATGTAATGGTTTATTTCCATTATTTTTAATTATGGCACGTACTAGGTCAAATACTGACGAACCTCCTATTGACTGATTGAATGATAAATCCAATTTAGTTAAATTATTCAGATACCAAATCTGTTCTATCAATGCTGACACACTGTTATCAGTCAATGACCCCATCTGTTGAATGTCTAATTCTTTCAGGTTCTTCATACGTTCAAAAAAACGCATTTCAGTAGATATATTATTCAAATCATTTATGTGACTTTGTTTCGAGAATCCAATATATGAGCAGAAGCCGATATTTAACTTTTGCAAGATATCTGTGTCAATAAAGCTAGTAAGATTATACAGACCCGAACCTGAGATGCATGTATTCATCAAATCTAATATATTGATATTTTGAAAGTTCTTTTTATACATGCTGGAAGAGTCGGTTACATCTACATCACACCTTCCATTATTAATATCTTCTCTAAAAGTTAAAGATCTTAAGTTCTTGAAAACATGATTTTCTTTTAAAAGTTTCAAAAATGACGCAAATCTCCCATTTCTATTATTTTCTAACCATAAATCTTCCACATTTTGGAACTGTAACAACCATCGAAAATCAATAACTGTATCATCAAAAGTTACACCAGATATGCACAATTTATTCAGAGAGGACCAATTCAACGGTGAATTTGCTAGCAAAAAAGAGACCATCGGAAATGATTTAACCCTATTTTGGTCACATATTATTCGTAGACTTCTCAAATTAGAGCTCCATGCTGGGTTTAAACTTAAAATTCTTGAATTTGTCAAATTTGAATTTGAATTAAAACTGGACGTAACCGGAACTAATGAGCCATTAAAAATAAGTTCTAAATTATTCAAACTCTGGAAGTTTGATAAAAATTCAACATCACCAGGTTTATCAGCCCGAAGCATTGTAATTATAGAGAGATCTTTCACACCACGACAAAAAGTATCGTCTGGTATAACGTATTTTGATAGTTCATAGATAGAAGCCTGCACAGTTGAGACAATGAGTTTATCAGTACTATAATTCTGTAAATTCATAAAGAACATATTTAGCATTTTTTTCTCTTCAGATGGTAATCTTGACGATAACGTAATGGATTTGATAAAATGTTTATTATCATATTGTATATCAGGGTTGGTTAAATCCTTAATACTACTGTACCTTGATGATGAAATTTTCTGGATAAAAATAATAAATTGAGAGAACTCTTTGTAAGTTACTCTCCTGAGATTGAATACATTAAACAATACTGACCAGAAACGAATCCTCTTACACCAAGCTTTAGATACAGTCATTAGTCTAAAAAGTTCACTTGTTTTGAAACCAGACAATATGTATGGTAATAATTCCATGGGCAAATCATTTATAAAATCTATTCCTACGTTTTCTTCCACTTCGCTGACCTGAATAACCTTGCTTTTTTTAATTTGCTTGTGCTCTTCTATGGGATCAATAATTACACGCTTGCGCTCTAGATTACTTTTCTCCCTCTTTAACTTCATCATATTTTCCTTAATACTTCGTTTCTTGTTCTGTACAAATTCAAGAAATTTAGGAGAATAATCCATCTTCAGGGAATCATGTCCATAATTTGCCATCTTTAATGCCATTTTATAATTTTTATATGCATCGTCTTCCTTACCAAGCTTCTGTAATAAGATGCCACGCCGTATATAACCTTTTAGGTTATATGATTCTTTCTCAATCATTTTATCTGCAACTTTTAGAGCTTTTGAGAGTTCGTTCATCTTTTCCCAGGTTGCTGAGAGATTATCTAATAGTTTTATATATCTAGGGTGAACTACTATCTTTTTGGGTTTCCCATTAGAACTGGTAAATGTGTGAGAGGTTAAACCCAAAGATTCACGAAATTTAACAGTATCCTCATCATTGCAACTCTGGATCAATTTAACTGTTTTCGAAAAGACATTTCTGGCATTTTTATAATCCTGGATTTTGAAATATTTTGTACCTAATTCTAAGGCTCTATCGACAGCTGATCCGCTCATCGAATCGCATTCATTAAAGATGGTCTTACTCTTCGAACTCGAATATTGTACTTCGTCTCCTGTGAAATGAGTCGTTGACCATCCATTTGATACCTTCTTATATATTTTAGAGGTATATATTTGTTTACTATCAATAGATTAGCTGTGCGCTGTACAGGGTTTCGCGTATGTATCTGTAAAATGCACGCGTCTAGTAACTGAGCCATCTTTAATCAACAGCCTATATAAGAGGTTAACAATGGAACTTGATTTGAATAATATGGACCGTATAATAAACACAACTATACGCATTCCTATTTAGTAACCTGGCGACCAATTCATCCAATTATTTATTCAGGAAGCAACATGGGTGCAAATATGCTTCAGGTGCTTCTTATGGCATTGGCGTTATTGGTTTTGACATTTGCAATCGGAAGTCTTCCAATATACTGGTTTTCGGAGGAATCAAATGGTACCAATGAAGAATTCACAGGTAAATCAAAACATGTCCAATATATTAATGTATTGGCCCAATTTGGGATAGGTATGCTGCTGGGTACTTCATTCATGCTGGTCATTCCTGAAGGGATCAGTGAATGCCTGGAACATGGAGGAAACGTAGGTTTAAACATGTTGGTGGGTTTCCTAATTGTCTATGTACTAGATAGAATTGTTCAATCAATAATGAATAATAATAGCCAAGAGACAAACCCAGGAATTGAGATCAGAGGAAGAGCCGATATTATATTTGAATCATGGAAAGATCTGGTAAAGAATCCTAAACAAGTATGTCAAGCCATCCTTAGAAATAATGTTGTATTTGCATTATTTATTCATGGGTTATCCGATGGTGTGGCCTTAGGGACAGCAGTTAATAACGATTCACTTATGGTTGTAATGCTAATAGCAATTGTTATCCACAAGATCCCTGCCGTGCTCTCATTGTCGAGTTTGATGATTTCTAAACAACATCTTCCAAAATGGGAAGCCATATCAAACTTATTTGCATTTGCGTTATCCACTCCATTGGGATATATTGTTCTATCGACATTCAACTTAAAGCATTCAGAGACAATGAGCTGGTTGAGTGGTAATTTATTACTAATGAGTGGTGGGAGTTTATTATACGCCTCTTTCACAGCATTCGTAGGAGATTCTGGACATTCTCATAATAATGAACATATCCCAATGCAGACGTATGACACCGAATTCTCTTCTGTAGATGACCTCGTGATCTCTCAATCAGATAACCATGAAGATTTGGATATGGAATGGGATCCAAGGCGTTTCAATATCGTCAATGAGGATAACCTTAACAGCACTTCGAATGGTAATCCAGCACCTCTAGAAAGTAATAGAATACGTGATGATAGAGGCTTGAACGGAACTCAACAGACATTTAGTTGGTTATCAATGGACGAATCCATATATACCTTGACAGGAGTGGTCCTACCTGTCATCATATCGTATGTTATAAATGAATGATCAAACATACATACAGATATATATATATGTATATATATATATATATTAAAGTACTTATAGATAGGATTAATGAACACATACGTAAAATACGCTCTTCATGAGCATTCAAATTTGATATAACCCAAAAAAATAATGATAACCCAATGGATGGTTACTATGTATAAGTTTCGAATGGTTAACCTTCATAAATAGAAGGATTTCTTTTTCAAAGAAAATATGCAATTGTAAAAAATGGGATTAAAAAATGTTACCTCCTGTTCAAAGTCTTTCTCCTTAGCCATTTATCTTTAGTACTTGTTATTTGAACTTCTTTCTTTGGTGCCATTGACCTAGTTTGAGAGGACGAGCTTAACAGGGTTACACTAACAGGTCCTTTCTTAATTGTTTTCCTTCTGAGATCCTTTAGTTGATTTTTTCTCTTCTTAGTAGCTTCCTTTCGTATTGTGCTCTCTACATCGGAATCATCAGAATCATTGTCAATACCTGAGTCTTGATTAAAACTTATATGAGTTGGTTTGGCTGCCTCTGTTTGCTCCACTTCTTTCAAAAGTTCAGCAGGAAGTTCCTCCAATGGTTCTATAACGTCTTCACTAGTAACAACCTTCTGTTTTTTGACTGATTGTTGCTCTTGAAATAATGCATTCTGCTTTCTTCTCTTCTCTTTTAATTGCTGTTGTTCTAATTTCTTGGCATCTTCACTAACCTGTAGTTTCTTTTCAATATCTTCTTTTGTTTTGGCAGCCCCTTCTTCCTCAGGAGCCTGATCGTCACTGTCACTGTCACTGTCATCAGCCAAATTAAAGGTTCTCTTCTTTGTTGTTTTAAAACCATCTTCGTTCATAGTTATTCCTTTATCTTGGGAATGGATGGCTCCATCCTCCTGGTCATTAAATTTAACATGATTACTGCTCATTTTGCTGCTAGAAGTTTTTAGTTAGAACGTCTCTTTTTTATAATACAGTTAAAGTTTAACTCACTTTACTCTATTAAACACCAGCCAATAATCGCAACTAAGTCTAGAGTCAGTTATATAGTTCCTACCTTTACAAAGAAGACCAAGTGATGGATTTTAAGTTGTTTCACCAAGTATCTTGAAAAGCTCATCGCTTTTTTTTTCGCTGTGGAAGAACGAAAAATTTTCGAACCGTAAGTTACCCTCATGCTCAAATTAAAATTGGTGTATTACCTTATAACAAAGCGAACTGTTACCATAAGGAACCCGTCCATCAACCAAACATGATCTTAGTTGGCTTCTTTTTGTTCTTCTTTTGTATTTTGTTCTTCTTCAATGCTGGCTTCAAGTCTATGGCTATGTCATCTCCGAACGTCAATGGCTTGCTTTCTTCAATTTCTGATGGATCTATGTCATTTTGGGCTGCGGCTGCCTTGAGACCAGCTTCAATCTGCTTTTGCAGTATGTAACTCTTCATTTCCTGATCTGCTTTCTCATGCTTCTCAATATCTTGAAGTTGTTGCTTCTGTAATGTATTATTCCCAGAGGTGTCAACGTAACTGATTAGTAAATTGCCCATCTCGATATTTTCTGGTTTGTCAAAATCATCAAGATTTCGTATTCTAATCTTTCCTTCCTTTGACAAATGTTGTATAAATTTATTCAACGATGTAAATTGAGTCGCATTCATATGAATATGGTCCCTATCTTGAATAAATTCATTATAAACTTTATTGGCGGTAATTGGTTTCTCACCGTGATTTACTCTCAAATGGGTCAAGAAATCAGATTCAAACTGTGCCGTGTACTCGTCAATGTCATCTGTTGAAATCTGTGCTATTTTCTTCAGATGGTATGGTGACTTGATATGCGATTTGAATCCGTTGTCATCACGACATTGCTTCATACAGACCTGACAATAGAACCTCAATTTTTGAAGGCCCCTTGCCTTCATCTGTTTACTCAGAAATTTAGCACTGGAATAATCGCTCATCCTGTATTGCAATATTGCAGTTATCTTCTATAGACCAACACACACTATTCGATGTCTCCTGAATATATTAATTTAATATATAGTTCTTTCAAATGATATATTCTTTGTCTTGTTCATATATTGCCATCGGCTTCTAAATATTTGTTACTGAGCGCCCTAGAATAACCTAACTCATTTAAAAGTGTATAAATAACTGGTCCGTTATACATTCAACTTAACCTAACAAAGTTTTTCTACAGTAATAGAACAAATAAAAGTGTTCATCAAAATTCCACACCAGCAGGTACTTTAACATATACACTACTCTCATACGTTTGTACAATGTCGAAGTTAGAGCAATTGGCAAAGCAGAGAATAATATCAAGACAGGATAATTCCACGAAGACTAAAGGATCTAACACACACACCAAAGGTGCTTCTCTATTAGATAGGCTGAAAACTTCAAAGAATGAAAAGAAAACAGAACCTAAACAGAATCTATCTGATATACTGAAGAAATCGAAGACTAATCCTACCGAACAACCGTCTTTAAGTTCTTTAAGTTCCAGATTGCATGATTTACAATTTAAAATAGAAAAGGAAAGGAACGTCACAACTAATGTGAAGAGAAATGAGAATGTAGCAACTTTTGAAATATCAAAAGTAGAAGAAAAAAAGTCAAAGACGTCTGACTCCGAAGAACTGAAGAAAGTTAGACGTTCTTTATCATATTTTACAGACATTAAGGATAAAGATGTTATACCGCCAACATATTATATGACTCCCGTCAAGGAGCCCCAACAACACTGTATCGATAAAACATACAACAACAATAGTCATGTCTATAATAAAAGAGTACTAGCAGAGCTAGATTTTGTCTTTTGCCCTTCAGGTAAGAGAAATAGAATAGCACAAAATTTTGCAAAATTGAGTCCAGACGATGAGTCCATTTTGGCTCAAAAAGGTGCATTTAAGGATGTTACAAAGAAAATAGCGAATCTGTCTATCAAACCACCAAGGAGGTTACAGAAGAATGTAGAAATAAAGGAGACTGTTACGAGAATCGATCCACAGCAATATATTACCAAGAATAAGATTCATCCAACTATATCAATTGTTGCTCTCGGTCATTCAGGTAGCGGTAAATCCACGTTAATCGGTAAATTATTATATGATCAAGAGTATTTCAAGATCCAGGAAGTCAATGATTTGAAAATTAGACTAGAGAGGTCTCAATATAGGAATGAAAAGTACACATTCTGGTCATGGTTGTTAGATTATGATAGAAAAACTTCAAAAGTTATGGAGAAATCCATAAGGTCTGAATTGGTTCATTATGGAGGGTATAATTATAGAATAACTGATGTTCCTGGATCCAAAAATATGTTATCACCTGAGCTTTTACGTGTTATGAGTAACAGCGACGTTGGATTACTTGTAATCGATTGCGATATAGATGGATTTGAAAATGGTTTCAACTTAAATGGTCAAATAATTGAACACTGTATATTAGCACACTCATGCGGCATCAAGAAATTAATTATTGCCATGAATAAACTAGATACTGTTGATTGGCATGAGGAAAGATTCCAAGATATTAAAGGAGAGTTACTTCCATTTCTAATAAATATTGGTTTTGAACGTGATCAATTAAATTGGGTTCCTTGCTGTGGTATCGTAAATACAAAGGAAGATGGTCTCTTCAAACCAATCTACGAGCAAATGTGTCCATGGAATACTGAAAAGAGAAGTGTATTTGAAATTATTCAGAGTGAGAGCATTACTCTAAGTAATTCTAAAATTACGGATATAAATCAACCATTAACGGTGACCATAGATAAATCTAAAATTGGGGACCGATGTCTTGGCATAATAAAGTTTGGTAATATCCAAAAAGATGATAATGTTATCGTTCAGCCAGAGGGAAAAGCCATTTCTGTCAAATCCATATTTAAACAAGGGAAGTCGGTACCTATTGCCTTTGTTGGCGACTATATCTCCTTGGAATATAAACCACACGGAAAGGATAAAGAAAATGATGTTATAGTAACTGAACGGAATGTTATTTCAGCTCCAGAAAATCCTCAACTGGTAGTGGTAAACCGTGAGAATGTTGTCCTTGATATTGAACTGTTTGACATATACGACACACAAGTATCTGAAGGAACTAAGCTGAAATTCTTTACAAGTACCATTGAGCAAGACTTAAAAATTAATAAAATTCTTAATCGTAGGGATACTATTTTAAAGGTGGAAGCCGAAGTTAATGAATCAGTTATTCTAATTCCAGGACGTAATGTTGTTATATTAAGAAATAATATGAACAGAACTATTGGTATTGGTAAAATCTTACAGTAAATATTTATTTCTAAGACGATACGTTATTTATATTATTTCAGTGTGATACATTTGTATCTATATAGTTTTATTTAACGAAACGTTTATTACGTTAAACATGATATTATCATCATAATCTAGAAATTTTGCTTGTTGTGGAACTATTATTAATGTTACCACCTCCACTGTTACTATTAGTATTTTTATAAGTTTTTGGAGTTGCAGTCTTGGTTGGAATCAAATCAAACACGGAAAGATCTTCCTCATTTAACCTGAAACTTACGGATTTATTTGCTCTCGAGGAGTTAGCACTCGACTCAGTCGTCATTTCGTCATTTAGGTCATTAATAATTGCATGTTTAAACAATTTCTTCTTTTGCGAAGATGGTCTTTTCTTGTTGATATCTTTATCTACCAATGGAGACGAACTTTTTGGTTGTATTAATTGTTTTTTCTTAAATATCGTATCCTTCAACATAGACGACGATGGAGAAGAGGAAGTACTTGGGGTATCGACAGGGATATCATTTTTCAAAGTAGTTTGTATAGCAGAAGTTAGAGAAACAATTTCATCTTCAGGTACGGGATTATTATCATCATTATTATTACTTTTACGTTTTCTTTTATTTACCTGTAAATCCTTAATATTAATAGTTGTTATAGCATCAACAAATTTTTCTGACGGTCTTCTCATTTTTGAACGTAATGATGGTAATTTATAGTCCACTGTTTTCCCTCTTGTTCTTCTTGTTGACGAGTCTATTTCTGGATATTTTGATACAGGCATTTTTTCATCTATAATCTTTCTTTTCTTGTTTTTTATTCTTGGTGGTCTAATAGAATGCTTCATAGCTGTATTACTATTATTATTTTCTTCATTATCAATTATATCTTTCTCATCATCTTTAAACACATTAAGTTTAGTTGCAGATGTGGATATAGAAGAAGAAGATAACGAAGAAGAAGAAGGAGGAGCGGTAGAAGAAACGATAAAAGATGTAGGTAAAGGTTTATACGAATCTCGTGATAAAGCCATCATCTCAGTCCTATTATTTCTCTTCGCATCATTTTCTTCAGGTATAGAGTAATCTATAATCGAATTTGTAAAATCTGTTTCATCATTAATTTGTTCTTCAGGAACATTTCCATGATCTTGGTTTTGTAGCGAAACAATTGATTCTTCACAGTTCATACCATCTGTATTATTATTTTCTATTGGGAGATCATTATCAACAGGGAACTCAAAATCGCTTGGAACAAACATTGATTGTCTCCTTGAACTTTTCCTTCTCTTTCTTGAGGATGTGGAGTTCACCGAAGGTGACACTGAGGAAGAAGAAGCCGAGGAAGGTCCTGAAAGTGTTGTATGCACTGTATGTGAGTCTTTCGATGTTGGCAATGATGATGGTGGTAATTGCATTACAGTAGAACGCAGAGCATTCTTTAGGGAGTGACCAGCGGGTAAATTTTCTTGGACTCTAACTTGTTGAAACATATCTAGAATAGATTGAAATCGTAAAAGTAAATCTTGTTCCATATTTTGTAATTTATCGGTCAATTGTTGTTTATATTTCAATTGTGCCATACTCAAATGTGATCTTACAGCAACATTCTCCTGGATCAACCCACTAACTTTTGTCTCCATTTCGTTCAATTTAATTTTTAACAAAGAATTCTCCTTAGCAATCGCGACATTCTGTTGAATATACGATGTCTTTAAATGTATCAATTTCTCCGACTCCTGATCCAGAATATCCTGCAACTCCTGGAATTGCAATTGATACGATCGTGTATTACTGGTATTATTTGAATCGTCGTTCTTTGAACTGCTGTTCTTTGAACCGCTGTTCTTCGAGCCGCTACTCCGTACCGTTCTCGTCATCTAGTTACTTCCTTCTTCAAATATATTTATATATATCACTAGTTTCGACGTTACCAAGATAAATCTAACAGAGGACTTTACTTATAAAAAACCTTGAAGTGTCGTGTTTCTTCTCAGGTTGACTTTGCAGATTTGTTCCCTTTTGTTTACCTTTTAATTGAAGTATAAACAAAACTGGAGACTCCATACTGTTTGTGGCTCCGACCATCTCGTCCAACGCGATGTTCCCTTTCACTGGGAAAAAATCCTGCGGCGCTGGAAAATTTTTCGTCTTTTCAGCTCATCGCAAACTTTTCGCAGTGAATGGAACTGGAACTTCACCAAGTATAACAGATGCTTTAAGTAATCTGTTTGCATATTTGTATATTTTGTATAAGTTGTGGGGTTTTTTGCTTGCTAGGGTGAGTCGAGCAGAAGCAATAGAGTGTGACAAGGATGATTAGAACTGTGAAACCAAAGAATGCCAGGGCCAAGAGAGCTCTGGAGAAGAAAGAGGCTAAAGTTGTGGAGAACGTGAAACAAGCACTTTTCATTCCAGGTCAGACCTCTAACAAGGTCCTACATGATGTGATGGTCGACTTGAGTTCGTTGAAGAAGCCAAACATGAAGAGATTCAACAAGAAGAACAACATCAGACCGTTCGAGGATGTATCAGGACTGGAATTTCTAAGTGAAAAGAATGATTGTTCCTTGATGGTTTTAAGTTCAAACTCTAAGAAACGTAAGAACAACCTGACTTTTATTCGTACTTTTGGTTACAAGATATATGATATGATTGAATTACAAATCGCTGAGAATTATAAATTGTTATCTGATTTCCGTAAGGAAACTTTCACTGTAGGGTTGAAACCAATGATGGTATTCCAAGGTAGTGCCTTTGACACTGATCCAGCTTTCATGCATGTGAAATCTTTGTTTATGGATTTCTTTAGAGGTGAAGTCACTACATTGCAGGATGTCTCTGGTTTACAACATATCATCTCGGTCACCATTGCTGGTGATTACCAAGATGGGGAAACATTACCAAATGTTTTATTCAGAGTCTACAAATTGAAGACTTACAGAAGTGAACAAGGTGGTCGTAAATTACCAAGAGTGGAACTAAGTGAGACTGGTCCACGTTTGGATTTCAAAATCGGCAGAATTCAAACTCCAACACCGGATATGGTTACAGAGGCTATGAAGAGATCAAAACAACAGGACATCAAGATGAAGAAGAACGTAGAATTAGACTCCATGGGTGACAAGTTTGGTAGAATCCATATGGGTAAACAAGAATTACAAAACTTGCAAACAAGAAAAATGAAGGGTCTAAAGTCTAAATTCGACCAAACTGGTGAAGATGACGAAGGCGATGACGACGAAAGCTTCGTCACAGCAGACGACATCGAACCAGCTGCCAAAAAACCAAAGCACTAATACATTCATTTGCATTTCTCAAATAATCATCATTATTATCATTTTCCTACTATTTCCACCTATACATATATACATATATATACATATGTCTATATATATTATCTATATATAAACAAACAGTTGTGCCTACCACCTTATGTGGTTTCACACTGCCCCTAACCAAGTTTTTTGTACATTAGAACTCAATCGGTCGTCATTGTTCAATCATTTTGTCGACTTTCTTCCCTTTGTAGGAATTGAATATTAAAGCAGCCAGCTTGTCCTGGGATCGAACCTCATACTCGGCCCATCATTATCGCTCTTCACATTCACACAGAGAGAAAAACAAAGGCAACAACGCACAATCTGATACAATGACTGACTGGTTGATGTAATCAATATAAATTTAATACGAAAAGAGTCCCTAAACCAAAGGGAGCACGACAAAAGTTGTAAACGCTAACTTGAATTTTCTCATAAGATACCAATCTTGTGATTTATAAAGGTTTAGGTTTACATCTATATCAAATAGAAACTCAGCTGATTACCCAGTTTTGAATAGATTTTTGCTATTATTGCTACATTTTTTTTTATTATATCGGAGATATAAGAGGTTCGTTTAACAACCAAAAAAAATAATTCTCAAGATTTAGCTCGAGTATCATTAAAGAGATCTCATATACGGTGAAATAATTGTTAATCAACTTTACATAAACTAGGACTTTCTTTCCTATCTTTTTTAAATTGAATTTGAGATTCATTGAATCAACAATTATTGGACGTCTAGATATAAATCAATTCTTAATCAAAAAACACAACAAACATGGGTGTGCGGTCAACTTCTCAAGAGATTAACAGAGAGACGAAAGAGAGAAGGTCTCATTCTAGCTCTTCCTCTACAAGTCTAGTGACATCTCTGATGAAATCTTGGAGGATCTCGTCTTCCTCTAGTTCAAGTTCATCGAGTAAACCTTCCAACAAATCATCTCAATCCTTTTCTGGAAACCCAACTACAGGGACATATAACGATACAATGAACAATAATCTTACTCAGACGAATGATGGTCATTCCAATCAACTTCGTAGCAGCAATGAACATCGACTTTATTCTCTCTCAAGAACAAATAGTTCCGATGGTAATTTTGATGCAATGTCAAAACAACAGAATAGTACAACGAAATCTATAACGTCACCAGCTAAAACATATTCACCATTGAGATACGCAAGCCCATCGTCTAATCAGATTGAAAGTCCGAGAGCATCCCTTCTAAGACAACAGCATAACAAACATTCTCATCATAATCAAATATACTACCAACATAATAACAATAGTACCATTAGTGAACATTCAACCCATAAGAAATCCAGTGACAAATATTTCGAGGATCTAGATGAAGATTGGAGTGCAGTGATAGATAATTATAATATGCCAATTCCAATGTTAACCAATGGAGGTAATGGAAAATCATCGACTTCTAATAATAATAACCAACAACATAATGACCCCAGAAACAATCTTTCAAGGACCTCAACAGCATCGTCCGTAGCAACGAGTATTACCTCAACTACAATGACACAGGGCCAGTCCTTACAATATCCACAATTACCAAACCTTAATACTATGGAGGCTATAGAATTAGAAAAAAGTCAAGAAGAGATAGAAAATGAACGCGAAGTACAGGAATTAAACTCAATAATGCAAAGAATAACTAAATTTGATAATATTATCAAGGGCAAGAATGTTATCAACTTACAAGAACTACGGCAATTGAGTTGGAATGGTATACCCAAACCTCATAGACCCATAGTTTGGAAATTATTAATTGGTTACTTACCAGCAAACACTAGAAGACAAGAATCTCTATTAAAAAGGAAGAGACAGGAATATACAGAAGGTCTGAAGCATACTTTTTCAGATGAACACTCTAGGGATATTCCAACATGGCATCAGATAGAAATTGATATCCCCAGAACAAATCCTCATATTCCATTGTATCAATTTAAGTCTGTCCATGACAGTCTTCAGAGAATATTATACCTTTGGGCAATCAGACACCCAGCTAGTGGTTATGTTCAAGGTATAAATGATTTAGTAACACCTTTTTTCCAAACCTTCTTAACTGAATATCTACCACCATCTAAAATTGATACTGTGGAAGTTGTTGATCCAGACACATACCTGACTGAGGATCAAAAGGAAAACTTAGAGGCAGATACATTTTGGTGTCTAACGAAATTTCTGGAACAGATCACTGACAATTATATTCATGGACAACCAGGTATTCTAAAACAAGTAAAAAATTTAGGTCAATTAGTGAAAAGAATTGATTTTGATCTATATAAACATTTCCAAAATGAACATGTGGAGTTTATTCAATTCGCATTTAGATGGATGAATTGTTTATTAATGAGAGAATTTCAGATGGATACCGTTATTAGAATGTGGGATACATATCTTGCTGAGACATCACCAGAAACTACATCAAGTTTCGCGACCTCGAATCAATCGAATTCAAGCAACGATGGCGTATTGTCACCACACACACCTGTTTCAAGAAAACCACCTACCTTTGGAACACCTAACATAGACCTCGCATCACCAGCATCATCAGCTAGTAGATCAAATATGACTACCCAAACAAATGCATCTCCAGCAGGTGTATCGTCGTCAGATGATTCGTCGAACAGGTTTAGTCATACTTCACTTAATGAATTTCATGTATTTGTTTGTGCTGCTTTTTTAATTAAATGGAGCGATATGCTTTGTGATATGGATTTCCAAGGTATAATTACATTCCTTCAGAATCCCCCTACCAAGGATTGGACTGAAACAGATATAGAAATGTTACTAAGTGAAGCATATATTTGGCAATCATTATACAAGGATGCTACATCACATTGGTTAAAATAGATACTTTAACATCAATGACTTTATTCTATCGTCGTATCAATGATCGAACCATTTTTTCTTACATAATGAACAATAAGTAACCATAATAGCACCTGTTATCATAAAAATGGCTTATATATTTAAATATTTACCATCTACACCATTTACAAATTGTTTTGATAAAATGTTTCCCACAACTCTATGAACTCCTTTTGAGATTCTATAGATGACTCCAAGGAGATCTCCATGCTGTTTCTAAATTCTTCTATTTTCTCAACTTCATAATGTTTGATCTCACGCTTAATGTTATCAGCAATGACTGTCCATTTTTCCTTTATCGCGTTATATCTCTTATCCAGTACGAGACATTCTCCTAACATAGTTCTGCAATGTTCATCCTTAATTGGTGCACTGGGTTTAAAATCTGGATAAGTCTTGTCAAATTGTGCTTTTTTCTTTCGTAAATCTCCTTCCACAACAACAAGGAAATAGCCTAATTTGGCCCTCTGGTTAAATATAGCCCGCACGCTCGACAATGTTCTAATATATTCGTCGAGTGTTACACCAAGCGTCAAAGATTGTTGTAAAGAATTTCTTTCCAAGGATTCTCTAATAGAATTATGTAGTTCAGCAAACGAATTCAAAAGGTCTGAACTTTTTCTAGTGACTTCTAATTTCGCTAAAACTTCTATACTCTTCGAGAATTCAAATACAGTAGCTGCAAGCTCATTTCTCTCTGTATCAATAAGTTCAAGTGACCTGTATAATTGTTTCAACTGTTCTTCTAAGATAACAAACCTTTCACGTTCCTGAATATAATATTGATCAGGTTCATTATATTTGGGTTGTGAGGTTAATGAAAAGTTCATAAAACCTTTATTTTGTTCGGCATCAATACCACCATTGTTTAGGACAATCGCTGCGTCATCTGGTCCTAACAGTTCGACCTCACTCATATGAACTTCTGAAAGATCATTGTTATCATTATATGATCCTGAAGCTGTTGCATATGCTCTCAACTTTGAATCATTAGAGAATTGTTCACTTTTTAAGAACATCAAAAAATCTTGATCTCTTTGTAGTAGTGAATCATGGGCAATTCTTTTCAACATTGTCTCCATTTGAAATCGTCTATTTTCTATGAAATCTCTCTTGAATCGTCCAACAGCTTGTTTTTCTGGAGGAGGAGGAATCACTTTACCCCAGTGATTGCTTTGTAATTGACGATACAACCATCTAAAATCAGTATAACGTCTTGTGACTTGAGATTGATTCGAATCCAACAACTCTGATACGCTATTTACCGTGTATTCAATATGTGCTGATGTAAGATCACCCACTTTTATAGGGTCTGTGACATCGATTTTAAATGGAACTGCATCAGGAACTTGGGTATCTGACTGATCTTGATCTGGGGTTCCAATGTTTGTTTTATCCTTCTTTGAGATTTTATTAGAATTATTACCAGATATCTCTGCATTAGCATTCGAAGTTGGTTGAAATTTTCTAGGCGATAATTTATAAAGTGGTTCATCCATTTGATTTAGAAGAGAAGCTTTAGAAATATTACCATTCACATCTTTTCTCTTATTGTTATCATATTCTAATGGTTCTTCAACAAATTCATTTTCCTTCTGTGCTTTACCCAGGGGATCGTCATCTAACGATGTAACTTGTGTTGAAGAATCTGAATCTGATATATTATTTGTATCTTTAACTAGTTGAGGTTTCCCGTTTTCAGTAGTCGCATTACCATAATTTGGTTTTCTACGACGTAACCTTGTCGATGCATTAAATAATGAATGTGGTTTACTTGTTCTTTTACTTGGTGATGTTTCATTAGAATTTAGTTTCAATGCCTCATTTCCGAGGATAGGGGAGATTAAAGAAGGCGATCCACCAAACAAGAGATCACCACTACCACCATTTATCATGACACCAGGTACAACATCCTTCTCGATGTCTGCAAGAAGGTTATCCTCTGGCGCTAACAAATTAATCAATTTATCTCCTTCTGATGTGTTCTTTTCACCAGCTTCATTGCTATCATCACCAAAGTGATCACTGGTGCCGATGTTAGCAAAGGTTTGACTCAATCCATCAATAGTATCATGTGAGATATTCAGATTAGTGTCTGTTCTAAAATTGAAGTTATTATTATTCCCAGATGCGGTAGTATTTGTTGTGGATTCATTTTCATTTTGATTCAAATCGTCCCAAACAGGGGCTCTAAGTGCGTCGTCATTCTCGTAATTCATCCTTTAAACACCAAGGAAATTCCAAACTTCGTTTGCAGTTTTATACCGGTATTATGCACCTACCGAAATATATATCACTAGAATATACAATCAACAGTAGTTCCCTTGCAACCCTCTTGTTGTATCTTTTGTACAAAGATGGTTATTTGTATCAGGATTAATATCCATTTTTTGGTTCTCTTTGACGATTTAATACGAGAAATCAGCCAAAATGACCCACGGCCCTTCAAGAAAAGCGTTTATGCTGCGGTCAGACGACCCATTTACTATGGGAATAGCCATTATGAAAGATATATAAGTTCCATCTACATAACGAAACGAATGTATCAAGACGTCGTACAGCTCCTTTAGGTGATTACAACGTTAGTATGTTGTTCAATGGTGACTATGTAATGTGTGTTCCTTAGTCAGATGAATATCCTTTTGCTTTTTTTGGGGTTTTTAACTTTTAAACAATCGTCTCAGTGAATATTTTAGTTGAGATAAGGAAACTAACTAATCTTATAGATCATCAATATATATGTAGATAGATAAGTAATGGCATTGCTTGATATGGTTATACCACTTCTCTGTCTTGAGTATTAGTTTAATATCCTGTACCCTTACATAAGTAGCCACTTGTACGGCACTTTCTGTAAAAAAATTAATGTTGATTTTCCAAAGAAATTATAACCGTCACCATTCAAACGGCGACAATGACAAGAAGGTATTTCATAATGATAAACAAACAGGGATAAGTATACACTTCAATAAATGTCTGTATTTTCATTGTGGAACTTAATTAACTTTAAAAGTAATTTTACCAGGGTTTCAAGATATAGTATTGAACTTTTCTGTTTGATTGTCGAACTTTACAAACATTTTCTTTACTTTATTTTGAAGAAATGACTGACTTAGCAACTGAAAATGTTGATACTACATCAGCATCGCAGACAGATCTCGCTGATTATGCTACCAACCAGCTTCAAAATACTACCAAGAAGTCAGAATGTCAAGTCGGTACTGTGGATAGAAGATATTCTCTGTGGAATTTTTGGATATGTGGTCTCTTTTTGAAAATACTATTGTTTCCTGATTATTTCAGCACAGATTTCGATGTTCATAGAAACTGGTTAGCGATTACCCACAATCTTCCTATAACTGAATGGTATTTTGAAAATACTAGTCAATGGACCTTAGATTATCCACCCTTCTTTGCATACTTTGAATGGGCTCTATCACAATTCGTTCCCTCGGTGGTGAAAGAAGACGGTTGTTTAGACATAGTAGAAGTAGGTCAATTTGGTTGGCCCACAGTGATATTCCAAAGAATGACTGTGATCTTCAGTGAAATTCTACTTTATGCTGTATTGCAATATTATATCAACACAACGTCGAAGGATAGAAGAACTCAAAGTTTCATAGTTGCAACAAGTATTGTAGTCTCCCCAGGATTTTTAATAATTGACCATATCCATTTCCAATACAATGGGTTTCTTTTTGCAATTTTCATTGCCTCAATTGTTACAGCAAGAAATAAAAACTATCTATGGTGTGCAGCTTTCTACAGTATCGCATTATGCTTTAAACATATTTTCCTTTACATGGCACCATGTTATTTTGTATTCTTGTTGAGAGCTTACGTTTTAAATTTTGAAAATTTTAAATTTAGAAGTTATAAAGATTTATTATTTTTAGTGAAATGGTCGCATCTTTTAAAATTAGGCAGTATCGTGATTGGAACACTTGCTATATGTTTTAGCCCTTTTATTTTCCAAATGCCACAAGTATTATCTAGATTATTCCCATTTTCAAGAGGATTAACTCATGCGTATTGGGCTCCAAATTTTTGGGCTTTGTATTCTTTTGCTGATAAGATCCTTTCAATTATTATATTAAGAGTTCCATACATATACACTGTTATTACAAGGTTTATATCATCTCCATTGATACCTTCTTCAGTTAATGAAATTAAAGAACGAGTACAAGAGGCTAGTAATAATGGGTCTAAGGGTTTGGTTCAAGATGTTGTATTTACAGTACTACCTCAAATCCCACCAAAGGTTACTTTTTTTTTAACTGTGTTCTATCAAATATTAGCAGTCATCCCAGTGTTATTTGATCCTTCCTTCAAGAGGTTTATCGGCTCTTTGACACTATGTGGTCTAGCATCTTACCTATTCGGATGGCATGTTCATGAAAAAGCTATACTGTTGGTCATTGTTCCATTTTCTTTCCTAGTTGTTTTGGATAGAAGACTTCTAGTTTCATTTATGTTAGTATCCGCTGCAGGTTATGTTTCATTATTCCCATTATTGTACGAAAATGCTGATTTTGCATTGAAATGTTTATACACTTTTGTATGGTGTGTGGTCTATTTCTTCGCTCTTAGAAAGACGACCAAGCTCTCTTCTAGCGTTGAAAGAAGAGTCTTCTTTATGGATAGATTAGCGATTATCTATATCTGTTTGTTATTACCTATGGTCTTAGGGATCCAATTTTTCGATGTAATGAAATGGAAATATCCTCTATTCGAAAAATTTGAATTCTTAGGTCTTATGACTTACAGTGTGTATTGCTCTCTAGGGATAATGGGTTCATGGATTGGTATATCTTGGTTGTACAATTTTGATGAACCATTATGGGAATCATAATTGAGAGTGTTCCTAAAATTATATACATCTTTATATATACCTACGTTTAAATAATCACATGTAACGTTATGAACAATTAATATTAAAACTTACTTTGAGAAGAATAAAAATAAATAAACAGAGGTTATCTATGTAAGATTTATAAAATTCCTTTTAAAATGAATATATTATTAGACTTGATCAGAAATAGATTTATCATCCTTAATCAGGTTCTTTAACGCCATACCTGCATCATCCATCTTATCTGGATTTGAATCACTAAAATCAGGGACTTTCAAATTCTTATCAATTCTTGCCTTTGATGCATAATCGATTTCATGAATACTATTCAACTGTTGCCTTTTATTAATAGTATTTACTGAATGGGGCATTAATGGTGGAAGATCTTCCGAAGGTGGGTTATTTGCTTGAAAATTTCCAGGAGGACCGATTTCCCTAAGCTCATAATGGGCTACGTCAAGCATCGGTAACTCTATGCCACTTTTATTTTGTTTATTTTTTAAAGTTATAGGTACTACCGGGCTCTTATACGCAGGTAACTTCAATGCACTGTTTCCAATCTTTCCTGAAGAATTAATCTTTTGTTGATGATTCTTTAACATTGTAATATGTGCATGCTGTTCCATGCTATCGACATTATTAACTGCTAATATACTAGAATTTCTCCTTTGAGTTGGAGGACTGAACAACAGACTCCCAGGTGACCCAAAATTTACAAAGGATGGTGGGGTATTAAATACCTTCGTATGTTCTGGTGATAAAACATTAGTTCTCATATTAATATTCTCTTGCCAAACCTGCTCGCCTATCTCTGATTCATCATTTAAGAGAAGCGGATCACCAACAAAATATTTAAAGCCATACTGCTTGGTGCCTTCCCCAGATGATTTTTTAATTCCGTCATCAAGAGGCTCAATTTTCGACATACCATTATAAGTTTTAACAGAAATAAACTGTTCATCAATACCATTATGTATACCTTCATTGACCTTTATATTCAAAGGCTGAGGAGCAACAGATACGGTATGACTGTTTCCAAGGCTCATCCGAAAGGGCGACAGGATTCCTAATGATCCATTTATATTTGGTGTTAATCCAGTTTTCCATTGAGAACTAAAGAAATTTCCTGGGGACATAGGTCCCGGAGCAGGCGGAGTACATGGTATCAATGCTTTAGGATCTGATATTCTATCCTTTGAAGAACTTCCAGATTCATTTATCGCTGGACCACTACTAAATGCCTTTTCTAACTTTAAAGGTCCTTTTTTGGGTAATGATAAAATCTTTGCTTTTGTTATGCTGTCCTTTGAGATCGTAGACTTCTTATATTTATTTGACGCATGGGTCTTCATTTTCTTTAATAAGAACAATACGTCCTTCTTTTGGAAATTTGTGATTTGATGATGTTCTTTTTTTATTGGGGAGATAAAATCCTTAATTTGATGAAGTTGTTCTGGTTTTGATAGATCGTTGGGAGATGACCCTATTGTTGCTTTCCCGTTAGAATTTATATTTAATGATAAAGAAAAATTTATGCAATGTTCATTTTTCTTCTCACTCATCACATTCATAATTTCAGGTTTATCTGTAATGGGAGTCAGAGGTGCGCAATTTGGTAGCAATTTTGGTTTACTCATATCATTTAATGTATTCTTATCCCTTGATGGTGAATTAGTCGACTGTAATTCAGTCTTATCCGGCGTTGCCAATATTATACCTCTATACCTCCCATTCTTAGTAGTACCCATCTTCTTAACCATGTTATTCTTTGAAGGACTTGATCCGGCAAGTCCCCCTTTGAGTGGTGAATTTGAATGTGAATTTGATTCAGAATGTAATCGTCCTGCATTACTATTCCTTCTCTTCTTTGAGTTAGGTGTCAGTTGCCCGACTTTCATCATTGGTTTAGAAAATACGTGCGTACCTTGTCTCTGTACTTTCATCGAAGATTGTGCTAAAGGACTCTCCAATGGATTAGCATAATTCTTAGTGATTGGAGGTCTTCCTCTCTTTCTAGTACCTTTCTCTGGACTTGTAGTCATAGTGAAATGTATTTATCTATCACTAAGTGGGGCAAAAAAGTAAACTCTCAACTCGTTGGATTACTTCTTATAGAATGTTGTGAGTTTAATATCGATTTGTAATGAAGTCTCCTTTTATAAATGATAAATAATAATAGATTGTTGGAAAAAAAGTCGATATTTTTTAGGACGCACAGAACTACTTTCTAATAATATAAGGAAATCTAGATTCGAGGATGAAAACTGTTGTTCACTTGTACCCTTTGATAAGTCACAGATAATAGTTTAGTATTCTGTTTTCGCTATTATATTATATTATTTTATTATATATCTGTACTATACTTACAACTGAAAAATTGAAGAAGAAGCCAAAAAGAAAAAAGGTCAAAACAATATACTGATTTGTTTTCCTAATCAGGTAATTTTCGCTTTTTTGTATGGGGCCCCCGGAAAAGACAGGAAGAGAGACAGGGAAAACCTCTATCATTACAGAACAGATGAATTAAAAGAATTCCTAATCCGGAAGCACGTGAGGAGTCCGAGTAAGATACTCATTTTGGTTCATCTATCAAGATTAGATAATGTTCAAGTTGTTGTTTAATATATAGAGTGAAATGTTACGGCTAATAGTTAATAATTTTATTGTATTTTTAATTTTAAAGTAATAGAAAGAATAAATAAATATGAATATAATAATAGTAGTAGTAGTAGTTGTTGTTGTATTAAATAAGTTGAAAAAAGAAAATAAATAAATAAATAAAAAACCCATATGGGAAATGATCATTACGGCGACAAGCGGATGGTGAGTTAGTTGTAATAATATTATCAGAAGAAATGAGGCAGGTAAGAGAAAAAAAAAAGAGGTACTAACAGCCAAAAGGAAACGTAATAATAATAATTGCGGAATGGTTACTTGGATGTATGAGACATGTAAATGATTCATTACTATTATTTAATTTCATATTATTGTTAGTAGTTTGTATTTATGGACAATTTTACCACGTCTCCGTTATTTCAAAAGAAATAAGATCTTCTCCCATTGGCGGATTTTATTTTATGTCAATTTTTTTTTGTATTTGGGAAATAAAATGAAAGAGTTTACTTTCTTGGTTTTGGTGGAGTGTAAGTGAATTTTCTAGTCTTGATAGAAGCCCATTTGAATTTCTTGACCCAAACGGACAGTAAGTACAATGACGATAGGATGATTATAGCCTTTAGACCTTGTCTCTTTCTTTCGTCATGTTCAGGTTCAGAACACCAGTTCAAGAATTGGGAGACATCCTTTGCCATTTGTGAAGTAGTAGCTGGAGTACCATCTTCATACTCTACCAAATCATCGAATAACACTCTACCCATAGCAATAGAACCACCAGGGAAGTATGGGTTATAGTTAGAACCTACAGGTAATGTAACACCTTCTGGAGCATCTTCTGGGTAACCAGTCAACAAGGAGAAAATGTAATCGGAACCACCATGTCTAGCCTTCACGATCAACGACAAATCAGGTGGTAGAGCACCTTGGTTAGCAGCTCTAGCGGCTTGTTCGTTTGGATAAGGAGCTGGGATATAATCAGCTAGTTTACCTGGTCTCTTCTTTGGATTACCATTGTCATCTGGTTCATCATCGTATTCAAATTCTTCAGCCATCTCTTTAACTTCGGAGTTTGTATGGGAGACACCAACAAGCGTTCTCCAAGCAACTCTATCCAAGGAATGACAAGCAGCACAGACTTCTCTATAGACTTGGTAACCTCTTCTAATAGAAGCATGATCGAATGTACTGAATGGACCATTCTGTGGCCAATCGAACTCTGGAGAATGTAGACCATGTTCAGCAGCAGTCATGGCATTTGCAGTCAATGATTCGGCGTATAGTAAACCTGAAGCTGTAATACCAGCCAATGCAGCACCAGTTATTAGAAGCTTGTTATTGGCGGACTTTGCGGTGTTGCCGGAAACTGTTGAGAGTTGGCGGGCAGCAGTCTTTGAGACCATACGACTTAATATAGATCTTGAAAACATGTTATAATAAAAAATTTTAATCTAAAATAGTATGTGTATGAGTATTGATAAAGGAATAGATATATTTAATTAATCTTTCTCTGGATTATTCAATCAAAATATTAACAAAATAAGGGATAAAATAATTGTAATTTTTGTTATCTAATGGAAATGTGAAATCTTTTCCCTGCAGTATCTTTCAAATAAGGATATCAATGGAAAAAATAACAACTATGTGATTAATAGTATCAAACAAATAACAAAAATATAAAATGTAGCAATACGTTGGTTTATATGTATATATATATATTTGGATGACTTTTATTAAACTGCAATATATCAAGACTTATTGTATATAATCAACCAAATATAGTTCTTAATATATATATATATATCTTTATATATTCCTCTAACCTCTTGCCAACTGTTATTTACCATTCTGTATCACTTTCTCCTTCTCCCTTGTAGAAACATCATCGGTCTATACTACTGGCCTCTCTTACTATCTCTGCAGCCCTTGAACAATAAACATTTACCAGCTTGAACTTTCACGCTCTATTCTCCGATACGTTCGGCTCCCTCAAAGAGAAGTTTTTCGGTTTTGACGGTTTCTCGCATTTCATTGGCTGGAGAGTAGGGCGTGGCGTGCATAGTGATTTTAGGGTATTTTAAGGAAATTAGATTGGGTCACTATGTACGGTTCTGGAATTATTATTCCCGTCGGAAATAACCCAACCAGTCTAAGATGATCTTTGTTTACATAAGTATGTTAACCATAGATGACTGTGGCCTCAGTATTTGAAAGTGACGAGAAGATAGTAACTGGACTCAATATCACCTCATACATAGTGAACCACATTTGAAGGATGTCGGATATACGGTATTCATATCTTAATACATTGGATTATCTTCCTTGTGATGTAGTGAGAACTGCATGGCTATTACAAACATTGGATGGTAAATTGAGAGATCTGGATCAATCACCTGAACAATTTAGATATTATGGAGACAATCTCAGCACACAGTCACATTTGCTAGGTGACTTAGTAGAGCAAGAGATAAGACGGCTCAAAGAAGAATCTCAGGAATTGGAATGCCAATTAGTCGTGAAGAAACGATACAATACATTATTAAAGAATAATCCTCATTTGATTAAAAAATTGAATAAGAAACTAAAGAAACCTTCTGTGATTAAAACGAAAAACAAGATGAAACTAAGTATCAATTTAAAACAATTGAGAAAGGAAGTGATTCAAGAACATCGTGCTAATAGTTTAACTCCGGCAATAACTCCAGATAATAACATCCTCTCAGAAGAAGAAGTATATTGCTGGTGTCAACAACCTTCTTTGGGCGATATGATAGCCTGTGATAATGAGAAATGTCCCAGAGAATGGTTTCATTATGCGTGTGTAGGGATAGTTCATTCACCTAAAGGTAAATGGTTTTGTAGTGATAAGTGTCGAAAGGAGCAAAACTCTAAAAAGCGACACATATTTAAAAAGAAGAAAAAGAAGCACTAGCAAATAAATCATACATTATTAATCAAAACAATACACACAAATATATATAGTTTATATAAGTACAGTAAACCTAAATGGAAGACCAATGCATAATTGAGATTCAACTCATATTAAAAAGAGAAAAAAAAATTGTTTTTTGTTTTGTTTTTGCTAGGAAAATAAAGAAATGTTGTAAATATATTATATTATATATATATTAAATTTACAAGTCCTTCTTTAGAGTACCCATGAAAGCGTGCTTTTCAGCTGGAGTTTGGAATCTACCCTTACCGAACTTGGAAGCAGTGTCGATCCACTTTAGAGTGACTTCTTCTAGAGCCTTTCTGGAAGTGTTAGTGTATAGAGACTTTCTTAGAGTAACAATTCTCTTTCTGGTACCTGGGATAGAACCCTTGACCATAACGAAATCGTTGTTAACGTTACCGTAGTGAACGAAACCACCCATTGGGTTGATAGTCTTCTTGGTTCTGTCGAACTCAGTAGAAGCATTACCTTCATCACCAGCCTTACCGACTCTGTAAATCTTGTGGTTGATGGAAGTTCTGTGATGGTAACCGTTTTGACCAGCACGGGCAACAGACCACATAACGTGGGCTGGATGCCATGGACCGATACAAGCAACCTTTCTTAGACCTCTATGGGTCTTTCTTGGTAGTCTCTTGGTACCCCATCTGTGGGTAACACCCTCGAAACCGTGACCCTTGGTGACAGCGACAACATCGATCATTTCGTTGGATTCGAAGACAGAGTCAACGGAAACAGTCTTTTCGAAATGTTCTCTGGCCCAGTCGACCTTTTCAGAGACGGAACCACCGTTCAATTGAATTTCAGCTAGATGAGCCTTCTTTTGAGCTAATGGGGTCTTTCTGACTTGAGTGTGGACTAGAACTCTGACGACGGAAGCGTACTTCTTTAATCTGGCAAGTTCCTTTTCGATGGCAGCACCATCTTGAGCGTACTTGGTAGAGTACTTGGAGAAAGCCTTCTTCTTGGACTTGAACCAGTTCTTGTAGAATCTTCTCTTGACTTCATCGGACAAATGTTCAGCCCAGACAGTGGTTAGGGATCTTAGACCTCTTGGGGTTTCGACGTAACCGACAACACCGACAACGACGACAGCTGGAGTATCAACGACAGTGACGGCTTCAACAACTTCTCTCTTGTGGAACTTGGAACCTGGTCTGTCTAGATCTCTGACGATGGTGGTCATACCGGCCTTGTAACCTAGGAAAGAGGTTAGAGCGACTGGCTTGGTTTGATCATCCTTTGGGAAAGAATGGACCTTACCTCTGATGGATTCGGCTCTCTTTCTTGGTAGGAAACCTAAATGACCGTGACGTGGAGCTTCGTACTTTCTGTGAGACATTGTGTACTGTACTTATATAATTGTGTTGTGGAGAGATTCAAATAGAAATACAAATGAAAAATTATAGCAAGAAGAGAGAGTATAGAATTAAATAAAAGAATAAAAAAGTGATACCTGTATATATATTAAATGACCAAAAAAGAGTATGGAATAATCAAAGATAAGAGAAAAAAAATTTTCATTCTAAATTTGAAAGAAGTGGGAAACCCTATGAAAATTATTTCAACCATCGAATCCATCTGCCAAAAAAAGGAAAGAGCAAGCCATCGAGCGTATACTGGAAAGAACTGACCGTCAACGGCCGATTCATCTAATATTTACTGTTTATTTTTGCGTTGGCGGACCAGCAAAACGGAAAAAGAAAAATAATTTGAAACCAGAAATATTTCAAGAAAACAAAAACAGAAAATAAAAAAATTAAATGATAAACTGTTGGGTGCACGGATGTAGCAGTCTCAGCATACCTGTATCACCATTTACGAGACGCTTCCCTGCGCAATTTGTTTTTTTTGCTCTTCTATTGTAAATATGTATGTATTATTGCTCAATAGAGGTACTAACAATAGTAATAGAAAAAAAGCTCGAGAGTGATTGCACCATCATTATCCGCACAATACAAAATCCAAGCATTCCACTTCTTTCACTAATCGCAGGTTTCCCTTGCTTACCAACACCGCCCAATCTCACCTAATCTGCTCTTCTTACCAAAGAAAAAAACTTCTTTCCTTCGGCTGACAGCACACCGCCCACCGCAACAAGAGACATTTCGTCTTTCTCGCTCTTCCCGATAAGTTTTCACGCACCCCACACAAATTGCGGCCTCGTGGAAGTTGTTCCGGGCGTGTTGATTTGGGTGGAAAAGAAAGGTTTATCTCTGTCTGCGCGCAGACCACATCGCACAAACACCCCCGCAAACAATACTTTTTATTGTCGCTTTGGCTATCAACCAACAGGCCCCCGCGTTATTGGCAAACGGACGAGACCGTCGTGTCAGAGACACCCGCAGCACGGGTGAACGCCCCCTCCCCCTGGCGGTGGTTGCTTTTTGGTTTTGCTTGCGATTGCAGGTTCTTCCATCATTTCCTCTCTTCTCTGATTAACGCTTGCCTAAGTGGGAGAACCTGGAAAGTTTTTCTTTTCCATTTCCCATTTCTTTTCTGGCTTGTTGATGATTATATTTGATTGCACTCCCTCCACTATATATAAGAAAAGAGAGAGTTTATAAGCACACTTTATTTGTAATTAACAATTTCCTTAAATTTTTTTTTTTAGCTGCTTTGGTCTACAACATTATAAAAATAGTATTATAGTACACATATAGCTACTTCTAAAAACAACAACATTTATTATTATAGAAACGATGGCTAGTTTAGATGATAGTATAATTTCAGACCAGAACTTAATGTTGCTGGATAACGTAACAAATTACACCAGAGCTTCGGTGGATTATTTCCATCATAATTTCGATTACAATAAACTGGAAATGTCAGAAACGTGGGCTCTCCTATTAAAGATGAGAAAACACAAATTGTTGCGTTTACCTTCATGTTCCTCAGAGGATGATGACGACTATTCCATGTATTTGAAAAGATTGCATCATTGTCTATGGAGGCGTTGGGCAATCCATGATTTCCACTTGCAGGACAAGAAACTGGACCCTTTGGCAATTAATTGGAATAAAGAAACAGATGTGACCGTGTTGTACGGCCCTTCTTTGTCAAAGGATATAGAACAACAGAAACAAGAACAAGAAAATCGACCAGTGGAGCTTTCTTTACAAGGTACACAAGATGTCGACGATATTAAAAGTGTCCATTCAGACACTCATTTGGATTATTCATCTTCTTATGACAGTTTTTCATCTTCCGTAGAGTCTAAAACGTCGTCAATATTTGATTCTCCTTCGATTTTGAAAACTAATTGTTCAGATTCATCTGCATTTTCTTCTTCACCAAAAAGAAAGTCCCTGAAGTTTAATAGTACGGTTCATAGAAGAGATGTCGACCAAAGAGGTCATTTCTTGGAATCGGAAATTGCTATTAATGATACAGATTCTCAAATGGATTCTTATACGACCTCGTTACATCATAACTCGGGATCTTATCATTTTTATGACTTTAATTCAAAAGCAGACCAAACGACGTTATTGTTCGATGAAGAAGATAGTGATGTTAATTACGTGAGTTCATTCAACGATCAACAATCAAATGCTGCCTCTTCTAATGATAATCATCACCATCACCATCACCATCACCATCATAATCATGTTCGTACAGCTGTACGTCACTGAAAGTTCTCTTTTCTTTGCAATCCATTACCTGATAGATTACTCTAAACAGGCATATTTTTTAATGACATTCCACTCTCTTCAATACACATATTCGTATCATCACTAATATTATTAATTCTATTTTTTATTAAATAGTGTTTCAATGACTAATACCGACAACAACAAATTGTAACTGCATAACATTTTTTTTATTGCTTCATATATTTATATATATAAAAATACGTATACATTCATACATATAATACTTCTTTTACTACTAATTCATGACGTTACACATTTTTATGTTTTTTCTTCCACTTCAGTAATTAAAAAATAATAGATTGTTGCTAAGTATGTTCTTACTCTGGGATAACCATATTTTTTCCTTACCGTGTTTATTACTATTACTCTTTTACAATTATTTATATATATAATTTACATACATGTTTATTTTATACATAATTATTCCACTTTTCAATCAAATTTGGTATTGAAAAAAGTATGGCTCATTGTCTCCTTGGCAGTCAATCTTTCTTGATGATCATATCTTAATAAATTATCAATTAAATCAACCATTTCAGGAACTGCTAAAGTGGTCTCAGGCGTAATAAAATGACTCCACGGTTTCTTAGTGAAATCCTTCATAATCTTATCATATTCTGATGGCAAATTCAAGTTATATTTAGCCAAATATTGTAGCATCTCTTTTGTTCCCAGGACAGCAGCAATCTTCACCAATTGATCAGGATTAGTAGACCCTTTAAAGAATGGTTCTTTCTTAAACACTATAGCGGCAAGCATACAACCAACAGACCAAAGATCCAAAGAATAATCATATTGATTCAAATTCACCAAAAGTTCTGGGCCCTTATGGTAACGAGATGCAACACGTACATTATAATCGACACCAGGATGATAAAACTCGGCTAGACCCCAATCGATTAATCTTAATTTACGTTCGATTGGATCAATCATAACATTTTGAGGTTTAACATCTCTATGCATAATACCCATGGAATGACAATAATCTAGAGCGATTAACAATTGTGTAAAATAGTACTGAATATCACTTAGTTTGAAAGTTGGATACAATGTTCTAAAATCCACGTTTTTAACTTCTTCGAATATTAATGCAGGAATCTTAGAATCTTTATCTTGAACAATATCATATAATGCCACTACATTTGGTCCGCCTGTTAAATTAGTTAAAATTTTTAATTCACGGAATATTTTTTTCATCTTAACTGGTTTTAACACTTTTATAACACATGGTTTGTCATTAGTAACACATTTCCCACTAAAAACTTCGGAATATTTACCACGACCTATCTTATTGATGATCTCATAGTTGTATATCTTCCCCCAATCAATAGTAACACCTTGTTCATAATCCCAATATTCTTGCGGCCTCTTTTCACAAGCATCCGAATATACTTTAGCAACTGAGTACACGTGCTTGGACTTCTGATTTAGCATCGAAGCTGGTAATGGCATGTTGTAAGTCTATAATAAAATAAAATCAACAATATTATCTCAATGTATATACGTTTCCCCTCTATTCTACCAAAGTAAACAACAAAGACAGGGCAAAACTGACAAACTGACCACAATCACTAGTTGATCCTACCTCGAGAAACTGTTTTCGATTAGATTCGTATCCCTATTACAGCTTCTTTCTCGATCTGTTTTCTGTGCTCTTTAATATACCTCCTCCTTCCCAAATTGCCCTTTCTTTAAATTTTTTTTTGGATTTTTCTTATTTTTTTGCTTTTCCTTTCCCCTCTGTGGAAGACACAGTCGTTTTCGTTTCGCAGTGTAAATATTTTTAATGCCTGTTTGTCTGTCTGGCTGTGCAAGATTTGAAATCAATTTTACAAGTAATGAATGACAGTATATTTAATATCATAGGAACACATGAAAGGAGAGTAGATGAGGGGTTGCTTGGGGATCATAGTGTCTATCATATATTGAAGTATCGATGATAATTTATTGCAGAATTTAGTGAAAACATTTATTATTTTGAAAATATATCCTTTCATTAGTGAGTCATCAATGTTGAGACAAGTTGGCCTTTTGAAATTCGATCTAGGAGAACGACACGCTGATATAGTAGTTAGGGATGTGCAAATATGGATAGATAGAGACATGGCACAGGAGGAGGAGCACGATAATGATACCACCATTTGGTCGTATTCTGGTCGATTTATACAATATGTAGATCTTAATATGCTACCGCTATGGTTACGTCCAAACATATCAACCAATAACGATACATATTTATGTTTCACAACTAGTAAAGCTACAAACGCATATTTCAATTCTAAATTAAGGGACGGTCGGAGAGGTATTGTGGTAAGTTTTCCAACACAAGAGAGTGATGATAAGAGTGGGTTATGGATATTTTACAGAGATGATGCTGATGATAAATTCAATGAAGATCGATATGTGAAATGTTTTATGCTAGATCTGACACGAAAGACACTGATTGATACTCAAATACAAAACTCTACAAAGGATAGTACCATGGGAAGAGAATCTAGTATTGATGACATCTTGAAGAAATCTCAGAACAGAATCAATTCAGCAAATAATGAAGTCGCAAAGAGTGTTCGTATTAATGATCGTAGACTGCAATTCAATGAAACCCTGTCAAGGTTGATCCTTGGTGGGTTAAGGCTTAGAGGCATACCAAATACCCAGTCCTCATTCCAACGATTGTATAAGATGGCGTTCGATGCATCTGAATTTACGTACCGGAGGGAATTGAAAGAGATATCCAGAGGTCAACAACAGGAGATTCCGTTCGAGGGGCTACAGGAAACTGTCGAAATACTGTTGAAGCTATTTACTAAGTCATGAACCGTGTATTATTTCTGACAGCACATCGGTCGAAGAGTTGTCTCTTGTGTCTGAATGGTCAAGACCATCTCCGCTGGGTTACGGTAAATCCGCGGAACTTATCTCCGAATATGTTGCTTTCTTCACTCAGTGAACGTTGTGGGGGTATGTATTTCTCATTTTTGGAGTTTCGGCCGAAAACTTTTTCATATATTTAATTGTACTCCGCCACCTGGTCCGAATATAAATATATAAGCAGAGACTACTGTAACTTAACACTTTCAGGAACTGGAGGAACCTGCACTCAATCTGGATTCCGTTCTGTGTAAGCATCATTTGTTGCCGTTGTTGTTGTTTTTACATCTGGTTGGAATTTGTTGTATGGTCAATTAGTGTGTGTTTGTCTTTATGTCGTCTCAACAAGGTAGTCATCTATTTGTTCTCATCCATGGGTTATGGGGGACACCTCAACACATGGGCTCTCTCAAAGAAAGCCTTCAACACTATATCGATTCAAAAGAAAATGCCATTTTCTTATTGCCGTCACAAAACTCCAAATTTAAAACTTTTGATGGTATTGAAGTGTTGGGTTATAGGGCCCTCCTTGAGATTTGTCAATATATTAGGAGGCATAATGATTTACAGGAATGTTCTGATCATAAACGCATTACACGAATTAGTATAATTGGATATTCACTAGGTGGTCTTGTGGCCAGGTTTGTTGTAGGTAAGATGTTTACAGAATGTCAAGAATATTTTTCAGGGATAGAGCCAGTACTATTTTTAACGATGGCAAGTCCGCATCTAGGTATAAGATTCTTTAATCCATCAAATAGTTTATTTAGGACAATTTTAGATCCTGTAATGACTGTTCTTGGCTCAAATGCTCTAGGGAAAAGTGGTAGAGAACTTTTCATTGCCAATCGATACAATGATATATTAATAAGATTGAGTGAAGGTGAATTCATTCAAGGGTTAGCTAAATTTAAACATAGGACGGTGTGTGCAAATGTAAAGAATGATAGAACTGTTGCATTCTACACGGCTTTTATAACAAATCATGACCCATTCATTGAAAGTGGAAATAGTGTAAATTACACATTTGAAAATAATGTTCCAGGAACTGGATACTCCAATATTATCCCAAGAATTGTTGATTTAACACGATTAGATCCTAAAAATAAACATGTCATTGAAAATAAACGTTTGTCGCTGAATGGTAAGTTGAAGCTGTACATATTGTTACCTTGTCTATTCTTGGTGTTTTTTCCCATTGCATTACTGGTTAATATATCGGGAACTGTTTATAGATATTTTGCCACAATTAAATATAGAAAGATGATCAAGAATGGAAATTTACCAAATGAGTTTCGAGAAAAGGTCGGTATTAGTGATAGGTTGGAAACATATGTCAGTGCTACATATGAATCTATTCTAAAAGAAAATGAATCAGGCAATGATGGCGATTTAGAAGACGATGATGATCTTATACAAAATGGGGGAAAATATAATCAATCGATGAGTAAAATTCCTACCATGGATAGAAATTCAAGAGATAAAAAATGGGATATATTTATTCAAAAATACTCTAATATTGTAGATGAAAAGAATATGTGGTATAAACGCTTCGATGATCTTCCTTTTGATAATAAGAGAATAGCAATATTAAAAAACCTGTCTAGTTTAAAATGGATCAGAGTTCCGATCTATGTTAAGGCATTAAATGCACATGGCGGTATCATTGCTAGAAGAGGTATCGATGAAGATACACAGCCTACAAGTCTTGCCTCTATCCAATTTGTTGGTCAATTGGTTGATTATTTAACTTCGACTAATTAAATGACATTCATGATATTATATTTACGTATTTTATAGAAACAAATAGCCTAATTAAGGAATTAATTATTATTTTGCATTATCATTCAGTATATATGGAAAGCTAAATAGCATAGGATTTTGTTGATTACCATTTCTCGATTGGATTAGCTTTGTAAGCGATATAATCTTCTTCATTGTACAAAGAAATCTCAGTTTCATTTTCAATGTCATATTCACATAGTTTCTTCCCGTTGGCATCTGTTATGTCAATAATCCAATCATCATCATGGTTGAAATTTATTACCAGGTTCACAGTCTTTGAGCCGTGTGCATGAGTGTAAATCTTCATTTTGTTATATTTGACAGTTCTAAATGGTCTGAATGCTCCATCTGTCTGTATATGTTTCATGCAGTCATTGAACAAGTCGAAGCCAGTCTTATTTTTCAAATCGTAATCTCTCAAGATCAAGTTCCTCACGTTTCTGTATGGAAATGATTTGATAATACGTAGGGTAATGGTAGAATCAGTTAGAGGAGCCGCAGTTGACGTTAGCGGTTCATTTAAATCATAGTCAGTTTGTTGATTGTTAGACATTGTTGAGTAGTATTTTCTGATTGTACTGTATGATATGCAAACTAATATATATATATATATTCTCTTAGATTTAAAACTAACCTTCCTTCTTCAAGTTAATTACTGCGGTTTTATAATCAAGGATAATATCATTCGTTAAGAAATTTTTCAAAATATGTGGCGGGGGGGTTAGCACTATAGAGGCGATGAGTATATAAGATGTCTATATATAAGATGTCTATACAAAAGAGGTAAAGAGGCATAATCAGCTCCCTGGATTTCCTTCATAAACGTTATATTGTAATGACGTCAACACTTAATATAGTCGTTGTCATGCATTTAGAAACTGATCCGTTTTCTTGTTTATTTCTTGTTTAATTTACATTTAGGAAAGAACCGAGTGATTTTACTAAGATCGAAAAAAAAATTCATCGACTAAAATTTCAAAAATGTTAAAATACACCCGCTCTAGTAAATAAAATTCCAATCTCCTCAATAAATGAAATCGACCCCTCTTGAACCATAAATAAAGCACTTCCAACTTTATAAAAAGATAGAGGTAACCTAGTAAATTTTTAACTTTCAAAGTAAGGTTGATTGTCAACAGGTTTCTTCATCTAATTATAAGTGACAACAACAAAGGTTGCCTTTACTCAAACAAAAGAGGAACCTTTAGCCACTACCTTATACTCTATAACCAACAGAATAAATTTGCAAATTTGATCCTAGTTTGCAAACTTTATGAGCGTTAATAACACATTATTGAATCACCAAAACTTTTAATATTTTCTAGATTCCGGGTAACTGTTTATCATTATACCGAAAAAGGAAATTTGTCAACAAAGGACAGGGAGCCTCATCAGTTTGCGAAAATAACGAAGAGCAACAAACATAGGGAGAAACATATCTTTTTACTTCATCACTTACATCAAGTTTCAATGGAAAGAAGTAAAACACCAAAAGGGTAAGTCGGTTATAAAGTATACGTAAAATTTGTTTAATATTTGTTGTTAATAGCTACCTGGACTATATATATGTTTGTAAAATTTAATTGATTTAACCTTTGGTAACTCACGGCAGCAAAAGAAACAACAAGTAATAGAAATTTAATATTTAATATTTAACATATTCGTTTCTGTTTTGTATTATAGAACCATATAACGATGGATACGTTACAAAAATCGCCATCTAGTCTGAAACAACGTTCGGCGAAGGAAGTGGGCTTTCATGGATCTCATACTAATGATATCTCAAGCGAATCCTCAATAGAATCAACGTTATCGACATCAGGTTCCCGAACGCCAATCATGACACATACAAGTCAAACTAATGTAAGCCCGTCAAAGGAGTTCATGACATTAACACCAATTAGACTCCCTGAAAACTATTCTCCTTCAAGAAACCCACTACTTTTATCTAGCCGAAGGAAACAAAATGATATCAATACCGAGATCAATTCTTTGAATAACTATTCTCCAACTCATGAGACAATATATCAGGAAAAATTCAATGGTATCTCATCTCAATTGGCGACTCTATTAGAAAACCTGAATATAATATACAAAAAGATCGGATACTCCAGTTCAATGATAACAACTAAGGAGAAGACAATATTCCATGATTTATCATCCCTATTAGAAAATTTTTATGAGGAAGCTGAAGTTGAAATGGAAAAACTATCTTTAAATAATGATTTAGATCAAGAAATAATAAACAAAATATTAATTATACTTGGGGATCCTAGTGGTATTGAAACGATTCCAGATCTATATATAAGAAACGCCATTTTAAAACAATCAAATAAAAGCGTTCCCCAGTCCCCCAAAAAACCATTAACGCTACTTAATAAGAAAATTACACTTGAAAAAGCTAAAATGTTTACATTAGGGAAATATATACCTAAATTAATTACGTTCTTACAATATTCTGTGACGTTACAAAAATTGATACGATCTGTAAATAATGATAACCTAATAGCTGAAGAATCAGTCACTAATGCAATTTCGAATCTACCATCTTTAAAAGAAGTCGAATACCTACTAAAGGATTTGATGAAATTAAAAGATTTTCAAGTAAACACAGAAAGTATATCACAACTCTTGAAACAGTATAAGAAGATCCTATTAGATGGTAATGGCACCACTGATATTTCCACGGAACGTATAAAGAACCTTACAGCTGCCATCAATGTGTATGAAGTAGAGATCAAATCGAGATTCCAACAGAATAATGAAATGGTAAATGAAATAAGTGCATTAATAAACGAATTACAAGTAAACCCAGAGGAAGATTTACCTCCTCAGGAATGGAATACCCTAACGACTAGTTTCAACATTGTAAATAATCGTAATATACGAGACATAAATGATTTAGATCCAAATATCATTATAGGCAATGAACAATTAGATACTTTGCAGCTGATTATCAAGAAATATATTACCATTAAAGCAAATAGATTAACTGAGAAAAAGATGTTGATTACCAAATGTAGAACTTTATGGTCTATATTAAAAATATCCGAGACATATATTGAAGAATTTATGAGGCAGAATGCTGGTCTATCGACTCAAATCTTTAGTAATCTAAATGTAGAAAAAGAAAAACTAGAGCAAGATAAGAAACAACAAATAAAACACTTAATCAAGCAATCCTTAGAGGAGATAACTGGGCTATGGGATACTCTGAGTATCGAAGACCAACATAGAGAAGAGTTTTTCCAGAAGTTCAATAATAAAATCGAGCCAGTTCAAACTCTTCAAGATAACGAAAATTTATTAGCAATGTGTACTTTAGAGATCAATGAACTGAATGAAAAGATGGAGATTTACAGACCCATATTAAAATTAATAGACGAATTCCATTCTTTACAAGAGGATGAAATATTCCTGGATAATAGTTCAAAGGATTCATCTAGACTTCTCTCTAGAAACTCTCATAAGATCTTATTAAAGGAAGAAAACACAAGGAAGAGACTGACAAGACATTTTCCAAGAGTTATGGCGGAATTGTCAAAAAAACTATTAGAGTCAGAGGATGTATTCCAAAGGCCATTTTTATATAAGAATCAACGTATGCTGGACATAGTGTTAGATGAAGAGGAATCGTTTGCTCACAAATATCCAAGAAGTAGACGTATTATGGGAGAGCGTATATCTAAGATTCGCAAGGAAAGAGTAGTCTCTAATTCTTCTGTGAATTCGAAATCTACGATTGGATCAAGTCAATCTGCACCATTGATGACATTAACCAACAACAAACCATTTAGAGTAGCAAAGCGATACAACTCCGACGGTATAAGAACTGATTCTACTAATAATGAGATCCAAAGGAAAATATCTCCAATAAGATACAAATCTAATTTGACTGAATCTGATTTAATGAGAAATTCAAGGTTATTATCAGAAGAATCTAAATTACCAAAATTCTACGAACAAGATGTTGTTAAGTATGAAAAAGAATCTACAGAAAGGCATTTACTTGCTCCAACAAAAATTGTTAGAAAACCACTCTCTACTCCTGGAAACATAAAACCTCAAATGTTAAGGGATTCATCCTCAAATGTATCATTAAACAAATTTTCTACACCTATTTTGAAAAACACTCCACAGCAAACTGAGTCATATCATGGCGTAAAACCTACACAATTATTCCCAATTAGTAACAATAAACTAAACAATATGTCGAACATCAAAGTGTCACGTATACCGACTCTTAATAAACCTATGACAAGAAGAAACTTTGCAAATAGCGTATCTCAATTACAAGAAAAGGAAAACTCAGGACTAGGGAGAATCCCTTCAGATCCAACCTCCCAACAGGATATAACTGCAAAACTACGCAGTCCCTACCGCGAACCCGACCACAGTGTCTACCAATTATCTCAATCCCCTGATGGCAAATTCAGATTAAGTATTCAAGAGAGACAGCTAGATAATCCATTCGATGATACTAGCCTCTGCGAAGAATGAATCAAGATAATACACATAAAATAAAACAAAGGACAATTGTAACACTAATAACAACAAACAATTATAGTAATAATATTTAATAGTAAGTAAAATGCTTTAATAACATATATCATCGCAAACTTATGTAATACAAATCGATTCATATTCTACCCCATTCCAAAATCGTCTTGGAGGTTTACCCTCTCTATCAGCAAAAAATATTATAAACTCACTAAAGAGGGAGAAAGAAAAAATTTGTCATGCGATGCGATGAATAAATTTTTGTTTGAAGTGATTTTTTCTTGCTCTGTGCCAAAATGCGAGATCGCCAGATAGTGCCATTTTCTCTTTCTCTTATTGAAATCTCTACAAGAGGTAGTAACTCATCTGAAGAAGTTGAATGGTTTTCTAGAATAAAAAATTACGATGACCTTTCTGATTTAGAAGAATTTCGATTTGAGAAGTTTTTTTAATATTGGTCCGAAATAATTTCAAAAGTTTTAAACTTATAAGATATCTTATATTTTAATAGTCTGTGTAACATTAGTGCTTTGAATTTATCAGTTAGAAAACTTTTCATATTACGTAAGGTATACTTTTGAACTCCATCAAATTTACAAAGAACAAAAACAGAACAACATAACGAGTGAGAAGAAAGTGCTTATAAATCGTGTGTTTCTGTAAATAATTAAGTTAGACTACAACAACTTAGCTAAAGACAACATATTGTACTCCAACGTATAACTCTAAATATTAATTAATTAAGATGATATCTCCAAAATTTTCATCTACTGTTAAACAAGCTAATCCCGATGGAAAAATATTTCAAAAAAGTGGTCTCCCTAACGATAAGACTAAGGACAATTCTACCAATAGTCAACCCATACATAAGGATAAAAATAATGATTCGACATCAGTAATAACGTCTCCAATATTGAGAAACTCTGTGAGTCCTACTCCTTCACAAACTAAATCGATTATGAATGCAAGTGGTACATCAGGTGCAGTGGTAAATAACACTCCAGAGACAGGTTTGAAGAGAATCCCCGCTGTAACATTTAGTGAGTCAAGTATTAAGCCTTCTCAATCACAACCCGGTATGAATGATAATCTTAACAATACATCTCCAAATGGTGGCATACATGTGACGTCTCCAACAGAACTACAAAGAACCAACATATCTAATAAAATACCGATAAAGGGTAAGTCTGGCAGTCCAGAACAAGATGGGATGAAATCACCTTCTACAATGAAACCTATTAAAGAAGGTACGACGATTAAAATAGGTGATGATCATAACCGAATCCCTAGCAATAATAATGTTATAAAGAAGAATGATAGTAGTAGTAATTTAGGAAATAGAAATAATTTGAAAAACATAAATACAAAAATTTTATTTGATCAAGATGCTCCATTGACGATATCTAGTCCGTCATCAATATTATCAACTTCAGAAAGTGGAATCCATAATACTTTATCGTTAAATTTTTCAGATGTTAAACCGCAACAAAATAAAGACCATCCTCATTTTTTCGTTGAAGATCCATTACATACCCCAACGATGAGCATTAGTAATAGGTCAAGATCTTGTTCCAATAGTAGTGTTCATAGTGGCAATGTTACAATTGGTTCAATAGGTGCAAAAAGTATTGGAAGTATAATAAACGATGCCAATACAAATGCTACTACCAAGGCAACTACAAATAGATTGAATAGCAATTCTGGTGGCTTAAAGTCATTAGAATCTGTACTAGAGGACAAACTCTTAAATACTTCAACCACTGCAAGTGGTGCTGCTGGAATTTCTACGACTACGGCAGCATCAGCAGTTAATCCAACCGATGGAAAGCCAATTATATCCAGTCAAAACAATTCGACTACAGCTTTATCTCGAACCCCATCCTCTTCCATGATTAATGTTAGTGGGGGCGCTTCTACTCTTCCATTATCTTTAAATATACCCAAGAGAGAAACAGGTAAGAATGTTGATCCACGTTTGCCCCAAGATGATGGTAAGTTACATGTTTTATTTGGTGCCACTGGGTCCTTATCAGTATTCAAGATTAAACCTATGATTAAGAAATTAGAAGAGATATATGGTAAAGATCGTATAGTAATTCAAGTGATCTTAACAGAATCTGCTACAAAATTTTTCACACAAAGATATATGAAGAAAATCAATAAGAAAAATTTAAACCAGATAATTACTAATGCTAATGGAGATATAGTGATGAATAATGTCGTGATGGATAGAAGTAATACATTGGTATCCACTGCAACAAATGGTGGCGGCAATGACATTATATCACAAACCGCTACACCATTAGATGCTAATAGTCCAAATATCGGTCTTGTTCCGGAAACCAACAATAATACCAACAAGAATATATTTCAACAAATTGAATTACCACCACATATTCAAATATGGAGAGATCAAGATGAATGGGATGCATGGAAACAACGTACGGATCCTGTTTTACATATTGAATTAAGACGCTGGGCAGATATTCTGGTGGTAGCACCTTTAACAGCTAATACATTAACTAAGATTGCATTAGGTCTTTGTGATAATTTATTAACAAGTGTGATTCGTGCTTGGAATCCAAGTTTCCCAATTTTTTTGGCACCATCTATGGTTAGTAGTATATACAATTCGGTGATGACAAAGAAACAATTGAATATTATTAAAGATGAAATGTCGTGGATTACAGTCTTTCAACCAAGTGAAAAAGTGATGGGAATCAATGGAGATATAGGTCTTGGAGGGATGATGGATGCTAATGAAATTGTTGATAAGATTGTTATGAAACTTGGTGGATACCCTAAGGATGAAGACGAGGATGAAGACGAGGATGAGGATGAAGACGAGGATGATAGTGAGGATGAAGAAGAAAAGAAGAAACAAGAAGGAAAGAGTAATGAGACCGAAACAGAAGATGACGATGACGATGACGATGACGATGACGATGACGATGACGATGACGATGACGATGACGATGACGATGACGATGACGATGACGACGACGAAGAAGAGGCGGATAATGAAATACAACCTCAACAAAATTAGTCATCAAGAACAAGCGTTTCCTCGTTCTAACTATATATGCGAAATTAATACATAAAATAAATACATATGTAGCGAGCATATAGAGAGTATCACTTTTAAAAATTAGGTTCATCAGCACACACACATATATCTCCACAATACCAAAAACATATGTGTTCTAAGTTCCCTCGATTTTCTTTTCTTTTCAATCCCAAATTACGACAAGAATTGAATAACAAAGAAAATACCGTGAGTTTTAGTATTGTCATCTCATGTTCTAGTTCCAAGGGTCATTATAACAAAGCAAACCAACTGAGGGGTGAACAATTTATCGCGCGGTGAAGTGAGCGGCATGTGTCTTTCTCGCTCGGTCCGTTGTGATTTCCCGTCTCAGTTAGGGGAAACAGGTGAGGATGTCTCTCTATAAAGTCAAAAGCAAGTATTCTACTAGTTACTATCGCTCTCCCTTTCTACCTTCCACTTGAGACTTAATGTCCAACGGTTTTTCCTTTTCACTACCACTATCAATCATATATATCATGATATATTACTCATCCTCTATCTCATCCTCTATCTGTCTGTCTATTTAGTATGCAGCAACGAAAGTGAGGCGCGCGCACACACACGAGACGAGACGGCCACTGCGAAAATAATGTGACTCGAATTCTTATCTTGTCGTCAATTTGGGTGGCAAATTTTTGTTGTATATGGCGGAGAGGGTGAAGGTGGCGAGAGGGTGACAAAGGTAAAGTAAATATAGCTTGTGATTGAGAGGGACACAAACAAACAATATATAAAAGGGGAACGGGTGGCAAATGTGTTTTATTTATATTATTATTCGTATTTCTGTCTCTTGATAGATGTAACTCAAACATATATCTAAATATATTAAGAACAAACTACTTTACTATATTTTATTTGCTTTATTAGATATTACACATCGTGTTTAGTGTATTACAATTTTAACTTCACCACGATTTTGCTACTGATTATCTAATATTTCTAGTAAACACACACATACAAACACATCCCTATATTATTTCTATTATACTTCCATCACAATGTCTGAAAAAATGCAAGAAGAAAACGTAACACAACAACAATCGACTCCGAAGGAGAATACTACAACCACTACATCGACTTCGAGTGCAAAGAGGATAATAAAGAAGAGTTCGAATAAGAAGAAGAGAAAGAACGTTTGCTATATGGATAACTGTTCAAATGCAGCTTTAAAATTCATTGGTGATTGTAACTTCTGTCATGGTCATTATTGTTCAAAACATAGAATCATGGAAAATCATAAATGTACAGGACTAGATAGTTGTAAAGAACAAATGCATAAGAGAAATGCTGATAAATTAGATAGAGAACAAACTATAATACCAAAGATTCAAATATAAGAAATGAAGAATAAAATCAATCCTTCTTGTTCATAAGAAATACAAAAAGGTTAGACACATAATGATGTATCCCCGCCCTCATTCCTCCACTTACATGTATGCGTTTTTTCCATAATTCTTCTTACATCAATGTTTTGGCAAAGATAAACACTCAACTGTTTGTTTTTGGGACGCAGTTCATGAAATTTCATGCTAGGTCGTCTGCCACATACGGAATAACACCCTCTGCCCCCACGAAATCAACGTACCATGTTATATTATATTATTACAAGTAAGATATACCCACTTCTACTATTATGTATAATTAAATACCCGATAAATAATACTCAGACTTTGTTAATTTAAAAAATGTTATTAGTATAATTATATCACCATTATCGCTATTATCGCTATTATTGTTATTATTCAAATTCTTCACCTGCTAGCGCCGTGCGCTTTCCACTCTTTATTCCCCTTGTAGCTGTTTGCACTAAGCGTCCCGTTTCGCACTTTTCTGAAAAATTATTTCCCGCTTTTTAACGGTCCGAAGGTCGAGAAGCGAGCAAAAACGAAAAATTTTCATTCTATTTCGATTTTTACAGATGCCCATCTGACAGGACATATAAGATCAGAAGAATAAAGGAACGGTTTGATTCAAGTCTGCAAGACTTACTTTGCCTGTTATCATTAAACTGTGCTATCCAACGCTTCGATCAGACAAGAGTAAAAGTCAAAAACAAGATATATATAGTAACCATGGCCAAGAGACCACTAGGATTATCTAAGAGTAACAAAGCCAAGAGAGCCAAGAGAGACCAGGACAAAGCAGGTGCAGGCACCTCCAACGTGAGCTCTGCGAACAACAGCAAAGAGGGTACTCCGCAATTGACTTTGGAAGTCGAGGAAGGTGAGGACCCTGAGGATGAATTGGTGCAGTTGCGTGCAATGTGGAAAAGATATTTCCACGAGGAGAGACAATCAGAACCACTGTTGAACGGTGTTATTAACGAATGTAATGGTCTATTGATCAAGAGTGATCAGGACGGTACTGAATTGGATACTGAGTATTTAGCAATCTTTGCGTTTGCCTTAGTCGAATCGATTTATACTGAAGATGGGTATCATCCTGAAATGCATGAATTGTTCGAACGTGCCTTGGAAGTTCTTGACAGAGGGTTTAAACAAAATCCTAAAGACAAATTATTGGGACTTACGTATGCGAATCTTTGCTTCACTAGGATAATCACTGAATATATGTCTCAATTGAAGCCTGATAGTAATGAATCCGAAAAGCAATGGGCCATTGAAACGTTATTAAAGGATGCAATGTCTAAATTTTCAATTTATAATGAAGACATGAAGATGACATATGCTGTATTGACTGAATTGAATACATTATTAGAGTTAGTAGGTCATTTCAATAGTTCCAATGCTGTTGCTGAAGATGGTCTTGATAGTGATGTTGAGGAGGATGTTGAAGATTTAGATGAAGGAGAAGAAGAAGACGACGATAAGATTGGCTCAATTGCAGAGACCCATCCGTTGTATCCGTTGAGATTGCGTTCTCGTGATCACTTCGAATGGGGGAGGGAACAACTAGTCGAACTATACAAAGCATTACCAACTGATGATGATATTAAATTCAAGAGAGAAGTTGCCACAATGATTGGTGAATTATATTTAAAGAAGGCAGCTGCTCCAACTAGAAAGTTTTTAAGATTAAGATATGATAACGATGAAGAAGAAGAAGAGACGGATACTGCCATGTGCCAGGAAGCCCAACAAGGAGCCATTAAAGCTATTGCCTCGGCGTTAGAATACTTGAGAGATGCACAAGACCCAGACTCGACCGATTCATGGGTTGCCGTTGCCGAAGCATATATTGATTTGGGTAATGTTTGTGATAATGAATCGTGTGAACAAGACAATGCGTATGGCGAAGCTGAGAAATTATTACGCAAGGCTAATATTGCTGCTCACGGTAAGTACGATGAAGTGTTATCTAAATTTGTGCAGGACCAACAAGCCGAGTAAAAAGGTTAACCGAATTAGGTAATATAAAACGCCACGAGTAATATAACAATATAACAATATAACAATATAACAATATAACAATATAACAATATAACAATATAATATAAGTATATATACACCTCTTTTAGATAAGCTTTGACACTGCTCCGTGGGAGTTGCCATATAGCAACGGTCATCATCTGTAGAATGTCAAAATGATTAAGCCCATGGAGAAAAGAGTGAGCTTATTTGTATTTGTATATTTGCTACATCTGTGTGTATTCCGCGGGACAGACCTCGTTGACAGTGATGTCCCTGACGCTATTCTCTTGCACTCCAAGAAAACCAATAAAAAAGAAACGGGGTAGCTCACTCTCCGTGGGACGCTTTTTCGATCCCTGGTACTCTGTTACTACGTCATGTTCTCTGCAGGGAAAAGAAGACGGTCCATAGCTTGCTAAAAAGAAACGCTTTTCTCCCATTGCTTTTGTTGCTTTCCGGGAGTGGAAGGAGTATTCCTCCTTTTGGGATTCTGCGGTGAGAGAGATCCGTAAACTGAAAATACACACAGGGTATAAAAATCGCGCACATACACCTCGCTATCCATAGTAATTGCGGCACATATATAGGTAGATGAGGAAGGAAATCCGCGGACTTAAAACGAAAAGACAGCAAAATTGCCAAGGTCTCACACACCCAGAGAGACAGAAAGAGAGAAGGATCCCTTGCTGCTCTGTAAGATTACAGAAAGTAAACAAAGTGAAGTTGATTATTCAATTCAATTCAATTCAATTCAATTTAATTTAATGGTGAAAAACTTTCCATGGAAGTCAAGTTAATGTAGATTCCTTAGTACTCTCTGTCGAAGTACCGTAATATAATTTGCTTCAACAATCGGACCATTCCTCTCCCCCTCCTCTCTCTCTTCTACTCTTGTTAGTAATAACAACAACACAACGATTCAGTCAATCATCTCAGATTAGTCTTGAAGTAACAACAATTTATAAAATGTCCCTCTCTCTCTATATATATCTCTCCCTCCGATGCCAGGTTTCATTATGTAATGTATTATGCACCTATACTGGTAGAAAGTCAAGAGAGACAATAATTGGAAAAAAAAAGTAATGTTACAGCAATAATGATAATTCTTTGTCATTTCCTTTAATTCCATCCCTTCCCCATACCTATAATTTCTTTTTCTCTTGCATTTAATATATGTCGATCGACTGTTTTTAGAGTACTTTACATATATATATATGCATATATATATATTAAACCAATATTTTCTATTTATTATATAATTCATTGGTTCATGAAACAATTAAAGAAATATTTTATTTTATTTTTCACTTTTTTCCGTACCACAACTACATCAACATACCATCACATTAATTATTATTATTCACACCTCATAATGGACGATTCTTCAGTCCAATCAAGTATAGCGGCTTTACTCAATAGTACAGCTCTAGAAAATATATATGACCATCATGTTTCATTATATGGTGGGATGACCCCAAATTTAGCTTTCAATATTTGTATGATTGTAATATGGGGTATTCTTTTAGCATGTCAAATAGTTCAAGTCATATATAAACAATATTGGTTCTCTACTGCTTTCATCTGTACAGGGATCCTGGAAGTATTAGGTTATATTGGTAGAACATGGTCGCATTCAGATACTTCGTTAATGGACCCTTTCTTATTAAATATGATTTGTTTGACTATCGCTCCCGTATTCACAATGGGTGGTATCTACTATCAACTCGCTAAACTATTAGAAGTCTACGGCGCAAAATTCGGTCAATGGCCTCCAATTATTTATTCTTATGTATTTATTGCATCTGATATTGTGTCATTAGCTATTCAAGCAGCTGGTGGTGGTACTGCAGGTATGGCCGTCGCTGATAAAAAAGGTACTAAAGAAGGTACTCATATCTTTGTTGCAGGTCTGGCGTTACAAGTGTTCTCAATGTTAGTATTCATGTTTCTATGGTTCCATTTCTTATACCAAATCTTCATTAAGACAAGAATACAACATGCCAAAGTTTCAAAATTCTCATGGTCTCTATTAAAGATTCCATCTGAAGAAATCGATTATCTATATAAACCAAAATATAGAAACATGAGAGTCCCAAGCAGAATCCCTTTCAAATATTTCACTCTGGCAATGACAGGGGCCGTGTTGACTATTTTCACTCGTTGTGTCTATCGTCTTGCGGAATTGGCAGAAGGTTGGGAAGGTAACTTGATTACTCACGAATGGTACTTCATCATCTTAGATGCGGTGATGATGTCGATCGCTACAATTTGTATGACGGTGTTTCATCCTGGGATGGCATTTGAGGGACGTACCCAGTCTATACCAATTGCTAAGACCCATAAATTCAGGAAATCAAAAAAGAAATCTTCAGAGACCGCATTTGATCATGATATTGAGGCTGGCGATTTGAATACAAATGGTGGTAGTGACTTGGCCGATTTGGTTGGAGGTCAGGATGATGACGATTTGGACAATTCCTCTTGGAATAATACAGATAGTAATGAAAAAACAGATACTAATTATGCTATCCCGATTGTCGAAGATAATAAAACCGCTGTATCTGATGGTTCCAACAATGTTTCAAACAATAAACAATCTGGTTTGAAATCAAAACTATGGCCTTTCAATAAATAATCCTAATATTCACTATTCTAATTCCATTCCACATTTGTAACTTCTACCCCATTGCCATAGAATGATCATCTGGTTTGTCTGTCTTTAAGAAACATACCATACCATTTCCTTTCATATATATCACAAAACATGATAGCATTTATTTCCCAAACTACAACTACTACCCTTTACGATTAATTTAATTCATTTTCATCTTTGCTTGTTTTTTGTTTCAAATTACTTTAATAAAACGAAGTAACAAAATCTATGTCAATCACATAGTAAAAATACCCTATTTCATCAAAAACACATTTATGACACATTTCAACCCTAACGTATAACAGGATAACGATCGTCTATGACATTGTTTACTTCTAATTTAAGTTCTTCATCATTTGATATATCATACACTAAATGTAGTTTGGATGCATTTTTTTTCCAAACCATGTTATTCTTTGGTCATACTTTTTGATAGACTGCCTCCATAAAAACATATATATCATAATAAACACAGAAATATAATAAATATATTATTAGAAATTTAAAAAAAGTCTCATTCTATAGATACAATACATACACATCTATATTTTCTTCAATCATTGGCTTAAACTTTCTCTTCGACACTATTGAGCAACTCTTGTTTTTTCTCAGCTATTTCTCTTTCCCTCATAATGTAAGCTGCTTCAATTAATGCACATGCAATATATTCAATAGAAATTGTTCTTAAATATGAATGAGAACATCTCCATGTCCAAAATTTAGGCTCTAAATCACCTGTAAGTGAAGAAATTTCTCTTTTTATATTGGTACCAGGACATTCTGTACCTTCATATAAAAAGTAAAATAATGCCGAATGTAACGAAACAACAATTATTGCTAATCTAGGAAATACCTTCTTAACGCCAGCTGCTCTGGCAATGATACATATCCAAAAGACATACGAAATTATAAGCAACATATCCCAATCAATATCTAAAATTGACATGTTCGACTTCATGATAACACTTTACTATTATCTTATATACTTCAGTAATATATACTCATTATTAATTCCTCAACCAATCTATCTCTTCTGTCAATCGAAATTTTTAAAAAGTGTTTCTTGGTTGCAACTATAACATTTTGTTATTTCATCAACTAAAAAATATTTATCATAGGCTAATTTTTCCAATATCCCTTAATTTTTACCTACTGCGGGAAGAGTGCTTTATGCCATCGTAACTTCAACAACCACTCCAAAATACAAATACCAAGGTTATACTTATAAAGGGAAACCATTGAGAATTGTAAACAATCACTAAAATAACATTTACATAAAATGATTTACAACTTTTATATATTTCATAGTTGGGTGAGGATTCAACAACGTTCTATTAAAAACACACATCTCACGAAATAGTTGCCAAATCATCTCGCTTAATATATAAATATGTTCTACATAATCATTTATGTAGTGTATACATCATAATAAATCTTGAAACACATATAGTAGTTATTGTCCTTGCTTTAACCACCAATATACATGACCGCTTGTTCTAATTAATTTATGACTTGTTACTTAAAAATCAACGTATTACTTTCCCTCTACTCCACGACCTCGTCAATTTCCGCGATGAGAAGTGAAAATTTTTGTTTACTATATTTTTTTTAGATATATCTAATTAAGAAGCTACACAACCATAGAATCAAGCGCAAGTACTTTAAAGCTCACTCACAATAGGAACAAAGAAGTAACCTAGAACTTTACAGTTAACTAATCGATACTCTAAACAATTTTAATATGGGTGTCCCTTCATTCTTTAGATGGTTATCCCGGAAGTATCCGAAGATTATATCGCCTGTTATTGAGGACCCTGCTCAAGTAGTCGATGGTGTTATATTGCCATTAGATTATTCAGCACCAAATCCAAATGGTGAATTAGACAACCTGTATCTGGATATGAACGGTATTGTTCATCCGTGTTCTCATCCTGAGAATAGACCACCCCCAGAGACTGAAGATGAAATGCTTTTAGCAGTCTTTGAATACACTAACCGTGTCTTGAACATGGCAAGACCTCGTAAAGTATTAGTGATGGCCGTTGATGGTGTTGCTCCCAGAGCTAAGATGAATCAACAGAGAGCTCGGAGATTTAGAAGTGCTAGAGACGCAGAAATCCAAAATATGGAACGTGAAAGAGAAATATTAGAAAGAGAAAGTTATGGTGAAATAATCGATGATTCTGTTAGAAACAAAAAGACCTGGGATTCCAACGCAATTACCCCCGGTACACCATTCATGGATAAATTAGCAGCTGCATTACGTTATTGGACTGCTTTCAAACTAGCTACGGACCCTGGCTGGAAGGATCTTCAAGTAGTGATCAGTGACGCTACCGTTCCTGGGGAAGGTGAACATAAGATTATGAATTTTATTAGATCACAACGTGCAGATCCAGAGTACAACCCAAATACCACACATTGTATTTATGGTTTGGATGCAGATTTGATTTTCCTAGGTCTTGCAACACATGAACCTCATTTCAAGATCCTAAGAGAAGATGTTTTTGCTCAGAGTGCCAAGCCAAGGTCCAGAAATGGCGGTAATAGTACGTTTGCACCACAAACAGCTGAAGAAAAAGAACTATTATCGAAGGAAGACTCTCAGAAGCCTTTCCTATGGTTGCATGTTAGTGTACTGAGGGAGTATTTAGCGGCTGAATTGTGGGTACCAAGGTTACCATTTGCATTCGATATCGAGAGAGCTATTGATGATTGGGTATTCATGTGTTTTTTCTGTGGTAACGACTTTTTGCCACATTTACCTAGTCTGGATGTTAGAGAAAACAGTATTGATATCTTATTGGATATTTGGAAGGTTGTCCTACCTCAATTAAAGACATATATGACATGTGACGGTAACTTAAATTTAGAATCTGTCGAAAAGCTGCTGGGGCAACTGGGAGCTCGTGAACCAGATATCTTTAAGACCAGGCATATTCAGGAAGTTAGAAAACAGGAAGCAATGCAGAAACGGAAACAATATAAAAACGGTAATATTTCTAAAGGCCAAGATAGACATCCTACTAATTTTACAGAACAACTACAATTGTATGACACTTCTGGTAATCTAGCAAATGGTTCTTGGAACTTGACGACACATGATATGGTTAATCTAAAGAAAGAATTGATGCTTGCAAACGAAGGTAATGCTGAAGCAATTGTCATTGTGAAGGCTCAGAGTGACAAGAACGATGAATTAGTGAAGAATATCACTGAAGAGGAAATGAATAAAGTTGTATCTCAAGCTAATATTAGCAACCACTCTACAGCTGAACTTTTAAGAAAGAAGTTAATTGCTAAAAAACATAGTCTTGAAGACGATGTTGATGAGGATGAGGATGAAACAATTAAGAATGAGGAAGAAGGTGTTGTAACAAAGAAATTGAAGACCGAACAAGATAATCTAAACAATGAAATAAAATCAGAAGTCGAAGCTGAGATGGATGACGAAAATGATGAAGATGATGATGACAACGACGATACTAGTGCAGACGATAAAGATACCGCAACAGAGATTATTTCTAATGGGAGTGTCAAGAGTGGTGTTATCGATACTGATGAGACTGTAAAACTTTACGAACCAGGGTATATTGAAAGGTATTACACAGAGAAATTCCATATCGATCCAAAGGATATTAATACTGTAAGAAAAGGTTTAGTAAAAGCCTACATTGAAGGTGTATCTTGGGTCCTGCGTTATTATTATCAAGGTTGTGCTTCTTGGACATGGTATTATCCATTCCACTATGCTCCATTCGGTTCTGATTTTACTGATATTGCTAACATAGATATTCAATTTGAATTGGGTGAACCCTTCCTACCGTTTGAACAACTTATGAGTGTGTTGCCGGCTGCTTCGGGTCATACTTTACCTGCCATTTTCCGTCCATTGATGAATGAACCAGACTCCCCAATTATCGATTTTTATCCTAAGGAATTCCCAATCGATATGAACGGTAAAAAAATGTCCTGGCAAGGTATTGCTTTACTACCATTTATAGACGAAAAAAGATTATTAGAAAACGTCCGTGCTCAATACCCCAAACTAACAGACTATGAAAGCTCTAGAAACGTTAGAAATGAGGACATTCTACTTATTAGTAACAAGAATGTCAATTACGATACATTTGTAAAGAAACTCTACAATGGTGAGACGCCAGCTGCCAAGCCTTTTAATTTCGGTCACTTTAAGAGTGGCTTGAGTGGTATTGTTTTCGTAGATCAAGAGGGTTTTAAACTAAATAGCAAGCTAATGTGCCCTATCTCTGAAGGATCCTTCCCAGAACTTTCCACTAATCTTTTTTTGAAATTGTCGTTTGAATTTAATCCATTGATTGTTCCAAATAAATCGATTATCCTCAATGGCTATATTCCACCAGTACAAGCCCTGGATTCCTACGATCTAGATTCTATTATGTATAAATATGGGAATAATAACTATGGTCGTAATAACAGATCTCGCTTTAACGATAGTATGAAGGACAACATAATCAAAACTGGACCAAGTGGAACTACCCAATACAAACCAAGAGCTGGTGGATACAGAGCTTTCTTTTACTTTAGTCAACAACAGAATAACCAAAATATGAACCAGTACCATAATCAAAACGGAAACTATAATCACCAAAATCAAGGTAATGGTAGATTTGATAACGAAAATAATAATTACAATAATAGTAATAACAACCGTGGATATGATAACGGTAACAGGTACAATAATAATTACAATCGTAATAACGGCAATAACTACAGTCGTGGCAATAACTATAATAACAATAACAGAGGAGGTTACAGTAATGGAACTGGCTATGATCGTCAAAGAGGAAGATATAATGGTGGTAATCAAAACAGATACAACCAAAATGATAGAAATGGTAGCGGTGGTCGCAGATATTAATTTTATAAAAGTTCGTAACGATTCAACTTATATACGCTTATTGTAATATATATTCGAACATATAGAAAGTTGAAAATATGTTACTACGCTTATAATTATGCTAATATAAATATTTTAAAAAATATGTTGAAGAGAGTTAATATTACTCATAAATGTTAAACAGAGTTGCTGTTGTTAAACTGCTCATCTTTTGTGCATAGTAACGTTGGACTATGTAGCTCCAATAAACCCAATGTAGGGGGAACGAATTCTACATTATGCAGTATATATCAAGTGTTATTATGTATACGGCAGTGCAGTATACTCTAAATTCTACTTATATTAGCTACCTCCTCCTTCAGATAGGTTAAGCTAATGCTAGCCATTTTGTCGGAAATAGATTATAAGAGGGATAATGACCAAGGTTATAATCTATTGATAGGTTCATCCCGCAACAACTTAATAATAGATTGTTTACGCCACTATTGAGTGAGTTTATAATCACGACAATGATAATCCAACATATATAAACGGAACAATATTTCATTTATGAATATAATTGTTTCCATAATTTACTTTATATATTTTTATATAATATGTAAACGTAAGTTTGAAATCGAGAATATACGATTAGTATTCGAGTTGAAATTATCGGACATAGTTATAGATATTCAAATGTATAATCTTGTAATTTATTTTATGTTATATAAAGTAAGTCTATATAAGGAAGATTGTATATATATAAAGTTAGAATATGTGGTCCTTTTATACTTTTGGAAAAGGAAAACAGTCTACCAAATATTGATAGAATTCTTACTAAACATTCTAGAAACATGTTCTAGACACTTATGAAACAATTAGTAATACTTGCTTACTAATCATTCTTAAAGAATGTTCTAGAATCATATTGAACAGTTAGTAATAATTTCTTACTAAACATAAAATTGTAATAACCAAGTATTGCTACTTTCTATATTATAACAAATCCAAGCCTAAATCTATCATTTATCATTTCACTTATAAATTGTCTACTTTGGTAATATTAGAATATCTTATAACAAATAAATAATTCTTCCGATGTAGTGTAACGGCTATCACATCACGTTCTCACCGTGGAGACCCGGGTTCAACTCCCGGCTTCGGAATTTTTGGAACCTTATTTTATGAATGTCCGGGTAATATTACCGTTATAACTTTAAATAACTATGCTTGTGTGGTAGTAAGTCTATTTAAGGTCAATATTTTATATGTCATAGAACATTTAATGTTCTGTATAATTTTGAACAATTTCAAATAATAGCATATGTTTTTGTAGCTGATACAATTAATCAAGTAACGAGAAGGTATCTTTTTTGAATGGCTAAGACCATACATTTCAAAACATTTTCTATAGCTTATATATATCAATCTAATATAAACTGAGTAAACATTCTGTAAGAGATCATTCGTAGCTTTAACTACTACAAGATAGATATCATATATCAGAATTAGCCAACAATTGTGTCACATTAAAGTAAACTAATTTAAATGTATACCATCTGCTAAAAAACGATTACTACAATTCCAGTCTAGATCCATTTGAACGGAATAATTAAGACCCCATACCGTGCACAGTGACCAAAAAAACGTTGTTCCTTTTCTATTTAGTATTCTCCTATGACCAACGGAACAATTCCAATTTTGATTTCCACCTTTGCCCCCCTAGTCAAGACGCCGCAGCAGAATGAAAAAAAAAAGAGAACCCGAACGGTAGTAACTTTGTACGTCAGCAATGGAAACTGTTTCCATGAAATAAATCGCCGCAAATGGACATAGAGTTATTCCGCCACCCAAACAACTTTAATTTAATTTAATTTAATGGATATTTTTCTCCTCACCTGAATAGTTTAATAGTAAAAATAAACGTAGACCTAATAGTCTGTACGTATTTCTCCCTCTCGCTGGGCCCCCACCCACTTATCTTCGTGACCAAAACTATGGCGCACACAATCCCATAGTAACCAACACGACCTGCCTGTTCCTCGAATGAAACATTCGCTACGGTCACCTCTTCCTGTCTTTGGTTGCTGTCTTCCGGAAAATCTTCCGCTGCTTGTCACACAAAATATCCACCATCGTCCAGCGCAACTCACCAAGGAAAAAAACATAAAAAAAAAACAGCAACTCGCCTCTCCTACACTGTGAAAGAGCTGTAGTAAGAGACACACGCCGAGCAGATGTGGTGGGGGTTAATATTTTCACTCTTTTTGCTGATGAGGATAAAGATGATTGTTGGATTGACTATATTGACGGGCAACAAGGAGGAACTTGTTGTGATTATTTAATAATATTAGTATTTGCTTCATGTTGTCGTTAAGTTCATAAGAATAGCAATAGGACTGGTTAGTTCGTCTTCCTGTGCATGGCATTACATGCATGGGGAGCTATATGAACGCCTGTTTCTATATATTTTCTGGGAGCTGCAAGTTGAGGTACCGGAACTACTTCGATTGAAAAAAAAATAAAATAATAGTAAGAATATATTCTCAAAGGTCTATCGTTTTTCTTTCCCATATTGCAAAATAATAATAAATTAATTCGTTGCAAGACAAGTTTTATTCTTTTTAAATTTTTTTTTTGGCTCTCTTTAACAAACTTATTATATATAGTTATAACTTATTATTTTTTTAAAACACATAGACACACACACATATATATGTTTTGTTTATTAGGATTAACAACACCAAGAGATATTACTACAAATAAACACACGTATAAGAGCTTATATCACATATACGGTTAAGATTACAATTACAAATTTTTTTAAACCTATCCTCGAAAGAATACAATTTTAAAAAGATACGTATATATCCATACCTTTTACAAATATGTTTGTTTCACCTCCACCAACATATTTAATTAGGCAGTCCTCACATAAGAAACAATCTAAAAAGAAGGATGCACAAACTATTAATAATAATGAAATGTATAGTGAATGTGAAGTATCCTCTTCTGCATCTTCAATGAATTCAAATATATCAAATCATTCAAATGGTCATATTAGTAACGAAGAACAACAACAAGCATTCCATATTCCTTCCTTAGCTAGAAAAGAAGCTAATTTTGTTAGTGCACCAACAGAGTATGCTGATAGAGCAAGAGTAGAAATTAGAAAACGTTTATTACAACAATCTCCAAATAATAATAATAATAATAATAATAATAATAATAATACGAAACATTTGGATAGAATTAAATCTCATCAATCTTCAAATGCATCTATACAACAACATTCTATTGATAATGAAAGTATATTTTCAGATAATGCTTCATCATATCAATCAAGTATATTTTCTGCACCAACAACAGTACAAACACAAGTATCTCAATATTCCAATAATAGCCTCTTACAACATCAACAAAAATTCGTGACTCATTTGACATTGGAAGAAGCTTTACCAAAGACATTTTTCGATATGTATGCACCAGAATTGTTTACACAGGATCCATCCAAAATTTTATATAATGGAAGACCTACTTTTACGAAAAGAGAATTATTAGATTGGGATTTAAATGATATCAGATCTTTATTAATAATAGATCAATTGAGACCTGAATGGGGTAATAATATACCAGATATTGTTACTAATGAACGTAATTTAGTAAATTTTAGATTTATTCTATTTCCACTATGTTCTTCAGATGAATTTATTATTAATATCTTAGTTAATTCAGATCTATACGTCGAAGCAAATTTAGATTATGAATTTAAATTGACAAGCGCTAAATATACTGTTGCAGCTGCAAGAAAGAGACATGAACAAATGACAGGACGCAATGAACCAATGATGAACTTATCCAAACCCGAATGGAGAAATATTATTGAAAATTATTTATTAAATATTGCCGTTGAAGCTCAATGTAGGTTTGATTTCAAACAGCAATGTTCAGATTTTAAGAAATGGAAAATTCAACAAACAAATTTAAAGAAACCTGATATGCCTCCACCAAGTGTGATTCCAATGTCCATGCAGCATCGTAATGGTACTGGTTCTAATACATTATTGAAGAAAGCACTAATGAAAAACATGCAAATGAAAAATATTCAACAACAACAAAATAGTATAGATAATGCTCTGCTCGCAGGGGATAATTCAGTTCCAGTACAAAAAGTTTCTTTAACTAAAGAAGAAAAAGCCAGCATATGGTCTCATTGCCAAGCTCAAGTTTATCAACGTCTTGATTTGGATTGGAAACCAGATGGCGTCAGGTGAAAATATCTAAAATCCGTTATACGTACTTTTTCCTTCCTTTTGCATCATGCTAATTATTTGCATTCATTCACTAACTCATTAAACATTAGTCCATACAGTACCTTCACTCATTCAAAATCAAACATAATTCCTAATACCAAGTGTTTTGAGTACCATCACTTCTACAAAAGTTACTCACCCATTTTTATTAATATTACATTTAGATAGAGCAACTAATTAATTCATATATAATATATTTATTTTAAATATAAAAAGAATTCATTCATTCATTAATACCAAATCCTGTAAGTTACTATAATTACAAGTTATTAATGTTTGAAACAATATCATGTAATACGGCATATTCGCTAATGCTAAATTGATATTTGAATTTCCGAATGGGAAACAAAGAGAAGAAAAAAAAAAATCGAATTTCGTAGGAAATGTGTGAAAAATAAATAAATAATAAAGATGATGATATCAATTATAGGAAAGGTACACCGTCTCTATTTTTACATTAATTAAGAACGTACACATAGAAGATAGAAAATATATTTGTCCATTTCTGTTGAAGTATTTGCTATATACTTGACAACTCAATCCAAAGAGATACGAATTATATTAGCAGTTTTATTCTAAAGTATGTCTCAACCAGGAAAGAAGGATGCAGCAGATCTGCTAGCATCATTGAAGATCGATGACGCTAAGAAAGAAATAAAACCATCGACAAACACCACTGAAAACGTTTCTGAAAAGAAGGAAGACAAAAAGGAAGACAAGAAAGAAGACGTGAAGCCACCAGTGAAAGATGAAAAAAGCGAAAAGAAGACCGATAGCAAGACAGAAGATGAATCACCATTAGTGAAATCTGAATATGAGGTCAAAGTTAAACTTGTGGATTTACAAGCCGACCCAAACTCCCCATTATATAGTGCCAAATCCTTCGATGAATTAGGATTAACCCCCGACTTATTAAAGGGTGTCTATGCAATGAAGTTTCAAAAACCATCCAAGATTCAAGAAAAGGCCTTGCCATTGTTATTGAGTGATCCACCAAGAAACATGATTGCTCAATCTCAATCCGGTACAGGTAAGACGGGTGCTTTTTCATTGACCATGCTATCTAGAGTTGACCCTTCAATCAATGCACCACAGGCCATCTGTCTTGCACCATCCCGTGAATTAGCTAGACAAACATTAGAGGTGATCCAAGAAATGGGCAAATTTACTAAGATTACTACTCAACTAATCGTTCCGGACTCATTTGAGAAAAATCAACAAATCAATGCTAATATTATTGTCGGGACTCCCGGTACTGTCTTAGATCTAATGCGCCGGAAATTAATGTTATTGAATAATATTAAAATATTTGTACTTGATGAAGCTGATAATATGTTAGATAAACAAGGTCTTGGAGATCAATGTCTTCGTGTAAAGAAATTCATTCCAAAGAGTACTCAATTAGTTTTATTTAGTGCTACCTTTGCTGATCGAGTTAGAAATTATGCTAAAAAAGTTGTTCCAGAGGCTAATACGTTAGAATTACAAAGAAATGAAGTTAACGTTGATGCTATTAAACAATTATATATGGATTGTAAAGGTGATGATCATAAATATGAAGTCTTATGTGAATTATATGGGTTGTTAACTATTGGTTCCTCAATTATATTTGTTGCAACAAAGAAGACAGCCAACTTATTATATGGGAAATTAAAACAAGAAGGTCATCAAGTATCGATTTTACATGGTGATTTACAATCTCAAGATAGAGATAGATTAATTGATGATTTCCGTGAAGGTAGATCTAAAGTATTAATTACCACAAATGTGTTAGCTCGTGGTATTGATATTCCAAGTGTTTCAATGGTAGTCAATTATGATCTACCTACCATTGAGAATGGACAAGCTGATCCTGCTACATATATTCATCGTATTGGTAGAACAGGTAGATTTGGTAGAAAAGGTGTTGCGATTTCATTTATATCCGATAAGAAATCTTATAATGTGTTATCACAAATTCAACAATATTTCAATCTTGATATGACACGTGTGCCGACCGATGACTGGGATGAAGTCGAAGAGATTGTCAAGAAAGTATTGAAGGATTAAAACAAACAAACAAACGCCAAATAAATAGATGTCAATTTATATAATTGGAACGTATATACACACACACATATATATATATATATGTATATTACAATGAAAATTCTTCTGCATCAAATCAACTATTAAAACTAACTCCGATTCCTATTTTACCACATCAGGCGTAGCACTAATATTATATCTATATATCTATATCTAGACGATGATTGTATAATCAAATGCAACCCTTTGTGTCTTACTGAGCGTGGGATTGAAATCAATGTTTCCGTATTGTGTATATAATATTATCTAATCGAATTCAACATCCTTTAAAACCCGGACAGGAACCTCGCAACCTCGGCCGAATGAACCGTCCAGTTCGGTTCACCCCCTGGTCGCTTCCTTCCTTACAGCAGTCAAAATAAGCTTCTTCTCTCCCTTTCTTTTCTTTCCCGCCCAATCGCAATCATCGCAATCGCCGACCCGTGCCGGTCCCCTCTTCAACCCCCCGTGGCCTCCTTTTCTCTCTCCCTCCACGCTGCGAATAGCCACGCAAACCGGCAAAACGGAAATTCAAATATTCGAAACATTTGTTGCTGCGCTGCTCGTGCCCAGTGATAACCCAGGCCATATTTAGTATGCAGTCCCCTTTTTCTCTCTTTCCGTCTGTCGGCCTCCCTGTCCCTCTCCCTGACAGCGTGGGCAGCCGAAACAGAAACAGAACGTAAATTTTTGATTCTGAGTGAAATAAATGAATAAATGAATAAGTAAACAGAATTACAGAGCGGTGGATGGGGCGGGTGATGTAATGGGACGGTAGTACTACCATACCCACTTGTAATATTAGGAAATAAACAAATGTATATATATATATATATAAAGCGATGTGCATCGACAAAAATTATCTTATTTTAAAAAAAACCTTGTTTATTTAATTACTAATTACTTCTCTTTTTTATATACCTACTTACAAACACAAACAAACACATTACACACTAAAATCAATCCATTATGGAAGCCTCTAAAATTATTAACATCATCCTAGCTCTATTTTTACCACCTGTCTCTGTCTTTTTAGCTCGTGGATGGGGTACCGAATGTATAGTCAGTATTGTATTGACTATTTGTGGTTGGGTCCCAGGTATGCTTTACGCTCTATACATCATCTTACAAGATGATTAAATTTAAAGATTTGTTATATATCTATAAAATCTTTTTATTAGACCGTTTCTCTCTCTCAATTGCATTTTAAACAAACCAAACTAAACAATCAAAATTTTTTGTGAAATAAACTAATTGCATTTACTTCACTTCCCTTTCCTTCTATCTATATTTATATCTATATCAATAATTTTTTTTTTTGCTATGGTACTATCAAATATTATTAAGTAACTTTATCTGTTATTTTTCTATTAACTATGTAATTTTTAATTTTAATTTTAATTCAATAAAATATATTATTATTATTATTGTTATGTGTGTTGTATATATACATGTATGTAAAAATCATTATAGATGGAATTTTTAAAACTCAAACAGATATCTCTCTATCTGCATTCATGGGTGAGGTCGATATGTATCCGCATTTCACCTTATAATTGTGGAGCTAGCATATCCATCAATGGAGATTGAATAAATGCAACACCGGCAATAAATAATGAACCATTTAATACAATGGTAAAAGCTGGAGATTCCTTAAATTCTTGAAATTTGGATTTTGGTGCTTGTGGCGCACTTGGAATTCCTCCATTTAAACCTGGCATACCGAACATCTTCTATATTTATCTTTATATTTATATGTAAAAAGTGACTGCGAATAATATTTTATATCGTACACACTAAACACTTTTTTGATTGCTTGTGAAGTTATTTACTTGTTTTACTACCTACCACTCCTCTCCTTATATATATATATATATATTCATTAATTTGCTATTCGTCCCTCTTTCAATTTTATTTTCTTGATTTCGCTTTTTGGGTTTTTTTATTAGAATCACTGCTCGTTAACTATGATATTGTTTCTGTCTATTTCAATATTGTTTTCTTTAGTATTAGGAATATGCTATAATAATCATGGTAATAATGTTATATAAGACTTGTATATATACATACATATATATATGTATACGTAGTAATTATGCCGAGACCATACGATGTAACCTCGTAAGCTCATTGCTGTCTGTATGTGTTATTGAATCGTTTGACGACGCCATATATATCAGCTCGTCCCGCGATCTGAGTACCGATTCTGGCTGTTGTTCCTGTTGTTGATTACTTACCACTAAATATTCTTGTATCTTATCCATCAACGTGTGCAATGAAGCGCTTAGGCGTACATTCTTACTCGCATCTTTACCTTTTATTATACTATTACTGTTATGACTAACAATATTCCTCCTCTTATGAATAACCATGGGGGGTTCCGGGACCAAAACAATCTTGTGTGGCTCTTGATCTGGTACTTTCTCAGCCAAAGTATAACGCCTTTGATGGTACTGTCTTAGTTTATAATAATACCTCACTAGACGTATCATATATAACCATGCATCTATCATGTAAAGACCTAGGAAAGGTACAAGGACCATCAGAATAAGAATATAACATGTTGTTTGAACAATATGCACAAACTGTATACTCCACCGTACCACTGCTTCTTCTATTATATCGAGTACTGCCATACTATGTCACTATATTTTTTTTTGTTATTTCTTGTAGACTAATGTATAATAATTTGGTGTTCCTATTCAAAAACAAACGACGACTGATAAACTGACCTCTTTAGAGAAGAATAAAAATAAAGCAATATTTTTTTATTTAATTATCTTGTATATATTCGTAGCAACTAGCAACTTTATTCTGACGTATAAGAAATTGTAGCGATACCCTTTGATTGCTTCAGCCAAGAGATGAGTTGTTTTTTCCTTTAAAATATAACTGTTATTAAAATTTATATTTCCTTTTGATTTGTATTTTTTTTTGTCTTTCTCCTTACAGTGAGTAATATGTGTGATCCTTGTTCGCTTTGTTCTCCCGCATATATTCTACTCCGTCAAATGGTCATAGTGTCTCCTGCAAGGCATAATAATAATCATGCTAATAACATCAACAAATCATCATTCATTCATATTGACAGGTTTCGGTCGCTTTTAATAGCATTATATTAGTATATATATATATTTGTTTGGACTGTGGTATATATGTATGTATAAAGAATGTTTGTACGTAATGAAATGTTGAAAATTTAGAAGGAAGGAAATCCAAGAAGTATGTTATTTGGAAAAACAGCTTGTTATGTATCTGTCTTTCTCTTTTTTTATTGTTTTGATTTGCTTGTGCTGGTGACTGACTACTGTACACCGATCACACTCAATTCTAAAGTCCATACTCTACGGATATGTAATCTAACAGGTACACTAATCCTATTTAATTCGGCTTCTGTATTTGTCATACTTGGTAATTTCAATCTAATTGTAGTATGCTTATCATCGGCCCATGTCCCATATATCTCTACATTTAATTCTATCTCTTCATCCCCCCACCAACATTTTCTGGCAGGCTTTCTCCAGAATAATAACAGTTTTTCGTTGATATCTGGCTTGGGTACCAAATCGTATACTTTTGGTAATTCTGGTGAATGTTTTGCATGATTACCACTGATGTTAATATTACTACCGCCTAATTTTAATTGTGAACTGTTTCTTGATGACGAATGAGAACGAACGTTATCTGCCAATACAGAAAATCTGGATTTCTTCTTATCTTTCCTTGATGAGTGGCTTCCATCTTTATTAGAGATTGCAGATATATCAGATGACGTAGATGAAGTCTTCATAGCATTGTTACCACTTACTGTACGTGAACCAATCTTATTATTATAGTTATTATTATGATGCTGATGATTTGTATTTGTAGAAGAGTTTAAGGATGAGGCAGATACCGTGGCCGATAGGTTTGTTTCAGATGGTGTCTCTGCATCACCATTTCCATTAATACCATGCTCCATCTCCCATTTCAACTTAGCTTCGTTGTACGTGGCTCTAAACATTTCTGTACTTTCATTAGCCAATCTACATAATGATAATGAACTTATCACAGTCTTACCGGCTTCTTGGGTACGATTACCCCATATCGATTGAGTAGTGAACCCTGACGAACATAACATGTCCATTAGATGTTGTTCTGCAGGACCAAGTTTCTTACTGGACAATTTGCTTAGATCCATTTCATTAGCCATTGTTGTTGAACTATTATGATGAGTCTTACCTGACGAATTGTAATTGTTGTTTTGATATCTGAGCCTATTAGATGAAAATAAACCTTGGAACACAGATGTCTTGTTCGCTAGATAACTGCCTGCAGCTATTTTGATCTGAGCCATGAAATGATGCAATAAATCATTATTATTTTCACGTATTGTCTCTGGGTCCATATGTACATTATCGCCATTCACATTTCCTATTGATTCAAATTTGAATTGTTGTTGAGGAACACAATAATAATCCAAATCTTCCCTTAGAACGATAATTGCAGGCTTTTGATGTAAAATATTATGTTCATTTGGGGTACCACTCCCATTCGCACTACTACTACCACTACCATTATTGAATCCGAAAAACCCCTTTGCACTATTCACCAAATTATTACTTGAGTTACGTGCAAACAATTTCTCAACCGGATGATTTATCATATCGTCATGAGCCCTAGTGAACACTTCCATAATATACTCAAAACAATCCGGTGGGAAGTTCATAATGTATACTTCATCATCGGGCGTCAGGTTTGTAATGACTTGACCGTCTCTATCTAGAAAGACCCCAGATGGAAATAAACATAGAAGTAATGATTCAGGAAGCGACATCAGTTGATCCCTAGTGATAAAATAATGGTTTTCTTGAATGTTCAAATGAATCAAAGAATTTCCATATGCATCATTTTCCATTCCTTCGTAATACTCTTGATTATTGGCACCCATACCATTATCATGAAGCAACGGACTCACGCCAGAACCATCCTGGGATACCTGGGTAATTATGTTCTGCATTTCTTGTTTGTTTGTTTTTGCAGAAAATTATTTACTTTTTCTTGTAGCACACACTCAATAATTGAGATTTATTACTTCAAATAGGTGTGTATATTGTTTAAAAATTATGGATTCCCTTTAAGGAAAATGTTCATGCACACAGACTGTCCCTTTTCAATTTGTTTTTAATAAATCTATAAGAAAAAGAAATCAGAATTGTATCTTGTAAAGAGTTTATTCTAATTGCAAACAAGCTCTATTTTGCTAACACTTATATGCAGAACAACTTTTAAACAGTAACTTAGTTAACTATTCGTATGGTATATCAAAGTGACTTCACTTATTCTCTTTCCCTCTCATTATATAAAAAGATATGCTAATCCATTTTTATCAAAGAATTAGTTCCCTATTCTTCCAATGTCTGTTTAATGATTGTTTTTCTTAGAAAAAAAAAAAAAATTTGTTCGGGCGGGCGATAATCCTCAACCAAAAATTGCACAGGCTACAGAGAACAGAACACAATAGGATAAACATCAATGAATATAACGAATAAAACAGTCGCTAAATCACGCAATAAGAGTATGCATATTTGTTCAAGTACGAGATAAGGGTACTGACTTATTTTCTTTTCTTTTCTTTTCTTTTGTAGTGGTATGTCTAGTAGTAAATAAGGAATACATCTCTACATCTATATATTTCTACATATTTATATATATGCATGTGACTAGATTTAGAATAACAGACCGCTATAAGGGGCTATGCTTGTAGCTTGTCAAGGGATTAGTTCCAACAACAGCATCATCGTATTGAGTTGCGTTCGGTAAACTAACCACAATCTGAGATCACTTGGAACGAGGCGGGAGTCATCTCATCTTCACTCGAATTAGTGGACCCTAGTGCTGATCATACACTCTGTTCACATAAAACGTAGTAATACTACTAGTTCAACTTAACATTATACACAAGCTATATCCACTCACAGTTTCGTAATTAAAGTTAAGCTGATCTCTGTTTTAGGCTCTATATAGGTAACCAACCATTGTTAGGACCACATTCCTAATCCTAACCCTAACCCTAACAACATCAATTTCCTAAAAATATTCAGTCCAGCGAATTTACGAAGAAAATTTTTTTGCGGTGAAATTTTAATTTCTCATCAATGTAAACATATATATATATATATATATATATGTTTATTAATAAGAACAAGATTTATCATTCAATTCTAATTAAGTTATTATGCTTGACAAGAGTTATCGATATTCAAACAGATCATGTACATGAATTGATATTTACGCTTGAAGGTTCAAGAGTACTTGTGTCAAGGTTTTGTGCATTTTGTAACTTCTATATTACATCATCACTATTTTGAAATACCAAATGATGAACAAACATTTTTCATTAACTTATCTACATTATCTGAACCTCCAGTAGCTAACAATAGTTGCTGGAACAAACGGAAGAAAAACAAATTTATTTTTTATCTGATATTGGTATTTTCTTATTGTGTTACGAACCTTGCATGTTCATATCTTGTTTTTTTTAAAGACTACGAATCATATATATTTGTGTTTTAATTATATATATGTACGTATTATCTGATTTGTTTTTTGGTACTCTTGACAATATTTGCTTAGATGACTATATTTACTCGTCATCACTTTTTATCATGAAGTCGTCTGTGTCTGAATCTGTTGCTTTATTAGAAACGGCATTTATTTTAGTAGGCGTAGCATCAATTGGTTCAGATGAAACAGGCTGCCATTTCTTCTTTGGAGTCTTGTCAGGTGTATCGATGTATGTGGTTTGTGAAACAACACGTTGACTATCATTAGTTACCATTGACGCATCTGGATCTGCCCCATTATTACTATTATTGTTTCCTTCATTACCTTCTCTACTACGTTCTCTACTTGGTAATTGTGGTGGAACATCTTCATCATCTGAGAATTCATCATTCGTTAAGGAAATACCATGACTCTCAAGAGAATCCTCACCAATACGTGCACCAAATGAATTGAATCGAGGTCTCTCAGCTTGTGAATCATTGGTTGTTGTTTTATTGGCTTCTGTACGAGAATATCCCGTATTAGCATTTGTTTGTTTGTTACGTTGACTCTCATAGTATCTGAATGCATCTTCTTGTTCTCTCATTTGAGCATCATTATAACCAAGTCCATTGTTTCCTTGTTGCTGTTGTTGCTGTTGTTGCTGTTGTTGCTGTTGTTGCTGTGGTTGATTCTCTGCACCAAAATTCCTGTTGAACCAATTACCAACTCTTGAAGCAGTATCTTGCAACGACTTATTGGCCCTGGCAGTTATCTCAGGTAAGTCGTTTTCGACAAATTGACCCCAACTATCATCATCTTGATAAGTATCAGGATTAAACTCACCATTCTCTCTCAAACGTCTTCTCCTTTCACTCAATCTTTCCTCATGCAGTTGTCTGGAACGACCATTAGTAGAATCAAATGGAATAGGTTCATCCATATCATCGATAGTATTGTCTCCTTTACCACTTCTAGACGTAGTTGTAGTAGTAGAAGCCTTCCGTTGTTGTGAGTGTCTCTTATAGCTATTATTATATTGATCATTCAATTGCTTAGCTAATAGTTCATCTTGTTCCAATTGAGTCAGTTTCTTTCTAGAGGCTAAACCTGGAGATGGAGAAGGTTGTTTTGAAGGTAATGTAAAATCGGCATTTGCCTCTGGATCAGATAAATATAACAATGCATTAAATGCAGGATCCATTGCCCCCTTTGAGGCAATCACAACAGCTTTAATATATTTTTCCTCGATAGTTGGGAACGCATCTTTTAACTGTTTCAATAGAGGGTTCTCCTTTGGTGCACTTTCCTTAACCTTTGGCTTTTGTCTTGTTGGTAAAGGTGGTACCTCATCATCATCATCATCGTTATCTTTACCATCACCTTCTTTGCGAGTTGCATCGTTGCTTGGTACAACAGTAGATGGACTTTCTGGTTCAATGTCATCCAGTGAGACTGGTTCAGGGGCTAATACTTTCATCCCATTTGAGCCACTTTCAACTTTTTTTTCTTCCGCACTTTCATCTTGAACCTCATCCTTAAGAACAATACCACCTTCACCTACGTTAGTATCATCCTTATCATTTTCATCTGCTACCTCTTCAGTGGTATCTTCCACTTTAGATGTAACACCTTCTGGAACGGTGTTGTCTGCATCGGTATTATCCAGAACGTTATCACTGCCGTCTACTGACTCAGCTAGTAAATCTCTCTTTTCTTCAGACATCAGTAATTAATTCGGATGTTTATATGAGTTACAATAGATTTGAATGTATTTGTACTATGACCAATGCTATCTTAAAATGGTATTCTATCAATCTAATTGAATCGTAATAGATGTAATTCAAAAATAAAAGCCTGGTTCTTATCCTTTTCCCTGAAATTTACATTGATCTTGTTTTCTTTTTCTGAGCTTCCTCTCTATTTTTTTTCTGTCTCCCCTTTTCACATAGAAAGGAAAGCCATATTTAGTATGACGATAGACCAAAAATGTATGAACTTGACAGAGGGTAGTCACATATATATACAGGCATCAAGTCTGTAAGATCATTCCATTAGAAAGTTATCTATCAATCGTACATTCTACTCCATCTTTCTAATAATTTTTGTTTTCACTATTTAATAAATAGTCATACATAAAAAATAATATATAAGTACATATAGTACATATAGCACATTGTTCACATGGAATTCTTCATTTCTCTCAATTTATCCATCACTTTAGATCTTTCCCACCCTCCAGATCCATCACCTACAGCTTGTCTAACAAATGGGTCATCAAGTCTCATAAATGGGTTAAATGCCAATTCGTCATTCAAGGTATAATTCCCTGTAGTCACTGTATGAGTATCTGCGAATTTTTCCAATTCATCTAACGCTCTGTTTTCACCTTGACTCTTATATATAGCATCACGCACAAATCTAACATTACCCTTTGTGTATTCATGACCTGGATAAACTTTTGTCAACCCCCAATTTGGTTCACCGACACTTTGTAACAGTGTCTTATTTAATGCACTATCCATTTCAGAACCTGTTCCCTCGAAGAATCTACCACATCCTGCAGTAAATAATGTATCACCAGTAAAGACACCATGTTCATTAGTTTGAGGATCTCTTACATAATAACAAACAGAGTCCTGGGTGTGGCATGGGGTTCTGATGGCAATAATCTCAAGATCACCCAATGTGTATTTTTGACCATGGCGTGGCAATTCAGTAGCACCTTGAGATGCTTTCGAACCCGCAACAATTGTAACTGATTCGTTAGCAACATTTTTCAATTCACGAACCATATTTAAATTTCCTTGCGAATGATCATAATGATGATGTGTATTCACAATAGCTCTAATACTTTTCATTTCATCTTGATCAAGCTTTGGCAATATTTCGAGAGTCTCAGCAGGGTCAATAATCCACGAATCCTTCTTGTCGTGTGTACTTAGTAAGTAACAATAGTTATCGCCACCAGTGGCCCATCTCATTTTAATAGCTTTTACGTGCATTTTTCTAACAGATCTCAATAGCATACACTTTGTAATCGTTGTTAATAATAAAGATCCTGCAAAGAATAAACAAACAGTACTTTCAATATTATACAAATTGTATTTATGTATGTACCCCTGCATGTATCTCTTTATCTTTTCCACTTTAAATGTCCCTTAACTCTTTCCCTTTGTCTCTCTCCTTATTTTAGTTCGCTTAGTGCTAAAGGGTCCAGTCAAAAGGATAATCGCACTTTCAGCGACCACCTTTAAGGACGACAGAATTTACGATTTATTTTTTGTCGAGATCATTACTTTCATTATGATGGTGTACATAATTGTATTAGTACAAAGTTAGTGCATTTTAATTTTATTTGTTTATTATTATGTATGTAGAAATGGTACAATGATCGTTACTTTATGTAAAAAAAGGGCAAATATATATCTATATAATATTATTGCATGTTATTTATTCGTTATTAGTCGGAAAGAAGGTAGTCTGTCAACTTACCCCTCCAATAATTTATAACCACCACTCTTATTCAAATCCACTTTTTTGTCCTCTAACTTCTTTATAAGTTTTAGACGTTGCAATTCTTGCCAACGAGATAATTGTGCTTGCTTATGCAATTCAAATCCAAATATCTTTGGCACATATCTCTTTACCGGATGTTTTGGAGTCATCTCAGGGTAAGCCTGTAAGAACATACCAGGGAAACTTGTACCAAAATAAGCACCATCAATGGAAGCGTGCCTAGAAGATTTTGGGTTGTATAGATCCTCGCACGATGGACAATATAATTTCACACAATCTTCCCCTGGAACGTCATGAAGACCTACAGGTAATAAAGGTTGGAAATTACAATATACTCTGAGACATCTACCAAAATCAGCATCTTTATATTTGATTAACATCTTTTGAAGACCTTTTACTGTGATAATATAACGCGCATGGATCAAACCATAGAATTTACGAGCATCCTTCTCTAACTGTTCTAGACGTTGACGAGGCATGTTTTCCAATGTAGATTCGTCAAGTTCATCCACAATATATTGAACCACTTGAGTGAACTTTGAAACGCTCTTTTGTAAATTAATTAAGTTGAAACGATCCGTTATATAATCTGAGTCCACTTCGCAGAAATATTCATGACCTTTTCTTCCTAGAAATAGTTCAATCCACATATCTACGTAATCCGACGACTCTGAGTCTTCATTATCCATATTTACGTCTCTTTCTGATGTCAATCTTTGTTCTATCTCTTCTGCCATAATTCTATATCTCTAATACGAAAATAAGGGATCTCTATAGGAAGAAATTACTCTTTATTTTTTTCAGTCTGAAGCACTTAGCAGTCAAATATATATAAACCCCAAATGGTATTTATCAAACGGTTACAATAGGAAGATATGTATATATATATCTATCAAAATTAAAACACAATGTCTTTTCGAAACGCCCCTTTTGCCTTCTCGTTATACACAGAACAATACAGGCAAATATCAATCAAAACACAAACAGCGGGTCAGTTACTAAAAGCCTTGACTATCAGTACTATCCTCAAAATATACCCAGCTAGACCAAGTTAACTCAAACCTTCTGTGGAGTTGTACCTCTCACTTCAACAAACTTCACTAAATTTCTGTCCCTCTCTCGACAAAACCAAAGAAAAAAAATCAAAATGGAAAATTTTTAGTCGCGACGAGCACCACCAAGCCCGCTGTGAGTAGACCTGGCAGATGTTTGTTTATGATCGCGGTACGCACATCTAATCTAAAGATGTTGGATATTAGGATCACGAAACTTGAGGGACACATTCAATGGAGAACGAGAGAGCAATGTTAAACTCAGTGGATGGAATTCATATTTGAAACTTTGATTGTATTAAACTGGGTGAGATTGCATTAGAAAAGAACCAAGAAAAAGTAAGGGGAAATATATAGGGCACATGAGATTACTTAAATATCCCTTGGAATTGAGGGAAGAACGTTTGAATGCTGTAACCGTGATTGATAACTCGTTACTGTTACTTTCTAGTGGCGGACATGTGATAGTGTGGTCGGTGAATGATCTGGTAGATACTGCAATTGATAAATTGTCAATTAAGGATTTGGCTAGGAAAAAAATGTTACCAATAAAATTCAATAAATATAAAAAAAATGATAATGATGGTAATGGTAATGATACCCAAGCTTTCTTCTTATGTGGTGTTGATCAGACATTGATTGTTGCTTCAGACCATGAAATTTTGAAGATTAATAATTGGAATGAGAATAATGAGAACTCTGAGTTTAAACAAGATGTAATATCAAGTTATAAATCTCCATGTATAATTACCGATATTAAATTGGATACTCAACAATTATTATTATTTGTCCTATGCAGTAACATTAACTCAATTGAAATATTTGATGTCAAGAATAATAAGAGACTCACACAGATTATATTGGATAAAACAATAAAACCGATTACGTTAATATTAGATCCCTCTGGTAACACATTTACCATACTTTGTTCAGACAGATCTATTCGTGTATATCAATTCAATAGATCAGGGAACTATAAACTAATAAAAGAAATAGCCCAGTATGTCCATATGGAACCTTTACATTATAAGATCACTATGCCACCACAAGCAAATTATTTACCTATTATTAATTCTATAAAGGGCCCATCTTCATCATCTACGTCGTCCTCATCTTCAACAACAACAGCATCAACTTCAGCCTCAACATCGAACTCAACTTTCTCCTCTACTTCAGCGACTACAACTGTATTATTAGACAGAAATAACAATTACAATGTTGCTGCCACAATTGTTTCACCAGCATCCAACTCATGTAAAGTGTTGACGTTCTCTCCTGCAATGTACGAAAAGAAAAACCTTAAAAAGAATACAAGTTTACGCTATAATTTATTAGCTACATCAGGCGTTAAAGACGGTACTATATTGGTGTGGAACACTAAACGTATGAAACCTTTATTCAATGCATTACAAGTATCCGAGACACCAATTAATGATATGGTATGGTCAAACGATGGTCTGACTTTGTTTGCGGTATCAAATGATAACATATTGTATACTTTTGCATTCTTACCCATTGATTTAGGTGAAAAAATATCAAACACCGACATTATAGAATTAAGAAATAAGAACATAATTTTACCACCATTACCAGATAAAAATGTAGTTGAAACTGATATCAAAATATCAGAACAAGGCAAATCAGAGTTATCTATAGAAGTGCCCAATCATAACAAATTGAAAAGTGAAACGCCAACGATAACTGATTCATCTGTGAAAAATATTACATCGTTGGTCAAGAAAATTGGGAAGAATAAAACTCAAGTAATCAAGACATTGGCAACAAACCCATCTGTAAAGGTTACACAAGGATCGGGAATGGAATTTACACCACCATCCTACATTGTACCAAAGGATCTTAAAAGAAAAGTGAAGGAAGAAGCAAATGGTACTGGTCTACCTCCACCACCTAAAAAATCCAAACGTGAATTAGAACCTATGGATTTCTTAGATACGGGATTAATCATCCCCAATATCTCCTTTTCAAGAATTAGACTTGCTTCACCAAAGATTAGAATGTCTTTCAAATATACGCCTTCAACAAATAAGAATTTTACAATGAATATTAAAAACGGTTCTGGTAATGAACAGAAACCGACGATAATAAGTTTGAATTCTAAAACCTCCGAACAAGATAATCTATTGTTTCAAGATTTTATACCGAGATTCATAACTATGTGTACATCAGGAAAATTCTTTTGGGCCTGTTGTTCTGATGATGGGATTATATATGTGTACTCTGATAGTGGTAAAAAATTACTCCCCCCAATGATGATTGGTGTACCAATTAGTTTCTTAGAGGCAAGTGGTAACTATCTCCTTTGTGTTACTAGCATCGGCGAACTCTACTGCTGGTCTATAGAAGAAAAGAAATTGAAATTTCCTAGAAACTCAGTATATCCTATACTGAGTCCCTCATTAAGATATTCTGATGATATTTTAACACGGTCTGAAAATATAACAATGTGTACTGTAACTGCAAATGGGGTACCTTTAATTACCTTGAGTAATGGTGATGGATATATATTTGATAAGGACATGGAAATGTGGCTCTTAGTTAGTGATAGTTGGTGGGCATATGGTTCACAATACTGGGATACAACAAACTCTTCTATTTTCAGAAATGTCGCCAATGCTTCAGATGGTAAAAGTAACGATTTTTGGAACGCTAGCGATATCGAAAGCGTCATATCTGACGTGAGAGGTGATTCAAGTTCCATTGTGAATTATATGGAACGCAAGACTAATGATGAATTAAACCGTAAGGGGCGCGTTAAGAATTTGCAACGTTTTGCTCGTGCTGTTTTAATGAAAGAAGGTTTTGAAAACATGGAAGAAATAGTTACTCTAGCACATTTAGAAAATAGGTTGTTGGTGTGCTTAAAATTAGAAGAGACAGATGAATTCTCAAAATTATTAGTCATATACTGCGTACGTCTCGGAAAATTGGGCTATACAGATCGTCTGGATGATGTCTTACAATGGTTATACAATGAAGGAGATATCGAAAAGCCTGTCTTGCGCGGCAAAACAAGAAAGGAGTTATTAAAATCTGTGCTATTGGCATGTGCTAACATAAGACATGTTCAAAGAGTTACCAATAATTATGCAACAGCAATAGGGCTGATTGAAGAGACTATATAAGGATGGGTTGGAACGATCAAACTAATCCAGTTTTTAAAAGATTGTCGAATTGAATTAATATTAGATATTATGATTGTTTATAGAAATATTTTTTATTAAATTTTAAGTACACCTCTCAATTTTATAAAATAAAACAAAAAATATATTCCAACCAAATCATACAAAAGAAGAATTTATGCAGGATTATCAAAATTATTTACAAATTACTTTAAATATAACTGAACCAAAAGCTACAACTTAAATACATTATCATTAGACCAACCTTGACTTTTTAAAATACCATCTATAGGACCTTGTTTCAAATTAATTTTTACTCCAGCAACTGTCTTTATAAAACCATCAGGTCCACACACTAATGCCATAAATTGTTTGTTATACGTCGCATTTTGATTATTTACAGGTGTCAATTTCATCAATTCATCAATGTTATCACGTACACTATATGTGTTGTTGAATAACTTTAAATTTATATTATCAGATTTGCTTAAATTGATCATCATAGGATACAATTTACCTAACTCATTCATGTCGTGAGATGTATGAATCCATGTGAAATTCCTAGAATCTCCAGAAGTGTTGTTCAAGAGAATTTGTAAAGCAGCAACGACCCCAGTCCCAGCGGTATACATATTTACATTTTTTGTATTATCGTTAAGTTCATATTCAATAAAAGGCCCTCTTAAATCAATTCTACTTCCCACATCCAAATTACGCATCCACCTGCCGACTTCACCATTATCATAATTCTTGACATAAAACAGTAACTTTCCTTCATTTGTGTCATCATTAGCAATATCCATAATTTGTAATCGATACTCGTCATCCTTATTTACAGTTAACTTCAATGGAAGAGGTGTATAGTTCCTCACAATCATGATTTCAGGTTGTTTAACCTCCAGAGACCATATTTTGTTCGAGGTAAGTTTCTTCCAAATATTAATTTTTTGTGCAGATAATGGTTTAGCTTCCAGAAAGTAATGGTGGGGATCTACATTGACCCTTTGAGAAATTTTATAACGAGTAAATTGATCTTCATCTAATTCAGTAGTCCATGTAGTATGTATCACATATTCACAGTACCCGAATCCCAGCACTGTAGCAGCTGCAGTTCCTGCAATCCCTAATTTTATCTGTTTAGCATAACTTCGAAAGAAACTCTTCGATACTACAGGTTTCGAAGAAGTTACGTATAACCTCCTGGTGAATGACTTAAGGAACATAATTTGCGATATACTAGAAGATCCAAATCTCAAAGAAAAGTTTTGAAAATAATCTGATCTTTTCTTGACAAATCTAACTAATTGATTACATCAGCAGATATGTCAAACAATAAAAAAAATGAAAAAAATAAATGAATATTTAACGGAAGTGCCAAACCGAATGATATCCCGCATTATACTAGTCTTTTATATATAAATCCAAGTAAGTATAAATACAGGTACATAATGTAACTCTATACACCGCGGGCTGTTCATACACTGCATGTACAGTGTATCTCAATATATTGCTTAGATAACTGCACAGTAATAAATAATGCAAGGCAAACGTGACGAGGGGAAAAGTTATGTGGATGCAATGCGTCTATATGAATATGATTAGTAATAAGAAAAAGAGCATTACCGATAGAACGATCAATAAGTAGAGACAGTATTTGCTTGATCTTCTTTGATATCTTCTGGCCTTGTCTAATTCCCCGGAGGCCATGTTTGTATTGTTTGACGCAGAATATATGTTTGCTTCGATGTTATCGACCATGATACCTTGTTGCTGTACCACTGCTCCCAGATCTTTAAATATTTCGTTTAAGTCAGTCATACCTTGTTGGATGTTGGATATTTCTTGATCTCTTTCATTAATTAAATTTTGTTGATATGTGAATTCTTCATTATTAATTGGATCCATTTCAACGACAATTGTGCTCTGTTTGGGTTTTGGGACCTGAACTTGACCATTATCATGAGTGTGGTACTGCATATCGGCTTGTTCATTTTCTTGTTCTTGTAAAAGTGATGTTGCGTTAGCATCCATATGCAAATCATGTTTCGCTTTATTATTAATAGATTTTATTATCTTTGTAAATGCCATTTGTGTTATTTGAAATTGTTGTGCAGTAGATCTTACATCTCTACTTAATTTATCTCTAGAGATAGATTGTGTCCTATCTAATGTGGTCATATCTATCTGGTTTAACTCCTTGAGAGAAGGTTCTATTTCTGTGATTAATTTTGTCACTCTATTTATTTTATCTACCGATTTCTTATCGATATTGTCTATTGCCTTTACATTAATATTTCCTTTTTCTAAGAAGGAGTTCAAACTGGATACAAACTGATTCAACGTACTAATATGACCATTGATTTCAAATAGCTGGTTAGTGATCTTATCCTTCAAGGCGTCGAATTCTGGAGAATCGGTATACCTAGGAGATACATCTTCTCCATCGTCAGTATAATATGGTTCTATCATTACTTATTGGTGGAAAAACTTTTCAGGTATTTCTTCCTGAATAAATGATTAAATAAATATTATAATACAGGTATCCAGCAAAAAAATCTAAAATATAGTTCGTTATACCTTTTAGTGACCGTCTGTTGGGTTAGATGTATGTGCCTTTAACCCATACTTCCATTAGGAGGCGCTACGTTAATTTCGCTTTGTGTGATAGAAGGTTCAATTTTCTGGGTGGCCTACTGCTAGTATAATGTTACAGGTGATGGGACGTTGTGATTTTATACAGCGCAGAAGAAGACATACACATATATATAACGATACTGTTCTAATGCTGACAGTAAGTCTGCATGTAATAATTACAAATAGTTTTAGTTGTAGAATGATTCCAAACATTTAGAACCATTCTATCATACACAAAGTAACTAATGTCCTACATGACTAAATATTGTTGTAAGAATGTACTATAATATAGCTATAATTGTTCTAGTTATTTCCATAACTTGATAGCCAGTTACTGGTTCAACCACAGTAAGTTGAAGTAGTGGTCATTGACTATACACAACTCTCCAATTCATCGCTCACACTACAGGGGTAACCCAGACCTCACTATTAACGACATACATTATTTTAATAAACTTAAAGAGCTCGTGGTCACTTTTTTGAAGTCAACCGACTCATTGAAAATTTCAGTTCGCCTGACTGAAAGAGAAAAAGACGGCACGCCTAGAGACAACCAGTTTAACAATTTGGTAAGCATAAACTAAACACCAAACCATATTTGTAAGAAGTGGTTACAAGTTTATACCCGTTTTTATTTCTGTCCCTAGATTCAGTTTGTTTACTGTAACTTATAGGTTTAACTAAAGTAGCTATACCATATTGCAAACTTGTTAGATATATTGCAAACACTTTTTCTTTGCCAACCCTTCGCCACAAGCAATCATCCTTGTAGCGTATTTCAAGAAAAGAGTTAATTTCTAAAACACATCGTATCAGTTATACCGTATCAATGTCTGAACCAACTAAAACAACAGCCTCTAAAGGGAAAAGAAACTTTCGCAGAACTCAAGGACCGCAAACTGGTTCTAATAAAAGTAAACATAATCAATCTAATGGTCATCATCATGGAAATGATGAAGACAGTGAAGACGATGACGATGATTACTGTTTAATTTGTGCTGAAAAGTTAGAGTATGTGTCATTGACTCCATGTAATCACAAGACCTGTAATAAATGTGGATTCAAACAACTTGCGTTGTTTGAAAAGAAAAATTGTATGATCTGTAGAACAGAACTTTCTGAAGTTATATTCACTACTAATGATATTACTAAAAAATATAAGCATACATATTCCGATATATTTGATAATTATAAGAAGTCATTTTTACAAGATCCAGAATATCCATTCATTAATTTCACTAATGACGATATCCGTCAGGAAACAATCAATCTATTGAAATTTTATTGTGAAATTTGTGGAGATCATAAAGAGGATTTTGGTTCTTTCCAAAAATTACATGAACATTTAAGATCAGAACATAATAAAGCACTATGTATGATTTGTGCTACTCATAAGAATGCATTTCCATCAGAATTAACAATATTCACTCCAAATCAATTAAGAAATCATCAATCAAAAGGTGAAAGCGATCAAGGTTTTAAAGGTCATCCAATGTGTGCTTTTTGTTCTGGTAGAAGATTTTATTCAGACGATGAGTTATATCTTCACATGAGAGAAAAACATGAAAAATGTCACATTTGTGATAAGATTGATCATAATAATCCTCAATATTTCAAGGATTACGACCAATTATTTGAACATTTTAAACATTATCATTATATCTGTACAGTACCATCATGTATGGAAATGAAATTTGTGGTCTTCAAAGATGAATTGGAGTTGCAAGCACATATTTTACAAGAACACGGCAGTATCATTAAGGGAAAACCTAAATTCTTCCAATCTGAACTTTCAACCTTCATTTCTGCTCCATCAAGAGTCATTATAGAGAATAGTGGTAATAATAATGTATCCTCATTAGCATCATTATCTTCTTCAAGTTCTTCTACGGGATTAAACTCAAATAGAAATCGTCGTAATGATAATACTGACGTGATTGTTACACCTGAAGTGAGTCAACATAGAATGGAAGAACGTGCCAAATACTATTTGGATAATTCTGATGAAGGTTACCAAAGGTTCTTGAAATACAACCAAGAATACGATAGAGGAAGATTAACTAGTCTCAATTTATTAGAGAGTTATAGAAATTTATTTACTACACCTCAATCAGATATTTATCTGCTGATTAGAAACTTTTCGGAAACTTACCCAAGAAATTCCAATAAATACAGAGAATTAAACAGTATTTACTCATCCAATGAGCAAAGGATGGAGAGACAAAACACTAATTCGAACTTGCCTTCCTTAACGGATGATAGATCATTCTCAGTTCCTATTATATCTGGTAAATGGGGTAATGCTGGTGCAGTGTCATCAAAGAGTGTCATTAACAATTTGCCATCCTTACCTACTTCCAATCATGTTGATCCATTTGCAAACCCATACAACATCAGGACATCTAAGCCGGTTAGAAAGAGTACTACTAATTTGACAGCCACATATGGTGGTAATGTTGGTAGTGGATATAACAACAGAACATCATTAAGTAGCAACAGTGTTAATTTTACTCAATCTTTTGCGGATTCTCAAAGATCTGACACCTCATCTAGTAAATCTTATACCAACAATAATAACAGATCCCAGGATAAACTATCTCAATTGAATTTACCGTCTTTACCAACACCAAAACCAAGAGTTGTCATTCCTCCTGTACACAAGAGTATCATTCCAAATCCAAAGAGTTGGGGTAAAAATGATCCTCAACCTGTTCAAAGAAACCAAAACACCTTTGACGATCCGAATACGTTAGATCTATCTGGTTTGACAGTAAAGCCAGCCAGAGGTGGGAAAGGTAAGAAGAAGGGAAATCAAAAACAATTATTGTTTCATATTGGTGTCTAACTGTGAACAATTATGATTGATTTGTTCTCCATACATTATTACATAAATTAGTAAGCATTTATTTTATTGATCTAAACATTAAATGCCTATTATTTTTTTGCCATTTTTCTCTTTTTTTTTCTTTTTTTCTTTTAAAGAGGTATACTCATTAAATTGATAATATGATAGTTTATTCTAGTAAATAACCATATGCACTTTTATAGATTTATAAAATATTCATAATTATATGATTCTCAATGGTCTTTATAATGTACGTAGGGTTCTGTAAATGTTGTTCCTGGTAAGGCTGATCCCAATGAGAGTGGTACAAAAGAATCGGAATCTTCAAGGGCGGCCACCACGAAAAAACAAACAAGGTCCAGAAATGGAATGAAAATATATATATAAGTGACCCAAGTTAACAAACAGGATGGAAATAACTTCAATATTAAAGGGATAAGGAAATTACTAACGTTAAATTATAACTAGTATTTTTAAAAACTACGAGAATAGGTATATCACTGCAACTACATCTTTTTTCATTGGTTCAGTGTAAAATTCAATTGTTATACAAATATATAAGGAGTTTAATATATTAACAAATTAATCCGTTAGTATAATATGGGTGAATCCTTAACTGTTGATGAACTTTGTAAGAAGTTTGATGAAGATCTGAAGACTCCATTGTCAGCTGAAACCTACAAATCTGTGATATATGATTTATTTGAAGAAGTCAAGAATGGGAAAATTACTGCTGCTGGAGATAATATAAGAACAATTATTGATAGAGCTACCAAAGATCACTCAGACACAAAAGAATATTTAGCTGAACTCGTCCAGAAGGATCCAGCTGTGACTTTCGAATTGTTTAAATATATCAATAACTCTGCAATGTTAGTTAGGCTATTTGATGAGGTGGAAGAGGCGGAACCATACTTGGCGCTACTAGAATCTAGAATTAGTACTCAACCAAATGCAGCTTTCAAATTTACTGTACAGTCTCTAACAGCATTATATCGTGAGTTTGGCTTTGACATGATAAACGTAAAAGCAGTGTTACGACCATTAATACTAAGAATATTAGACACAGAGTCTGTTTTTGATATTGCCATGTTGCTTGCACTATTCCTAGATATCTATGAAAAAGAATTCGAGGATGAATATTGTACTGTTATGGAAGATCTAATCAATGAGGCAGAAAAAGGCTCAGACGAAGATATTTTAACGAGTGTTGTTTGCTCATTGAATTACACTTATATTACTATGACTGCTGCTTGCACTTTTGTACTTATGACTAAGAAGGTAAATAACTTGATAATGGCGAGAATCTCTAAAGGCGATGATGATGAGTTTGTCCATAGAGTTTTGGCTATGTTATCAGCTGCATGTATTGACGAAACTGTTAGAGTATTTATTGCAGAAAATTATTTATCGATGCTAGAAAAAGCCTTACAAATTGACAAATTTCAATTAGAAAGTGCACTGGTCTTAATTAAAACATGGTCATTTACAAAGTTAACAAATGTCAATATTCAAAAACTTGCAGATATATTATTAACCTGCTTTTTGAAAAATTCAGAAGAGAAAAACAAACAATTAGATGTGGCAATTGAAGGGTTAGCATATCTCAGTTTGAAGACATCGGTTAAGCTTCTTCTTAGACATACTCCTCGATTCATAGATGTTGTAGGGAAAGTAATTGAAACCCCGTTCAGTTATGAGAATATTTATGGGGTTCTTATCATGCTGGCAAATATTACATGTCCACCTTCTGATGATAATGAAATCAATAAATCAATTAGAAACATTTCGGATATTAATGATATGAGGAACCCAGGTCTTTCTAACGACATCAATGAAACAATTATTGAAGACCCTACTGCAGTCATCAAATTCAATAAAGAATCTCTTTTAGATAATGAATTATTATCTTGTTTCACACATTTTTACGAAAATTATACTCCAGGTTCCGCCAAACAATTGATGAGGATTATTTATAATCTAACAAGAACTAAGTCTCACATACCAAAATGTGTGGAACAAGGTTCTATCCCTTCTATTTTAGAATTTGTTCATACTTACAGAGCGGACGGAAAGTTTGGTCATAAGATTGACTTAGATATGTCCTATATGAGATTATTAGCTATAAGATCATTAACTCAAATGTTAATTTATACAGATCCAAATGTCATATTTCATAAGAATTCTCCATTAGATGCAATATCTTGTTTATTTGAATTATTACCAGTTGTTAACACGTCAGATTTGGGAGAAGATAATAATATTTTTATGAAAGCTAATGAACATATAAAACCTGTCGATAAAGTGGAAGCCTTATGGTCGTTGACGAATCTAGCTACCATGAATGGATCTATTGGTGAAGAAATCTGTAAAACTATTGCTACTAATGATGATTACTGGGAATGTATAGAGAATTTATTATTGGACGACACTATGATTATTCAGAGATCAGCATTAGAGTTACTTTGCAATTTAGTGAGTTATCCTATCCACGTTGCATCAAAGATTTTTAATTTTGAAAACCCACAAAGTTTACATAATTTTAACACTCTAGTTAAATTAATATTATTGACAGATGTGAAATCACAAAGAGCTGTTGTTGCCGTTTTTGCTAATAGCGCTAATGCTATACCATTTATTGCAGGAGAGTTATTGAAAAAGGACGAATTAATTAAGAATTGTATGAATACATTTGCTAATCAAATGGATGATGCACCATTAAGACAAAGATTTATTATGTTGTTCTATGCATTATTTGAAAATGCTCCATCGCAAGGAGAAGAAGCCATGAAGAATTTCCAAAGAATATTAGAATTTAGAGAGTGTGAAAAGTTTACTAAAGCATTGCAGGTAGCAATTACAAGAACAGACACCGATCCAGAATTTGGAGATGTTATACCTGCAATTCAAGCAAAATTTCAAAAAAAAGATTGAATAGAAGGAAATATTTAGCATAATTATCGAAGCAGAGATAACAAAAGAGATATTTCTAACTCTAATTTATTAACATGATCCATATTTAGCACAGACACACATACACAGAAAAAACTCATATTTCTAAAAATATATAATTTTATTGTTTGCAATTATGTAAAAACACAACCTGATGCTATTTATAATTTAACGAATGTAATTATTTTTACTTATTACCCTAAACTATGTGATAATCTAAAAGTAAGTGACAGTAATTTCTGTCACTTCTGATTCAACTTTGTAATTAGCTTGTACTACATTTAATCTTGGTTAAGGCATTTAAGACAGATATTTATATGATAGGTGGATGATGTCAAATAATTTTACGAAGAAACTGTAAAATAAATTTGATGTAATGCTCAGTGACAGCCACCTCCCTTATCACCTCCACGACATGCAGTGCGTAAGTCGTTCAAAATTAGTTATTCTCTAAGTTAAGTACGAGTAAATAGTAACAATTAAAAAACTAATTTAAGAATGCATGTCCTGTGTCACTAGCGTGAAAGAAAAAAGCCATTACCAATTAAAGTAGAGGTGATGGATTTCTTTGTTTTGCTTATTATTTTTTTGGCTGAGCCTCCGAACTCTATACGACGTGGATAATGATACTTTTGCGGCAATATTTCAAGAGAAAATGTCGCAGAGCAGGAGAGGGATATCTTGACAGCGACTTATATAATGAAAAGAGCTAGGAAGAAATGTAGTAGTAGTAGGAGTAGTGGTGGTGAGACGATGATGTTCCAGCAGTAAATAACTTCTTCCCATTGTAAGAACAAACGAGAGAGACTTTATTGATTAATTTGTGGAAAATTATAATGTAAGAATAGACGTAGTTTAATGATGAAATTTTTTGGTTTTCGTTGTTCAAACGGTGTCAAAGTTCTTGTTATTTAAAGAAATGCACGATATTTGGATGAGAAAGATGGTTGGGAGACTCAAGAATAATACATGGTATTGTGTTGCGAAACTTGTTTGTAGGATTATGATTCCTGGAATAAGTACATCATCATAACTAAATTAGGTTTTTTTACCGTGGTCTCCTGTTGATTAGTCTTTGTTTCTAGGTCGTTCTCTGAGTGTCATTGTTCAATGCCTGGTTATTTTATATAAGCAAATGTATATCTTTATATCATATATCTCCCCTTAGTAAAGGGTACGAGACAGCGTCACCTGAAAATGTTATTCTCCATTAGAAAAAGAGAAAAGTTGAGTTGAGTTTCAATTGGTAAAAATAATACAATATAGAAATAGTTTTGAGCAAAAAGAAAAGGTTAATTTTTTTTATTTATTTTACGAGTAAAAATTGTGACTTGCATTGAATCATCCTGTAAGGAGATATTTATAATTTCGTTATATATATAATTGGGATTGTGATTATTTATATTATAAAGAAATATATATTGGTAATGCATTAAAATTTAAGTGAACTGAGTGTTGTTGTTGCTATTTTTTTATTTTTTCAAATCATCGAATTTTAACTGAGGTAAATAATAAAAAAAATTATAAAATATGTCAGGTAAAATGATGCAAGAATACTACTTGGCTTGCCAAAATGGTGATTTAGATACAGTGACGAAGTTGGTAACAGACAACAAAATAAAAGTTAATAATGATAGTCATCCAGACACCGGAATGACTGGTTTACACTGGGCTGCAATAAATAATCAACTCCTAATATGTGATTTTCTATTGAAAAATGGGGCTCTAATAAATGCAAGAACTTCTAAACAATACACTTTATCAGAAATGACTCCCTTACAGATAGCTACAAAATACAGTTACATATATATCGTTCATTATTTATTAAAACATAACGCAGATCCACTAGTATTAACATCTACAGATGCCAATCTATTGCATCTAGCTGTTGAAAGTTCGAATGCGATGAATGTCATCCATACGATATTATTTGTTAACGAACCATTTAATATTCCAGTAGATCAACAGGATTCCTTTGGTAGTACGGCATTACAAATAGCTATTAAGCAACAAGATATCAATTCAGTGAAAATTTTATTACAATTTGGTGCTAATCTTACAGTACGCGATAGTAAGAATAAATCCGCTTTAAAATATGCTGCCATTAAACATAACAAAGATATTAATATATTATTGTCTAGACACCTAATGAATAAATATCAAAGCATACCAATAACTGAAGAGGAACCTGATTTGGTTTCCTTTTATATGGCATCCAAATATTCAGCAAGTAATGTTATCTTAGCTAAACGGATTACATTTATGGTTCCTACATTAGTATTATTTATATTCGCATTGTTTTCCAGGTATAACACAATTATTGGTTTGATTGCGTTATTTATTTCTGCTCAAATAGTGGATAGAATCCTTTATAAAAATTTATTGCCTTTGTACAGTTATGATAAGAGTCCTCGGAAGGCCTTAGCACACTCACCGATTGTATCAGGGTTGTTTTTTGCTTTATTGAATTTTATTACATTTACCTGGTTTACAAAACTAAATTATGTTGTACTACAACATAATTTATTCCCAGCAATTACATACCAAGTAACCTTAATAATAACATATTTTCTATTCGTGAAAATATTAAGGTCCAATCCTGGTAATATACCAAGTGAATCTGATTTTAATATTATAAGAAAAGAGGCTAACACATTGATCAAGCAAGGGAAATTCAATGACTATTATTTCTGTCTTGAAACATGGTTTAGGAAATCATTAAGAAGCAAATTTTCCGATATATCACAGTGTCAGGTAGCTAGATATGACCATTATTGTTCTTGGTTGAATAACGATATTGGTCTATTCAATCATAAACCATTTATCGTTTTTTTATTCTCATTGGAAATAGCGTTATTAACATTTCTTTATCTAATGATAAAATATTTCAATCAAATCGATTTGTTTTCTATTATTGACGCTTTACATCCTTTCAGATTTAGTTTGCCGCAAAATCCTGATGCTGATTCTTTTGGTACATTGTGTCTATTATTAATATTTGTAATTTATCAATCCATTTATGTCATGAATATTATCTTTCAACAAATATACGCTATATCTAAAGGCCTGACATGTTTAGATATTAAGACGCTATACGAATTAGAAAAAAATAGCACCGTTCTGTTCTCGAAGCCATTTATTCAAAATGATTATTACAATATTAATAATGAGGAACTTACTCTATTAAATAACAAATCATTTGTTACAAATATTGCCATAGGTGACGACACTACTATATCAAATACTGGTATGATATCCGGGAACGACTATTCCAAATTGGTTTCAAGAATAACCTCCAGAAGATTATTGGAATCTAGACAACGAAAACAGGGTATAAGAGATGGGTTCATGAAATTTTTCGGTTTTGATATGTGGACGGTTATTAGCCATTGCAACGAAGAGATAGCAATATATGACGATTGTGAACTACCGAACGAAATATTGCAACCTACTAGATACGGTATTATTAGAAATATGAAAGATTTTTGGTTAACATCAAACTTAAATAGTAATATTTTTATAAGATTATTCTCCTGGAATAAGGATTCGACGGCCCTATTGAATGGTTCTCCAGTGGATTACTACCATTTGTGGAAACTCCCTGTTAAAGAAACTGGGTTATTACCTATCGAGCGAACCGTATCTGGATCTAGACTGGTTTGAAGCATGGATAAATATAAATATAGGTATATATCAAAAATAAACTTTTCATATTCTATCAAAGTGGCAATAGCATCTTCTTATATGGTTAATAATAATGTATACATGATACGCGTCTTCGCGTTTCGCTTTATTGACATTTCGAAATTTTCACTTTTGTACTTCATAATGAGGTTTTAAACAAACCTATAAAAATATAGTTAAAAATCATTCTCTTCGTTTCTCTTGGTTTTCAGAATGCAAATTTAATATTTTGAAGGTGTATATATCCTGGTCTAGAATATTATTACAGCACACTATTGTTATATTTGCTTCCACATAGTTCATACAATGGGTATTCAGGGATTATTACCACAACTAAAACCCATCCAAAACCCAGTCACACTCCGAAGATATGAAGGCCAAACATTGGGAATTGACGGGTATGCCTGGTTACATAAAGCTGCGTACTCTTGTGCATATGAACTGGTAATGGGGGAACCTACAGAAAGGTATCTTAATTTCTTCATTAAAAGATTTGCATTATTAAAAGCATTTAACATTCAACCATACCTGGTATTTGATGGCGATGGTGTACCTGTGAAAAAAGGAACAGAAACGAAGAGAAGAGAGAAGAGAATTGAAAACAAAGAGATTGCCCAACGGTTATGGAAGTCTGGAGAAAAGAAGAACGCAATGGAATACTTTCAAAAATGTGTAGATATTACACCATCAATGGCCAAATGTGTCATAGACTATTGCAACACAAATAATATTAAATATATTGTTGCCCCATTTGAAGCAGATCCGCAAATGGTATATCTGGAGAATAAAGGACTAATTCATGGTATTATTTCTGAGGATTCTGATTTACTGGTCTTTGGTTGTCGAAGATTGATTACTAAATTGAATGAATTTGGTGAGTGCATTGAAATTTGTAGAGATGATTTCGGAAAACTTCCTAATAAGTTTCCTTTGGGTCAACTTAGTGACGAAGAGATAAGAACAATGGTATGTCTCTCTGGTTGTGATTATACTGATGGTATCCCAAAGGTAGGCTTAGTGACGGCCATGAAACTTGTTAGTAGAATGAGAGATATCAAACGAATTGTCCTTCATATTCAAAGAGAAGGTAAATTAAAAGTCCCCCGAGATTTTCTAAAGGAATATGAACGTGCATCTTATGGATTCCTATATCAACGAGTGTTTTGCCCTTTGAGTAAACGAATTGTGAGTTTTCATGATATTCCAGATACTCTATCATTATCTAGTCCCCATAGGGAGACAATTTCTACATGTATTGGTTCTGTGATTAACAAACAGACTCATGAGAAAATGATTTTATTTAATGAGGAGGATATTGATCATCATGTTCATCTAAAACAGGCAATGGGAGAGCTAGATCCATACGATTATAATAAGCCATTGATTAGTCGAGAGAGGGTCCTTCAGTTAAGTTCAAAATCAGAAATCATTACTAGACATGATAATGCACCATTCAAAGATGTCACAAATATTAAAAGAAAAAGACCTGCAACAAAATCCATTGACTCTTTCTTTAGACCTACTACCGGACCTTCGATAACTGTAAACTCAAATAATAAATCATATACTATGAGTAGTTATAATCTCGGTACATCTCTAATTCCTAAATTTGTTGACAAACAAGTTGAAACAGTGAAAAAGAGAAAACTTATAAAACAAGATGATGAAAATATTCAGATAGAGGATTCCATTCAGTCTACTAGTAAATTTTTCAGTAAGAAGGATATTAAAAAGAAAGAACTCAAAGTACTTGAACAAATAAGTCCGCAACACGTGTGTAATATTGATTCAGAATTAAATTCAAGTCGTGCTAGCACTATAGTTGATAATAACTTTTCACATGAAACTTCTGAAGATGAGTGCAGCACCGACGTTCCTGAATCGGAAATATCTACTGATATTCCAAGCTCATTTCCTCTTAATATTAGAGATAATCAAAGTGGAATGCATTCTGTTTCAAGGAGTGATACACCATTAGCATATGTTACTGAAGAAAGACATTTAAGAAATTATTCATTTAATCGTGCGGTTAACTCTACGAATAATTCTTCCAAAATAAGGGGTATATTTAGAAGTGTCACCAGAAGCTCAAGCGAAATATCATCATTCGATACATGCGGTGTAATCGGGGACGATGGAAATCATCCTGATCAAGAAAATATTCAATCGAAGGAATTAATTGGGGCATTGTCTATTAAAAAGTCAGATGAGTCTGAAATATACTTAGCAAGACAGGACAAACAAATATCAATGATGGATAAGATATATGGTACTTCTACTAGAGCTTCGGCATTACAATCATTCAGATATTCTGCTGTTAAAGAACAATCGAGAAGAAGAGATCCCTTAAAATCGAATGATATTAATCAAAAATCTATAGTTACAAGAACATTAAAAGCAAGCGCATCCATTGTAAAGCCACGTAGAAGAATGTCAGGATCTAAGAATAATGGATATATTATGGAAAATATTGAAAATATACCTGATCTTCATACAGAAAATAAAGGTCTTACAGGAAGCCATACACCCTGTGAAATCAATGTTGAGGATAGAGTTAATGAATATAATTATCATGAAAATACGGGAACAATAGAGCGTAAACAAAATAGGATTCATGTTAAAATTAATGGCAAAAATTCTTCTATGAAATCACAGTTAGATACATCTATGCCATTAAAAAGGTCTGTTTCGTTACTTTCTCAATTTAGATACAAAGGGAAATAAATAAAATTTATTATCGAGTATGATACTCAGGTCATTTTTTTTATTAGAATGAGAATGATATTACATATATGTATGTTACACAATATAATATGAACTTATTTGGATTAAAAGCACTATTAATATTGCACATTGGATCGTTATAATCTTAGTATAATTTTTTCTTAAGTAATTTTTTTTATAAGTTTCAAAATTACGTTATTGTCCTATATTGGAATTTACTCCTAAAAGGGTTCATTTTATAAATATTCAAATTGATATACACTTACGATTAAGATAATTATTTTGCTTTTTGTTATGTTTTTTACCAATATATGAGAAGAAATAGTACTTTTAAACAAGTTTTTGGCTCTATTGTCAATTTTCCCGTTTGAGTTATTGAATATTTACGTGAAACTCTATTAATAAAAAGTGTTGTAGTCAGCTATTGTTTAAAGTAGAAAATGTGAGAGGACCAAAAGACCAATGAAGATCCTGGTTGAAATCAAGATTGTATTCTTTATTCAAAACCTTTGTTTTATTAAACAACCGTTATTATAGCGAATATTTTACTTGAACATAATATAAAACATGCTATTTTATTGTTTGTTGTTCTGTTAAATTAAGATTCCGTTTTTATAATATAATTCTGAAATAATCCTGAAATAATTTCAAAATTAAAGATATGACAGTAATGTAATCTGTTTAAGGATAGTTACACAAGATTCGTTCTGGAAATTAGGTACGTTTTTTTAAAGAAAAAAATACATATTAATAGTAGCAAATAAAGATTTTAAGCGTTGGCACCACGTGTATAGCACACCAAATAGGTCAATTCATACTAATTTTAAGCTCCCCTTATATTATTAACATATGAAACAAAAAATAAAAAATAAAAAGTTTAATCCTTTTTTTATTATCTGACAGAAATCATTAAACTAAATTAACTTTCATGGCTGGTACTGTTAAATTTAGTGATTTTTTTTGGCAGTTTCTAATTAGTTAATGAATATTAGAATTTTCTAAATACAAAAGTTTATAGCGCCTTTCCCTTGTTATTTTAGCATTCAAACTTATACCCGACCCGGTATTTCGGTTATGAACGGGAAGAATAATACACAAAAATCCCTAGTAATAATAATAACTGTTATATTTAGTGATTACTCTCGGTAAAAAGGAACTTCGAATTCAAATTATGGCATCTTGCCGATAACATTTTATAGCTGTTCTGCGCATTAAATGAGCAATGTTGCGTATTTTGCTACTAAATTACAGCGGGGTTATAAAAAACAGGGCGGGAATATACTTGCACCATTGCAGATCATATATCATCGGGAGGCGGAAAAGAAAACAAGGCGTAGAAAAGCGGGGTCCCCAATGAGTCCTGTTGTTTCTTTTTCTTTTCCCCCCTCGACAGCGACGCTCACAGAGTCACCAACTCAGCACATAAAAGTTGAGTACAAGTTTGTTTATATGTGATTCAATTATGTACGTAGTTCTTGTTTAACCCCTCCCGACACTGTTTATGTAAGTAACGAGGTATATCGTACTTAATTTGAAGTGCATTCTTTTTTTCAAGTTATGCTGTCATTTAAAATAAAAAACCGTATCAAGACAATTCCTAGGACCAACTGTATTAGTTAAAAGAAGTCAAAAATTAAAAAGGAGATTAATTTCTCGTTAAGAATGTATCGCAGCACTCAAGTATACTCCTCCATACGAAAGCTTTCTTATTCCAAGTGCTTTTCTCTATTTTATTGGATAGGTTAATCCTCCTTCCTGTTTGTTTAAATTTAAAAGTTCCATTTAACGGTGTTATGGAACAACTTTGGTATGTATTTATATGGCTCTGGATACATTTAAATCAGAGCCTGTCTTGTTACTACATCAAACAGAAATGCAAGGTATCAAAGAACGATAAAGTTTTCTTATGTCTATGTTTACGGGGAATAATATTAAAGTTTTTTAATAGTCTTTGTGTAACCGCGCTCTTCCCGAGAGAAAGAATTTCTACCGTATATCAAATAACTTTAAAAGACTAAAGGGGGAAAAGTGAGCGATAGCAATTCTCGAAGAAACAAAGTGCCACTTCAAGTTAAAACAATATACCATGTGCTCTTAAAAAAGAAAGAAAATATTGATTGTATTATATTATATAATATATAATTGAATAATAAACACCAGATACTACTAACAAAAGATCGCGCACAGTTTTGCTTCTTCTCTATCACATCTATTTATTTTAAAAGAAAAAATAAGAGACTTTTGAAAAAATAAAAATTTTCTATTATTTTAGTATAATAGAATATTTCTTTAATATTATATATGCAAAATATTTATGTTTATTATTGTGATAATATTATGAGAATTGATCTTTTTTTACTTGATTTTCTGTGTTCTCTTATTTATCCAAATATGCTTACAAAAATGTGTACGTAATTTCTTTTTCGATCCCGCATCGTAGATCATAAATGGTAATCAGAAAAGGAGTACATTATGACAGTAATAAAGTTCTTTTTTGTTATTGTTTCAATTTATAAATTTATTTTCACCTCACTCTCGACGTATAGTAATAATTTACTATGAGTCTCAATCTCTATTATATTTTATTATATTGTAATATCATTTCTTCAAGGGTTTAACGCCCTGTTCATTTCTGTGTCACTATTATATTTTGTATAATTGAGCAGTGTGTCTTTATTTAGTTAGAAAGAAAAAGAAAATGATTCAAATTCTAGTATGTATAGTATTGTTTTGACTGTTTACGTTTTATTTATTAATCGATTTCAGAATAAATTCCGTCGTTAGTTGCTTATTATAGGTACTACTTTCAGATAAATGTGTAGAACGAATTAAAAAGAAAGAAATTTTAAACTGATCCATTGATAAGTTAATTTATCTGCTTCAGTTCTTTGGAATCGGAATTTCAAATTATTTTAAAATATAATTTTAAAATTTCCGATATCCCATAGCCAGTAACGATTTAATGCACTAATTTAACTTATTTGTAATAAACAATTAGAATTTTTTTCCTTCTTCTTTCAAAATTTGTTATTAGTTTTCTTTCGAACAACAATGACGTTTTTCTGGTTGTTTTACGTTATTTTTTTAAATTGTTTTTCTTAAAATATTAAGGTGTTCTTAGAACTCTCTTGTACCTAGTTTTCTAATTTATTTTTTGTTTTATTATTCTTAAAGTTTTACGATCTACTTCATCTCGGGAAGAAAAGTTTACTCTGGTCTTTTTTTCTTTGTTCTATACAAAAATATGTTGCCTACCTACATTTTACTGTAGAGATGCAACCCCTTTCTATACTACATTTAAGTTATTTGTTGTGTATTACTATTATATATGGCAGTTTTTTCCCCTTTAATAAACATATGGCTGTGGTTTGTTCAATTTATTTCTTTGTTTTTACTACATTTAATTATTGTTCGACATGCCAAACCGATTCTTTTATCGACGTAACAGTAAACTAGTATCTTTATTCTGATCCTTGTTTATAACATTCTTCTTTTTTTGAGTAAGGAGATATATAGCCAAGTTATGGTAACTTAGTAGCGTTAATTTAAAACAATTAATATACAATGTTTCTCTTCTTGAAATGAAATTAGGATTATTTAGAACTCGTATATTTGAAAAGGTATATATATTTAACAACTTCAGCGATAATAAGTGTTATTTCTGTTTTCTGTATCCATTTGTTTTTGTCTTTCATAATTCTGAACATAATTTTATTTAGTAGTTATTTCAATATTTCTTCTTCACAACTGTATTTTACATTTTAATAAATTGATCAGATTTGATATTTTATTCTAATTAAAATTACTACTAATTATATCTCTACAATAACAAAATAACATATTATAATATATCTTAGATTATAGCAATACGCAATATTTCGCAATGTATCAAAATTTTAACCAAAATTCGAATGAAGCAACAAACATGAATATTAATGAAGATCAATTTCTTGATTTCTTCGAAAGAGTAATTACAGAGAATGAACCACAACAAAATATTCGTCTTTGTAACGAAGATTCGATCACTACCGAGCAATCACAACAATTTTCTAAACAGGTTTCTAAAAATGTCCCTTTCAATTCAATGGGACAGCAACAATTTCAAATTAATAATAACAATAATTCAGTTGCACATGACCATAATTTTGGTAATATGGATTTTAATTATGGATTTGGAAATACCAATAACAGTGCCAACATATTCACTAATAATAACGTGATGATACAGCAACTTACACCTTCTTCTTCTTCTTCTTCTTCTTCTTCTTCTTCTTCTTCTTCTTCTTCTTCTTCTTCTTCTTCTTCTTCTTCTTCTTCTACCTCATCAGCTTCCTCTGCTTCATCTTTAACTAACAATAATAATGCAGTTACTATTGATTCTACCACATTACATACATTCGACAGGGTGACTACGGTAGTAAAGAATGAAGGTAATACGGAAGAATTTAATAATATTTTAAAACTAAAGAAAGTGCAAAATAACTCTAAAGTTAAAAAATTACCATCTCTAATTTCTGCTTTGCCCCCAACAATAACGCCCGTATCAGATCCTGAAAGTAAGGGAAATATGAACGATGATGATGATTCTACTAGTTTTACAAATATTCCGTTACCACCATGTAAAAATAAGAGTAATCATAAGGTTGGAAAAGTTAAAAAGAAAAAGAAGAAAACTTCTCATAATGTTATCGAGAAAAAATATAGACTCAATATTAATGATAAAATTTCCCAATTAAGAGATATTGTTCCAACAATTAGTGTTACCTATAAGGAATTGTTAAAAGTGCCCATCGAACAACAAGATATCATCAACTTAGATGGCTTAGAACCGACCCACAAATTAAATAAAGGTAGTATTTTAAACAAAACTATCGAATACATTAAGCATTTACAGAAACGTTGTGATGACTACAGGGAGAGAAATGATTTATTGGAAAAGTATTTTGTAAATTATCCCCAAGCTCAACAAACATACGGTATTTCAGCAGATGATATGTATGTTAAAAGAGAATATGATAATGCATATCAATGAGAGTTAATTCTGATAACTAATATTCATGGGAAATTTGCCTTATTTATTTTTTCGAAGATTAGCGAGTCAAGTAGTTTTATCTGTTTTATATATTCTAGAGTTATTAAATATATATTTAATTATTAAGAATAATGAAAAACAATTATTACGTTAAACTGATGGGTACTTTTTGTCCGACATATTGTAGTCTTGATTAAAAATTTGATTGATGGGTTCGAATATTTTATGTAAAGCTTGTTATCGGTTAACCTGGTATCTGTTATAAAAAAACATTTCGAATATATTAATATTAGTATGATTTTTTATATATGCAATGAAATGAATGGTATTTATTATGTAATTCGGTATTATTATTTATGGTAGGCTTTGCTAATCCACATGCACATGTACATGACTGTCAGATAGTGTTCTTGATAACATGCTACCAGAACTCTCCCCTTGGTCGTGATAGTAGATAACATTTCTGGTCAATTCTGTCTCGATAGATTGCGTTTCCTGACCAACTTCACATGACGTACAAAAACTAATAATGCCGTCCGTATTTTGGTTTGTCTTTTTCTCAGAATCATCTTTAGATATGGATAGTAGCTCATTACATTGATGTTTGATATCATCTGTTGACACCGTTAATTTATGATTAAAACATTTAATTGCATCTCTTATAGAATGTCTCTTTTCTGTTTTATCATTTCCTAGATAATTTTTATTTCTTACTCTACTGTCTTTTAACCGATTGATTTTGGATTTCCAAGATGAAAATGGATACCTTATCTTAGTTGGTTTTTGTATTTTTTTTTGTTTTGAATTTATTTGACCAATGGATCCCTTTTCAAGCAAAGAATTTGCTTCTGAAACAAATGACTCCCTAGATCTCCGTGAGAGAGTTGATGAAACAAGACTCATTTCATTAGAATCAAAGAAAAATGGATCTGTGTTATCTATTTTTCTTCCTAAAATTGTATTTTTATTTAATGCAATTTCTCTTTTCTCGAAAGCTCCAATGAGGCCCCATATATTCACAGTAATTAAAAGATTCAAAAGGTATACAAAGTTAAACCTCCATCTTGATAAATGGATATTCTTGGTAGTAAAGAAAATTGTGCAAAAATAAGTTATTACAAATGAAACAAAATTGTAAATTAAGATCGGTACCATTTGGTAATAATCTTCCCATAATACTTTAATCTTATTCCTTAATGTAAGTTTTCCTTTCCTCTTTACTCTTTGTCTAATTAGTACATTACCAAAATTGCACCATATATAGGTGAAAATCAAACATAAGAAAACAGTGTATATTAAACATTCCACAGTTTTGTATAAAGATCTCACACCTGACAGGTTTCTTACCCATAATAGAATTCCAAAGGGTATATTAGCTAGCAGCAATAAGACAATGCCTACAGAAACGATGAACCTGTTTCTGTTGTTTAAAAAGGAAGGTAACCAAAAGCAGTATGTATTACATTGTTCTAAAGAATCATCAGTTATATTAGATATAGTGCCGTCTTTATCATTAAAAGCAACATTGGAGTTGGAATGTGTATTACTTTTCATAAAGACTGTATTTCTACGACATGGTTTTTGGTCCTTATGAAACATATAATATACAATATAAATCCAATTAATATTGCAGGCTAGATGTATTAATAGCTCACATGTTTTATATGCATCAGAATTCAAAATTTTCATCTCATAAAACACAACATCCTGAATGTTTAAATTGTATTGCGGAATAAACACATTATTCACAGTCTGATGCATATATATAGTTTGAATGATGACATATAGGATCACGTATAATGTTACGGGTATTGTTCTAATACGATTATCTGAAGGTAATAATAAAATGATTAATAAAATCATGTATGAGCTAACGCAGGAGGTAGTTTGTAGGAATAATATCATTACTAAACTATGATTAAAGGAGGCCTTAAATAAAAAGTGATCGGTATTATTTATTACTCTTTTTGGTTGATTCACATTTACTATTTTTGAGTAATATCTATTATGATGTCTTTTAGTGGAATTTGGGCGTATGCTCAATTTATAATCTAAATCTAATGCCAAGTTTCTTAGAAACTCAGAAGCGGGACTTGAATAATTTGAAGATAAAGTTTCATATGTTATGTTATTAGTTGCATTGAAAAATGAATCATTACATCTAATTAGTAGTGTTGGTGTATGCAGAGAAATATTTTTAATAAAAATTGGTGTGCTCAAATTATTTCTAAACATTAAATTCAGGTAGCCACTAGATAGTAAGTTTGCATAACAATACTTGGAATATGGTTCTAAGATGTTGTCCAATATGTAATCCGATAACAAAATTGAATCATTATGATTTCTATGTCCATGGTGATTGTGGTGATGGTGCCCATTATGGTGACCATAGTTAGTATTTATTCCTTTTGATCTTGAACCATTCTTACCACCTAAATAATCTAATGGGAACTGAGGTGAATAAAAAATAAGTTTCTTTTTATCTTTGGAATGTGGATTATTGATATCGGGGTCACCTGGATCATCTGTATCTGGACCATCTTTATTGGGGTTGTTGTTGTTGGTAGTGGAGGTATTATTATTGTCAGTACCATCATCGTCATTATCATTGTAATTGTTGTTATTATTTTTGGTACTACTACTGCTCATTATTTGGCCTGCTTCAGGGTTTGGCGGTCCGTCGGGTATTCCTTGTGGTGGAGGAGGAGGTGGCGGCCCTGATCCTCGTGGTGGGGGAGGACCACCGAATAGGTCCATATCATCCGGCCTACCATTCATTTGAGATCCAGCTACTTTTTTTATAAGATCATGTGAACCTAGTGGTTCTATTCGAGCCATATGAGGCAAGCCCAGTGCATTTCGTCGCCTTCGTATCGGTTGCCAATGGATCGAAACACATAGGTTCGAAATATATAAAATATAACAAACCAGCCGTATCGTGATCATAGTGTGTGTGTTTATAATTATATGAGTGGTATCGTTGATATTGTTATATGCTTTTTACCTGAAGACGGGATTTAAAAATGAATGGAATCAATAAGTTGAATTTGTATTATTTTATATTTTCTTGTAATAAATCAGAGATGATATTCTCATTCACAGCACAGAGAAAAAATGAACTGAACTATATTCAGTTATATATTATTGGTGTTGTAGGAAAGAAGGTAAATCTTGAAGTCTTGAAGTCTTGATAGAACGATAACCTATCCTTTGACAGTATGACTTCTGTTGGAAGAAGAAGGAGGAGTTAGCAAAATTAACTAATCGATGATAATTTTTGACCTCAATAAAATTCCGCGTAGTGCAAGGATTTGGTTACTGTAACAATTCGTTGTTCTTGGCAAAGTGAGAAAAAAACCGAATAAATTTGAGTGCCGCAAACAGCAGTAATACCACATTTGAACCAAGAACATACAACTATATATAGCTATATAGATAGAAGGAGATATTGCAATAGAGGCAGAGTTATAAAGCTGAAAGTTGATATTGGAGTATCTCTATGAACAAAAAATTTGAGGACATCCGTATCAGTTGCGCAGTGTATTTGTATGTCCTATGTATTGAATACATGAGCTTTGGGATGCAAGTCACTCCCTACGGGTCGGTGGCTTAGTCCTTCAATTGATATATTAATATATTCTCCCCAAGTTGCGTGACTAGCTTGTTATTACATATATTGTGTGTTATTTAGTTTATCAGATTATCAAGTGTCTGTATTGTATTGCTTCACTATGTAAGTATAAGTATCTCTGGATGTTCATCTTCCTTCCCTCTGTAGATTGCGAAGTTTATTCCCCTGAAGGATTTCGTTGTTAATGTCAGCAGCGAAACGGAGGGAAACTCGCGAAAAATAGCAATTCTCGAGGGAATTTTCGTGGTTTTGGGAGTTAAGACGACGTAGGGAGGGACATACAGATATTTATATACATGTTTGGTTTGGTTTGGTTTGGAATATTCTGTCAGGATGTAAACAAAGGATCCCGCATGCGTGTATGTGCCTCTTTCCAGATCTCTTACTTGTAAATATTCGTTATGATTGACAATGTGCAATTCAACAATCGTATATACATATATATATACATATGTACTGGGTGGGATATTTAAAAATGAAAAAAATATGTTGTGTGATTAATACTCATTATTCACTCTCATTCATAGTAATAACAAACCAAACTGTATCAATTTTACATCTATTACTTGAAACATGTATATCAGTAACTTAGTTACCTATGCATATGCAATCTTATCGGTGTTTATCACGCCTGTGTTTGCGTTGACTGATATTGAACATAGTGTATTACAGAAGAGGTTCGATAGTTATTATGCGAACAACAACACGAAGGACAATGTAGTGGTCAGAGGGATTACTGTAGGTGGATGGTTAGTCACTGAACCATATATTACGCCTTCTCTGTACCATTATGCCACACAAATGATGTCTAACCAAACACATAACACTACTCTTTACAATGTTTTCAATAGTAGTATTATTGATGAGTATACACTATGTAAAGCATTGGGTTACGATAATGCGAAGGGTTTATTAGAAGAACATTTCCAAACATGGATTACTGAATCTGATTTTGAACAAATCGCCAGCGATGGATTTAATTTGGTTAGAATTCCGATTGGTTATTGGGCTTGGAAACAAAACCATACTACCAACGAATATGTTGATGGGATTAGCTTTGAGGATCCTTACGTCGGCGAAGGTTTACAACTTTATTATTTGAATCAAGCGATTGGATGGGCCGAGAAATATGGACTAAACGTTTGGATCGATTTACACGGTGCACCAGGATCCCAAAATGGATTTGACAATTCTGGTCAGAGAAATTTTTATGATGATCTTGGTTGGTTAAGTGATTATTCTACTACTAATTTAACCATGGCCGTCTGGTCTACTATGTTTGATTCATTTCTAAATTCAAGTGATGCTATTGTCGGTATCGAAGTAATGAATGAACCTTTAAGTAGTAAGATTGATATAAAGAATATCACACAAGCGTATTATAATGCATTTGAATTGTTTCAAGATAAAGAAGATCCTGAGAAGAATGTTACCTTTATCATCCATGACGCATTTGAAGGTAATGGATATTGGAATCTAGAATTTAATCCCAGGTATCGGAACGTTAGTGATCAATATCAAAACACCCAAGACTTGAATAAGACATACTACGATTCTCAACAAATTATGATCGATCATCATCATTATGAAGTGTTTACAGATTGGCAATTGGCCAATAATCAATTCAATAGATTAATGGATATTATAAATTTTGGAGAATCGATCAAGAAGGAATTGCCGTACCATCCCGCTGTTGTTGGAGAATGGTCAGGTGCGATTACGGATTGTGCCACATGGTTAAATGGAGTTGGAGTTGGATCGCGTTATGATGGGTCGTATTATAATACTACGCGATATTCCACGGATGATTTACCCGTTGGGAAATGCTATTCCCAAAATCCCATAGGTCAATGGAATGAGACATACAAGAGAGACGTTCGACAATTCATTGAAGCGCAACTTGCGACATATGATGCGCAGACCACGGGGTGGATCTTTTGGAATTGGAAGACAGAAGATGCTTATGAGTGGGATTATACGCAATTGAAAGCAGCAGGATTATTCCCATCGCCTCTAACAAATTTCACTTATTTCGGTAATGATGGTAAACTGAATTCAGATGTTAGCATGTCCTTATCAAGAGAAGCATATCCCGTTACTTCGTCGTCGTCGTCGTCGTCAAATTCGTCTTTATCTGCGTCGAGTTCTAAAAAATCTAAAAATATGGGATCTGGACCTCTTTTCAATCATTCGACGAATGATAAGTCTATATGGAGCCTTAAAAGTACAACTTGGCTCTCCAATGTCACTGTATTATTATTAAGTGTAGTAATTGCGGCTCATATATTATAGAGAGGGAGAGGGAAGAAAAAGGCGAAATCAAATAAACAGAGTCATTCGTACATACATACGCCGTTTATAGACTAAATATGAATAAATGATTATTTTGCGCCCTTCCGTGGAATCGAGTTTATTTATTGCCCCAAGAAAAGGAAAAAGGTGTAAATTATTTATGTATCGGAACACATATGTGAGTGTTATTTTACCTAACTATTAAGTAACCAATGCAATAAACTAAAATCCGATAATTAACAATACAATGTACTTTTTAAAGTTTTAAACTTAATCATTGAAAGTCGTGAAAAATGTGTAAGGTTAATATATCGGTTGTCATTTCCTGATTTAGTTAAGAACCGGTAATACCTTTACCGCTGTGTGTGCGATTTTTCTATTTACAACACCTTTACGTCACTCCCCTCATTATCTCCTTCCTCTGTACCTTTCGAAAGAAGATGGAACCACTTACACAGACAAAATGTACAGACGGGGTAATGACTACATTAAACAGAAAAGGAAACCAAGGGAGAGAGTGAAAACACACACACACATACGTAATCATTACAAGTATACATGTTTATACATATTTGTACATCGTTTTCTGTATGTCCCCTCTGGTACATCTTCATGAAGTTCCAGATTCTAAAATTAATTCAAAAGAAAAAAGCGGAATTTCCTCTCTCTCTGAAACGTTAATGTGTGTGTGTGTGTGTGTGTGTGGCTGTACAATTGAACAAAACGAGAAATTATAAGAACCGATTTATTATTTAATTATTAATCGGAGTTACAGCCGGACCCAAACCAACCACTGCAATTCTGCTCCCTAAGTTTCTCTGGAATAAAACAATATTAAAATCTATCAAAGTCAAAACCTTTCAGGCAAATAATAAGGACGAATGGAGACTTCAAAACCACCAAAACATTTAATTGCAATTCATCCAACTTCGCGCACCGTTCACTGAGTGTTTCCTCAACGCAGAGGAGAAAGAAGACCAGAGAGGAGACTGCAAAGCCTAAAAAACCAAAAAATTGTTTTCCTCCTCTTTCCCCGCAATAGCAAAAACACGGAACACAAAATCTATTCGGCAAACACTGAAAACAGGAGAGGGGAAAGAATAGAAATATCGATTGAATCGAAACAGAAAGAAAGTGTGCCGTCTATATGACGACACCATCACCAATCTCTTTTCTTTTCGCAGCGCGGTGTCAGAGACTAAGGCGTAGGACAGGAGTCAACAATACGCAAACTGACGACGTAATTCGGCTGAAAACGGATCGAGACGGAACTTCCCGCTGAATTTGCAGTAAGAATCCCCTGCCGAACACTGCATCGCTCTCGGCTCAAGCAACAAATCTTTCATATTTCATATTTCATATTTCATGTTGTTTTTGGCCGGTGGATCTCCTCTCTCCTGTCATTGCAGCAGCAACAACAAAATGAAATGAAATTTGTTCGATTTTCGTAGTGAAACTAAAGCAGGAACCCTCCTTTTTCCTTGTTTTGTGACCTCATCGCTTAATTGAGAATGGCGTTCATTCCTTCTATCTCTCTTTCTTATAATCATCCTCATCACCATCACAGTTATTTTTGATCAAGCTTTTTTAGTTAACGATTACTTTATAATTCAGTAGATCTTCTTCACGCATTACTATCATGGGCGGGGGGATGTGGCTTGGCTATAATTATTTCATATCTCTGCGAGTTTAACTTAACAAAACTGTAAGGATTATCAGGATGATGATAATGAATCGTTTGTTGTTGTTGTTTTTGAACTAATAATAGGTGAATTCTAGTGGAAAAACTCCGTTTTGGTTAAATAATATTAGTATCATTATGGAATACTTCGAGAAGTTAGGCCCCTCCCCCATCCACACTTACGCTTACACTTTGATTATTTTAATGAAATAAAGAGGGTGCTAGCAAGATTCAATTCAGAAATATTCAGTTCTAATTTCTTATTTGCCTTACTCCTCTTATACAACGCTTGAACCTTGTAAGAAATGTTTTTCTTTTCTGAAACTTTCTAAAATATTTAGTACTTAAAGGAAGTTCTTTCGTCTTATTTATTTCCTTAAAACATTTTATAATTTCTTTCTAACTTACATTTTTAAATTCATTTCTTACCATATTTTGTTATTTACACTCCACAACTAAATAGCTCACTTACAAATTACAAATTACTATCATTCCATAATGAACTCATACATAATGTCAAATCAACCAATAATCTTTAAGGATTCTCAAGGATCTGCAAACACTACAATTACCACAAATCCTACTAATAATAATAGAGATATAAGGTTGATTCAACCTTTAACTAACAATAATCCTTTGTTAAATCAAATAGCAACAAATAATAACAATACTCAAATGAATTTCTCAAGTGTCCCAATGACAAGAAGAAATTATACTTATATGGCAAATGTAAACATCCCCTCGGTTACACATATTATTGCACCTGCAAATCAACCACATTTACCAATCATGAATAACAACAATAACGTTTCCTTAAAATTACCAAGAGTATTGCCACCACCAAACAGTTCGTATTACTCTAATACAACAATTACAACTGCTCCGGCTCCGGCTGCTATTACTTCTGCAACTAATTCTTCTGGTGTATTATCCTCTTCTTCTTCTTCAGGAAGTAGTGGTGTTGGGACTCCTAAAACGAATCAAAGAAGAGAAACTTTACTTTCAGTTAGTGATGCTTCGTCCCCAGTTTATAAGAGGGACTCGAACTCCGCATCTTTACCACCTTTTAAATCATTCGATTCCTCAAGAAGACATTCGGTAAGTCTGGCAATATTGGATGATCCAGTTCAACAATTAAGAAACTCTCAACAACCAACTTTGGGGGCTATTGTAAAAGATGAAAATAATAATTTCATTGTTCCTTTGGTTCAAGTTCAACAACCAGGAATGTCAGAACCATCATCAATAAAAACCGAACTCGAAATTGGCTTGCCTGATGAGGAGAATATTCATAAAGTCGGCGAAAGATATAACGATAAAGGTGAATTGATTGGAAGATCAGGTAAAATCCTACGCGATACAAAGAGAGCTGCTCAAAATCGTTGTGCTCAAAAAGCATTTAGAATACGTCGTGAAAAATATATTAAAAATTTAGAATTAAAATCAAAACAATTCGATCGTATGGTTAATGAAAATTCAAAATTAAAATCAAGAATTAAAGAACTTGAAAAATTATTGTAAATTTAAAACTAATTTAAATTCTTTTAAATTAAGATTGTTGGTTTTCTATTTAATTTTCTGTTCAATGTCATTCCCCCCCTCATCTCTTCTCATATTCTTAATGCATTTCTCATACAAATAATAATAATAATATATTTTGGATTTCGTTACCTCCCACCCCACACACGCACACACACACACTTTTTTTATTGTAATATTATACTCATATTCATAATTTTTTATTTTCGCTAATCAACTGTCTACATACTGACATATAAATAAGTAATAAACATTGTCCATAATTAAAAAAAGATCATCCCTTTTCTGATTTCTTTTTACCATGTGTACATAGAAAAAACAAAATAATATAAAGAACCAAAATACATTTCCTTTTTATCTAAATATATATATTACACATAATATTTATGTCGTTTGAATGATTGGATGTGGTTTATACCTCAAAGATATTCATAATGTTTATCTTCTACCAGTTTGAATGATACCGGCAGCGATAAGAGTTTGAATCTTCTTAAAGACTTCTGGGTTCTTCATATGTTCTTGTAATGCAGCTGGATCAGATTGAGCTTGACTCAAGATGCTTTGAATTACTGGATCTTGCATAATTCTTTGAACTTCTGGATCCTTCATTGCTCTTTGATACACTTGCTCTGGAGTCTCATTACCTTCAGCAGGTTGGAATCTTTGAGAACTTGCCTTGTAGTATAATTGATCAATTTCTTTTGAGTTAGAACCATTATTAGTTGCAGCATCCTTGCTTCTAGCTTCATCTAAGGTCTCTAATGCAGAAGAAAATTCTTTAACAGCAATTTGTGCATTAGCCTTTCTAATATAAGCTCTAATGAAATTTGGATCCTTTTGGATAGCTTTATCACAATCCTCAATGGCAGATGGGAATGACATCAATTTTGCTAAAGCAGCAGCTCTGTTAGAGTAACCTCTAGCATCTTCTGGAGCTCTCTTAATCATTTCAGTGTAAGCTTCGACCGCCTTTGGCCAGTCAGCTTTTGTGAAATATTCTTTACCTTGTAGACGGGCTTCTTCAGCCTTTTCCGGGTTAACATAATCGGTAGCTTCTTTGGTCTTAAGTTCCTTTTCAGCAGTTCTTAGTTTAGTTAAGATGTCTGCAGTTCTGTGTTCAGTTAAAGATTTTTGATAATATTCAATGGCTTTCTGTAAATCATTTAATTTATAATATGAGTTACCCATACGAGCAAAAGACTTGGCAATAATCTTATAATCAGCTCTTAAATCTCTACCTTGTTCAACAGCCTCATTTAGTGTGTTGATAGCAGTTTCGTAATCACCTTTCTCAAATTCTGCAGCAGAACGATTGTTCAAATAAGTGATATCTTTGTGTAGTTCAAAAGCTTTGTTATATTGGGCAATAGCTTCATCAAATTTATGAGCTTTGTAAGCTTTGTTACCTTCGGCTTTAGCCAAATCAGCTTCAGCTTTACTCTTGTCTTCTTCGTCAACTTCCATTGGTTCCGGCTCTTCGGAGGCTGGTTCTGGAGTTTGTTTAGTATCGGCTTCCTTTGGAGTCTCTTTAGGTTCACTGGTTGGTTCCTTTGGCATAGAATTGGAGTTAGATAGATCTGGCATGTTTAAATCGACACCCATTAGAGTAGCCATAATGGTCATTAATCTTGGATCAGAGAATAGATCAGTACCAATTGCTTGTGGGTTAGCCTTATAATTAATCAATTTAGCTACCAAAGTTGGATCGTTCATCAATTCAGCAGTCTTTGGGTTTTTCTTCAAGTTTTCAATTAAGTTTGGATCAGCAAATAACTTTGAAAGACCCATATCTGGTTGGGCAGATCTAGATTCTTGTGTACGATGAACTTGGTCAAGACCATCTTGAGCAGCTTTATTGCTGGCGTCTAATTCCAAAGCCTTTTTGTATGCAACTTCAGCTTCATCTAAGTTACCTAAACCAAAATGGGCAGCACCCTTTCTATTGTAACCCTTCGACCAAGTAGGATTAATCTTAATACATTCTTCGGCATCCGTTAGTGCATCCGCAAACTTTTTCATGGAAGAATATGTGGCAGATCTGTTAGAGTAAAGCACATGGTTAGGAGTCTCAGAAACTTCGATGGCCTTAGTAAACAAATCGATAGCATTTTCATATTCCTTAGCAGAGAAGGCAGCGTTCCCTTGTTGTTTGTATTCGTCAGCAGAAAGAGACATCTTCTTTTCGTTTTTAATTGATGAGTAAATGGGAGTTATTGATAACCTCGTTCCTAAAGACGAATGATTGGTACTGCGCTAAATGATAACCAATGTAGTGTGTCTGTTCTTATATAAGTTATTCCTGCTATGTCTATTCTCTCTTGCCCCCCCAAAAACTGGTCTAACATTTTACCTGACAAAACCGAAAAATGGCTTCAAGCGCCGAAGCTCCCAAAGAAATTGAAAATTTAGAAATTTCAATTTTTTTCTAGAAAGTTCCAAGGGATTGGTCACTACGCACGAAATATGTCTTATTTCAAGAGTGGTCAGTGGGATGTATGTCACTAAATCAAGGATAGAACATACAAGAATTGTTCTTAGTTGAAGTACAATACTTGTAGATAGTTTCAGGCTTTGGGATAATATGTATTATATAATATTATATAATTATTTTAGGGATCAAGAGAACATTTACCTTAGACATGATATTCTGGTAGCCCATCCCTCCTATGAAATTTAATAATTTAGACAAAAACAATAAAATAAATTAGTAAACAAATAAATAAAACACAGGAGAATATCAATTGCTATTACTAAATACCTTATATAGAAACAATATATATGTTGCTTGGCTGTAATTCTATATTACTATCGATTGTTGCGTTGGTTTTAAATGAATCATCCGAAGTCGCAACGTAGAACATGTCTTTATCACAGACGAGTTTAACTACACTATTTGAATTAAATTTAGGAAATTGTTTCAACTTCCTTCTAGTATCCAAATTCCAGAACGACACTGCTCCGTCTGACCCACCAGTCAACATTTTCGAGGTTCCAGGACAAAATGCCAACGTGTTAACTGGAAAGACAAACTGGGTATCTTTTAAATTTAATCTGTGACATCTGAATGCAAACTGCCTTTCAGGTTCATTTAGATATTCCACAGCTACTCTACCATCTATGCTACTTATAACATAACCACTAGACGTAGGTAATAGTTTAATATCTCTTATTTGATATTTTAAAGCTGACACCATTGAAATACCCTCGTCCTGTTCTCGTAATGGTAATTCAAACAATCGAAGTTTATGCCCTGTTTCAACCAATATTAATTTATTTGAATTACAATCTGCTGATAAGATTTTACGATCTTCTTTCAATTGTATCCTCATGTCTATTTTTCCTAGACCGACATCTACTACCGAGATCGACCCATCCCAAGATATGCATATTAACGAATTATTTAAATGATGATTTCCATAAACAAATATTTTACATAATGCCAATGTAGAAACATCTTCACCTGTCACTAAGACTGGTTTAAACATATTTGTCCCGATATCATATCTAAGTAATTGTCCTTGTACTGTGCCAACATAGATATCCAAATTGAGAACACAACAACATATTAGAGGTGTTTCATTTTTTCCTCTTTTATACAAAGACGGTAACTTATCCTTGTTGGTGATTTCTGAATTTGTTTTGTATATGGATAGTGTACCATCCCAAGCTGTTACCAATAGGCATGGACCGATGTTCGGTAATTCGCTGATCACCAAGTCACTAATATAATCATCTGGTGTGCTTTCTATTAATATTCCTTCATTATTGGTTATACTGCTGCTCATAATATATATACATTGGCATGATATGATATAAAATAATTAATAATAACATATCTCGAACTTCGAAATTGTTTTTAGCAAGTACCTGTCCTTTAATCAATTATTGATTCCCTTTTCGTTGTTTTGATTTGGTAAGACGCGCTTTAAGACATATTAAGTATGAAAATAACATATTTGCCCTGTAAAAAGTTTGAAGAATAAAAGGAAATAGAGTTCAACTTACACCCATTAATCGCACTATTGACAATTTGTATCCATAGATTATTTATTATATTAATAATATGCATTAATGATGATGAGATTAAAAAATTTCCTATATATTATGTACATTTATATATATAGATATGCAAGGGTACTCTGGGTACCAGAGTGATGGTTATGATGATGTCGTAAGTGTATTATTTTCTTTTTTAAAATAAAATTCTGCGTTTAGTTTCATCACCTGATCATCATCACTTTCACCATCGCTAACAATAACCTCCTTAAGTTGGAGTTTGGCTTTTTTATTCTTTGCCATTTTATTAGTTGGAGGTAATAATTTTCTTTTCAGACTTTGAAGAGATGCACGTTTCATAGAATCACTTTCTTCTCCCTCGGAGGACGATGAACCAGAAAGACCAGCTTGCAAAATTCTCAAGTTTTTCTCTTCCCTGGTTGGGGTCGTTGGAGGTGTACTCAAACTTTGTTGTTCTATCTGTTTTCTCGTTTCTAATAATTTTTGTTTTCTTAATTCGCTTGCTTCTCTCTTTAATTGCCTTAATTTATTGACTTCCTTTTGTGATTTAAAGAAATCAGGTTCTTGATTATTCAAAAATGTGACCCACTCATCACAATCTTCCCAGATTTGATAATCGATACAACCATTCCATGTAGAATCGCCAACACTAGACTTATTAACAAGAATAACCAAACCACCACGTTCATGGACTTGTTTGCTCATTTGTTTCACAACTTTTTTGACACCATCGACTTTTAAGCTTGTCCCCATAATAATAAAGAAATCTGGTTTACCCCTCAAAATATCAAGGTTTAAACCTTGCGATATAATATCACCAGAGGGATGATTTTCACCATATAAAACAATATTTGGTCTCAACATACCGTGATGATCAACAACACGTTTACCTTGTTGAGATCTTCTTAATTGAATAGCTTCACAATGAGGACAAACTGGCAACTCTCCTCTTCTAAAGGATCTAGCCCAATATCTGTTCCAATTGAAAACATGGAAACATCTAGTACATGATAATTTATTTAAATCACCATGTAATTGAACCACATCATAATTTCTCCATTTTGCATTACTGAATGCAGTACATGAATTACTACGAATTAGAGATTTTTGTAAATTTTCTTTTTTCAACGAATCCTCTTGTACAGGTTGTTCACTCGATAGTTCTAAACCTAGAGTCTCTTCAAGTCCATCAATATTTTGTGTATAACAACGTAATAATTTACCTCTATCTTTTAAATGAGCAATAAATTTATGTGTCTTTGTTGGTTTAGCCAATCTACAACTAGAATATAATTTTTCCATAAATGTAGCCCATACAGATATTTTCAATTCATCTCTAAACAAAGAAATATCAAACATTTCTTTACCTGAACCCAGAGATACATTTGGATGTTCTTTCTTCACTAAGTTATAAAGACCATCAGAAGATCTGAAATCAGGGATCCCCGCATTACATGATATACCAGCCCCCGTCAATACTAGCACTTTACGTGATCTGCTTAAAGCTTTATTGATATTCAATATTGTTTCATCGTCTGAATTTAATTGTAAAATATGTTGTAATTTTTTGGTTTGCAGGGACTCACTGGTCACATTATTTGTTGATTTTGAACGGGCTGCTTTACTTGGTACATTTTTAACCAAAGTTGTATCCAATTTTTGAGTTATATTTTTACGCATTTTGTTCATAGATAGAGCTTCCTCATCGAAGGAGGCTGACCTTTGATCATTGGATAATAATTTGATCTGTTTATGCTCTAGTTTAACTCTTCTACTCATTTTTTCTTATTATAATTTAGTAATTTTCGACAAAAAAAGTAAATATTCAAGTATGAAAATATTATTATTTTATGAACAGAGTTGTTATTTATTCAACTTATTAATGAAAGAATGAATGATGTCGGTATCTTCGGCGGGATTTCGTCAATCTGTGAAAATTATCAAATAATTATTTCCTATGTTCTACTGCCTCGACAACGTTACCCTCTATATTAGATTGATTGTCTTTATTTTATTCAGTTCCCAGGATTCCTTGACCGTCAATGGAAGAAAACTTTCAAGATATTCCGATTTGCTTTTAGCTCTTCCATGTATATATATATAGAGTCGATGTATTGAAATTAAAGGATGGTCCATTAAATCGGTCGTGCAAACGTCGTTGTTAACGACGCTATGCGGCCTTGTTCTGCGCCATTCTCTTCGCGTCTCCTAACTTTTTTTTTATTATTTATTGTATTTTATTACCGAAACGGGAATTATGGCATTTTCACTATTTGCGTATTGATGTTTTGCCCGAAAGGGGAAAAATAAATGGTTAGTGCAACGAGGCAAGACACGAAATGTTCCTCTTCTATGATGCCAGCCATGACATTTTTATTAAATGAAATAAGAGATACAGCGTCAGTGAGAGGATAACGATGAGCAATGGTAGTTTCAAGTCTGACATAAAAGCACGTTATGATATTGTTATATAAAAACCTCTTTGACTAGATAACGATATATTGAGTGTCTAAATTATTTATAGTCTAGAATGCAGAGAAAATCGTTATTCTATGTAGTCAGATCCTCTTGTGAGGATTCAGAGCTTACCTGGCTTTCCCTCACTAATTCGTTTATCAATTTTGTAGATAAGTTTAAGAATGGGTATGCTGAAAAAGTACTTACTTTCTCCTCTTTTGCAATGGATTCTGCAGTTGGTGTGGCCTCTCTAACGACTCGTTCCTTCTCATCAATATCACTATCAGCTGTCTCCCAGCCGTCGAATTTCAAATCGACCAAAAAATAGTTTGGAGCAGTTTGAAACAATTGGATTACGACTTTCATTCTCTCGGGAATCACATCTGCTTTATCAACACTTTCCTGATTCAGTTGCCTATCCCATTTCCAGATTGCTCTAATTGTCCATAATTCTCTCTCTGTAGTTCTAATCCATTCTGCACCAAGTCGTTTCAATGCACTGTAGACTTCTCCCATGACAACCAACGGGTAAGAATGCGATCTTATTCCAAAATGCCACCTTGTTTTACTCGTCGGAGTTAACATTGGTGTAATAACCCCGGCACCAGGAAATCCCTCTGCAAACATATTTACACGATGGATCTGAGGTAATGAGGTCGGTAAGATTGCAATTGTAGACTCATTGGTATCTAGTGGAGTATATTCCGCATCGTTATAAGTTCGTTGTTGTCTCAGGTTTCCTTGCTTCATATTACCGGCAGATGAATCACATGGCTCCCCTGATGTCGCAGTCAAGTTATACTGAGAATCTTTGTTTCTATTATATGTAGTCATTTGTTGTGCAGCCATAGTATCTATTACTTCTCCACTCTTATTATTGATCAAAGAAATATCGGAATCTGATCGAACCAATCTTAAATCTTTCAAGATACTTTTATTTTCTTTCATTAACAAATATGCATCCCTAATCTCTTGTAAACCAGGGTCTGTAGTTTCTGTTTGTAAAGATTCATAAATTTCATCCATCCCATAACCCATAGTGTTAGCCAATGCGGTGACCAATTCTTCGTCTATAAGTTCTTCACCACTTCTTATCGATGCAGTGAGACTACTAGTATCTGTGTCCCCATTGAGACTATCATTCTCATCTTCTCTTAAATCCTGTGGAACTAAATATAACTGAATGTCTTTCTTGAACCATTCATCCTGCATAATCTCTTGAATAGATATTCTACCTAAGGGGTTTACGATAAGCATTTTTTTAATTAAAGAAGCAGCTCCTGGAGATAAGAAATTTGGCAATGCATAGATCCCGTTATTAATATTTTTAAACAATTTGGGTAAACTTTCATCATCAAAGGGCAATCTGTGACATAACAGAACATAAAGGATCACACCACAGGACCATACATCAACTTCTGGTCCTGCATATAATTTCCCACCAATGATTTCAGGTGCAGCATAATTAGGTGAGCCACATGAAGTCTTTAAAAAATTACCGTCAGTCATAATATTAGATAAACCAAAATCCGTAATCTTAACACGATAATGTTTATCCAATAAAAGGTTTTCAGGTTTAAGATCTCTATGGACCACTTTATGCCTATGACAATACTCCACGGCTGATATGATCTCCTGAAAGAAATGACGAGCTTCGTCTTCAGAGAGTCTTCCACGTTGAGTGATATATTCAAATAATTCATGTTCTGCATACTCTAAAACTATAATAATTTCATCATTAGATTTAATGACATCATACAGTTTAATAATATGCGGATGTCTTAACAATCTCAAATAAGAAATTTCTCTTTCAATACGACCTTGCATATCTCTACGAGAAAGAATTTTCTTATTAATGATTTTTAATGCAACTTTTTGTCTCGATGTAATATGATAAGCAAGTTTCACTTTCCCAAATGAACCTGTTCCTAACGTCTTCACAATTTGATAACTTCCAAATCTTGTTCCATCAGCAAGTCTCGGTAATGGTCTATTAATGTTTTTACTATTAATAGCATTATTATTACTACCAGTGGCAGTATTGTGATGATGACCCGATAAAAGCCGGTTCTTCCCCGAGGGAGCATGTCGACTTCTATTAGAAAGACTACGAGCCTGTTGAGCAGCAGAGACAAAGGGAGGTCTCTGACCACCAACGGCGGGAGCAGACGCCATTAATGGGCTTTGTCCCGATGAGATGTCTAAGTTTTGCTCATTCTGACGGTGATGGTAATGGTGATGGTGATGATGGTGATGATGATGTTTGTGTCTATGTCTTGGAGCGGAATTATCCGGAGCTGTTTGAGATTGTTCTAATGTATTCTTTTCATTGTACTCACTCATGACTATATCCAATACCGACCCATTCAACAAAAAAACTTGGTCTATTTACCTGTCTTTTCACCTATCTTTCAATCTAATGAAGTTTGTCAAACTCGGGATTTTATATAATTTCCATATTTCTCTGCTTATTATGTCAACTGTCCTTGCCTTAATTTTCTCAAAATTTTCACCTTTTTCTTCTCTCCCAAAAATTCAAATTTTCGCTGATTTTAGGCGGTGACGATCCGAAAACAGGTGATTAATTCCAGTCATTCTCGTTGAATGATGATGATGATGATGATGATGTGAAGACAAGCATTGTATGTTGGGATGGAAAGTTGTCATTAGCAATTTGCGAGTGTCCAAAAACAATCTGGTTAATTGTAACGCTGTTACGATGATGAAATCGTCCGTTGACGTGTTACGTGTCAGAAACGAACACTAGGTCTATCCAATCCACATAATCATATCGTTAGCTAGGTCAATATGACCAAGGACAAATATTGCATTACATTACATGCTAGAGAGTACGACAAATTTTTCAACATTGTCCATTTTGATTGGTTTAGGAACCCAAAACGAAAGTGATAATGACGGTGAGTGGCGGTGCAATATTGAGGGGTGTGTTTATAATTAGATGAGAGGCAACTCTGGCGGAGAAACGGCCGTACTCCGAGATTTAAGTCTTTTCCATTCACAAAAGAAGAGGAACTGAGGGGGATGCGAAGGGGAGAGGGGAAGGAGGCTAAGAAACCTCAATCAGAAAGATGGATAAGAAGAACCACCTGTAAATGTCGAGCTATGACATGACAATTTTTAGGATATTAAAGAAGAAATTGCATTTTTATACCTCCTATAAGAAATATAATATATAATAAGTTTGTATAAGGATGTGCTGAATATTTTGAAAGAGATCCAGAACTAAAAACAAAAATATATATAAGGTCATTTAGGTTGTGTATATTATAAGTCATAATTTACCTTACATTTTAGTAACACCAGAAAAAATACAACAACAACTACAACAACTACAACACTGCTTTATGACAGACGAGAGATATAAAACATGTTACAGAAGGTTGAAGATAGAAGTAGATAATGAAATTTGGGAACAGAGACATGGATTTTACACGACAGGCGTGTCATTTGATACTGTGCCTACAATGTTTATAGATTCAGTTTATGATAGAGATGATTGTGAATTTAATGGTATTAAATTCCCATTTCCAACAGATTCTAATAGTCATACGATGTTAACAGCAACAGATATGAATATTTTATCAACGATGAATAGCGATGGAGAACCATTCTTTAAAGATCATGGATTTAGTACCCATAGAGATCCTTATCATGGTATATATTTTGAAGATATATTTGTTAGAACCCCAGCTGGGAAAATTGTTAGAAGAGATTATCCAAGTCATAGATCAATTGATAATGATGCACTGTTGGTTAATAGATTACATCATTCGTATTATCAATTATGTGATAAAAATAAACAACAACTGCTTAAAAGAATAAATAATTCCTCATCAAAATATTACTTATATCCTGACTTACTTTCTTTAGAAAATTATATCGATATGGACATGACTGCGACGAACAAATCATCTATAGATCAACCCATACCAGACCCAAATAAAACGGAGAAACATTTACAATATAGTAAAAATAGACGTAAAAAACATGTATTATCCATAAAATATAGCAATATACCGATGCAAAGAACTTTACTATGTCATATCGACGGAAGAAGACACACTTGGGTAGCGTTAGATTATATGCTCACGACTTTGTCACAACCAATGGATCATTTAGTCATTGTCACAAATTTGCCCGCCATTAGACAAAATGAACCGTTATATAAAAGGAAACAAACTACCAAAAATATGGATCAATGGGCCCCTGGGTATTTACGTCAAGATATAGACAATACTATTAACAATTTACAAGATTATATTACGTTATTAATCCCTCCTACAAAACCTGTCAAAATTACAATTGAGGTTGCTACAGGTAAAACGTTATCTGTATTAAAAGATGCCATTAATGTATACCATCCTGATATGATTATAAGAGCAACACTTAAACATGAAAGGACTAAATCGTTGGTAGGATGGAAGACATATAATTTGAATGACACTTTGGCAGGACGTTATCCTGTTCCAGTATGTCTTATTCCGGCGAAAAGGATGTCACAATTTGAATTACAGTTACAACATCATTTCCATCCAACAGAAGAACAGTACAAAAAGAAACCATTTGAAATGTTGATCTCGAAAGGTGTCTTTGATTCAAATGATTCATCAATGGACTCATTAATAAAAACTTGTTCGAAACTGGAAGTATCAAATAAAAATTATAATGTGACGGATGATACCATCACTTCTAAAACTGGTCACATCGAGGAGGAAAATGATGATTTCGCAATATCAAGTGCAGACTCGAAATCAATAAATACTAGCGAATTGGAAAGCACTGAAATAAATTACAATTCTTCCTTTAACAACCTTCTCAATTTAGTAAGACATCATAAAGCTCAGCTCTTTTTGAAACTTCAAACAATTGATAATGACGCTAATATCGGCCGATTAGATAAAAAACTACTGGAATTAGATTCAATTGTAGATAAATCTACACGGTTGGCTATAGATCTAGATAATTCATTTACGGAGGATTATGACAGTAATATAGAAAGTTTGAAAAAAGTTATCACTGGTGGACGTGATATAACAAAGACAAAATCAATGACTGAAGAATATAGTGGTTCTGGTCGTCGTCATTCTCACCCTCAGCCCAAAGGCGACAAATTACATTTCTCAACCTCAACAAAAACTACGGATGGTTCTCATGGGTTAGGTAACCATAAAACTCGTTCGGTGTTGGACTCTAAGAAAATCAAGAGATTATCATTACCAGAAGAAACTCTTAGGAAAACGCACAGTACTGATGGATTAAGAAAACAAAAATCTAATGAATCATCTAGAAGTCATCGTTCTACTAGATCTAGTGGATCTTTTAGTTCCACAAAAGGAACAAAACAAAAATCTAGCGGATTCTTTTCTTTCATGAAATCTTCATCTTCAGGTACTGGTAACTCTGAGGGTGATAGACGCTCTTCTAATGAAAGTCAAAATAATGGAAACACAGAAGTTAGTACTAAAAAAAAGTATAAAATGTTTGGTTTCAGTAAGTTCTAAATAAAAACTGACATATATTTAATAGTTAGGAATTGATATATGCATATATACTTAGAAAAATAGTCCAATAATAGTTTTAAAATGTTACAAATGTTTTCCATGTTTGGGTTTTATTTGACTAAGCTTTTCTAAACAGTTTTCTGCTTTTTCTTGTTTTTATTTTATAATTTCCAAAACATCCAAAAAAAAAAGAAAAGAATACCATACGTTATCCAACCGGATCGTTCATATGGTTAATCAATTAGTTCTCTGTCACTGGGTCATTTTATGACAAAATTAGGATATATTCTAATAATTATACTCTATATGTAATTATTCTGTCCGAGCGAGGTTCGCCCGCTTTAACCGGCAATAATTTTATGTATATTAAGGGGGAAGAGGGGAGATGACCATCGAATATTCTGAACAACTCACATAACAAACATAACATAAACAACATATATATTTACGACAACGAAAAATATTTGGTATAGCTACAAGGTATCCAATCGTAATAAAATATATATTCGTTTCAGGAGTTAAAGATTTGTACAATTAAAATTTAATAATGGGAGCTACCTATAAAATTTTCGGGAAAACATTTCAATCACATCAACTGGCAATAGCTACACTACTGACTGTTGGTGCAGTAGGATTTGTTATGACCGAGAAGGGCAATAAGTCGGTTGAATCACCAAACCTTCAGGCAAAACTCCAAAGTGGAGCATCAGAAGCAGCAAAATCTAATAGCGAAGACATCAATGTCGAGAAGTTACTAACCGAACTAATCGAAGAAAATGATGAAACTGTTAATTGAGATCATTTAAGTGATAATGTATATATATATTCATTAATAAGTTTATAAGTTTAAAGAGATACGAAATTTTATATATTCAATAGTTACATCGAATGCATTATATACGTAACTACTATTTGGTGAGAATAGATACTATGTTTTTAGGTCATATCTTTTTCGCAACAATTTCTTCAGCCCTTTGATGTTCTTTAAGTAGTTCCATCATTACGAACCCCGCAATATCCGTCTCTTCAAAATATGATACGTGAGATTTTAGAGCTGATATTACATCTACCTCTAAGAGGTTGGGTTTGAGTGCATAATCTACCCTTCCACTATGGTTCAGAGAAGTTAGAATGTTCAGGAGTTCACCAGTAACTCTCATCTCATCATTTTTTTTAGGTAGCTCCTCTGTTTCAGAATCATTTTCAGAATTTTCAATCATTCCAGGTAACTGTTTCCCAGCAGGTAATCCGTCCCAAAGGTTTCCACTCATTTCAATCATCTTAGTCGTAAACCCATCTAACTCTGACCAATGAGGTAAATATGATTGTTCGAACTGTGATAATTTAGTATCAATTAATGGTTCTACTCTATATGCTACGGGATCACACGTATGATATAAATTGTAGAACTCCTCACAGTTAGGTCTATTTACTTTCAGAGTTGATTTAGGTTTAGGGCCCTTCTTGGGACCAATTCTTGTTCGTTCAACAAGTTTTATTAAACCTACTGGCGATCCAATGCCAAAGAAATGTGATACATTGAATTTTAATTTATAATGTCTATGTTGAGATATCATATCAAATAGAATAAGACTTCCTAAGGAATGTCCTATTAGGTGTACCCTCCCATTAAAGTCGGGGTTCTTCTTCATAAACAAAGTGTAAGTATCATTTAACTCTTTCATAACTGTGTCTAGGATAATTTTCTTGTAGTACTCTTCACCGTATAATAAGACATCGAGTGCAACATCCCCCATTAATTTTCGTAAAGGGAGGATCCCTGAAACAGTAATATCAGCTAACGCCGGGATTTCAGGGTTACATATATCATCCTCTGTGGGATCTGTCTTAAACTTAATCGAATGTCTCCAGGTGATTGGAAGAACCTGGATACCAGGATTTGTCTCCCAATCACTGTTCCCTTTCTCTCTGTTTAACTCTTTCAATTGATCAGACTCAGAATATAAAGTTTTAATATTTGATCTCAATAAGTTAACCGTGTGAGCAAAATTAACATATTCATATTTCTTACCTAACGTTTGACCAATCCCATGCACACATAGTACCAGGTCTCTAATTTTTCGTTTGGTGTTTGTTGGATTTCCATTTAATTGAACTTGGTTCATATAATCCTCATCTATATTAGGATTATCAGGATTTTTGTCTGACCCTGTAGTACTAAATATTGCTGGCATATTTTCGAATAAATCCCAACTTGTAAGATTGGACAATACAGAAGGCTGTTCTTTTGGCTTCTCATCAAGATGTCTATTGTCATGACTAGACATGCTATTATCTGTACCTAGTGATGTGACTAGCATTTTATCAATGTTTTTAAAGCCTATTGGTTTCTTTTCTCCCTTATATACTGCAACACCATTTATAGGAATATAAGAGCCCAATCCGGACTTCAAGTAATTGAGAAATAGTTTCCCACCATCTAAATTCTTAAGAATGAAGCCTGCGTTACTGTTCTCATCACTGAATAATACATATTTGCCTTCATTGTATGTACCTTGTAATTTCTGTACTTCAACTTTATTATCAGATAAAGTTTCTAATTCAGAACACAGATGAGGAGCCAGGGGAGTTCCATTAGAGTTGAACCATAGTCCTCTTCTTACCTCATAGGTTGGGCCATGCCAATATGTTGGTTTGATAGTAAATGTGTCAAGGTTGATAGTATACAGATTGTCTTCACCGACTTGAATGGTGGCAGATCTGTTCTCACCATTGGATGTCATCTTTGATAAGCGCACTCTATATCTTTTCTCTAATGCACAAGAGTCTTGTTTTGATAATTTTTCAAACTTCTGAGGACCTGATGGAGGTTCATAATCGGGGTCATACGGTTTCGTGCATGGTATATCTGTTGCATAATACCATTGGGTATTCAACCTTCTAACGCTACCCTTTAATATAATGCGTATTTTTAACATGTCCCTTTATTTAGATTATAATCATATGTAATATATTGTTCGAAAAAGAAAGACTAATAAGAATTTCTAAGTCATACTTTAAATAGAGGTATAAGAACTTTTATATTTTGTATAATTATATATTTCTTATTTCTTTTCATAATAGTTCGCATTTTGCTCTCTGTATTATATATGTAGATCATCTACTTCCTAGAGTAAATTTCCAACCCATTTCGTTTGTTGTTTCGATGCCGGAGGGTTTCTTTTTTTCACATAATGAAAATTTGTTGAGAAAGACAGATCTGGTCTGATCTGTCTCTGTTACATTGCGGAAAAACAGTACTCTGCTGCTGACATCTGAAAATGGGCAACCGTAGCACCTCGATTAAGATGTGATGATCAATTCGATGAGTTCACTTGGGTGCTAGTTGCCATTCTAGGAGTTAAGTTCTTGCCTATTTCGCCAAAGATTTAAATTCAAATTTTATTTTATTATTATCTACTGGTCTGGCGAAGATTAGATCTCAATCTTAAATTGTAATGTCCTGAGCTTCTTTCATCTCCTAAAGGAGTGATATCACCTTCGTCGAAATTATTTACATGACTAGTGTCAGCATTTCTCAATCTTCTGGTTATATCATTATTTTCATCTGTAGCGTCCTTTGTAACTTTGCTGCGCAACCTGTTATGCATGTCATCGATTGGTGGTTCAACAATATTTACTTTTCTTAGGTTTCTCACTCTAGTTGACATTTGTGGTGATTTATTTTGTAATGGATGAGTGGGAGTGGTTGATTCCAGATCAGATGCAATAGGTGATGATGCAGGCGAAAATGAAGATTCTTTGTTTTCATCTTCGATATCGCTGTTATTATTAGCATTATCATAATCAGATCCATCAGAATCGTCTTTTGGATTCTCATTGCTGACATAGTCTTCATCCTTCGAAACATCATCTTGAACAATTTTTTCCTCTTCTTCAGACTCGTCATCATCATCACTCGGTTGATCCAATATAACTTGAAGATCCTTTCTGGATTCATCAATGATATTGACCAGCTCATCAAGATCATCTTCTTTGTATAGTGCTTTCAAATGATTTACCTCAATTTTCTTAGGTGGTGCGGTGTATACTTCTTTATTCTCTGTCTTCTTCTTCTGATTTTTTTCTATGCTTAAATGATCAGTTAAGTGAGCATTTTTTGATGATCCCATTTTAGGTGCTATATCCATTGTAGGAATTGCAATATTATATGGTAAATAGTCCTTATGAGGATCGAGATTCAGTTTTTTAAATTTGGCTAAAATTTCAGGATCCTGTTTATCCTCAGGTAATAAATTTTGATTGAAAAGAACAGTCAGCGGTTGACTAGAATATGTTTTATGATGTTTTAAACGAGTATGATTAACAATGCCTTGTGCAGAAGTGAAATTGGCTCTTTGACAAAAACTACAAGTGATAATTACCAATATACCATCATATCTTCTAAATATTGGTTCATTTGCATCAGTTTGACCAATAATACCACTATTATTCGATAAGCATGATGTTGAATATACTCTTCTATGGTGAGTATTCATTTGGTTAGGGGTAAATTTATGGATTTCGAATCCATTTGATTTAGTAGTCTTTTTACCGCTCTTCAGGATACTTTTCGTTGAATCCTGTGAATTTGTTATGGATGGTGTAGTGGTATTTGCAAGTTTTTGACGCTTGGTTGATCTTTCATTCAATATAGAATCATCTTCTGGTTCAAATAATTCAGTATCCAAAAGATTTCCATGACTTTTACTTCTTGTTTGATAATGATGTTTAGGTATATGTATGGAACCACCCATATTGAGTTGTAAAGATCCTGAAGGAAATACATGATCTTGCCATTTTTCTTGAAGACTTCTTGCGCGTAGCATTTTTTTATTTATTTCAATTTGTTCTTGTTTATATTTATCTATTTTCGAATATAATGTATTATCATTATGCAATTGTTTTATCAATTCGATTTGGGCATCAATTCTATTAATCTCATTTCTAATATTGTCTTTCTCCTTTCGTGAAAGGAGACACTGTAAATTTACGATATCCAATAATTCACTCTTTACAGAACTATATTTCATTCGTTCTATCTCTTCACTATCTTTATTTATAGCTGAGTGTGTCTGATCTTCCATTAGATCTATAGGAATATAATTTGTTCGAAAACAATCGACCGTTAGGTTTTCATGATCATCAGTAGATGAAAGTGTAACTAAATCATGAGGAGATTTCGGTGTTGCCACTTGGTAGTTCCGGGAGGTGGATTTGTTACTATGGCTATTGTTGCTATTGTTGCTTTCACAAGATGTCATCTGTTGTTGAACGGTATCTGTTATTAACCTATTGTTATTGTCTGTATTATTGTTGTTGTTGTTTTTAATAGTAGACGATGTCATAAGTTTGAAACAAAAAAAAATAATGTAAATGATTAATAATAAATAGTAGATATGTTAGTCTTGTTGTTATTTTTTGAGAATGTGTTAATTGTAAAATGAGTGAAGCTACTCTGTATTTCGTTTGTTTTGTTCTTATATGTTACAGAATAAACATACACACTTCATTTGTCCCTTCACTAAAATCACAAAGAGAACGAAAAGAGATAATATATCTTTAGTGGTTTCTACTAGTTTTAGTCTTATTTGTTTTGCAAACAAATAGTACACAAAAAAAGATAAATGTTGCGAAATATATGGACTTGCTTTTATTAGTATTAATGAATTATGATCCTAACATGCAAAGTGGCAAAAACAAAACTATATATATTTATTTACTTATTTTGCTGATTCTATTTTCAATATAAAGAATGGAAAAGTGAATATGTATAGATTTGTATGTATGTTTTTGTTTTGTTTGTGGGTGGGTACCCTTTCCTCTGGAGAATAGAGAAGTTTAATCAGAGAGAGCAAGAAGTTTTTCGTTTTGTCTTCGCCACTGCCCGAAATTTGTGTGTGTCTCTCTCTGTTTCTTTGTTATTGTTTGGGCTTATTTAATTATGACAACAGAGAACAGTGAGCAGTGAAGTAAAACACAAACGAAAAAATTGTAGCTACAGATGAAAGAGTTGCCAGAGGGAGTTTGGTGGAACAACTTGCTTGACGAAATAGAGTAGTAGCAATAGTGCTCGTGGCAGTGGTGATGAAACCAAGCACATGCAGCAGAGATGAACGTATACCGTATTTTAGTTCTATCTTTATTCCCTGAATTCATGTATGGATAGTCGTTATTGTAAACAAAAATTAAAATGAATAGTTATTTGAAGTATCGCGAAGAGGAGAGGGGCAAAGAAGTTTTCCCATACCTGTTCAAATATTGTATTGTTTTTTGAAACAAAAGAAGACATGATTTGGTATAAAGGTGATTTTTTGTAGATTAACTTTTCAAAGTAGAATATGCAAGTAAAGGTTAATGACCTATTGTTGTTTGCCTCTATTTGCTTTGATATAAAATACCTTTTCCCTTAGTTACAACATTTTATTCAGAAGATTAGTCAAAGAAAAATGAAAGAAATCATCTGAGTACGTTTACTTCGTTTTGGTTTCACTCATCACTATTATGGTATGTTGCATTACCACCACTAGACATATAAACTATTGAATCACTGCTCTCAAGGCAACGGTCAGTTCTTGGAGATTTAGTTGGTGCAACGTCTGCATTCAAAATTTGATGTTTGTTGGCCTTGGATGAATGAGCATTGTTTCGTTTATTAACTCCATTATTATCTTGTGATGGTTTATGAGATTGATATAATGAAGATCTTTGATATTCAACTGGCGTCATTGATAACGGGGAGCCCTTAATACCATTGACGTTCCAGTTCTTAAATGGTTCAGGAGCCTGATACAAAGTGTAACGTTGCTTTATTAATGATGTTGAATTTTTATATTTATCGGTGTATAGTTTATTTTGTTTTGACGTACTATTGTTTGGAATTGGTGTAGAAGTGGAGTTTGGAGGTTGATCAAAATCTTCAAATTTTAAGGAACGATCTCTATGACTCTTGCCATTAATAATAGGGGTTATCTTGATAATCGTACCCTTATTAGATGATAAGCTTTCAGGTTTACTGAGGTTAAGTATCTGATCCATTTGATTTTCAATGTTACTTTCACAGGAAATAATATCTGTGTCAGTGTTAGGACATAACGTATCCTTAAATGGTTCATTCGTACGATCAAAGAATTGAAGTCGTTCACCTTTGATCATCGGTCTATACTCTATCTCTGGAGAATAATTACGAAACGGCAAACGTAATTTGTTTTTACTGGTTATTGATGAATTTATCGTATTGCCTGATTTGATCTGTAGTGGTTTCGTAATGTTGTTGTTTCTAAACCTCTTCCTGGGATTCATAATGTATAATATCTTGTTATAAATCAGATGAAATCAAGATATCTCACATACACACATACGTATATACATATATATCTGGTGTCACGAAGTATGTGATTGTCTACATTCTTTTTATTACCTGGGCGGCAAAGTTTGTTAAATATGTCGTCCTTTAAATATGACGTCCTTTAAATTTCCCTCTTTCTTTCTTGGTGGGTTTTTGTCCAAGTGAATTCAAATAACAGAATTGAACACGACAGAAGATTACCAAGTTTCATAGAGGGGAATAGAATAGAGTGACAGAGCCATATACATAGTTGTTGGAGTACCTTGAGCATTGGTACACCATGAAGATGACGTGCCATAGTAAAATAATTCGTTTGTTACGTATAGATACCTTCTATACCATCCATATCATCTACATAATTGTGTTGCATTGCTGTGTTTTGTTAAGCGCGCGTAGTAACAGCAAGAGTAGCCAGGAAGAAATAGACAGAGACAGAGCGAAAATGTTCAGTCAGTAGAAACACACATAGATTTGAATAAATTTTCATATTTGCAATGCAACTAACTAAAGATAGAGAAAAATTGCAATTCTTCCTATTAAGAAAGGTTGTTGGTTTTATTTCGATATTGCAACTCCATAACCCAAATAATCTGTAGTGGTAACTTTAATATTGTTTTGTGTTTTTTTAGCATTGAATTATATCAGCATTAGGTTATATATAGAGAGAGAGACAGAGAATCATCCTATCATTTTGCATCATGCCAATTACTATAAGAAGAGCAACAATTGGTGATATCATTTGTATGCAAAATGCAAATCTGCATAACCTACCTGAGAACTACATGATGAAATATTATATGTATCATATCCTTTCATGGCCTGAACTGTCGTTTGTGGCTACTACCACTGATATTACTGTTGACGAAGATACTTGCTCAACAGATGGAGCAAGTGCTGCAGATGAAGAAGAATATATGACATTGGATGACAATTTAGGAAACTCAATCAAATTGGACCCTACCTATGTGAAACCAGGCGAGAAACTGATAGGTTACGTCCTAGCTAAGATGAATGACGATCCAGATCAATCTGAAGAACCAGCAAATGGTCATATTACTTCTTTGAGTGTAATGAGAACTTTCAGAAGAATGGGTCTAGCCGAAAAGCTGATGAGACAAGCGTTGTTTGCCATGAGAGAAGTCAACCAAGCTACTTATGTATCACTACATGTCAGACAATCTAATAGAGCTGCATTGCATTTGTACAGAGATACTTTACAGTTTGAAGTATTAAGCATCGAAAAGAGTTATTATCAGGATGGTGAGGACGCATATGCTATGAAAAAAGTATTAGACTTAAATGAATTGAAGATTTCTAATTTTACACATGGTCCAAAGGATGAACCTGTTGAAGATGATTTGAAAAGTGATTTGTTAGAGGATATCATTAGAGAGGGACTAGATAATATAACTGTATGAATCAATAAACAATGACGAACTGTCCATTGCTAACTACTATTTAATAATTATTATTATCTTTTTTTTTCCATTCATAATATCATTATCGCATCATTCATGTATATCTGTATACGTATTTATTTTATAATTATAAAGCATACGAAAAGACATAACAAAAGGTACTTATCCCAAATACGTTCAAGATATTTTACATAAAGATAACTTACTGCATACAATACAAGATTATTGTTTAATAATAGTTCTTTCTAATAAAATTTAAATCAGCCAAAAGTAAAAATTAGGTAGCTTGAGTTTTTCCACATCAACACCGAACTAACGGCATCTCGAGCCAAATGCACTCACAATCATCATAAAATAATAAGGAAAGAACTTCCTGGTTTCTTTTGAAATGAAACTACCAAAGGAAAACTAAAAGAAGTATTTTATAAAACTTATCTCCTCTTCATCAAACAGTCGAAATGCTCTCTCTTTATATACTTTTAAATTTTTCTCATTTTTGCAGCCTGAAAAATGAATTTTTTGGAAATTGTTGGCGCTCCACACATTTTCAGCAGCTGTAAAATGTTCTCACTGAATACGAAGTGACCATGTTCTATCATTAGGGTTATTCATGATTATATAACGAAATACATAAATTTGAATTTAAAACGGTTTCTATCATTCATCAGTGGGTTTCTTGTATACGACTTTGTCGACTTTCACCTCACCGTCTATGAACATATATATGTACAATGTACAAGTAGACCCTTGTATATCTAAAAGACAGAAACTTGGAACATTCGACCCCGATATTTCAACCTCCGATATGCTTATATCTTCTTCATTGAGAGATTCTTCTTCCAAGGTTGCATTCTTATCTTCTTGTTCTTGTTCTTCATCCTTTGTATCAGGTTTATTGTTTTCTAGTTGTTCACTGCCGTCTTCTGATTGGGTAATATCATCACTCTCTGTCGCACTATCTTTTTTATTAGTTTCTATGTCAGTAATATTGTTTGAAATTGAATCGTTTAATATAGGCCAATCTGCACTGAATGCACCTGTACAACTTCCTGGATTGACAAAAAATTTCTCTTCTAAAGTATATGCTTCAACATTATGTGTACCGCCCCATAACATTATATCAACATCTAATTGACGTGCAAGGGCCAATAACGATAATGGATCACTCTTTGGCACAACAGTATAGCCATTACAACACCCTATTCTAAAGTCACCTTCTTTTATCACAGCTACAAGAGGTATATTTTTCTCCTCATAGTTACCTGACCCCCCATTTGATTCATGAGTATCAATAATAATTGAGGATTTATCAAATTCCCCACGAACTATTGAAATATTTGGAGAGACAGTTTGGAGGAAATTTAGGAACTCCGGTGATTGTGTACTATTACCTAATAGTGCCACATGAGATATCTTATCTGGTATACTTAGCAGTTTTTTAAATTTTGAAGGTATGTCCTGTATCATATTGGATTCAATTTAAATATTGCAAATTGAATTTTAGAGTTTGTTAGTAAAATCTCTTAAAAAATAGAAAATGTCAATGCATTTCTCCTGTTTAACTTTCTTACATACTATTGCCCGACTTGGAATATGAGCGTCACTTATAGCGAGGACCAACATATCTACAAACTCTGACAGATATAATTAAACGATTTATGTTGGATTCTGATTCCTATCACAGTAATTCCCATCGACTACAACTTTGTATCCCTTTATATGTATGAATAAGATGTTTGTTAGCCACTCACTTTCCCCTTTGAAAGGTTATTGATGTTCTGTTTTCCTTTTTCCCTAAGCCGAGATGATATAAGTTTATAACAATGGAATATATTAAAGGCGAATGAGTAGACATCTTGACGAGAATACGTACAAGAAGATAAATTCGTCAGTCTAGATATATATATATAAATATTAAGAATATTTTATATCTACACGGATGTCCATATATTTATATATAGGAATTGATGGATTACTGATTGGAATATATAGTATTTTTCTCGAAGATCCTATATATACTTCTTGCCGCCCATATATGAGATCAATGGTTGAGGAATTCCAATCTTATCAGTTTCCTTAATGTAGTTATTTTCGACAAGTGCTAATAGAACTCTAGGAACTGCCATGGCAGTACCATTAATACTATGTACATATTCCAAATTGCCATTTGAATTTTTGAATCTGGTATTCAATCTTCTACTTTGATAATCCGTACAGTTCGATGTACTACTAACCTCTCCGAACGACCCTCTACCTGGCATCCATGCCTCAATATCATATTTGTTATATGCTGGGTTACCTAAATCATTTGATGGCATGTTGATTACTTTTGCATATAAGCCTAAGTTTGTAAACAATTCTATTTGGAAATTTTTTAGAGATTCTAATACTTCGTTACTAAACTTGGGTTCAGACCAACAAAATAATTCAACTTTACTAAACTCATGGACTCGGTAGAGCCCCTTTGTATCTTTACCTCTTGCTCCAGCTTCGGCTCTATAGCATCTACTTAGACCAACAACCTTCTTGATTCCTGATTCACCCAAACTCATAATTTTATTATAGCCAAGTGCGGCTAATGTGATTTCAGCGGTAGCAACTAAACCAGTATCTTGTCCCTCAATAGCATATATTTGCTTTTCGCCATTCATGTCTCTTGGTCTAAAGCCACAAGCATCGATTATACCAAGACGTGATAAACTTGGTGGGATGATAAAATTGAAACCATGTTTTCTAGCAGTATCAACGGCATAATTGATTAAGGCTAATTCCAGTTGAGCTCCTTCATTTAAAAGGTAATAAGAAGAGGTACCTGTCGTCGTGGAGGCACTTTGTAGATCGATCATATTTTTCCTTTTCATGATTTCTACATGGGCTCTTTCAGGGTCTGCTTGTGGTTCTGTTTCTGGTTTATTTATCCAGTGAACAACTTCTGGGCTACCGTTTAAAGGAGCCGTAGAATTCAATAAGTTAGGGAGACTTGACAAAACATCATCCATAGAATTCGAAACTTTAGTGAGTGTTTCAGTCTTTTCCTGATATTGTTCTTTTAAACTTTTGATACTCGGCAGTAATTCATTCAACTTATCTTTATTCTCTTTAATCTGAGATTCCAGATTTTTCCTCACTTGTTGAATTTCGTTGATATCCTTATTCAAACCCTTGATTTGCAATGATTGAGCCGGTAGATTTTTCAAATCATTTAGTAATTTTTGTTCATTGACTAATTCTCTACTCTTAATAGAATGTTCATATTTTGATAAATTTTCAAGTATCCCCTTAATATCGAATTTAGGTTTACCAATCAAATGGGCTTTATTAGATCCCGTTGTAATCAATCGTCTAAATAATACTTGTTTCATCGTTAAAGATGGTCGAGTGGTTATACGATTTATATATCATAGTTTGCGTTACACATTATTTAGTTGTTGTTAGTAATTAAATAGTTGACTATGGAAAAAAATAAATACCGTTACAATCGCTTGTAATGGCAAAATATTACAAATTGACTAGAAATGTTGGTACATGCAACCATTGTTAAATGGTTGCATGATAAAGTAAAAAGATACTAATTTATATTTATTAGAAATAATAAACACTATTATATAAAATATTAGGACAGATAAAAACCATTATAGATGTTCATGCAAAAGTTAAAGAAACGCAAATTAGAATCTTAACTTAGAGAAAAACCATTGGTTCTTACCAGCTTGGTGTCTTTCTTCGAAAGCCTTCTTGATGACCTTCTTAGCTTCCTCACGTTGGGTTGGTTGTTCGAAAGTTTCAGTAGAGACAACAGACTTGAAGGATTCAACGTCTAGAGTGTATCTAGTTGGTAGCAAGTGGTTGTAGTTGATGGCCTTGATGAATGGCTTGATCTTGGTTCTCTTGGCAACCTTCTTAGCACCGTGCTTCTTGGTGACCTTTAGTGGGTATCTTTCGACACCAGCAACTAGAGCATGACCATATGGGTGAGATTTGGAACCTTCATCGTGAGGCTTGACGATGACGACCTTCTTACCGGCGTAACGACCACGGACAACGACAGCTGTAATAAAAAAGAGATATGGGTGAATTTGTTATGATCGAACAGAAGGGAATTTGTAAGATCATAATAAACCATATTAAAATTTGTTAGTAAAAAAGAAAATGAATGTAATTGCGCAAATTAGGAAGTTTTTTCTGGAAAGAAAGATGTTTTAGCAATAAGATAGAGCGTTGTTATATCGTTTGGTGGTAGTTATACTATTCGAATTGAAAATGTCATGATTAAAAGAAGTATGAGATTACTCCATACTTCTTACATATGTCATAACAATATTGCATTAATTATTTGAGTTCTGCATAACATCTCTGATTTCTTCAATATATCGTAAAGGTGTAGTTCATGTAATCGTGCTCATTCAATCTTGTTATCTTCATTTATTGCTATAACGTATGAAGATATTATATATTCAAATTTATTATAATCCTGCTATCTCATTCTTCAAACATGTGTTTTATATTGATATATTTCTCTACATTAATGATCCCAATGGTATCTAATATCTCTAATTATTTCATTATTTCAAAAAAACATTCCCAAATATTCCATCTAACCTAAATTGTTTCATTTAGTAAAAACAAGGTTTATACGTACCAACTTTACCAGCTTTTAGGAACTTAGCCATTTTTATTAACTTGGTGATGTGTATCTATTGGTATTTAAGTGAAGTATCTGTTAAAAATACAAATTAAGATATATATAGGCTTGATAAATAAAAATAATAGTAATAATTAATAGTGTATCCCAATAATGAAATTTCTTAACTATGAGGTAATCCAGTTAATCTGAACACATTTTGTTACATTTTTTTTCCCATTAAGTTTTTTCCAGTCTACCAGATGGGGGAGGGTAGGTATATCGTAACATTTGGTAGAGGATTCATTACGCAGACAAGTGTTGAGAGAGAGAGGAATAATCGGTCACTAAGCAGAATGAATAATGGCCCTAACGAAGAGGCAGAGACAGAGAGCAAATGCTGGAAGTTTCAGGCATAAACAGCAGAAGAATACTCGCCACCCCTCTAGAAAGAGTTCGGCCATGCAAAGGGAAAGTTCATTGTGAGCCTAAACGTTTTCGCACCCCACCAGCCTAAACAAACAAATTATACCTGCCATACCCACCTAGAATAGGGCGAAATGGCATCTTCCACAAGATTTTCCCTCATGGTAATTGCCAAATATTCTCGCGAGTTATCTCTCAATTATCTAAAAAAATTAAACAATTAACCGTTTTTTGGACGGATGGGTGTACTGATGTAGCAGAGATGTACGGGTGTTGATGTCGTCACAGTGCTCTTCAATCAACCAATCATATTAGACCGAAAGAGAGAAAAGACGATCGGCCGTGCAAAATGCCATATCATCCCGCGCCGTTCAAATCGCAAAGCCCAACGCCCTCTCTACAGCTATTTTTGCAGCACTGTTGTACGCCCCCGCAAAAGACGTTCATGATTTGAAACTTGCATACATAATAATATTGAAAGTCGCTGTCATATCAATTCTTCACATAGTGCGAAGAGAGATGCAGTGTGATTGGTGAGTGGGGGAGGAGATAAATCATTAAAATAAATGGCGCATTATAATTAATCCATTAAATTTACAATCATCTATATGCATGTGTGTGTCAGCTGAAATAAGGTGGGAGAGAGAATAAGATTAATATTCTCTCTTTTTAAAAAAGGCTTAATAAGATCAAGACAGTATTGTAGTAGTATTATACGTTATCAGGAATCGATCAGTATCTAGTTAATAAAAGGTGTGAACTCTAGCAATCTTGTTACCGTATAAGCCAATACAAAGCCTATTGTCACTCAAAGAGTAAAATTCTTGACAAAATATATTAAGAAGTACACAATACACAAGAGACGAGATTGTCTTGTGTGTTTTCCTAGTATTTCAAGAATGTATTTCTTATATTATATAGAGCATGTATCATTTGGTTCTTAAAACGGCTACAAAAATTTGTAGTTATACTTGTGTGATTCTTCTATTATTTGAGAATATCTGGTTACAATTCAATTAATATAATTTACATATGTTACAACGATTCAACCAATAAGCATCCAGTATACCTCATCGTAAAAACGAAACGAGTCTTCAACTATACAAATTACAATATTATATGATATACATCTGCATATCTAGTAAAAGTAATCTTGTACCTCAATAGTCCCATACGTGTATAGTCTAACAGTCTAACCTGTACAACGTATCTTTCAGCTCTACATTAGCATATAAAGATATATAAGGGAGTTGTGCTAACTGTTCTTTGCATACACTCTTACTGTTCAGTTATAACCAGTTACTACCACTAGAGAATACACCGAGCTATGTCAATCTATCTATATATGCAATATACAATATGCAATATACAATATACAATATGTAATATACTTAACGCGGGAGATTGTTGAGAGAGTAGTCAGACAGCAAACAAGGAGAGCACCGAGGCTTCTTCACAGAGACTTCACACGGGAAGCTCGTTTCGCTCATTCAAATAACAAAAAAAGGGAAATTTTCCAAAAGAACAAAACCAGAAAAAGAGGAGAGAGAGAGAGGAATTATATGCATTTACTGCAAACTAAAGTGAGAGAACCCCAAACAAAATATAATACCACATTTTTGTAAGCCAAAATATATATATATATATACAAATTTATAAAGAAATTTAAAAAACAAAGGACGATAAGATTATTACTATTATTATTTTATAAGCATGCTTTCTTGTTCTTTCGTTATCATTCTCTCTTTTGTATGTTACTTCTTGTAGGATTACTTTAATTACAAATATATAAAAGGATATATATATGCTTATATTTATATGATCAACACATTCGGTTATTGTGCTATTGTTTTGTTTTGTTTTATTTGAGATTAATTTGGTTAGTGAAGAATATATATATATATAATATATTGAAAGAGATATTGCAATAATCATTTGGTTGACAGTTTTGAAGAAAAGTTATTTCAATCGTTTAACAAAATAGAAACAAACAAACTGGATTAAATTTGAACAGATTTGATTATTTATACAAAGAATGTCAGAACCTTCAAAGGAAAAAAATGGAAAGATTGAAATCGCCATTATTGGTGCCGGTATTATAGGTTGTTGTACCGCTTATTATCTAACAAGACATCCTAAATTTTCTCCAGAGAAATATCATATTACTATTTATGAAAGTAATGAAGTTGCATGTGCTGCTTCAGGGAAAGCTGGTGGGTTATTAGCGAACTGGGCATTTCCTTCACAATTAGGTGCTTTAAGTTTTGATATGCATAAAGAATTGGCTGAAAAATATGATGGTGGGAAAAATTGGGATTATAGAGTCTTAGATACTATATCCCTGGAAGCAGATATCAGAGATGATGTTATTACTAAAAAATTATCGATGATATCATCTAATGAAAAGGAGAAAGAAATAAATGAGAATTCAGAACATATGAATCCAAATACAAAGAAACATTTAAAGGATATGTTAGGTGGATATTCTAATGCAAGTTTAAATTCTTTAACCAGTGCAGAAACAAATAATTCAGATATGTTAAGTTCGATAAGAGATAAATTGAAAATTTCAGATACTCAAAGTGATGATACATTTGATGATAGTGATAATGAAAATGATGATGAACAAGATACTGAAAGTAAAAATCCGTTACCTGAAAAATTAGATTGGATTCAAAGAGACCTTGTGGATGATTGGTCTACAATTGGTGATATTAAATCAACTGCACAGATGCATCCTTCTAAATTTACTAAATTCATGTTAAAAAAAGCTATGGAAGTTGGTGTAGTGGATTTAATATATGCAAAAGTAACTGGATTAACATTCGATGAAGATACTAAGAAAATGGTTGGTTTATCATTTTTACCAGATAAAATTAAAAATAAGAAGAGTCCGAAGGATATTTTATCGTCATGTAAAGTTGAAGAAACAAATGAAGATGGCGAATTACAAACATATGATATTGATAATATTATTGTAGCAATGGGACCATGGACCTCTAAATTATTAGCAGATTGTCCAATTTCTGGTCTAAGAGCACATTCGATTACTGTAATGCCAGAAGATATGTCAAAAATTTCAGCTTTTGCAATGTTTACAGAATTAAAAGTAGCAGATTCGGAATATTTTTCACCTGAAATATATGCAAGAAGAGATGAAATTTATGTTTGTGGTGAAGGAGATACATTATTAGATTTACCTGATCCAACAAAGGATTCTCCAATTGATGAAGGGAAATGTGAAGAATTATTTAAATTTGCAGGGAAGTTATCTAATAGTATTGCTAAAGGTCATACTTTATTAAAACAGGCTTGTTATTTACCTGTATTGAACGTTCCAACCAGTTCGGGTCCTTTGCTTGGTCAAACTAATGTTGATAATCTATATTTGGCAAGTGGACATTCCTGTTGGGGTATTAATAATTCGGTCATTAGTGGTAAAATCATGTCTGAAGTGATACTTGATGGTGTTGCAGCCAGTGCACCAATCGATAAATTAGAACCAAAGATTTTCTTTGATGCTAGTCAATTGTCTTCACCATAGATCAGTTTATTTTACCTACCACTACATCTTCTTCCCAACGCCATCGCCATATACATATATATATATATATATCAATACCTACTACTACTACTTTATGTATGCAACAGAGATACCAATTCGAAATTAGAAACAATGCAGCTGTGTAAATTTAAAGAGCAAGAGATGAACTTTCAGTAAGTGTATTTAATTAATGTCTGAGTGAGATCACCAGTCACGACAACGCCGGAAGTAGGGCGTTTGGGTCTTCCTTATGTTTAAATAATTAATGAAATAATTTGTCAGCGAATTAAATTGAGGCAGCGCGTTCGCACGGAGTTCCCAGAAAGGGTGTCTTTTATAATTCCACCGGACGAACAAATAATATACAAAATACAAAAAAAGGAAATAGCTCTGTTAAGGGATGGATGGGATGCACACATTGTTGAGACGTGCATCATTAGGAATAAACAGCAGGGACCCACTCGCATATATATATATATATAACTTGATGTAACTTAAATAGTTTTAAACATTTCTTGTTTGTTTGTTTTCTTTATATTATTCTATAAGTAATTCGTTTGGTTCTTTTTTTTTTCAGTAGCTGCTGGTAGATAAACAAAATTAACAATTCAACAAGATAAAGATGTTATCAAGATCTACAACTGCTACTTTTAGAAGACTTCCGCTTGCCATTAAGACTACTCAAGTAGGATCATTGTCTCAAACTGCTTTCGTTAGAAACAAAGTCACATTACCTGATTTAGACTGGGATTTTGGTGCCCTTGAGCCTCATATCAGTGGCCAAATCAATGAATTACATTATTCCAAGCATCATCAAACGTATGTGAATGGATTCAATACCGCAGTTGAGCAATTACAGGATCTCAGTGCGCAATTAGCCAAGGAGCCAACTCCAGCTATATCTAGGCAAATCTTACAAGTGGAACAGAACTTGAAGTTTCATGGTGGTGGGTATACTAATCATTGTATCTTCTGGAAGAATTTAGTTCCGGAAAAGGATGGTGGTAGTCAATTGCCAAAGGAATCAGCTTTGGCTAAAGCAATTCAAGAGCAATATGGATCTTTGGATCCATTGATTGCTAGTACCAATGCAGCCTTAGCTGGTGTTCAAGGTTCTGGATGGGCATGGATTGTTAAGAATTTGGACAATGGCGGGAAATTGGAAGTTGTCTCGACAATGAACCAAGATACCGTTACAGGTAAGAAGATCCCATTAGTTGCCATTGATGCTTGGGAACATGCGTACTACTTACAATATCAAAACAAGAAAGTTGATTACTTCAAGGCTATTTGGAATGTTATCAACTGGAAAGAGGCTGCTAGAAGATATGAATCTGAAGGTATTTAAATCAATTTAAGATAAAAGTGGGGTATATAGTTTATATGTATAAGATACCTTTTTTCGCCTTTAAACGTTTGTTAAGATGTTCTACTGAGAAAATGTGTCATTATCTATTTATGTGTCATTGCTAAGTAGGAGTATATGTATTGCTATACCGATATAAATAAGCATGCGTCTCACGTGACCTGTCGTCCTTTTCCACTGAGTGTCCTCGTATAGAATTACAATACGCGCGTGAAACAGAGGCGTATTAAATACTGCTATGAGTGTCTAATTTAACCGAAAACACCGTTAATTAGTGGAATATCGTCATCCACGAACCACACAAATATATATAAGCCTGTAATGGGCAGTTCCCCACGCCCACGTATTGTCCTCGTCGTATAATAAAATATATAGTGTTTTATTGAATGTGTTTTCTCTACTGAGAGAGCGGAAGCCGACTGCTCCTTTTCAGCGTTTACAGGGCGACTGTGTCTGCCGGTCGTCTGTGTGCCCGCGTCGTTTAACGGGTAGCTGGAAATAAGGGAATTTACTCGCTCTGTCGCCCACAGGCTGTCTTCCACGCAAGAAATTATAGCTGAGCTATGCTATGCCTGGTTTCGTAAACGAGACAGACAGCACTCGTTCTCACTACAAAACTTATTTTAACGAAGCCAGAAATCGGAAGGTTCGCTGGTCATCGCATCGTTTAAGAGATGGAAAACTTTTGTGAATTTCTTCTGTGTGTCTCGTATAGAATGTGTGTGTCCCGTCTATTCTCCGAGTCACGCTGTGCTGGGATTGTATGCAAAAATACGCTGTGATTAATATCGGTCATCTCTCTCTTTGCTTGTTTTAACGTTAATTGGCAGTAATAACCGTCAATTAGCGTGAATGGGAAGGTATTAGTTACGTTCATTCCAAGGAATACAGACATACAAACACATTCAATATTACTTAATATTGAGTAATAAGCATCTTCATCATGATCATCACCTTTGATCGGAATACAGATAAAGACTATTCAATGATCGATAACCAGAAACTGTCTGTGTCTCGTTCAAACAAGGCAAAGCAATGTAAACTTCCACTAAATAAACTTGCTTCCTTCTTTCTTGTTCCTTTAGTGATATATACTACTTCTACTACTACTACTTACTTGTTTTTCGGAATACTCAAATGAGTAAGCCATCATAGGCGATTCATTTTGTCGGTCGAATATTCTACCGTTCCTTTATCGTATGGTTTCTATCTCTTATTATTTATTTTATTCATTTTTTTTTTGTTCTCTACCTAGTACTTTCTGCCTTTTTTCTATAATTAAAAAAAATAATTATATATAAAGTAAATCTTTTATTTTATTTTATTCAATTCGTTTTGTCAAGTATCCTTTCCTCTAAACTTTTTATTCTTACTTTTACTTTCAATTACTAAAGATACTATACATACATATATTCAATTAATATGTCTGATACTACACAATCCACTTCTTTAGTGGCTCAGGTATTTAATTATGCTGGTATTGCATTGTCTTATTTCAATGATTTACCATTAGCTCAAAGAGTTTCAATCATTGTTTTGGCTCCATTCATTTATCATATTACATGGCAATTACTATATTCTTTAAGAAAAGATCATACTCCTTTGGTCTTCTCTTGGATTCCTTGGGTAGGTAGTGCAATTCCTTATGGTACTCAACCTTATGTGTTTTTCGAAAAATGTAATAAACAATACGGTGACATTTTCTCATTTTTATTATTAGGTAGAATTATGACCGTTTATTTAGGTCCAAAAGGTCATGAATTTATCTTTAACGCAAAATTAGCTGAAGTATCAGCTGAGGCCGCTTATTCTCATTTAACTACTCCTGTTTTCGGTAAAGGTGTCATTTATGATGTCCCAAACAATAAATTAATGGATCAAAAGAAATTCGTTAAAGGTGCTTTGACTAAAGAAGCTTTTAAAACTTATGTTCCTTTATTCGTTGAAGAAATCGTTAAATATTTAAAGACTTCTCCAAACTTTAAGGTTAATGAACATGATTCTGGTAAGATTAACGTTATGGTGACTCAACCTGAAATGACTATTTTCACTGCTTCAAGAACTTTATTAGGTAAAGAATTAAGAGATAAATTGGATACTGATTTCGCTTATTTATTCACCGATTTAGATAGAGGTTTCACCCCATTAAACTTTGTTTTCCCAAATATTCCTTCTGCTACTAATAAGAAAAGAGATCATGCTCAAAAAACTATCGCTAACACTTATTTATCTATTATTAAAAAGAGACGTGCTGCTAATGATATTCAAGATAGAGATTTGATTGATGAATTGATGAAAAACTCTACTTATAAAGATGGTACTAAAATGACTGATAACGAAATCTCAAACTTATTGATTGGTGTCCTAATGGGTGGTCAACACACTTCTGCTGCTACTTCTGCTTGGACTTTACTACATTTGGCTGAAAGACAGGACGTTCAAGATGAATTATATCAAGAACAAGTTAAAGTATTGGATAACTTCAACAGAGAATTGTCTTATGAAGCTATTGAAGAAATGTCTCTATTGAATCAAACTCTAAAGGAAGTCCTAAGATTACATCATCCATTACATTCTTTATTCAGAAAGGTCATTAAGGATATGCAAGTTCCAAACACTCAATACGTCGTTCCAAAGGATAATTTCGTCCTTGTCTCCCCAGGTTACACTCATTTACAAGAAAATTACTTCCCTGATCCACATTCTTTGAACATTCATCGTTGGGATAATGACTCTCAATCTTCTTACTCCGTTGGTGAAGAAATTGATTACGGTTTCGGTTCTATCTCTAAGGGTGTCTCTTCTCCATACTTACCTTTCGGTGGTGGTAGACACAGATGTATCGGTGAACACTACGCTTACTGTCAATTACTAACCATCTTCGCTGTCTTCATTAGACACTTCAAGTTCAGATACGAAACCCCAGATGGTACTGTTCCAATCTCTGACTTCACCAGTATGGTCACTTTACCAACTGGTCCAGCTTACATTATTTGGGAAAAAAGAGTTCCAGGTGAACAATTATAAAAAGAGTGTTGTACACTTTTCCCATGAAATACTAATTTAAAAATTTAATAAAAATAGAAACATACATTATTTTTTAGATTCAATCAGGTAGTCTATGGAAGAAGACAGCTTTAAAAATTATATTTTTTTTGCCTTTTATTGTCTAGCATAGTGACATAATTTTTTTAGCTACTTTCTTTGCCTTATTTATTTGTTTATTTATTTATTTATATTTTTCACTTATTATTATATTTTATATTTATCCTACATATAGACTAGACGTTGATATACTGATACATATTTATTTTAAAAATTATATTTATTTGTCATACTTAAGAAAAAAAGTATTTTTTTTAAAAATACGTGTGCAGTTTATTATAATGAATATTGAATTTATGAATTAGGTTTTAATAGTTATATTTAATGCTAATGTTACATTGTCATTTAGTGACGAGTTTGTTTGTGTGTGTTTTTTGCTTTTTATAGACCAGACCCAAAGAAATCATTATAAAATTTTAAATATTCTTTAGTCTCCTCCAATTGAGTTTGATTAATCGTCTCCGGAACGAATTGTTCGGCTAACATTTTATTAATGGGAATCTTATCATTGGTCTCGTTGGGTAGCTCGTCTTCGTATGTGTCAACAAAATATGACTGTTGCTCAGAATCTAAAGGAATCACTTCCCTTTTATTATGACTAATATTACTATTGTCCTGATGAGGTTCTGAAGGTATCACAGTTAATGGATATGCATATGACGTCAGTAAGGTTGGTCCAGCATTCAATCCTTGATCCTCAACGATTTGCTTCGGACTAATCTCAACACTGAGATTATCTGTTTGATAGCCGTTGTTCACGTCGTCTTTGTTGTTATATGGTAGTTGTTCATCAGTATGCATTGTATGACTGAAATTGGTATTGTGCTCGTTAGAATTAATATTAGGATATTCTAAACTATGACTCTCTTTGTAATTAAATGAAGAAGTATCTGCAAATGTCTGTGGAGTATTGATGGGAGTTTCGATATGAGGAGTTCCAGCAGTGGATGAAATGACAGATGATTGCTGTGTCAAATCTACCGGCGTACTACTAGATTCAGATGGTTTTACCTTCGGTATTCTTTTTTTATATTTCCTCTTTGGTCGCTTATAACCTTTGAAATTATCTGAATTAAGGATCAATTTGTCATCTCCAAATTTCGAAAGAACATCATTTCTATTAGTATTTTTTGCAACGATGACCATTGCTTCAAGTGCTTCTTTATTCAATAAAACGTTCGGTTCGACAACACTTTCCATCGTGGATATATAACGAGCATGCCCTGTCGAGGTTTTAATCATCTTCAATCTATTTGTTATCTTTTGTTTAGAATCGTGAGAAGGTAATTGTTCCAAATATTCTTTTGGGAGACCTTTACATTGGCCATTCTCAATATGTTCTTTGATCCAAATATTGGAACTTAAAAAATATTCATTACAAGCATTACAATGGCCTCCATACTTGTTTCTATCTGCGGGTTTGACACCATCTGGGTACGTGAAATGACGTGCTTTCATATGTGTCTTATAAGTATCTCTTCTACTAAATCCACCTGTAGCATGACATCGGTCTTCTTTGTTTAAATTATTATTAAAAAATGGACAGTGGTAGGCTTTCTCTAGAGCGTGTTTCTTAATATGACGTGTTAAATAACCTCTCATCTTAAATCTTGCATCGCAATAATGGCAAATATATTCACCATCTCTATCATTTTCTAAATTTGAATCTCTTTCCGGTGAACTTGTTAATGATTGGTTAAGACTTGAATGGCCTCTTACCTTTGGATTTGTTCTATTTATTTGAATGTCATTTGGTGAACTGTTATTACTATCAGGTGTAATTGGTAATATATTTCTATTTAGACCTGGATGGTTTGGTGAATCAGATTTACCATAATTCCTTTGGAATGAACTAAATGCAGATGAATTATCCTTAGACAAAGTTTCTATATTATTTAAAATCGATGATGTAAAATTTTGATGTGTAGTATCATGAATTTTTGTATGATGATCTTCTAAAATTGAAGGTGAATGTGACATCTTGATCGCTGCATCTGCAGTAGACGATGATGTATTTTTATTGAAAAGAGATCCTATAATTGTTTGGTTATGTGTGACGTTCTGATCAAACTTTCTTTGATTTAAAATATTATCAATACTATTCGTCCTCCCACCTGGACTATCTGTATTAACCATCGGTGTTTTAGACATATTAATAATTGAAAATATAATTAATAAAAATTAAAATGTAGTAAGGTCTTAAAATTATGATTTATTAAACATCTAAATGTCGGTAAGGGGGGAAATCGTTATTCTAACTATATGAATTAACTGTTTTTATTATTTTATTGTTGTTTTTATTCAAAAAAAAGTTTTAATATGTTTTTATTTCTTGGGAAATTAGTAATCAGTGATGTTATTATTATTGTTGTTGTTTTCGAAAAGATAATAATGTAATATAATTAATGCAAACAGTCGCACCACTGTTAAATAAATTGATAGATATAGGTACGTATGATATATGCTCCTGGTCTCGTAGAGTATGTAGTCCAGTGACGCCAGTTTTAGCCCTTCTATCTAGTTGGAAAAAAAATCAGAGCATCATCTCGAAGAAGGCACACTGTTTGTCATCCATCCTCATCAGCTCTTTAATTTCTTGCTTTTTCGCTTCATGTTGACATTTTTTTTCAGTAAAATTCATGAATTTTTCACTTTCCACTTCGGCAAACAACGCAAAAAAAACTTTCAGTCACTTCACACGGCTGACACAAAAAGATAGAGTCAGAAACGTTCCTATACCTCTGGGCATCCTATTCCATGATGTGATCATCAATCATTGTTCGAGAGTTTTGGGGTAGTCTCCCGTCTTGAAGTGCGACAGCTTGCTAATATGTAGTTGTTAATTACTTGTTGTTTAGCCCTATATCACCGATCGACCGTAATGAGTGGTTTCCGGTTGGTCCATCTGATGTATGAGACAACGTCATGGATAATGTATCCATTTCGAATTCTTGTAAAGTGAAGTCTGTAACCGCGGAATAAGGTTCTATTGATGCCCTTGTTGACTCAGATTTGTCAACGCTTCTGGTTGACTCCACGGATGAAAGTTTTATGTACTCATTTTCTTGTTTTTGTCTGTATCTGAAATGATTGTAGTAGACAACATCTAATAGAACAATAGTCATACCAATCCAGTTATATACGCCGCTGATTCTCTCATGTAAAAAGATCATACCAGTTAAGATAGTTAGTACTTCTTTGACAATACCCGCAATAGATAATGTCAACACTTTTGTTAATTGTAAAATACCGAATTCACAGAAAGTAAGAACAAAGACATCAATACCTGGAAGAATCATTAAAAATATTCCTCTACTTATAGAACCAAAATTTGTTTCTTTATTGCTGTTGAATTCAACTTTAAAGAGGTTGGATTTAAAAATACCAGGCAATGGTCTCTCGATGATTAATGACGTTATAATAAGTGTTGCACCCATAATTGGTGCCAATTGATGAATTGTATAAATTGGATGTGGTTTTTCATCACTTTTCTCAACAGGATATTCATCATTTTGGTTGGTATTATTATTACTATTATTATTATTTTCTTCATCTCTAATTGGTACAGTCAACGAGACGGTCTTCTTTAATATTAGTTGAGTGTAAACCCATCTTAAACCAGAAAGACAACTACTTGCTAAGACTAATAGACTACCAAATATGATGAGAGCCTGAGTTTGATCATTATCACTACTACCATCGTTAGGTCTATAAACCATCATAACGACTCCAAAGAACATTACCAAAACAATTACACCTAATTTCCAATGGAATTTTTCTAACTTAAATATACAACTGAATAATAAGACAAATGCAATGCTTGATGATTTAATAATAGTATATACCGTCAACGGTACAAATTTAAATGATGCATTACTAAACCCAATATCACCTGCGGTCGCTACAGCAGTTGGAATGATATATTTCATGTAGAATTTCCAGTCATTATTATGATTTTGAACCACTGGAGATTTTCTATGTTGTGCGGATGCAGGATTCAATTTCTCATGAATCACAATGTATAATGCTGAAAGTACCCATAGGGTTGTTTGATGGAATGCTGTCAGGAGAACTGGGTATTCAACTCCAAGTCCATTTATTGGATCGAACATCCATTTGTTGTACACCGACAAAGATATAGCACAAACATACCAGCCGACAATGTAAGCTAAGACAGTCGTCCACATATTTCTTCGAGGTCTGTACCTTATATGTATCTTCTTTCTTCAAATATGGCAGTTGATTGGAAACAAAGTTAAAGAATTATCTAGTTATAATAATAGGATTATTGGTCCAATGTATTCGACTAAATGAGGCAACTAATGGAAGAACAAATAGAATGTGCGATGTGTACCTCTCAAAATTGTTCTGCAACCTTCAATGTGTTAAATGAATTCACTTATTTTTAACGCTCTAAATATTGATTATTTATGACAATAATCAGAGATGAGACTGACAGAGATAGGATCCAAACTTCTACTAAAATACCTTGTAAAATAGCCTGATTCCTAATATTTATTTATTTATATTTAAGAATGCATCGCTTTCGTTCTCTTTCAAATTGAAGAATTCCGGCAGAAAAAATTCGCAGAGAGAAAATGCCACACGATAATAAATCGTTTACGTGATAATGTATTTATTTATACCTATCTGGTAAAAGATAAGATGAGGGAGGTTTCTTGAGTTATATCATGTTCTAATACAATATGTATCTATATAAAGTTGTGGTACCATAACAGTTGTTTGAATCACTTTTTAGATGGTTGCAATGGTACAAAGGAATTCATCATCAGATTAATAGTGCTGCTACTGTTGACATTGTTGTTGCTACCCGATTTTTGAAGTTCAGTAAACTCTGGTAATATGTTAGATGGTTTTACAAAGTCTCGTTCTGTTGTAGTTGTTGTAGTGATTGTTTTTGGTGGCTGTGGTGGTGGTGGTGACAAATCTAGGATTTGGAGTTCAGGGGCAGTGTTGGGCATTGCCTGCTCAAAATTCCCGAAATCATCATCTGAATCATCATTTGAACTATCTTCCATATTAGTTTTCTCTACCTCGCTATCGTTTATTGTAGTCACATTATCTGTTACTAAGTCATGGTTCCCCGGATATTCTGCACTATTTGACAAATTTATAATATCAGTTCTCGATGTCTCAGAAGGAAGTATGTCAAGGTTATTAGTATTAGTATTAGTTAGTTGTAGTTCAAGTGCACTATTATCTTGGCTTTGTAGGTATCCAATAGTAGAGTCATTATCTGTTTCACCAATCGGATCGTCCTCAAACAATTCGTTCAGAACATTGTTTGTCGGGTGATGCTCCTCTATATTTGCATTCGTCATGTCTTGCTTATTCGTTGGAGATTCATAAATTACTGGGTTTCCTTTACCCTTAGAAGTATCATCCAATACCTCATCTACAGTTTTCTTATCGTTTTTATTCTTGTTATGTTTCTTCTTCGAATTCTTACTACCCCAAAACCACAATTTACTCTTCGAATGATGACTTTTAGAGGGGCTCTTATTTTCATGTTTCTTGGGTTTAGGTAATTCTTGAGCTACAAATTTCGCAAGTGGGTTTACTTTAAATGTAGATTTTTTAATCGAAACGTTTTCTTTATATTCAGGATGTGAATCAATCGAGGCGGTTTCCTTATCAGTTTTTATTGGATCTGATTCGCCATTATCGTTTAGTATATCCCCCCATGAATATGAAGATTTCTTAAAGGATTTCATTTGTTCAGCAACAACCCCCAATAATCGCTGATTATTCAGCAAATTCTTAGATGGAATTTCCGTTGTCGAACGTGATGGGCTTATCTCAGGTTGTTCATCCTGATAGTGTTGTGCTTTCACCGGTGAGGACGGCCTAGATTTACGTTTACTATCGTGCGACCATGAGAAATAGACAGGTGTATCACTTCTAAGAGCCCGTGTTGTGCTGGAATTGTCCAATACTATATGCTCTTGTCTGTACCATTCTTCACCAAACTGGAGTGTCCTCGATGTTAATTTATTATCCTTAGTAGAAAGATTGATCTCCTGGGCAGGACCGAATAAACAACTCATAAGTTTACGAGTCCCAGAAAGTTCATCTAATAATTGATACAGAGTAGCATCATCTTTAATAATCGTGTTAGATATGTCATCTGATTCAGCCTTGTTTTCCTTTTCAGTGAAAATGTGATCTAGTATGTTATTTATGCCTATGTCATCATTAGTCGTATTCGGTTCATTCAATGTTGCCATCTTAATTCTTTAAAAAAAATAGTTGTTAACAACACAAACACTTTGGTTATGTTCTATAAAATTCAGAACTGCATCTAACTTTATTAGATGAGTATTATTTTCTTTTGGCATAAGCGATTAGTTCAAAGGACTATTATGTTGATAAAATATGTCGATAAAAATCTCTTTGGTTATTGCCGAAAAGTGAAAAGTACTCGCAAGTTAAAATGAGATGAACATTCAAGACAGAAGCCAACCAAACTAAAGCAGTCAACCCAATATAACATCAATCATAATGCATCTACCACAATTTCCAGAAACTAATATTGAAATTATACTATATCAAAATGTTTCAAATGCTAGTGACATACGATCAAGCATAGCTGAACTACCTTATGCTTTCATCGATGCATGCACCATCTGCTCTGTCGAGCAACTTATGTCTGCTATATACAGAGTACTAATCGAATCAAAATACAATAGACTGAGAACTAAGAGTCTCCATTCTGAAGTGTTATTGGCTTTATCTCCTACATCTAATATTGGCGAGGCATTCAAGAGATTTGGGATTAGTGACAAAACCAAAAATCTCATTATGGTCGAGATTAGCCAAAGTGATAGTAATTGTTCTTTAGATAAGACTGTTGTTACTGGAGATATTGTAGACTTTAAGGATGAAAACTTACAAAAAAATAGTGACTTAGATGCTATAAGAAAAATATATAAAATTGACCAATCTGTAAAATTTGAGGATATTTCTGAGTTATCAAGAGCAACTGTAAACGCCATTCAATTGAGAGGTCTTTGAGAGATTCCAGAATAAACACATATTAAGACCATCATATCATTATCAGAAATAATATTTTCTCAATTAGCTACATTATGAATTTAGATCAAATTGTAAAAAAAAAAAATTAATATGTATTTAGATTTAAAAAAATAATCGACCCAATAGATATATGAATAATTAATCATAACGGGAACTATGTTACCCATTATTTGCTGTTATATAGCGTATATACCTATTTGAAGTTAGCAAAATGGCTAACCAATTCCAATTCTGTAGACAAGGTGTCGTATCTGTAATTAACTCTGATATCAGGTACGTTCGTCTTAGTTACGTCATTGCCGTCAACACCAGGTTGTTCGAAATTCTCCCCGATCCAATGCTCTTTAATCTGGGCTTCCCACCCACTTTGGATTACGGAGTTTCTAGCAAGCTCACACATATCAACATTAGATAATTTGTAAATTTGTGCAGCAACAGAGTATTCTTCGATTAATGGTTCTCTGGTATAAGAAAATTGAAGTGGATCATCTGTTGACAAAGAAACATTAAGACCTCTTCTGAAGTATCTTGGGAATGGATTTTTATCATATGTTAGGAATAACGCATTATTAGACAGAGGTGACATAGCGATACCAACTTGATCAAGGTAATATAAATACTGAACAAATGGAACCTTTCTCAAAAGAATACCATGGGAAATACCTTGGGCTAATAGATACGCGGATACTAAATGCTCAGGATCACCAGCCTCACCACAATGAGGTCTTAAAACTAATGTGTTGAATCCTCTCTTTGCTCTCCATTGGTTTAAGGATGCTACATTGGAATATAGGTAGTATAGGTAGTATGAGTAAGGTGGATTTTGAGCAGATTCCCATAGAGATGGTTTGGGGTACTTTCTATGGAAACGGCGATCAACCTTAGATTCATCATCAACTGAATCAAACCCAATCACTCTTTGTAAGAAAATGTGTAATTTTGGATGAGATTGTGGGTTTTTGGTCACTTCAAATAAAGGTTGAAATAAGTTTCTACAAGTATCATTAAAGTTTGCAACAATTCCTGTTTTTTTATAGATATCATATAAACGAGGAATTTGAATTAACCAACGAACGTTATGAGAAATAACTTTGTTATCGATAATCCAACTTGCCAATTTATCCCATTCATCAATAGATCTACCGTAGACAGATATTCTGTATTCACAATTTTGATATTTAGAATTCTCTAAATCAAACATAACCTGTTTAGTAATTTCAGCCAAATAGCCACCCTTGATGTAATTGTTAGTCTTTAAGAAAATTTCTCTTAGACGAGATTCTCCGATTGGATTATATTTTAAGTTAAACTTATCAAATCTGTGGAAAGTATCCTTATGGGCATGCATATCCAATGTATCAATTGACAGATCATACCCTGTTAAGTTCAAAGATTGGAATACTTCTGCCAAAGTTAAAACTTTACCATCTCTGAAGATTACTTTCTCGTCCCTAGAATGTCTTAATTTATATTTAATAAAACGTAATAAATGTTTTTGATTCATGCAGGCGGAGTGGTGAACGTGAGTATCGACTTTTCTAACATTATAAAAATCTCTATGAGGGTTTCTCTTTGAGACACTTGTCTCTTGATATTCATTCAGCAAAATATACAGATTCCATCTGGCCTCCAAGTATTGCAATCTTCTAAATGCAAAGGATTTTGCTGGACCATCCGAAGAAATAGATATCATTTTATCTAGATCCAAATAATAATCTCTTAATGTTGGAATAGCTGCAATTTTGGCCTCGGCATTACCGGTTTGGTGCACAATATAACTATCGTCACCATTTATAGAGTAATCCCATTCGGTATCCTCACCTGGTATTTCACAAGAATCAAAATCAAAGGTTTCTGAATCGGATAAATTAGTCACAGGTATGACAGTCTTAGTTTCAGCATTGTAAGAAGGTTTTGGTGGAGTTGGGTATACTTTGTAGTCATTGTTATTTTTAGGGTTTTGTTCATTTTTTTGTAAGGATAATGTTTGATATTTATTTCTTAATTCTCTACATTCTTGGACTTTGGTGTATAAGTCAACCAACTCAGGGGATGGATCATCTAAAACTTGTTGAGTAGAATCTTCAGCAATCATACCCATTTTATACAAGGTATTTTTATTCCTACCGTTTGATTTAGAAGTATCGGCAGTAGGGTCAGTTTCCCAAATTGGTCTAGGTGGCTCAGGAAGTGTATTTTGGGCACTTGTAGACAAAGTACGAGTTTTACCTGTTTTAGGAGCATTAGAAGAATCGTTTGAATCTTTACCAGATCCAAGATTAGAGTAATGAGCAGGTTGTTCCAATATTGAAGTATGTGGATCAACAGCCATTTGTTTACAATTACTATCGAATAATTGTTGATTTTCATGATACGAGAAATTAGCTGTTGTTGTTGGAACACTTTCTTCTGGACTTTGGCTACTTGCAGATACTTGTTGTTCTAATGGGTGATCGATCTCTGTTAGAACTAAACCTGAACTATGTTCTAAATCATCGTGAGAAGGAGCAGCTTCCAATGAAAGATCAGAGAAATCCTTAGCGGTTTGACTGATATCCATGATTTAATAATATAAAGAAGAATAAAAAATTGTTGTTGTTTTGTTCTATTTCAATGGAGTCTTGAGGGTGTTCACTAACTTTTCAAGGACAGCTGATATTTGTGTTTTTATATAACTCTTATTGAAGAAGAAGTAAATCAATCACACTTTGAAACGTGTCTCTCCAAGGGTTCATGTTCCTATTGCCTCCTTATTATTCCTGTATTAAAATTTACATCCTTTCGGCTTTCACCGCAAGCTCATCGCTTTGTAAAACGAGAAGAATTACAGCCTGAAAGCGAGTGAGTCGGGTGTTACCTTCACAATCCCACAATTCCACAGGGAAATTACCGCACAAAAACAGCTTATAATATTATTTGTCACTGCACACGGAAGACCTACTTTTGTATTTTAGGGGAACGATATTCAGCCCTAGGGTCCAGTTTTAGGGTAATTAGTTTATATTTACTTTTGTTCCCGATTGGGAAATTTTCACAAACATTGTAGAATACAGAGAGAAACAGAGAATGCCATTGTCAACCTACTGAGAGAGGACATCTCTGAGATCAGCCTCAAAGAGTTTTTAACTATGTTGACGGTGAGATCAGTCGTCATAGTGTTGAATAGCAAACAGTGAACATTTATTTGTATATTGTCTTTGTTAGTTTTACGTTCCCGTTATATTTGTTTTATTGTATTGTTTTCATTATTTTGGAATAATTCGATATATAGATAGCCATATCGTATCGTCATTTGTATCTCTAAATAAACGTAGCTAGTTAAAAGTGACACCTCCCCAGATATATATCCACATCTTCCACTATGTCTGAGGATTATTTACAAAAGGGGTTCGATTATATGAACCTGAAGGTCTCTGAACTACGAAGGATTCTACAGGAAAATAACATTGTTTATCCACAATCTGGTAAAAAGGCAAGATTACGTGCAATATATGAAGATAAGTTAATACCGATGATTCCAGAGATTATTCAAAGAAGAGAAAACGACTTATCAACTACACCTACTCCAAAGAAGAGAAAAAGAAGTGAACTGGAAACAAATGATCAGAAAGAGGAAAATGATAGTAACTCTTCCGTTTCTTCCTCGTCGTCCTCCCAACATGAAACAAATAGTATAGTGAAGAGAACAGTCACTTCATTCACTGATGATGATGATGATGAGTCCATGTCATCGAAGGATTCGTTAAGGAATGTTGTGGTTCCTCAGAAAATTTCTACCCCAGTATCAAAGAAACGTAAGACTACAGATAATAGTAGAAGTAGTACGGGAACGCCTATTGCCAATAAAGTACAAAAAAAGAATCTATCGTATACAGCTGGACATAGAGCCGATATTTCTTCATTACCATTATTATCTTCTGATGATAACGAAGATAATGATAACAGTAAAGATGACTCTATTTCTGCGAATATAACGAATCATGGGAAACAGAATCAACAAACTCCAGTATTTGATTTTTCAGTACAGAGGAGAACCTTATCACCAGATTTGAATAAATTGAAAGTATCGTCTGGTTTTGCTGAAAGATTAATATTCGCAAAGAATTATGCTAATGATCATAATAATGATGACAACGATGATGGGGAAGTATCAAAATCGAATGAACCTATGAAAGTGACAGATACCTTGAATATTAGGTCAGGGAAACCAACTTTCCAATTACAACCATCTATTGAAATTTCTGATTCCAGTGGAAGTGATTCGGATGATAATAAACCAGAAACAAAATCTCCATCTTATAATAAATCATTAGAAAATCAAGGTATTACAGATAAGGGTATTGAACCAAATGTAGATGATAATATAGAGAATTCATATAATGATAAATTTCAGCAATTGGAACATAAAAGAGACGAGCTCAAGGAAGAACTCGAGGATTACAACGAAGAGAGAGAGGAGCTCGAAGAAGAACTTGAAGAACAAAGAGAAAAATCTGAACTAGATGAAGAAGATGAAGTTGCTGAACTTGATAATGAAGTAGAACATCAACAGGAAGAACAGCAAAATTTAGCATTAGAATTGGATAATGAGTTGGATGATGAATCTGAGAAAGATGCAAATAATACTGAATATGAGAAGTTACATCAACGCCCAGATGAAGAATTACAAAAGGAAAATTCAAAGAAAATTACTATTCCTATTGATCAAAAAGATAATGAGGTTGATAATATGAAAATTAAATCAGTTACAAGTAAAACAAGAAATACTTCTGTCTCCTTTGCTGCTCGCTTCTCCAAATTTTTGTTTAACTTAGTTTTATTTGCTATTTCTCTGATCGTTTTATCTATTCCAATTCTACTGGGTCTATGGTACAGAGAGCAACGAGTTACTGTTGGTTATTGTGGATATGAAAGACAATGTCAAACATTACTTGACATATACCCATCGGTTGAACAATTAAGTTATATTGATGATCTATTAAAAGAATACACTCCAAAATGTATTCCTTGTCCTGAAAATTCTATTTGCTATCCATATTTAAAATTAAGATGTAGGCCAGGGTATACGCTTCAGAAATCCAAATTAAGTTTGTTCGGATTAATACCCATGAGTGATAGTTGTGTCAAAGATGATAAAAGAGAACAGATAGTTAGAGAAATGGTTCAAAAGTCATTAGAATTTTTAAGAACAAAAAACGCAGAAATCTCATGTGGGGAGAATGAGAACGATATAGAAAGTGGAATTTCTCAAATAGATTTATACAATATATTTTCGGAATCCCGCGCACCATGGATTGACAATGAAGAATATGAAAAGTTGTGGGAAGAAGCATTACAAAATCTTGAGAATAAACCTGAGATTATTATGAGGCAAGTGAGTATAAATGCATTTTTTATAAAAATTTACAAACAATAATACTAACAACCTAACAGTTACTCCAAGATGGATCTGACATTCCATTCAACACCGACTTCGACATACCCACCGATGACTTTCAATGGGAGGAGGGATATATTCAACAAACAAAAGGGACTAAAGAAGACAAATATATTCGATCTACAAGCAAGAAATACGTCGGGTTAAGATGTAGATTTGAAAAAGAAATTAGTCAAACCTACAATGAGTATAAAGCTACTATTTGGTTTATTTGTTTGATTCTTGTGATGATACAATACGTCAAGTATAAACTAAAATCTTATTTCGATCAAAAAGCTAAGATTGTTGAACTAACTGAGGAAACATTAGTAAAATTGAAAAAGAATAAACATAAAAATCCACCTTATATCAGTACGGTCCAGTTACGTGATATTTTACTTAATGATGTGACAAACCTTAAGGAAAGGAACGACCTATGGAACGAAGTAACAAAAAGGTTGGAGGCAAATAATACTAATATTAAATCTAGTCTAAAGGAAATCCATGGTGATATTATGAAATGTTGGGAGTGGATCGGTCCAATTGAAACAAATGAAGAACGAAGATCTAGTGTAGAAGCATTTCCACTGAACGAAAAAGAATAAGACTACATTAGTTTATTTTTGTATTAGTTTAATGATAATTATTATATATTAAGAAGGTACTTGAGTTGTGGATAACCCTATACTAGGACAATTATATATCGAGCATTTTAGGATTTAAAAAAGGTCTAGTTATAAAAGCTTTTTTAAACGAAAAGGTTACCCACGTAATAAAGGCAGGAAATACCTATTATTTTTTTATAAAGTGTACATTCTATCTATCGATGTTATTATAACCTAACGTGAAAAATAAGTGTTCTTATCATTATTTTAGTTGTATTGTATTTGTTTAATATTTTTGTTTACTGAAGCGTTACAATATTGGCAGTTTTGAACAAAAAGTAAAATTAAAAAATTATAAATATTAGATTTTTATTAGAAAAGAACTAAGAAATGAAACTTGGACTTCAAATTTCAATTGAAAGCATATGATTCAAGAATCCTTAAATACGTATTTCTATATGTGCTACTATAATGACTTATTATTCACCCCAAATTTACTATATACCCTATGGGTTTGTTCTTTTCAAGTGGAGCGGATTTACTTTTGGTCTCCCTACCTCTCGTCTTGAAGATCTTACTGAATTTGGAGCAAGTACGTAATTATTTGGGTGAACAACCTTTGAGGGAGGTGCAAATTTTGGCGTTACTGACTCACTTTGTTTCTGTTGTTCGGGAATATTATTATTATTTCCTATTAGCGGTTTGTCGAGCTCCGATGAAACACCTGAATTTATGTTCGTCTCGGATGCAGTTACAGAGGTCCTAGGAGATGCGTCTGCAGTATCTGATGTTTTGGTCGATGCAGATTCTGTAATTTCTAATTGTTTACCTTTTGCAGCAAATTTCTCATATACCGAATCTCTTGATCCTGATTGTTTTTTTTGATTTGCACCAGCCACTGGTACATGTTTGGATGTTGTTTGGTCAATAGTATGTTTGATTGAACGAGCCTGATATTTAGGATCAAATACGTTATCAGAAGGTATAACGTCCTTATTCTTTTGGACAGATATGGCACCCTTTGCCGTTACGAATCCTATAGGGTTCAAATCTTTACCATCTGTACTTTCTTGAGGAACAAGTTTCGCTTCGACACGAGAGTTACTCATGTTTAACAGATCCTCATCTTGAAAATCATCACTCATAGTGAAAGAATCATCTAAAAGATCCTCATGGTCCAAATCAAGGTTGGCATTTGCGTCATTTGTAGAATTTAAATTCCCATCTATTGGGATATTTATTGGATGCGTGTTCTTAGTCTGGATAGCTACAGGTGTTGATATTGCTGCTGTTACTTTATTGTTCGCCCGTACAGGCATATTCGCATTACTTGATTCATTGGGTCCTTCTATTTTAGTTAGCTGCCTTCTCTTGTTTGGCTGATCAATATTTTCATCTGGTACTTCCTTTGTAGTGGCCCTAGATCTTTCTGGATACTCATCTGATGCTCTATATAGATTTGCCTCTTCGATGTCTGGAGGATCATATTTCATTTTGTCTATTTTACTCAAAAAATCCTTATCATAGAAACAATTACCCAATGCATTACCATAACATCTCATCGCTCTCTTTAATGCATCAGTGACAGCAGTCTTTTTAGCGTTTTCAAACGCAACACCTTTTCTACGTTCATTCTCAGAAGTACCATAACCTACATCCTCCCTATATGACCCATTTGCTAAGGAAACACGGATAATTGCAGAACAACCAATTGAATATTTTCCCTGTCTTTCATCGAGGAAATCAACTGTGACACTTTTGACATCAGTAGACCACCCATTGTACCCAAAAATTTGATTGGCCAAATTAATAACTTTCCAACCTTCAACGTAAGCAACCTTATTCTTTCCAAACCCTATTCTCTTAGATACAAACTCGGGACCTAGCTTCTTCTTCAATTTGTTTTGAATATCCTGATCTAAATGAAATACTGGTTTCTTTTCATCCATTTTGACTTTGCGTGTTAATGGTTTGGGAGTTATTTTAGTAGAAATAAAAGCAAACTAGACGTTTCGTTTCAAATATTCAACAATTAATATATCAAATATAATAAACTTACCAATATAGATTTTCGTCTGATCAGAGTTCAGTAACTTTCTATTGATTAACTTTGGTGGCGATTTATAGTTATCGATGAACTGTGCTTTTTTATTTTCTATACTTTGTTTACTTTGGGTTACCCTCAGAACATGAAAAAAAAATTAAAAGTTTAGAGATTTCTTGATTTCGAGTTTGAATTTGACTTCACCAAGTAACGAACTACTAGGCTCGATGGAGTGTACAGGATCAGTTTAAAAGGGCAAAAAGGGAATATAAGGAGATAGCGTACCAATTCTTCAATAAGATAACTACAGAATTGATATTCGCCTGCAATAAACCACTAGTTATCTTTTTCAAATAATTACCCACAATGTCTACTGCAGTTCGCAATGGGCATATCAGGTATAGTTACAATACCATCTTTAGCGACATATGCAAGACACGTTTTAACAATATGATTGTGAGATTTTTTCTCAGTATAACGTTTCTAGTAACCTTATTTCTCACATTGGTCTCACGATACAATGTTTCATTGATACAAGGAATTTTGCTATTTTTTCCTAAATATTTGGCGTTATATTTTGTTGCCATCTGTTTAATCATCAGCAGAAAAAATTTCCTACACGTCAATGCATTGGGTTATTCTAGTTTTGTGACTCAACTCGTCGGTGAGATTTGTTCTTTCAAAGCCATTGTCTATTATGTGACATATTCAGTGGGTAGTATAATGATAGGCAATACAATCAGCGACAATAGAATCCTATACTCTCTGTCCTTCTATAATGTGGAGAACTATAGATTATACACATCTTTCTTAATCCCTGTTGCATATACAGTGCAACATATCTTCTTTGATGCGGACAAACTAACCTTCAGTATTGACTCACAATATCAAGCACCACAACAATATATTATTAAGAGATTAGAAAAAATATTTATTAAGAGCTCAATTTTGTCTGTAACTTTATTATTAATTTCGCCATTTATATATAAGATGATAGGATGGTCCATGCTCTTACCAATCAGCTCACAAGTTCAATTACTAATTCTATCATTCGCAACTTTCCTTCAATTTGAAATTATAAATGTTACTTTCAATGCTCATATGTCTATTGGATGTTTACATAAAGGGAAACCAATCTCATCGTTATCGCCTTCACCAATAGAAACTTTGGTGAGTGGATTGAGTAGTAAGAAGCCATTCACAAAGTTAACTGCATTCCAAGAATTATCATACAGAGCGACTTCTAATGATACTTCATTGAGAGTACCAATATACTCAAGCCAATTGAAGAATACAAATCTATGGTCGAATATTTTAAGTGAATGCATTACAGTGATACAAACCAATAACATTGCAGTAAATAATTATTTGACCTTCTTAGAGAATACAATGTCTACTAATAAGAAGGTACAAAAAGATGCATTAAGACAAAATTCTCTTACTGACCAAACTGATATCTTTGGGAATCAACCGTATGTAGTCAACAAGGAATTGAACGCCGAATATCCATCAAATAGTTCCTACAATAACAATTTCAGTGGTATAAATGCCCATAGAATATCATTACAGGATGATAATATATTATTAAACAGAAGAAGACATGATACATACTGTGATCAATCTAATCTTTATAATATGAGATCAAACAATATGGGCGGTCTTGATGCACATCGTTCATACAATGAAACTATCATTACGCGAGACCCCAAGATAATTATCTTAATCAGAACCATTATAAATAAAATCAAGAATTCTGTTACATCATTTTTCTTCCCAGGTAGTTCCAGTAACAAAGATTCCCAATTACCTCAATTAACATTATTTGATCTTTGGTATCTAAATAAAGATAGGCAAGCCGATAAATTGGTTCCATTAGCTGTGTGTCATATGGAGAGCATAATCTCTCTAATGGGATTCTTGATAAAGGCCATTGATGAGTCACCAAAAGGTAGTGTTGTTGCTTCAGTAGGTGAAGTATTGAAACATTTAGAGAAATCGGTGGCCATATTAGGCAAATTCACTGAATGGAAACCCAATGGTAACACTAGAGTACTAGGATCTAGAACCGATGACGAAGATGAATCTATCAAATCTAATGATGTGATATCCTTATTGTATGAACTATCTATAAATGCATTCTTAGAGATTGTACTAAAGTACAACGTGTTATTAAATGACGTTTACCTAGATGAAGACGTCATCAAGCTAAGCAAATGGGTATTGGACATGTGTGCCGAGGAGTAAGATGACACTATCTACAAGAACTACTGATACGTCCTCTCTCGACGTATATGACACTATTATTCGCATACCTCCTCTTTACTGTCAAGCATTATCTCATCATATGGGTGTCATATTTTAAATATTAAAAAGTATATATAATATATATATCTATATTATAGCACAGAGTGTACTTTTAAGAGAATGGGATGAACCCTTTGATTCGCATTTCCACATAAGTATAGACTACTACCAAAAGAAAACAAACTTCCTTAAGACTACTAATGGATATCACTTCTTCTAATAGTCAGTAATGTGATGTGAATGGCTAGCTTTACATTAATTTGCTCATCTGTTCCATCAACAGACTACATCTCTCTTACGCCGGGGGACGGGGGTGGGGTCACTCACTATTCCCTGCTTCATGCACTCTGCGATCTCAATAATTAATTTATGTATGGCACAAACAAATGAATATTTTTTTTATTAAGCGGGCAATTGGAAAAGCAAGGAGTCGTGATTTGAAAGATAATCAACTCGATAGGTATAAGAAAAGACATTAATTAGTTAGAGATTGAAAAAAGATTACCCAATTGTGATCTGCACTATATTTCAATTTGTTCTGAATTTCAAGAAAGGATTACGTTATTGAAGATATTTGAAACCTATATATCGCCCCCTCAAAAAAGATTTGTAACAGTACGGATTGTAACATTGTTCTAACCAATCCCCCTCATTGTTACTGATATAATTATAATTATTACGTTTCAGTTACTATTAAATCAAGATGACAAGCATACCATCGAGTTTTGATATGGGTCCAAAGGATGCAGACGATTTAGACGAAATGTCTTTTGGTCAAAGAGTTGTTTTCCATTGTAAACAACAACCGTTAGTTCCAATTGGATGTTTATTGACTACTGGTGCGGTAGTTATGGCTGCCCATAGCATTAGAACTGGTAATAGTAGGAAAGCTCAGAATTTCTTCCGTTGGCGTATTGCTTTCCAAGGTGCTACGTTAGTTGCACTTGTGGCAGGTTCGTTCTTATATGATAACCATAGAAAGGATGTAAAATCCAAGGAAGAATTGATGAGAGAAAAGGCTAAGATGAGAGAAAAGTTATGGATCCAAGAATTAGAGAGAAGAGATGAAGAAGCTAAGTCTAGAAGAAAGAGAGCCGAATTGGCTAGACAAAAGACTAAAGAAAACGGAGAGATTATTAAGAAATTAGAAGAGGAACTAAAGGAACTGGAGTCCAAAGTTACCCCAAAATCTAAATAAAAATATAATTAATACTTTCCCGACTCACAATTTATCTATTCCTTTTCCTTCCTTTAATATATCTTTTTCTTTCTTCTATCGCTCTCCATTTGTGCATGTACATAATTGATATTTATATATTATTCACTTCTATTCTAACCACACAATTTGTTATATATATACATACACTCTCACGTTCTAATGAATTAACTTGGATGTTCAACAGTCCAATGCTATCTGAAGTTCTTCCACTCTCTACACCTCCCTTAAACAGAATGTCCAACTAGTTATCACCAGGCACGAATGTCTTACGCTGGGAGTTTGCTATCGATTCCTGTTACAAATTATTAATGCGGGAAGTGCGAAATAAAAAAGTCATGTTGAAACTGTTTACGTCATCACTTAGGGTATTTTTAACAAGGAAAGCCAACTCGATTCAAGAAGTTAAACATTCGAAACATCAAGCAAAAATACATTCATATTACCTTTACCTTTGCTTTTTTATATTCTTTTGAACCTTTGACAAGATAAATCATATAGCCTCCTTTTCATTCATTCTGGCTTCACAATAAATACATATATATCTGTGGAAGTAATCCGATGTTGGAATTAAAGGTGGAGAAACCATTGAATATTTCCGTTTACAGCCCTGATACGAATATATTAAATACTAATTTAATAGTTGCCGTACATCCAAAGACTACCATTCTTAGATTGTTACAATATGTGCACTATCAACTATCACAAATCCATTCCGAGAATAACGATGTTGAGCTAAACGACATAGAGTCCTACTGTTTGAAATATATGAAACGAACGATTTCTTTAGACACATCAGTAGAGTCACTAACCACAACCGATAATATACCACACATATCCTTATCATTCGAGTTGTCAGAGGCCAAAGCCTTTAGTGCTTTAAATTTGCAATATGATCCCGTCACTGATTTTAGCACTACCAACATTAAATACGAGGTGAATATTTTATCCAAATATAAATTTTTTCATAATATAGAATACCAAGTTCCATTAGATACAAAAGTGTCAAGATTGGAGAAAAATGCATTGGAACATTTGATATACGAAGAACAATTTTTAAATCATGATAATAAATGTCACTTGGGTCATAATCATACTTTGGAGAGTTTTGTTGCTTTAAAATTAAATGGTGAAAGTGACATTATTCAACTAACAGAAGAAACGAGATATTTTTATATGGATCTTACTCTAAAGGATCTATTACACATTGATTTTGCACCTTTGAAGGATAATGTAATTACAATAATGATCTATGCCAAACATGAACAAAGTATTTCTGATTTGAATGATATTACTGTGTTAGAATTGATTTCTAATTCCAAATTGTTTCAAAATCATATGTTAGTAGATTCAAGGACCACAGTTACAGGAGTACGTCAGTTTGTATGTGATGTATATAGTGCTTCACAAACTATTTCCTTGGAAGATGTGAAATTAGTATATAAGGGTCAATTAGTTCACGATAAGAATTTTGCTGAAAATGATGCCACTATACTAAGTTACATTGATATGAAACATGGTTCTCAGCTTCACGTACAAGTGAGTGTACAACAGACGTATGGTCAAACTGATCCATTTTGGAGTGAACCTGGTCTTGTTGATGATATACCCACACAAGTACATCAAAAGCCTGTTCCAACACCGACAGTGAACGAAATTCCAAGATTAGATACTCCGATAGCTCTGAATACCAATGAGGGGATGCAAACACACTTTGCCACCGAATCAGGTAGACCGATACATGTGTCACCACACCTTCTAAATACTGACACTCAATACGTCGAAGCTACTTTAGAAGATATAAATGGAAATTCTGAAGCAGTATTGATTTCAGGTGAGGTCTTAAACAAGACACAAGGAAACATCCTTATTGGGGATCATTTGAATATAGATGTTTCCACAGATGGTCATGATTACATCATAGACAGGAGACACAATGTTATAAGAATAAACCCCCGTACCATTGAACACATAGAACAACTCACAGGTAGTTCCATCATTTATCATGGGGTGACAAGAAAATCTTCCTCAGATTCAAACACTGGAATTACCACCAGAATGAGAGAATTGTTAAATAATGAACTTAACAATCCTGAAACCATTCAACGATTGGAATCATTATTTAATCATCCAACTCCATTACAACAGTTCCAGGAATTATCTATATGGCAAAAAATGATTTATTTGGTTAAGAAATTGTTTCAATTGGTAAAAATTTGTTTATTGACTGTGGTATATTTAGTATGGTATATGTTTATTCCCTTAGCTGCTACTATCGAAATTGGCTTTTTCTTACCCCCAATCTTAACAATATCAATCTTTGTCATCTATACTGTTGTGATATTTTTCCGTTCATCAAAGATTACCGATATGTGGACAGATTTCTTGGGATTATTAAGATTAAATGAAGAGGATTATAAGAGGGTGAAACTTTTTGCATTACCTGAGTATACATCCATAAGGACATTGAGACACGAGGATCGTACTAATACTAGTCAAATGACCAAAAAAGTATACGAAAAGATTCAAGAAAAATCTTCAGTGTATTCTTTATTCTTATTACCTGCTTTAGCCAATGTGCGTCATTCATTATACAACCAATATCAAATCAATCAAATGGGTAATATGACTGAGGAGGATTCATTAAAAGAGTTATTCCGTCAAATCAAGACCGGTGCAGTTGAAATCAATGATGCAAATAGAATGTTAGAGATTCTTTTCATGCTCCATGAATTACAAGCATTTGAAGATACCAAACAGGAGTACGCTTTCTATAGAATATTAACTGCGATCAAACAAGAAGCTGACCTTCAGAATCTTGAAGCTGTAGAGCCAGTCAGACGTAGTATCATCATAGTGAGAAGAAGAGCAGAACAATTACCTAACACGATTGCTGAATTCATTGTTCCAGACCCACTCAGAGATGACTACGTGATTGCTGTTGTTAAGAACATTATCCTATGTCTCGTGTTATTCTTCCCATTTGTATCCAAGTACATTGACGTTGTCATTCAGGAACGAGTCGATGAACGTACACGGGTCAGACTACAACAGGCCCGTGAACAGCAGGAACAAGAACAAGAATTAGACGGAATAAGGTCTGGTCATGACAACGCTTTCAATACCAACGAGGATCATGAAAGTATCACTGAATTAGACTCCACTGTCCTCGAAGAGATAGCACCTGAGTTTGGAGAACTTGATAGTATAGGGGAACTCTCCCCAGAGGAAGAGATCATTGAAGAGATGCTTACGAACAGTGATGGAGGAGATGATATTGTGAATGCCACAGGTGCCATGTTCCATACACAACCATAAAATATACAATAGAAAATAGATAGAAATATAAATTTACATACACATACCCAAAACATACATGTACATCATTACTAATCAATCAATGTACGTATGTGATATAAATGAGTAAATATACGAGCAATAATGACATAATCTGTCCATCTCTAAATAAATATATTATCGAGTTCTTAAATCAGCTCCATTGTTCAGTAGTCGAAGAAACGAAGATCAAAATTCTCAGTGCGGAATAACTAGTGTTGGGCCCAGACGTTTCACTCGATTATGACAAATACTGTTCTGTTTGATTAGTGAAAAATTCACAGAGTGAAAATTTCCAATTGATTGGATACGACAAAAGGCAAAAAAATGGTCATCGAGCGATAAAAAGTGTGCGATTTCCCAGCCAAACCACTGAAAGAGAATCCGATGCCGAAAAAAAGCCGAAAGGGCAATGAACGATGGTGAAGAGCATTTTTGGTGTCCCTGTAAATGTAACAAGGGAGGGAAAACAGGGGAGGGGCCAGGGAGAACCATCATATATAAAGGGGGACCATACTTATAAAGAGTTAAAAGGTCTTTCTCATTGATTAATTCCTCTCTTCTTTTATTATATAGTTATACATTCTTTTTGTGTTATAAAATATACCAATTAAATTCAATCAGGAATTAAATCCGACACCAACTACATATAAATAAATACAAACCAAAAATGGTCGCTCAAGTACAAAAACCAGCTCCAGCTTTCACCAAGACTGCCGTCGTCGATGGTGTCTTTGAAGAAGTTTCCCTAGAACAATACAAAGGTAAATACGTTGTTCTAGCTTTCGTTCCAATGGCCTTCACGTTCGTTTGTCCAACCGAAATTGTTGCCTTTTCTGATGCTGTTCAAAGATTCAGAGACCAAGGTGCCGAAGTTCTATTTGCCTCTACTGACTCCGAATACTCTTTACTAGCTTGGACCAACGTTGCTAGAAAGGACGGTGGTCTAGGTCCAATCAATATTCCATTATTGGCCGACAGAAACCAACAATTATCCAGAGACTACGGTGTGTTGATTGAAGAAGAAGGTATTGCTCTAAGAGGTCTATTTGTCATTGATCCAAAGGGTATCCTAAGACACATCACCATCAATGATTTGCCAGTCGGTAGAAACGTCGAGGAAGCACTAAGAATTGTTGAAGGTTTCAAGTGGACTGATGAAAATGGTACTGTCTTGCCATGTAACTGGACTCCAGGTTCTGCTACTATCAAGCCGGATGTTGCTGGTTCCAAGGAATATTTCGAAGAAACCAACAAATAGAGAGAAAGAATTTCATCGATCTCAAATCGTAACAATTTCACTTATATATATATCTACTTAATTTGAAATATCTATATAAATGGGGGAGAGATTTCTTTCACATCAATTGACAAATACATATATTCTATTATATAATTTAAACCATATTATTAAAAACAAATATTGAGAAGCAAAGCAAGCAAATGAAAGACTTACTATTAATGGTTATTGGAAAATTGAATGTACTTCCTGATAAGACAAACATGAACGTCAATATCAACCGAATTCTAGAACCAGTCTCACGTTTCTATAATTGAAACTCTCGTTCTAGTATCAAAATATTAATTGCAGACGCGGAATTCCTCATTAGGAAGAGACTCCTATGAATACATGCATTTCTAGTGACCAGCCAGACCATAAATTGTTGAATTATTCCATCTGGATACGTCACTCACAAGGATACACATCCAAACCTCGTGACAACTAGTTGTTTATAGTTCTCTGGTATTCTATTTACTCTTTCAATTTTATAATTAAAATGTACACGTGACTGTCACATGCCACGCTGGCAATTACGTTTCCCAAATTGGAACATTCCAATTCATTTCAACCAGAACGAACGCGCCTGTTGCACTATCAACAAAATGGCGAGTATCCTGTTTGTGCACATGTTTCCACACAAAGAGACAATTCTTGTATCGCCAAACAAGCGCGTCCTCCGGGTAACGCCACCACCACCCCTCTTCTCAGGCGCGACGCGAAAAACTCCCCAAAACGCGCTGAGTTTTTTTGTTGTGATTTCCAATCCTTTACACCACCCACTGCGCAGATACACTGCGACCCGTCCCAAAATTGGATAATTTGCCCCAGGAGCGAAAAATTATATTATGAAAGCGGAAGGAAGATTTCCACGTTGCGAAGAAACGTACGCAGTATCGACCACCCAAACCAATCTCTTAATTGGTTACAACGCTTCCTAATTAGGTGACGGATCGTTTTCTCTCGTTACTCGTTTTAGAAGTAACAAGAGAATTAACGTATATTTTTTTGGAAAAGAAGAAGAAGATCCATCCCATCTATTAATCTGTGCTGAATAACTATTAGTATTCACATATCCCGATGAGGTAACAAACACGAACTGCAAGAAGGCTTGCCAATTTACTACAAACAAGGTCAGTTAATTGACATGTCTTTGGAACCCAAATACGGTTATGCTCTTATTATCTCTCACTTTATTGCATGAGGCACACATATGTACAGACACGCTTGTAGCAAACAAGGAATCATCTTCAGTTATTAAACTCTCTTGGTAGTCTGGTTTTGAATAAATTACATTTTATCTTATTTTTAATTTTTAATTTACCATCAAATTAGATTATATTGTTCTGGAGTCGCTGTGGGTCTTCCCAATTCAGGTCTGTTATTTCGAAACTAATTGGGTAATACCTGACGTCTACGTGAACCTGACAGTAAATAACTACCTACATGAAATATATGAATATCTTTTTCGTATCTGTTTATTATTATCTTGTGTTTATTGATATTATTATTATTTTGCATTTAACTTTCTTTTAATTAATAACGTATATGGTATTAATAAATATTAATAAACAATATATATAAGTACAAACTATACAGAGTTTTATTTGTTCTTCTTAAATTTTTATTCTTGTCAAACTCTTGCTCCTTCTACTTTCTTATTCTTTTGTTATTATTACTATTATTATTGCATAACTTCTAAGTAGTTATCAAAATTACTCACTCACAAAATATCAACGGCATACTTATTTAAACCATGATGTCCAATAAGAAACCTCTACTACCTTCCCTAGCTTCTCTATTGACTCACGAACCTACAACTACCTCAAGTTCTGCTCCATGCTCTCCATTCTTTGAATCATACAACAAAAATAGTTTTCGCAGTGATGATCAAGGTATCATTAGGTTACCACCACTATCTGCCACTCTAGCCTCTCGTCCAAGATCAATCGAATCCGCCGTCAGACAATCCTCCATCTCCTCGGTGGTGTCTGCACCTGCTAGTGTCACATCCACTAGTTCTTTGACCCAACTAGCTACAACTGAGAACGACCTGAAGACTCCCGCATCCTCATTGTCTCACTATAAGATCAATGGTGCAATTGCTGCCGCCACCACCACTCTTACTACCACTATGGAAACTCCATTCCACCAACCTCCTTCCCCAAGACATATGAATCAAAAATTCTCTGTGAATACTCCATCGACTCCAATGGTGAAGAGCAAGACTCCACGTAGTAGTCGCAGAAAGATCGATATGCTTACACCTTTCACTGCAGTAAAGGCTTCTATCACGCCTTCTAGTAAAGAAAAGAAACGTGCTTTTGCATTTATTACACATTCTCAGGAGACCTTCGGTGTCAAAGAACCAAAGATCGATAATGCTCCTTTGGCTCGTCGCAAAAGAAGAAGAACTTCCGCACAGGAGCTAAACATTTTACAAGCTGGGTTTGAAAATTGTCCTACTCCTGATAAGAAACAAAGATTAGATTTAGCTGATCGTTGTTCAATGACTGAAAAAGCTGTTCAAATTTGGTTCCAAAATAAAAGACAAGCTGTCAAAAGACAAAGACTTGCATCATCTAAATCAAATTCTTCTAACGATAACAATAACGATGATGAAGGGGACTCTGTAATGGACGAACAATCTACACCATTGGCTCCAAAGAATCCAATCAATACAGATTCTAGTAACGATGACTTAAGTTTGGTCGACAACTCTATTCTAAATCTATCGATATCTTATCAAAAGAATCAAACCACACCAACTAGAAAGACCAAGAATTTCACACCAACAAAACGTTCTTCAACACCAACTAGAGGCAGAGGACAAGCTTTAACATTCCATTTAAAGACTGACAAGAAAATATTAACTCCAATGAAGACTTCTCCAAACAATAAAGTTAATAAGTTGATCAATGGTTACAATGATAGTATCTTAAATCAACATCGTCAAAACAACCTTTCTGAAAATAAATTCTTGGCAGGTTCCCCATCTAAAAAGAATTCAAAGTCCAAATTAGAATTTAAATCTTCTTCAGAACAAACACCACTTAAGGAAATAAATACAAACATTATCAAGCGTTAAATTTTGTTTCGTTGACGTTCTCTTTCATTTCATTTTCTTTTATTAATCTCAGTAATTATAAATTTAGATCAGTGTGTTATGTAATGATCACACTCGTTCCGGTACAAAATATTTGGGTTCTCATTAATTTTTTTTTAATCCTTTTACAGTCATTTTTTAAAATTCCATTTTTTACTTCAAGATCACATTCCCATGCATATAAGTCACCCATGACTTTTATAAACATAAACATAAATATACATTCATACATATATATATATATCTCAATTCCAAATATATACACAATGTAACTTTAAAACAACTTTATGTACATTCTGAAATTACGTCAAACAATTAAGAATATCGAGCACGATATTAGTTATCAGTTTACAGAGCGTGTATCTAGTTAAGAGAGGTGCACTCAGTATTAGGCAAGGTTCACTTATTTCGTAAGAATAAATATTTAGTTTGTGGTTCTGATCTCTTGAAACATATAAGATGAATTCACAGTTGGGTCTTACATACAAATTAAAATAATTGCCTCCATAATAATATCTCTACTACCAACTTAAACTACAAAATATACTAACAAGCAAGTCGAATTTTTTTTTGTGAAAGTTATCAAGCTGGACATATCTCAAAAAACCATCATTACAGATATTTTGAATTATATCAATATTTAAAATACATGTTTAACAAAGAGAAAAAGGAATTTTATAATATATTAATTATAAACGTAGTGAAAGATTAGACTGGCAGCTTAGATTACATCACCCCAACCAGACGTTCATTGAATAGGAGTAACAAATTGGGGAAAATATTTAATACGCCTGATGACAATGGTGACAAGCTGTTAAGATCAAAGTAAGAAAAAAATGTGTAATGAGATATCCGTACTTAATAATTTTAAATTATTTGATCATATCGTCAATTTAATGTTTACGATAAACGATTTTTTATATCATATATAATAAATCTAATGCTATTATTACCCAACTGTCACTTATCGAATATCGTCGACAATTGGGGAAATTACTAATACCATTGATCTATCGGAGTAATCTTCGAATTTAATCAGATTAAGTAGGTATTTAGAACGAAATTCATATAGGATGAAGACCAACAGGTATCTCGATACTGTATCTGGGAACTTATTAGATATCTGACATTATTTCTAAAAATGTCACATATTATTAGTTATATCCAACCAAACCATCCGGGCAAACAACTGCTACAATCATTTATTAAATTGACGAAGAGCCATTATTAATGCTGTTTTACTATTATTTTTATTTATTTATTGTAATATCTAAAGATGATATAAACGTATACATCCACGTACATAAAAAGATGGAAAAAACTTTAAGAGAATAAAAAATATTGTCAATGATATGATAATAACTTTAAACTTCTAAGTTTAAGATCTTCTTCTACCAGTGGTCTTAGTATGTTGACCTCTGACACGTAGACCCCAGAAGTGTCTGACACCACGGTGGGCTCTGATCTTCTTTAATCTTTCCAAATCGTCTCTTAGCTTAGATTCGACTTGGTTAGCTAGAGCGTGGTAGTCCTTACCGTCAGCAATATCTCTTTGACGGTTTAAGAACCAAGCTGGAATCTTATATTGGGTTGGGTTTTGCATAATTTGAACAATTCTTTCTAGTTCTTCTTGGGTTAGTTCACCAGCTCTCTTGTTCAAGTTGACATCGGCCTTCTTACAAACAAGGTTGGAGTAACGACGACCAACACCCTTGATGGTGGTCAAAGCGTAGACGATCTTGATGTTACCGTCAACGTTAGTGTTTAACAAACTGTATGAAAATCATAAGTCATTTGGAATGCAGTATACACTCCAAAAAGACAAGTACTTCTGTTAGTAAAAAATGAGCAACTTCAATTAGGAATTTATATTATTGATTGAGAACATTAAAGTTGAGGTGTCAAAGATTTGCAACAAAATAGATACCTGATAACGCAAAAGTGAGATACACAATTCTTGGAAATGGTATACTTCATAATTGTACTGTTTATTTGATCTTGAACTGGATAAGGTATTATTATGCCATATTCATAGTATAATACTGCTAATGGGTTTTCACTCTACAAGTTCATATTATCATCTAATTCTTCTTTCTTCCATATATTTCATCACAAATATTTTATGTGTATTCCTATCTCGTATCTTATCAATTTACACTTAATCATATTTCAATAAGCTTCAATCATATATATCATCATATTGCTATTTAAAAAACATACCGTAAAATGTGTTGGAAAGAACCTTGTTCTTGGACGACTAGAGACATCTTGTTTACTGGGTTTGGCTGTGGGTTCTTTAATATCTGAATATTCAATAAACGCTATTAAATAACAATCGATTTACTTATATGTTGATGCCACTTTGACTTACCTCAATAATTGATGATATTGCGTACTAACAAAGTGTAACTGGTAGCCCTGGCTACTATCCTTAGATTCCTTCACTATGCTGAATAATATTCACTATGTTCTGGGTATTATCTTGTGAATATTTACACATTGCTGCACTGTGAACTACTCACATTTCTGGTTGAATATTCCCCATATGGCGCGTGAGTCAAATATTTTTCATCCGAAGCTGAAAAAGTTCAAAAAATTAAATGGAAAAATGTCACGGCACGTAATGGTGGGTGTACAGATGTAATAGTTGGGGTGTCAGGATGTTACTATAGTCCGATACTATTTGACTATAATATATTAAACTGAAAGACACTTCACAATACACTCGTCATAAATTATCATATCGGTATTATCTAGTAGTTAAGAAGAATAAATTATTCATTTAGCTTGATTATATATTTTCTATTTGTCTTTTATATATGTATATACATGAGAATTATAAGTATCATACTACCCAGTCAAAAAAGTTATTATGTTGAGAAAGCAGTGAATTGTTCTGCAAGATACTTTAGCGCATCTTCTTCAATGAATACTTTACTAGCCTTTAATAAATCATTAACCTCAACACCTTCCTGTTGCACTACATCTACTTTATTTTTGTACATGTCCGTATACTTCAATAGACCTGGTCTAGTATCCGATGTAATAAACAACAATCTCTTTCCTTCATATCCATGCTCATTTAAGAATTTCTTAAATATCACACTATTAAAATTTGGCTTTGTTTTCGTATCGTTTATCTCTATATCAAGTTTTGTGGAATCTGTCTCATTGGTAGGCGTTATTGAATTCATATTACCGATAATGAACAAATTACCTTCTTTATATTGATGACTTAAAGCAGTTCTAAAGGCCAAATGATATACTTTGTTTGGTAAGTCTGTCGTGTAATCATTTGGTGCATTTCTTGCTAGTGCAACACCACCTTTATGTCTTATTGGTGAATTAGCATCACCCACTCTTGCATTACCTGAACCCTTTTGAGGTAATATCTTATGTCTAGAGTAACCATTTTCACTTCTACCAGGAGGATTAGAGGCACCAACACGTCTGTTATTATTTTCGTGAACAACAGCACGCCATAAAATATCACGTCTTAAAGGTACACCTAACACGGAGGTAGACACAGGTACGCATGATAGTGGTTCGAGCGACGGAAACACCCTTAGTGTGGCTAGGGTGTATGCAGGTGGAAGTTGACCATTAGGAAGAGCTTTGGAGGTTCCTGAAATCGAACGAGCAATATTTAATCTCTGAAATAAATAATAAAGAAAATTATGTTTGTCTAATCCATTTTATAAAAAACTAGATAACGAATAATATAATAATTTGTTAGTAAAATTTGTAATTAATCTTAGAAAATTGAGTTCTAATTAGAACTTGACATGAAAGGAAAACATACTATATTCGAACTTTTCAACATTATGACAAAGGAAAGTATATGTGCAGGTCCTCACTGTTTATGATCTGGGTTTATTTCTTGTTGTTTATGTTATAAGGGTTACCTCTTTACTCTATCTGACCACCATTTTATGTGAATTTCGAAGGATTATTGATTTTCTATCAAACTCAGTGGATTCTCAAAGTAAAGGCCGAAATCGTGAGAATAATTATACTGCGATACTCGTTAAATATGATTTCGGACCTTTCAAGAATAATATGTGACTATTCACTAAACCCATACATCTGTAAACACATCCGTACACCCAGTAAATGTTTCATTTTTGTTTTTTGAAAAATACCGAAAACTTGCAAAAATTGATATTATTTTACTGAAAATATTCGGCAAAAGCTTAACCGCATAGTTTATACTGACAATTTCATTGCTTTCGCAGTATTCATTGAACATTGAAACTTTATGCAGATGATGAGATGAACTTCACCATACTAACTGCTACAGTGAAACAATGTATTACGTTACTGTAGACTTCAATTTCTCAATTAATATTATCTAGATTATTAGTATGGAGACTAAATAAGCGTTTAATATATAAGAAACCTTCTTGTTATCATATAATATTCTTGATACTACAAATAAAGCAGACCGAGAACCAATAATACAAAAATGGTATGTTAAATTAACATTTGCAACTGAGGAATATGAATGCATGCCTTTGGAGAATCCAAATGAATAAGTAATGAAGGAACTGTTGAATAGTTTACTTTTAAAATATTGAGAATGAACTGATATCAGAATGAAATCTCATCAATTAATAATACACTTATTGATAATATAATGGAAAATGGATAAGTCAGTCAGTTCCATATTTGCAAATCTATCTTTGGAGGAAAACAAGATAACAGTAAAGTGCTTTACAATAGAAACTCTAATTGTGTCACTTGTTTATACTTTAGGGGCATCATTCAGTTAACCGTGTTAATATAACTTTGACAATTATTATTTCGTTTTACTAACAAATTGTTTTATATGTGTTATTCAAAATTTTCGTTTTGTTTTGATTAAATATGAACATATATTTATTGTTTTCTATAGGGTAGAGTTAGAACCAAGACCGTCAAGCGTGCCTCCAAGGCCCTAATCGAACGTTACTATCCAAAGTTGACTCAAGATTTCCAAACCAACAAGAGATTATGTGACGAAATCGCCACCATCCAATCCAAGAGATTGAGAAACAAGATCGCTGGTTACACCACCCATCTAATGAAGAGAATTCAAAAGGGTCCAGTCAGAGGTATCTCTTTCAAGCTACAAGAAGAAGAAAGAGAAAGAAAGGATCAATACGTTCCAGCTGTTTCTGCTCTAGATTTATCTCACTCTAAGGGTGTCTTGAATGTTGACAAGCAAACCGCTGAATTGGTCAAGTCTCTAGGTATGAAACTACCTCTATCTGTTATCAACGTTTCTGCTAGCAGAGAAAGACGTTACAGAAAGTAAACAAATTAAATAATTCTTTTATTTAATTATATATAGTATCCTTTTTGTATTCAATTTTAACAGAATATCATTCTAATATCATTTGATTATTTGTCCTATATATCTATGTATACGAAGACCTTAAAGTGATGATATGATGGGTCTCCAATTAGGTGATGAAGTATAGGTTAACTCATACGTATTAATGCTTCTATGTGATGACTCCAGTTAACTGTGTGTACATCTTGCCTCATTATGTAAATTGTAACATTTCAACGAACAGATCTTATCTCCACACTTCACACAACTTGAGATACTATCGTAACCACCACATATTGAACATACTGTGATCAAAGGTAATACTTTGAAATATTTCTTGTTGTAAACGTTATGAAGCATTACACTTTTATCAACTTGGCTCAACGTATCAAAATATGTATGGAGTGGACGTTTTGAGGTCAATACTTTTCTCAAAGCCACAATTCTATTTGTACTTTTCTTCTTTGGTTTTATTGGTTTTGTTGATCTATATGATAATAATATACTTTTTGGTATCTCAAATTTATTTCTATTTGATCTAGATGACGAATCAGAAGAACCTTGAGATACTGTAGTAGTATTTGAATTGATCTTATCTCTATTAATACCGGTGGAGCTACTCAAAAGAGTTGGAATTTCAGACAAATCGCCTAAATTTTCAGTATTCAATTCCATAAACCGTCTCTTCGATTGCATAATTTGTTGTTGAGAAAACCTATCTCGTACGTACTTAGTGGCACCTTTAGTAATATTATTATCCTGTTGCGACTTCCCATTATCCTGTTGCATGTATAATTTAGCCTCCATATCTGCTAATGAATAATTCACTCTCTTCACTGACCTGAAAGTAGATGCATTTGAACTATTCTTTTGTTTCTTGCCTCTGAAGGATCTCGTATGTGGATCTGCACTTGTGTAGTAAATATTAGGATCGTATGTCCTTTTATCTATCTCTTCTACTAACTGACGTGCCATTTCAATTCTATCAATATGTTTGTTTACCAATCTGATGGTTAATGGTCCTCTGTTTATAATGAATGATTGTATGCTTCTTACTAGTGTTTATTTAGTAATAACACATTTTAGGAAATAATGTGCGCCATTCGCGTTATGTATGACATTTTCAATTAACTTAATTAATTTAATTTTATCAAATATAAAGTAACTCTATTTTATATCAAAAAAGAGCTATAAGTAATATATTTATATATAAATGTAATTATAAATTGTTTCAGTTCTTCGTGATATGCATATCATAACCTGATTCATTTGGTTGTTCCAAACCCTCTTTTAATCTTAATGATGGAATTTCATAATCACCAAAGTTTTGCTTTCTGTAGTTAATAGACTTGACACTATCAAAATTGTCAAAACGTTCTTTAACCAAATCAACAGCTTCTTGAAAGCCTTCTTCCCTTCTACCGTCCGTTCTGTAGATGACTACTGGTGGGAATACTTCACAACCTGTGTAAAAGAATAGACCGTGGTTAATGGTAAATAAAACGTTTTCAATTGGTCCATTAATACCTCTGTCTGAGTATTGTTCCTTAGACCCACCACAAGTAGTGACAACGAAGGCCTTCTTACCGGTGAAGGTACCTTCACCATATCTGTCACCAAAATGAGTGTCAGAATATTCACCAAAGCCATAAGCGAAACCACAGGCAAAGACACGATCAACCCACCCCTTTAGAATGGCTGGCATACCGAACCACCATAATGGGAAGTGGAAAACAATAGTGTCTGCCCAAATAAGCTTATCCATTTCTGCGATGACATCAGGAGTCAATTGTTTAGCAGCGAAAGCAGCATATGAGTCATAGGCTGGTTTTAGTCTGGCGTCTTTTTCTAAATTCAAAAAGTCATCCCTGTCAACTACAGCCTTAAAATTTTCTTTGTAAAGATCAGATACTTTAACTTCATTGCCCTGAGCTTCTAAGTGTTCAACGTAAGTGTCTAACAGGGACTTGTTAAAGGATTTTTCTTCTGGGTGAGCGAAAACAACTAGGACCTTCATAATTGTAAAAAATGTAGAGTGTCTTTAAGAATATTTGTCGATTTTTTTTGGTAAAAAAGAAATTTTTATTACAGTTAATAACTCTTTCTGTTTTGGATGGATATTTATTTATGAAATATATAACGTATAAAAATAAACAATAAATTATTTCAAGATTCACTTACAAATGACAGCGCCTAAGGTCCCCCTTTTTATATGTTTTTTAACGGTGAATTTTGTAACGTCTTACAGGTTCAGAACAAGCCATATCTTACCTAAGTACATCTAAAAGTTCCTTGCCAAACACATGGACAAACCTCTCTTTCTCTTCTCCTTCACTTGTTTCAACTTACCTAATCACGGCGTAATCCCCGGCACATCTCGAGGATGAGCGACGATCTCTGTATCACGAACTCATGTCCCACTTGTTAAACCCAAAACAGAGAAAACATCGCACCACATGAGAAAACGGTCTGAAGTTAGAGGTGTGGGGTACCTCACGAACTTATGTCACATTAATTTACTTTATGCACAGTGATTACCAATACAAATGAGGCACATCATAGCCAGTTTGTGAATGGCCCGTTTGATTAAAAACAGTATATGGGACACCTTAGTTTCGTGATGCATTTAACCATTAACTATAATTCAAATGGGAGTAGTTTTATTTTCATAAATTTTAAGATGTATGTATATCGTTAATTTTAATTTTTGTATAAATATTTATATGTGAGTTGAGCAGTTGATCATAATGTATAGAAGGAAAGATGGGGAAAAATCGTTTATATGTGCCATTCTCTTATAATTTGGCAGTAGTAGATTCTTTAATCAAGGCATCGGCCATCTCGTCAGCAGCAGCGCTCAAATAGTAGTGCATTCTTTCGACACTTAGACCGCTGAAAGCTGGCTTGTTGACAATATTGATATGTAGCCAATTTTTGTTTAACATATAAGCTAAGCCGAACCCAATATCGTTGACTTGGGACCAACCGTATCCATCAAAATGTTCTGAGGTTAATTGAGATGTAGATATCAACCAATTCGAAGAATAATTAAATAATGGATCCTTGAACAATGCTGGAATTGTCTCGTTTGGTTGTTCAGCATTTAGCATATTTTTCAGTCCGAAGAAGTGACGATCGATACCTTGACCCTCAGAGGCCATTTTCAAGTAAGATGCATGTGCAGCAACAGATTCTCTTAATAATCTGATTCTTTCCGCATTAGAAACAGTTGGCTTATCCCATGATTGAACAAATTTTTGAGATGCTTCACTGACTGAACGACCTGTCTCGGTTCTACCTTTGAAGAATTTTCTAGTAGAGGCTGCTTCATAAGTAGGTAATTGTTTACCCAAATATTTGTAGATAGCCAATTGAACAATTTGCTGTAAGTAAGCATCTGGTGACATCTTATGAGACTTGATGAACTCCTTACCATATCTATTGTAATGCCATACTTTCAAATTGTGTTGGCCCATAGTTTCCTTGAATTGTTTCTTGGCATCAGATATATGAGATTGAATTATAGGGGTCACAGTAAATGATAGTGGTTGCGGAGATGGGACCGCCTTTGATGAAGTAGGACTGACACTTCCCACAAACTCTACAGGGTTCAGTTTCGTCATCTCTTGACACATGTAATTATTTAAAAATAGAGTTGGAGTACCGTCCATCTTTGAATGTTCCCCAAGGAAACCAGAAGTACCATTTCCAGTGACAAAGAATTGCAATGATTTGTCGTAGAATCTATTGATTCCGTCCCCATGCCAGCAGTTTCTTGATTTCTCTTCTAAAGTAACCGGAGCTTTGTCTAAGTCCAGACATAGCATAAATGAAGCCTTATGGATAGTCTCCAAGGATTCTTTGGAGATTGGATCCTTGATCAGTTCGGCATAAGCAGTACGCCATTGATCTCTTGGTAAAGAGGTCAAGGACCCAACACCATTGCTTTGAGTTTGAGTAGCACGAACATTTTGACCCTGGCTTCCATTTACCACTGAATATAATTGCATCCAGATTTTATTAGATGGCAAAGGTTTGGCAGTCTTGGAGTCATGAGTGAAAACTTTATAGAAATTTCCTTTGTAAGCGACAATAATAAAATTGTTTTCATAAATTGAGTAAAAGATATTAGTGTCACTTTTAATTTCTGGAGGACCAGGCAATCTAGAGGTATTAAACATCAATTGGAAACTATTCATGCAGAACGGATTTTTCTTGACCACTTCAGCAGGTAAGGATTCGTCTTTAATTGCTTCGATAAATTTAGTGGCAGTGACGACAATTGCAGTAGCCTTCATCAAAGGATCATTCTGAATGGCCGAATGAGTAGACGGTAACGGTTTATGACTGTAGAAATAAGATACATAAGGCACTACAGGGTCGTCGTACTCTAGATAGGCTTGTTTATCCCAAAACGTAGACATCCAATTACGTTTCCCTTTGGCGTACTGGACCAATCTTTGTTGTAAAACGGGCCCCTGATTATTTAACAAATCCTGACACAGAGCCTCCTGCCTTTGCAAAGTCTCTGGATCCTCCTTAATATAAGGTTTAACCGATTGTAAATATTTAGCAACTGTTTCATTCAGTTCTGGGACCGGCAACGGTGGTAAATCCTTCTGTAATGCGAATGATTCACCTTTAAAAGTTGGTCTTGCACTTTGATGAATTGAGTTTTCTTGATGAGCCCAGTAGTGTTCACCATTTTCTGTCACCATTGGGAATTTATGTAGGATGTTGTGTACCATTGTAGTAGACATGGAACGTGATACCATCAATCGTTGTAACGAGTGAGGTTTAGCGTGCAATAGAGAATATTTTAACATTGCGGATTATATGTTTATAAGCGGTCACTGATATTCTCAGTTAAATAACTTGGTTGTATGTTTCTTTTTCAAGTATTTATATAAAGGATAATTAAATTAAGGGTGTATGTTAATGCAATTTTATAAATTTGCATGTGTGTGTCTCCCCTAGCCGGATTCTATTTACTTATATACAAGTCTAAATCCGATGACAGTTGGAGTAAAAAATTTAAGAAATGCTCAGCGAGAAAAAAGAATGAACTTAGGAGACCTTTCAATGGCAACAACCTCTATGGCGATGTGGTGGTCATCATCATCGACAGCATCATCGTTTTAATTATTGGAGAACGAACGAGTCATGCGGAACACTCGAATCTCCAAAACACGCAAAAAAAGAGACAACCACAGCAACAAACTAGAGATACACGGAAGTCATTCACTTCAACCAGCACTGCTCAGCATAAGAAAACGGTTGCGGAACAGAGGAACTTCATCGATCACAGGAAGATCAGATATGAAACGGTCACGCACACACACACCCACCCGTCTTGTGCTATATAGTAATACGTAATAACAAGTAAGATACACATCGTAAAAAAGAAAGGACTACGTTTACTGGTAACAGAGTGAGAGAATACTGAAAAGGATATTGTTGCTGTCAGCTGTCTTCAAAATTATATATCTTGCGCAGCCAATAGCCACTCATGATTAGCATGAAATTTTTTGGTTAGATCATCACACAACGGAGGTTCCCCCACTTCACTGCTCATACTGTAGTTATAACTCTACTACGATTATCTAATTTGTAACTTAATATATATTAATAATGTCAGAATTTTCAGTGTTTGGCTATGTTGCTATGTCGGTCATTTCAAATGAGATCCGCTTGGGGCGACAACTTTGTCATCATTTTATTAATCTCTAATAAGTCACAAATAAATAAACTGTAATATACAATTGTAATAAAGTACAACCTCATTGAATTCAATATATATATATGCAGTGTCGGGAACACCTGTTCCCTTGGGGCCACTCCCACACAAACACCCTCTTACTCTCTCTGTCGTTCTTATTAGCTTGAGCTATAACTTGGACAATGCTGAAGTAGCAAGTGCAGTTCATCTCATATCAGTCGTGTCTCTCTGCCCTTTTTATATCTTTCAGATTTTCTTTCTGTGAAAATTTTCATTTCGCCGCAACGTTCGCGGTGCGGGAGGGTAACACGCGCTGTTTCGATTGGTTTTTGATGGGAAAGTAAGTAAGGGCTTCTCAGCTGGGGAAAGGGAAAGGGACAGAGAGACCTGGGTGAGCAGCTACCATATTAAAAGCTGGGATAACGAGGGGGAGAAGTAACCGATATACAGAGACAGAAGCGTATATAAACAGGTATACACATACTCAGTAAACACAGACATTCACTCTCTTAGGTTGCTTTTTGAAGGATGCTGATGTTGCGCAGAGGTTTGCATATGCCCATGAGCATGGGGATAGCGTCATCCATCGCCAAACATAAACACTTCTCCACTGGTTCGTTATTATGGAATCAACTATCAAAGAGTGAGGACGTAGGTGCTACTGTGATCACTCCCAAAATATTGAAGATTGTTCCTAATACTACGGATATAGTGGAATTGGAAAAACAAGATATGTTGATTAGAAGACGGAGGAAATTGGCTAAAGAAGTCACTGAAATGAAGAAATACAAACCTATATCACCCGGTGTGAGATGGTACAGACACCCTGTGTACCCGTATCTTTACAAAGGAAGACCTATTAGATATTTGACTACGATCAAGAAGAATCATGGTGGTCGTAATAGTACCGGGAAAATTACTGTGCGTCATAGAGGTGGTGGCCATAAACGTAGATTAAGATTAATCGATTTCACAAGAATGGAGGCAGGGAAACATTTAGTGAAAAGAATCGAATACGATCCAAATAGAACTGGCCATATTGCTCTATTAGAATCTCAGGAGACTCAGAAATTATCTTATATTATTGCTTGTGATGGACTTAGAGAAGGAGACACCGTGGAATCATATCGTAAAGGGATATCCTCAGCTTTGTTAAACGAAATGGGCGGGAAGATCGACCCTGCTATCTTAAGTGTGAAGACCGCTCAAAGAGGTAATTGTTTACCAATCTCAATGATTCCCATTGGTACCGTAGTACATAACGTCGGGATTACACCTTTTGGACCTGCTAAGTTTTGTAGATCTGCAGGGACTTATGCTAGAATCATCTCCAAATTGAATGAAAAGAAAAGAGCTGTGGTACGTTTACAAAGTGGAGAACATAGATATGTCTCTCTAGAAGCGTGCGCTACTATTGGGATAGTCTCTAATATCGATCATCAGAATAGTTCTTTGGGTAAAGCTGGTAGATCTAGATGGTTAGGTATTAGACCTACTGTCAGAGGTGTTGCTATGAACAAATCAGATCATCCTTTGGGTGGTGGTCGTGGTAAATCCAAGTCCAATAAATTGTCTATGTCACCTTGGGGTCAATTATCGAAAGGTTATAAGACTAGAAGAGGTAAGAACCAAAATAGAATGAAGGTAAAGGACAGACCAAGAGGTAAACAAAAATGATTATAAATCTCATTGATATTGTGAACTATTGCACTTTCTATTTTTATTGTCCTTTTAACCACTATTTTGTACAGAGAATATTCCTATAATTAGATGGTAAGAATCATTAATTTCTACCTATCATGTAAATATACAGGTAAATAAATACACAGATATAATATAATATATATATGTATATTATTGATCAAATTGTTTCTTTTGAAGAAGAAAAACTGCTGACAGTGGGACAGTTCTGATACATACATATACATATATATGTCCAATCTATATGTAAAGTCATGATGTATTAAAATTTATGTTGCATAAATTAAGGAAAAATATGTATATAAAAAGAGTTTCCCTATCTATTAGAAGATAACATCATCTTCAGTCTCTGCAACCAAATTATTATTTTCCTCTTCACTCTTCTTATCATTCAAGGATGTTGCCTTTAATTGTTCTTCTATACTTGTTTCTTCACCCTTTTTAGTCCTTTCTTCTGCTTCTCTCTTTCTGGCTGCATCCATTTCAGCATCTAATCTAGCAACTTCTAATTGTTTCTTCTCCTGAACCTTCTTCAATCTGTAAAATTCCTCTCTATCTAATTCATCCAGTTCACTATTAATATAAGCAATAGTGTTCTTAGTTCTTGGAATAATGACATGCTCAATAGCATTGACTCTTCTGTTGGTGACCTTAATAACTTCATCCAAAATAATGAAAGCAGTCTGTAAAGAAGCTAGTTCAACAAGGGTCTCAACAGCCTTAGAATAGATTTCCTTAGCACGCTGCACTTGCTGACCACCACGACCTAGACCAGTCAATTTGAAATCGTTGATCTCTGGGTCAATATAAGATTCAAATTGCGGCAAGATAACACCACTGACATTCTCTTGACGGGCACGGATCTTAAACCTAGCAGTTGAAACACTTTCTTGCACTTGATAACTGATGTTATCACCGGTAGCGTAAGTGACCTCAGCTAAGGAGAAAGCAGCTGTCTGCATAACACGACCCATCTTTTGTTTGGCATCGTCAATTCTCTTGGTGATATCACGGAATCTCTTGGTCAAAGCCTCTGACTTACGCTTTAATAATGTGTGACCAACTTCAGCACCTTTTAACTTGGTTTTCATAAGACCCAAAGTCATACGAGTAGGAAACACTTGCTCTCTGGTTGCGGACATATTCGTTTGGTTCTTTTTCTTGATGAAGTATCTCTATGAGGTTCCTACTAGTCTAGAACTGGTAAGTTTACAATTGTATTATAATAACCAATACTCTAAGTTCTGTAATCTAAATTCACAGGATTGTTCAACTTTTATGATTACCATTCTTAGTTAATGGCTGTATTTAATATGCATAACTGTCTCTTTATTCCGATGATGCTGCTGCTTAAACCGAGCCTTTCATTTTGCAGCCAAAAAACGAAAATTCAAAGGAAAAAAACATTGACTGTACTAGGCGAATTGAACCACTGTAAATAAGAGATAAGGTTACAAAATGACAGAAAATATGTATTTATGTATCGTTAGAGGAGAGGTCTCTGATTAAAATCAATTGAATATATTATATTTATTCAGAAATGTTTCTATTTATAAGGGTTCGAATATATAAAATTTTCGTATATCTCAAGAACTAAACCAGATTAACAGACAATTATAGTCATAGCAATGGTTCCTACTCTTCATTGTATTTTCTTTTTAGTAACCCATTCCGTACTACTCATTTGTGTTAATCTACTTAATGCTCTGGCGAAGGCGAATCTTTCTTCGTCTAGAGCAAAAATATGGGACTTCTTTGCAACTTCTTTAGAAAATCCATGTTTGGCAACTAATGCATCACTATTCACTACTTGTTCTTCTTGTTGAGCTTGTTCTTCTGTCTCCTGTGGTTTAGGTTTTAATTCGTAGTCATTTAGGATATCTTCCGGTTCAACAAACAAGTCCGTGAAATTAGCAGCACCTGTGGTGGATAGTTTCCCACCATTATCGTAAACAGCATCCAAAAACGTAATAAACCTTCTTATTTCATCTCTAACAAAAATAGAAAGATAAGGTATATCAGTGACTATAAATGCATCGAAATTCTTGGCCAGAATCAAGTAATCACCAGCAGCTAAAGGTTGTCCACAGAGTTGTTTAAAAGTAAATTGTGCGACTCTTGGTGGAGTACATTTAGGGACCTTGAATTCTCTACCCCAAATAGTCAACGGGTAATCATTAAACTCCTTATACACTGACTTCTTTTGAGCTGCCACAGGATCCGACTCATCAACTTGTGCAAAATATTCATACCATTTACTGATGTGGTTCTTTCTAAATAATTCACATTCTCTAGAGGAATACTTTAATTCATTTTTTGGATAATAATAAACAGAAGAAACTGGCTTAGGAATTTTACGATAATCAGTTTCGGAATCCAAACATATAACCTCGGTTCTATTCTTGATTAGTTCGATACATGGAATAAATGATTCCCTTTGAATCCCATTGATGTATAGATCATTTGGTTCTCTATTGGATGTTGTGAATAAAATCACACCATATTTATCTCCCAGAATTGTTGAGAAAAGTCTTCTCAATATCATGGCATCGGCAACATCAGTGACTTGGAATTCATCAAAACACAATACTCGAGATGTCATTGCAATTTCTTTAGCCAAAAATGGAATAGTATCGATCTCTTCATGGGGGTCCTCTCTTAGTTCCTGTTGTTCCTGAGAGATTTCATGACTACGTTTATGAACGTATTGCATAAATTGATGGAAATGGATTCTTTTTTTTGATAAACTTTTAGGGATGGTTGTATAAAACAAATCCATCAACATAGTTTTACCACAACCGACATCACCATATAGGTAAATACCCTTTGGTAAATTTTCACCAATCGTATTCACATCACTATCTGTTATATCCGTAGGATAACGAAACTTTGCCAATAATTTCGATCTCCATGTTAAGTTTTGGATTGGTAAAGGTAACTTTATAGAATCTGTTGAAGGTGGTTGATAAGCTAATAAATCCTTGTACATATGTTCCATAGACTTTAAAATACCACGTTGAAACGGGTCATCCCTTAGTTTTCCAAGTTTAACTTGTCTATCATACTCTTGTAGTGGTGTAATATCCTGAACTTCTCCCCTTACGTAACTTGTTGCTGTTATAAATCTGGCAGAATGATTATTAATCAACGACCTACCCAATTTTCCTAGTGAGGGAATGCCGTTTATTGGTCGTAATAACAATAAGGACATCTCTTTGTATTCATGAAATTAATATACCGTTCTTCTATCTTTTTAAAGATTTTTATTTTATGTAAATCAGAAATTATGTGATTTACAGGTACTAAACCTCAAATTTGAAAAAAAAATTCAAATAATTTTGTTATTTTTTACTAGATTAGATAAAGTTGATTGAAATATATTCAGTTTGAATGCGAAACACCATTAAAAAAAACATTATTGAACTCTCGAGAACAATCAGCTAAAGGGTTTAGGTACCCTGTATATATATATGTCACTGCGATGATTAACAGCATACAGCACTCTCCATTAAATCCCTCGAACTATCAATGGATAATAGCCCCACAGATCATTTCATTTTCCCTCGTCTTCCTAAGGGAACTCCTAAGAAACGATATTCCCGAATGCCAGATAGCACCGTTATCGTGAGTTATGATCTTTTATGGCAAGAATCTGTTCATTTAGTAAACAATCAATACATAATTATATTACGTATGGCCGACACTCATGTTTTTTTAATGACATATATATATAGATAATCCTTCTTTAATTATTGGATTCATTAGAGGTATAATAGTTCGAAGACGATTTTTGCCTTCTTTCGTAGTGTCAAACTAGTTCCTTGCTGAAGTAATCCTCAAGGTTTGGAGATGAACAGTATAATCTAATATTTAACAAGTAATATACGTTCTAATAATCGCATGGGAAAATTAAATACAAATCTTATACAATTTTCATGCATTTCTCTTTAAACATTTGTTTTCATTGTACGTCACTTCTTTATGAGAACCTAACGTATTCGGATAGTTTCAAAGGTGCGTGCGTAGTTACGTATTTTTCATATTTTTTTAGTGATGCAGGATTTGGTCACTTACTTGAAAATATATATATATGTCGTTAGAGTAATTTCGAAGTTAAATTAGTTGCAACAGGCAATTGATATTTGGACACACGCTGAATCTTGATATATTGAAAGTGTTAGTATTGTTCTTTGGGGAAAAATAAAAAAGATATCTGAAAACCAACTGATTTATTTCTTGTGGAAAGTATTAATCAGATGCGATGACTACAAATTTAGAAGATCACAATATTAAGAACTTGGACGTCGCATTTTCAGAATTGAGAATGAATTCTCAATCAAGATGGCCAAGAGAAGAGGATTTGATAAGTGTTAAAGATCTAATCAGTAATAGTTGTGATAAGTTAAATGCTGAAGATATCATTAAAGCACCGACATTTGATTTGTTTGAAGGAACTCATTCGTTGGAGATTAATAATGTTAAATTAGATTCGTATTTGATCAATTTGTCTAAGGAAGAGATTGATTTCGATTGTACAATTGCTTATGACAAGAATTCAAACTCAGAACAAAACCAGGATGATTATCAATACGTTACAGCGATTATTGATAGATTGGTAAGGTCAATTATCAATTGGGTAACAGACTATCAATCCCTACCGACTACCGTTTTAAGTTGTCAGTATATGGAATATATTTTAATACAACTGACAGAATCCTATAACAATGTCTCAGATTATAAATATTTAAATACAGAAAATCCTTATTTCGATAATGTATTGAACTCAAGTATTATGGGTATCTGTTTTTTTGGTGCCTTCGTTAAGAAACTATTGAAGGGTGGTGGTGTCTTTGAAGAGGAAGATCTGAATTTTAATTCAATGGGGTTAGATGGGTTTGATTTAATACCTCCAGCTAGTCTTATACGATTGCTCCTAAATGAGAGCATGACATTTATTAAGAATGACAAAAATATTCCAAAGGCAGATGCCGAACGATTATTATACTTACTAGAATTAATAGATTGCTTGGTAATTTTAGATAATAATCTTTCAGAATATTCAACTGATACTGGGCATCTTGATAAGATTGTTCAAATCTCGAAGAATTTGGACGATTTACCCACATATACATATTCCCCCCCTGTTGGCTGCTTCTCCATGTGTATACAAAAACAATTATCTAATCAATTCCCACCTAAGGATTTGATAGTACCTGAGAAGAACTATTTGAATTATGTCGCAATGGCACAAGATATTAAGAAAGTCTTAATGGTGTATAATGTCACTGAACCTTTTCAATTGATGCAATTTGCAAATTTTTTCAATAAAAACGAACAAAGACACGTTTTGGCTAGAGCATTGTTCCCATTGATTGTGATAAAGGAGGATTCATCACTACTTGGAAAATGGACATTCCATGAAGCATTCCAAAAGCATTTACAAATTCTATCATTAGCAGCAACAAATGCAGATCAAGCCCTAGACACAGAACCATTTAGATCTTTGCTTGATCCTGTAGCTCAAGAGGCTCTAAATGTCTTGTTTGAATGGTATCAGAATAATGCCCAAAATACCGCAAGATACAGACAAGGGTATAACAGACAGTTATTGTTATGGGATTCTGTGCAAGCTCAATTTGAAGGTGTTGAATTGAATTTTGAAGGTAGTGAAAAGGATGTGGTTATGGGTCCACCAGGGTATGGTAATCTTCCTTTGATGCCATTTTCATCATGGGCATTTATAATGAAAACAAGGTCCATGATTGAATTTGTCTTGAAAGGTTTTGATCTGGAAGTATACAAACCATTTGAATCATTTGAGATGTTTTGGTTTACATTCTATTTAACAGAACAATTAGAGTCATGTTTTCAAAAAATCGATACATTCTTGGAAAGTAAATTAAGTAGCATTCATGCTATCAATAAAAGAATGAAGAAACAAAAGGCTGGTGAAAAGAAGGAAAAGTTAAGGAAACAGTATCAAACGGAAATGGCTCAAACTTATCCAATGATTCATTCAAGTAAATCATTTTTGAAATATTTATCTGCACATAATCAAATTATCAAATCATTGTGTATATTCCAATGTTTCCAGTTTGGGATACTGAAATCATATGGTCTTATTGATAATAAGATGTCAGGAAACAGTAAATTTGTCAACCACAAATTAATCCATGATCTAAGGTTTAAACCATTCTCATCAATCGGTGTACCAGAGTTACCAACATATGAAGTATTTCAAGAGGTTTTACGGGAGTTTATCATTGGTGAACCGATGTTTAAGGTAAAACAAGAGAAGGTGATGATGCATATGAAAGAACAATTGACCACAGTAACTCAAAATATTAAAGCTATTCTAATAAGCATTGAAGGAGGGGATTCAAACAATGAAATGACAACCGGAACTGGAGCCATTAAGGAAGATGCTACTTGTTATTACTCAACATTACAAAAGACTATAGAGGCTCTTTCTGAGAATTGTATTTCACTGTTGCAGAATATAGAGAAGAAATCCTTCATAACAGAAAAAGAACATTATGAAATTGTTTTAAATAATAAAGCTGGCCTTTCAGGTTATTTCCCTCTAATGGTTTTATCTCATAAGAGAAGATCAAGACATAAATAAACTAGGTGTAAACGTTTACTAAATCGTTGTACATTTATATAAAGTAGTCATTGTTTTAAATAATGGATAATTATAGAAATGCATTTATGTTAATAGTTTTGACGGTTGAGTGACAGTAGATGATGCAGTGACACATTTTCTTGTAGTCTCGGAGATCAGCAATAGTTTGTTTAAACTTTCTGTGACTGTGCACCCGTGCACCCAATAAATGCATGGGTGTCAACGAACGGTCATTTTATAGTTGAACTGTGTCAAAAGGGCATATACTCATACTATAAAATAAATATTTTAAACTCGTAAAGCTGTGGCTATATAATGGGTAAATTGTAGTTCAACTGAGTGTACAAATTTTGACTGTTTTGGCCTGATTAGTTGTTGTAGGTGATCATTAACAACCTTTTACCTGTTTAGAAAATGGCTATTTTTCATAACTTTTAAAAGTTTTTATTTTATTTTTCAAATTTCAATTTTCCATTTTTTATTTTGGACGGCGCGAGACTTTTGAGACAAAAAGTGAAAATATACACTATATCGTCGCAGAAGTTCAATTGTGTGCAATCTAAAACGCTATGAAATTTCATTTCACTGATTCTAAAATTTTCATAAAATTGGAATTTTTCATTTTGTGAAAATTTCAATTTTGAGAAAGATAGCACAGTAATACAGAGAGGGATACTGCATGATACGATTTCATCATCACCATCATGGGAAATTGGAAATTGGATATTATCCTCAATTTATTGTATGTCGGAAAAATAGTAAACTAAGTATCTTGAACTTTGTAGAACCAGTAACGATGAGTGTGAATGTTTCAGTGAAACCTATGTCCTAGATTCCTAATAGGTCTAACCACAAATAGTTGGCAATTAAGCATTAAGATGTTTGAATTTGTAAGGGTATTAATTACGTAGATATTTATCTTGTATAATGGTTTCTGTATTTAAATTACGTTGCAACTAAGTAAAGAAAAAACTAAATAGATCAAGATGCCTCCAAAGTTTGACCCTACTGAAGTTAAGTACTTATATCTGAGAGCCGTCGGTGGTGAAGTTGGTGCTTCTGCTGCCCTTGCTCCAAAGATTGGTCCATTAGGTCTATCCCCAAAGAAGATTGGTGAAGATATTGCTAAGGCCACCAAGCAATTCAAAGGTATCAAGGTTACCGTTCAATTGAAGATCCAAAACAGACAAGCTACTGCTTCCGTCGTTCCATCTGCATCTTCTCTAGTCATCACTGCTCTAAAGGAACCACCAAGAGACAGAAAGAAGGACAAGAACATCAAGCACAGTGGTAACCTAGCTCTAGACGATGTTATCGAAATTGCCAAGCAAATGCAAGAAAAGTCCTTCGGTAAGAACCTAGCTTCTGTCACCAAGGAAATCTTGGGTACTGCTCAATCCATTGGTTGTCGTGTTGATTTCAAGAACCCTCACGATATCATTGAAGGTATCAATGCTGGTGAAATCGAAATTCCAGAAAACTAAAAGAAAAAATAACTAAATCAAGATTTTTATTTGTTAAATGTTTTTATTGTTAAAAGGGTGAAGATAAGGCAACATGAGAACTAGAAGGATACTAAATTATTAGTGTGTTTCTTGCCCAAAATATAGCATGTTCCAATTGTTTTAATTATCGAACCTTTTTTTCCCTCATTTTACCTATTTACATAATTTATTTAGTTCTGTATTTTAAAATTTTCAAGTCATCAACATAATTTTCAAGTTTTGTATAAATATATTCATTTATAATGAACTTTGAAAAGTAGATTTACTCAATATAACATAAATAAATTTAGTGTTATATTTGAGAGAACTTAATTCCAAATTAATTTTAAAGAATATATTTAAGAAAGTTTCATATTTAATACCCAAAGTGTTCAATTACTAGATGTATATCTAGTAATTGTATGTTTCCTGTTATTACTATTATTACCATTATTATTACTAAAAGAATCCTTTATAGATGTAGACTGTCGTTCACAGTGATCAAAATATAAATTTAAAATCAACTATTCTAGTATTGTGAACTCTAAACATTTATAGATATATCTTAACAATAGTTAGCAAGAAATCGTAGGACCTGGTCAACAGTTTTCACCCGCTGAAAACTGCCAAAACCTATGGCATTTCTCTATCTCTTTTTACCTCTGAGCCCGGAAACAACACAAATACATAATAGAAATATAAGGTTACATTATATTTTAAGTGCGGCTCACAGTAAACACCATATACATGAATATTTATTTTGCAGTAGAATTATTTTCACTTCTGTTTTTTCACTGAAAGCTGCAATATTGAGGGATTTTTGAACTTCAAAAATAACAACAATATACACCAATAATAATAGCCCTTTGTTGCTATTGCCAATTTCATAGCTTAAAAAGTACCGGCGCGTTCTTCATTTCGCCCTTCTGTACTGGGCGAAACAGATACTGCACAAATTTTGCTGGTAACCCAAACAAGAACAACTTTAACAGCAAATTCATAAGTCCTCTTTCTTATTTAAATTAGTATTATCTAATAGTAGCAATAGCAGCAATAGTCCTCTTTTTCTATCTCATTAGAAAGAAATGAATACTTTAGAACTTTCGATGCTCTGCGAACACAACAGAACAAAAAATATAACGCCATAGCATTAAGGGAAGAAACCGAGTATCATGTAAATTGTATTAATTAACCAATTAATAAATAAATAAATAAAAATATAAATAATGTGCGTCCTTTTTTGAGTACGTTTTATTTTGATGCCTAATCAAGTTACAGTATCTTTTTTACTAAGTTTTATTCTATTATTCCCCTTATATTTTAGTTTAATTTGGCTTTACATCCTTTAATAAAATAATAATAATTATAATTATTAGCTCAAATTTTGAAGAGACCTCTCTCCTTCTTCTACGATTTACAGAATTATCTTTACGCCTTCTATCCTCTTCGATTTGAGTTTCTTGTTATTGATTTTTTTGCTCTTCTGCATCTTCTCCTTCAGCGATGATTTATTAAAGAAGATGATTGATTAATTATTTAATATCTATCTATATATTTTATTCGATTGACATTGTAAGAAGAATACAAGCATACACCTTACATATTGTGCTCCATCGTAAAACTTTTTATACATGTAATTACTTATTTATAATTCATTTACCTTCCTTTGATTCAGTGGTTTGTATGAGGTACATTGAAAAGGAAAAGAATAATATAATTTAATTTAATTTACTTACGTATTTTTTTTTTTGATTATTATCTATTATAGTTTTCAAATATACGTATCTTTTTATTTATTAAACACATTTTATTTATTTACTCTTTTTTATTGTTTTTAAATATTTTTTGGTTCTTTGTTTGCTATTGTGTATCTATCTATCTTGAATTAACCTCAGCAACCTTAACTTGGGTTTTAAAGAGATAATACTTTGAACTCACCAGCCGTATTAGATAAATTTTATGAAAAGAGAGAATTTTATATATATCCATTGACTACAAAACATACGTTACAAAATTTCTACTTCGTTTCGTCAACTTTCAGTTATCCCATTTTTTTTTGCTCAGTTGAATATATTGCATCTACTTTCCCTCACTTGTACATATAGAAGAATATATATATATATTCCTCAGAAGTGAATAACTTTTATCGATTTATCTTTTTTTAATTACCTCCTTTCTATCGTTTCAAAAGAAACAAAATTTGCTTTTAATATCTCATCACAACACATAACTTTATTCTTCTGTTTTTTCCAACACATTAAGTTAATATGCCTAAGTCTGTCAGAGTAGGAGATTATTATGACAATGACGATAATGGGTTATGGTCGTGGTACCTTGAAAATATCAGATCAGGGGATTTTGAAGAATTAACTCAAAATGAATTAAAATTTACACTACTAAGAAGATTTCTATATAATAAATTCATCAAGGATCGTGAAGATGATACAGATAATTTCGCAGCATCTAAAAATTCAAAAATTCTATTTATTTCAATCCCAGATAATATTCATAGTGATATATCACTCCTAGAGACATTCTTAAAAGAATATTTCCATTTGGAAGATTTAACAAATATTAAAATTTTAAAATTGACTCATGATAAAACGTACCATCACGAAAACCATTACGTTTTGATCGATACTTTAAACAACTTTGATGATCCAACTTTTTTGGAGTATGTCAATCCAAAGGATTATAAATATAATGATAGCATATCTCCAAGTCAAAACAATAATAATAGCATAATAAATTTCCCAAATTCGAACATGAATATTCACGTTGATTCAAAACAAAATATGAATATTCACGTCGATTCAAAACAAAGCGATGGGCCTCACGAAAATAATATTAGTACGACGAAGACAATAACAAATGAGGGTGAACGACTCCTTGATACAGTAAGAACTGTCACAGGTGGAACAACCGATCATATTATGACATATACACATTCCGGCTCAGTCAGCTCGTCTCGTGAATCGTCATATTCATCATCGTCATATAATTCATCATCTGCATCCTCCTCCATATCATCCGCATTATATTCAAGTTCCTTTGTCGATTCCAATACTGTCTCTAGATCTGCGGAATCATCTAGTCGATCTATGGGATCCGTTCCACAACCCTTGCATACACCCTCAGGGAAGTCTCAAAATAATAATGATACCTCCAGAACCCAATCGCTGGGTGACAAAAAGGATATTACAAACGATGGTAACTCATCCTATAGTAGTAAAAGTCATAGTATAAATAATAGTGAGAATATTCGTTCAATTAATATGTTGGAAGACATGGAAGACGCAACGGGAAGTATAATTGAAATTAATTTCCCAAGAACTAAACTTCACACTAAACTTAGCGGGGAACAAAACGAACCTGTGAAACAACTGACTACAAGTCGTGTTTATAATCCTAGAGGTGATAACACTGGAATATATACTCCACCTCAATCTGAGATTATTTCCATAAATAGTTTTGCTGATACAAGGTCCAAAATTCTAGAGGTTGACACAGAACCATTACACCAAACTAGATCGAGATCTGAACTTTCTATATCTATTAAAGAGGATGAGGAGTCTAACGATTTTAATCCATACGATGAGGGTCTTGAATCCAATGATGCAGAGTCGAGACTCGACAGTTCCTCGTTTAGTTCATCTATCACAGTTTCTACCCAAACGACTTCCGCTGATTCTATATATTCTATTTTACCATCCATTTCAATCAGGTCTCCTCAAGGTCATTTCAGACTGGTACTTCAATCGATGTTGACATTAAATGAAGACCGTCAAATTTATACTGCAATCAGGCAATCCAACAACTTATTAGATGATGCAGATGTTAGTGATGATTGGATCCTTTATGACCAGAAATTCTCCATGAATAATTTAATAATGTTGACTTTGAAGGATTTATTCGAATGGGGCCAAAACTTAAAAAAAATATTATTCTACAGTATGGTCTTCATTGATAATGCAGGTGTAGCAGATGATAATAATCTAGAGTCTCATACCAAGGATCTAGCGGTCAATAATAGTGTATTGAAAGAACCGGAGAATAGTGATATGGAGATCCCACAATTATTATTTTCGGATGATGCCGAAAGAGACCCTACAATGCATATACCAGAGCGTGTCCAAACAAATAACACTATAGCACATAGATCTATTAGAACAATCAATAGTATTGGTGAATGGGCTTTCAAAAAGAAAAGTAATGCTACGGATAGATATAGTGGGTCGTATGATTCAAGTGATTCTGAAAATGGTCCACAAACATTCTATGGAGACGGCGATGTTCTTACGAGTACTAATACCAGGCAGAATACCAAGGATAATATTATGATAGATCAAAAAAAATCCAAGAAGAAAAATACTAAGAATTTGAAGGATCTTGAACATGTTGCGAGATGGAAGAGTGTGCCAAATAAGAGTGATCCATTACGTAGTAATGAAGGCAGTAATTGGAAGAAAAATATGAAGAGATTTAGTAAAGGGAAGCCTCATAATCAAAAGGAAACCTTTTGTACTATTATGTGATCTGTATGTATGAATTTATGTTTAATGACTTTTTGTTAAAAAATAAAATAAAATAAAGGGAAGAACAGTTGGACAATATATCTATATATCTATATATAAATATATAAAATATATTCTTACCGAAATAATTTTGCATCTATCAATATTGGCTGAAGACTTTTCATATTTCACCTCAAGACTCAATTTAAAAATATAATTTATTAAAAGTTTTTTGTTTTATAGAGAATAAATAAATAAAATTTTAAAAAAAGGAGGATATATAGAAAAAGAAAACCTTAACAATGTTGAAAAAAAAAAAAGAATGTACCAGAAGAATGTTCATCTTTTATAAATATATTTATATATGTGTGTGTGTTAGATGATCCATTGACATAAAAAACAACAACTGAAAATGAAATATTATCATTAAGCCATGTGTTTACTCAAAGCTAATTGAACGTCACTTGCATTAACGACAACACCTCTTTCAGAACATTTAGCCTTTGACATCAATTCACCACATAGACCGTCAATATCTATATCTGAATATTTTGGATGAGATGTTATTCTATCCCAAATTTCTGAACACTTCAATAAATCGCCATCCTTAGAAGGAACCACAGCGTTAGTATCATCATCATCCTCATCAATTACATTGCTTGGATTAGGTTTTAAAGATAATTTATCAGTAGATTTTGGAGCTACGCTTGGTTCTTCATTAATTAAATCATCCAATGGATTTCTTTCATTATCGGAATTATTTTCGTCATCATCATCTTGTAAGAATTGATTAAAAATATCATTGTTCATACCAGTAGATCCTGGTGTTCTAAAGAATTGAGAAGTATCAAAATTACTGTTGGTATTCGATGATGGTTTAAAGTTATCAAGAGATTCTGGTGTATCGTTATTCAATCTTGGTTGATTCATTAAATCATTAGCTTCTGTTGGGAACGCCAATGCATCATTTATGAATGGAATGTTTGCCACAGTATTTGAACCTGAAGTAATATTACTTGTAGTAGTAGCACCTTGAACGGCAGGACTACTATTGTTATTACTGGAGCCATTATTATAGCCAATTTCACCAAAACTTAACTTCTTAGACATCGAACCTACTGAGGATGGAATTGTAATATTTGTATTTGTCATAGAATCTGAAGTTAATATATTTTGAGGAGTATTAGTCGACGATAAATCAGATGGAGATGTAGTCTTTGGAACAGGGTTTTCTCTTGTCCCACAAACTTGATTCATCTTTACACAGAAATCTGTTACTTGTTCATCGAATTGTTCATCAAAATTAAATTCATTTGATAACATATTGCTATCATAATTAGCAGGGTTTCCTAAACTTGCCACAGAAGAAGGTTTCCTATTTGAATTATTATTGTTACTCATTCCATTAACTTGTTGATTAAACATATTATCATTGTAAAAAATATTATCCAACCAATTCATCGAGGGAGTAGAAGCCTCAGTGGTACTAGTATTATTGTTATTTTTAGCTATACTATTTTGAGGCGAATTTATTGAACCAAAATCGTTACTAAAGAAATTATTATTATTAGTCAAAAATTTGCTTTCATCATTACTTTTTGATATAGTTGAATTTTGATTTGGTGATGAATATGTAGATGAACCATCTGGTGAAGGTATGTTATTTGAATTTGAATTTTTTGAATTGAATGGATAAGAAAATGAGAAATTTTTCTTTTGTTCAATGTTATTTTTTAATTGAACTTCTTTTGATGAATCTGAATTATAATTTTCAGTTGGAGTTAAAGAACTGGTTAAATTTTTATCATTGACTTCATGTTGAGCTAAATAATTTAAAACTTCTGAATCATTTGAAGTTTCAGGTCTAAATTTTTTCAATTCTTTTACAAGTGTAAATAATTGACCTCTCAGAAATTCCGATTCAATTTCACTTTGCTTATGAATATCTTGCAAATGATTAACTTTTTCTTCCAATTCTTTCATTTTTTTTTCTTTACGTTCTCTAAAGGCTCTTTGAGCTGCTCTATTTTGAGCTGTTCTTTTATTCTTGGTGTCTTCATCCAGCGGAGTCTTTGAATTTTTGGAATTCTTCTCACTGTGATGTGATTTCTTGGCAGAAGATGTCGTGTTACCTTCATCCTGTTCGTCATGGTCTATAATTCGATCGCCTGTTTCCACTGAGACATTATCTCCAGCAATAACCAGAGGTCTCTTTGCAGCAGTAGTACTCATCTTTATCCCGTGGTGTGTGTATATGTATATATATATTAATAGTTTCAACTAGTAACTGCACGCGAGTATATTAACAATATATGTATGTATAACAAATAAACGGTTTAAAATCTTTATATCGCACTAGAAAATATAGATATATATCTGTATATAGCACTATATGTTTAGTTGTAGTTGTTGTCTTTAGCTGTGGTAATCCAGGGTGGCAAATTATATTTATATTCATATATATATATATATATATGCTATTAGCAGTTGTGGATGTGCAATATGAATTCATTATGGGCGGAGGGGTGCACAAATGAGCCCATGCCCTCCGTGTCTTTTCGGCTACAAAATTCAGTTTTTTGAGCGAAATTTTTTGTGATTTGTCAGGATTGGCGGTGTGTGTGGTGTGTGGGTGGGGGCATACAGAATTTGGAATTGATGACTAAGGAAAGGATGGGTGTCGGTGGGTGGGTGGCCCAGCGTGTTGCGGTTTAGCAGCCTGAATGTGTGTGGTGGCGGGAGTAGTATACATCCTGGGTGGTGGGAGAGTGGGTGTGTTTGCATGGTTCCACGAGTGGGTGGACGCTCGCGTGTGCCCCGCAGTATGCATCGTGAGAGTAGTAGGGTGCGGTGTCACGTGGGTGTCACGTGTGAGTGCTTCCGTGTGTGTCACGTGCGCATCACGTGCATTGTCCGTGCACAGTGACCTGTCGTTCGTGTCGGATTTAAAGAAATTTCGGAATTATGCTGGTAGTTGTGGTTCGTATAAGCGAACTGTTCCTAAACGAAAGTAGTGAAGGCAAACCGAGTGAGCGAGCGAGAAGCGACAGCGATAGGGAGGGTGGGAGACCGTTTGGTGGTCGTTTAGCGACTCGCATGGACTGCGTTAACTGAACAAAAATTTTCACTGCTTCTTCGATGGTGAGTAAGTAAGTAAGCAATACGCAATACGATCATTAGCTGCTGGAACCGTGCAATTTTTATCGCTTGGGATGGGTTGATCGGTTCAATGATTAAACAGATATATATAAAAAGGGACATTTGCATTGTTATACATATTATTCTTGTTGTTCTTGTTATTCCTGGGATTTCTAGTTTACTACTTTTTTCAATCGTATTCAATTATATATCTTGTAAGATACGAACGAACAAACAAACGAACAAGATGGACTCCGAATCTAATGAATTGAGACAAAGACAAGCTACTTTCTCGAAGGAACTGCACGGTCAACATGCCGGTGAAAAGACAGGGATGAGTGCTCTATTATCAAAGAATAACAACGCTCAACAAGAAGCTGTTAACAAATACCTAAGACTATGGGACGGGAAGACCGATAAAGACGCAGAAGAACGTCGTCTAGAAGACTACAACGAGTCTACTCATTCGTATTACAACGTCGTCACCGACTTCTACGAGTATGGCTGGGGTTCCTCTTTCCATTTCTGCAGATTTTACAAAGGTGAAAACTTCCAAGCTGCTGTTGCGAGACATGAACATTATTTGGCTCACATGGCCGAGATTAAACAAGGTGACCTTGTGTTGGATGTCGGGTGTGGTGTCGGTGGTCCAGCTCGTGAAATCGCTAGATTCACTAACTGTAATATTATAGGTTTAAATAATAACGATTATCAAATCGAAAAAGCTAAATGGTACGCTAAGGAATCTGGTCTACAAGATCATTTGCAATTCGTTAAAGGGGATTTCATGAATTTGGAATTCGAACCAAATACTTTCGACAAAGTTTATGCTATCGAGGCAACCTGTCACGCTCCTAATTTAGAAAAATGTTATAACGAAATTTATAAAGTATTGAAACCAGGTGGTATCTTCGCTGTGTATGAATGGGTAATGACCGATAAATATGATGAAACTAATGAAGAACATAGAAAGATTTGTTACGAAATCGAATTAGGTGATGGGATTCCAAAAATGTTTTCTGTCGATGTCGCTAGAAAGGCTTTGAAGGATTGTGGTTTCGAAGTTCTAGTTGATGATGATTTGGCTGATAACACCGACCCTGTCCCATGGTACTACCCATTGACTGGTGAATGGAAATACGTACAAACTTTAAGTGATATCGGTACTTTCTTTAGAACTTCCTATTTCGGTAGAAAATTCACTAATTTAATGGTCTCTACTATGGAAAAAGTCGGCTTGGCTCCAGAAGGTTCCGTTAAAGTCACCGGTGCTTTAGAAGAAGCCGCCGTCGGTCTTGTCGCTGGTGGTAGATCTAAACTATTCACTCCAATGATGTTGTTTGTCGCAAAGAAACCTTTAGATGCTGACTCTACTACTGCTACTGCTTAATCTGTAGTCTAATTCCTATAGCTAATATTTTTCCCCCGCTCTGTAAGAAATGATTATATACACATATCTATGACCTAGTAAATACGCAATTCAATTCATATTTTATTCTCCAACCTTTTATCCTAACTTCTTCGCAATCTTATCAGTTATTGCTACCTATTTGTCTTGGTGATATATATGTGTCATGGCTCTATGTGCTTTCGGCTTTCACTTTTTTTAGGGTGGTTCGCTCGGCGTACAATTATTATTTTATTTAAGGGCTAATAATATCCAACTTATAGGAAAAGTTATATAGCACCGCCATTATCTTAGATTCTTAACATTCTGATAAATACATAAACATACTTATATATATCCCGTTTTCACTGACACCTTTACATGTTTAGTCGAAGCGGAAGATAGAACCCATTTTATAACACACACATTCACACACACATTATGAATAACATAAATATATTTGACAATTTGAATAATAACAATATTGACGAGGAAGAGGAAGAAGAAGAAGAAGAAGAAGAAGATAACAACCCGTTTTCAGGAACTAACCACATGTTTGCCTCAGGGATGGCTGGTGTGCCGGATCCAGATACATTATCTAAGACTCCGGATTTGAAACTGGGTTATGAATACCCACAACAACAATCTAATGGAAACAAGAGCGCTACCACTAAAAACACAGCTATCGAATCACAAGGAGAGGATTCACCATATAATGATGGTGATTTATCCACAGTTTCATCTCGAACACACTCATCGTCAAATGGGTCTGACACAGATTCTCAGGGGTCGCATACCAACTCAAATAGTAATTCTCAATATGAACCGTATGAAAATTTATCCTTATCAGTGGCTTTAGCTCAACAACAGAACCAAGAAAACATTATTCAGGATCAGAAAGATTGGAAGATTATGATCACTGAGTCTGGAAATTTCAACGATCAATGGGGGAAACATGCCATTGGTTATGTGATACAATACAATGATAAAGAAGTCATTAGAAGATATTCTGAATTTAGTTCATTACATGATTTATTAATTAAATTTTTCCCAACAATAGTGATTCCTCCAATCCCATCAAAACATTCTTTGATGAAATATTTTTTAAATCCAATCAATGCTCAATATGATACAAAAGTTATAGAAAAGAGGAAAAGAAAATTTGCTTCATTTCTAAATAATTGCAATAATATCCCCGAAATTAAGTCTCATATCATATTCCAAAACTTTTTAGATCCTGAATTTGCTTGGAAGGATGTCATTCATTCTCCGCCTGTCACTATCTTACCACAAAATAACCTCTTGGCACCACCATTGAATCAAGTGAAACCAAGCCCATTACATCCGTTATTACCATCTCCAAGTACTTCAAATAGTCCTACACATTTACAAATTATGGATTCCTTAAAGGATAATAACGAATTAATGAATGTAGCCAAAGAATTTATTAAAATCGAAAGTTTATTATCTCATTATCTAGGAACACTACAACCAATATACAACGAAGTTAAACATAACAAATTTCATTTAAGTTCACTGTCAGGTCAGTTTGCAGAACTAGGTGCATTCTATAATGCCTTAAGTATTGAAAATCTTCCATTTGGAAAATTGAGTTCATGCATAGAAAAGATTGGTAGATCATACGATATCAAATATGTATCGATGGAAGTATTAACAGAAGGAATTCAAAATTTATTAGAAGAAAATATCGAAGAAATTGTGAAATTATTAATAGATTCAAGAAGAGTAATTGTTTTCAAAAATATGAAACTTTGTCAATATCAAATTGTGAAAATTACCCTTCAAAAGAGACAAAATAGATTAAAAGAATTAAATGAATTCGAGGATAAATTGAATAGATTAGACCTGGCATTAAGTAGGGATGCCTCTAGTTCTCGAACAGTTGCAACAGTGGTAGATAATTTGAAAAAGAAGGATAATGACACCAAAAGTAACAACAACAATCCTCCTCAAAATCCTAACAAAACTGTTGAGAACAATGACGATTCTAATGGTCCCGATATGGATCAAATAAAGTTGGAACAAAAGCATATACAACTACAATTTCAGCTACAAAAGAAAAGAAAAAAAATTAACAAATATACTTCAAAATTGGATTCCTTAGGACCAGAATTCTTAACTAAAACAGAAAGAGATTTAGAAAGTAAAAAAATTGCTAAAGAAATTGAAAAATTGAACGAATGTTTTAAGGTCATCCAACGTGACATTAAAGAAGTAAACCTTTCTAGTATGACTAGTTTAGCCAATTTATTGCAATACGTTCAAAAGAAGCTTGATTTTATGTTACATGGGATTGTAAAGCTGATATTAAACTATAATTTAGAGTGTTTAAAAGCTTGGAAAGAAGCCAAGACATTAATTAATGAAATGTGAACGTTATTTATTACCTATAAGAGGTCTGCATTATAAGAATTAAAAAAATCGATATTTCTTATTTCTCATGGATACATTTAAATCACAATAAATAAATAAATAAAAATATATAACTATATCTATATATGAAATAAATTACAGCATTCTAAAAGAATTATATAAAAGTAGATTATTTTTCTCATTTTTTTATTATTGTTGAAAATCTTATTTAATGAGGCTAATTACGAATTATGTACATATACATGATGATGATGACAGATAGAAGAACCCCGCCAGATGAAAATATAATAACTTTACATCATAGTGAATATCAGAACCTCATTCAGAGAATTCTTCTTAGAAACAATAGTGATCGATATACATTAACCGAGTGAAGTTGCTTCTGTACTATTTTTTTTTGTAGTTTTTTTTTGTTTTCTATCGATAATACCTAAATTTCAATGTTTGATTGTTTAATGTGAATTTATAAAAAGGTACAATATTTTATATTAACCGATTTATGGTTTTGGCTTTGGCTTAGACCATTCAACATGTAGAATCAAGTTCATGTAACCTCTACCATGCAAGAAATGTAGTGCTTTTTCAGCCATTTGTTCACTAATGAAGGTGACAAAAGCCAGACCTCTAGATCTACCAGTTTCTCTATTTCTAACAACAACACACTTTTGAATAGGGCCGAATGGGAACAATAATTCTTCCTTTATAGACATTTCATCAGCATCTTCATTCAATTGCATAATCTTCAAAGTACACATATCATCACGCTCTCTGGAATCTCTGTAAGCATCAGAAGATGGATCCTTTGCACCAGCACGACGAGATGGTGGAACGTAACTACCATTACCGGCACCAGCACCAGCACCTTCTTCCTTACCTCTGTTAATTTCTTCTGCAACTTCAGCACTGTCTCCAGCAGCAGGATCTTCCAAGGAAGAAATTTCATTTAGAATAGATTTGAATGGACAGTTCATAGTGTAATGCTCGTTACCACACAGTCTACATGTTAGACCCTTACTTGTGGATTCCTTAGCCTTACGTGCCTTTTCTTCTTCAGCATGTTTCCAATCTCTGTTCAAGTGTAATTCAACTTCTTCACCCAAGGCGGTGGAATCACTTGGACCTGTACTGGAGCTCTTCTCAGAACCGTACTTGGCCCATTTCCTTCTTTCAGCAACTGCCTTATGAACCTTCTCCACAATCTTTACTTCTTTTATCTTTTGAGTAACTTTGTACTTATCACCATTTTCAATCTTGTAAGTGATGACAGATTTGGTACCATCACCGTTATCAATAATTTCTGGAGCTACTTCGGCCATTTTTGCTTAATTGATACGATTGTATTTCTTATATCTTAACACCAAAATACTTTAAAAAATATATAAGTTCAGCAATGCTATTTGATATAGCTGTTATTGTGCTTCCCTTCTAAATGATTTCACACTTTCGTGAATTTAGATGAACCTCCCACTAACAAAGCGTAATATTTCAGAAACTTTCATCATGAAAAATTTTTGCGATTCGTCGTGCGCGACGGTTTGCTGGCAAGGGAAAGTTCGCTTTAAGGTGTCGTGTGAAGTGACAGATTTGGCCTGGTTGAACTTCCGAATTATAAAGAAACAAAGAGAGGGAAGAAGCTCATAAGGAATATATTGAAACAGAAGGGACAAAGTGATACCAAGCTACACACGATCACATAATTGAGCATATCTGAACGTATATCGCAACTGGTTGTTACTATTAGGATTATCCAGACTGAAAATTTGTTTCCTGCTGCATTCCTGAATTTGAAATAAGAATAATATATTGTTGTCATGGCTAAGGCTAAATTGAAAGTTTCCGTGATAAAGTTGATATCGACTGCTTCCACTGGATTTTCCAGACATATTACAGTTAAAAGAGGTGCACCACTTGTGCATCAAGTGAGATATGATCCGGTCGTTAAACGTCACGTCTTATTCAAAGAGGCTAAGAAGAGAAAGATCCCTGAAATAAAACCGATTACCTTTTCAAGGGTTACCAAGTAATGCTGATAAGGAGTTGAGATCTTCGAATCTATTTTAACTAATTCAAAAATAAAGTTTCAACATTGTATGCATTCCAAAAACTTCAACGACATATATTCTTAAAACGACTGACCACAGTTAGAACAGTTGAACTTAACGAAACTAACAACGGCATTATCGTAGAACAAAAAACCACACACACACACACACATATATATATATATACTGATATATACTTACAAAGTACTCGTACGACATGTAAATAAAATTCACTTACACTTACTCTGAATTGTCTTTCTTTGATGCTGTCTTCTAATTTCTAATTTTTTTTTAATTTATTTTATTTACTATAACTTACATATAGATATTGTCGTGATGAATAACTAAACACTCATACCCAAAAAAAAATATAACTTTCGACATCAACTCTTGCAGTTGATAGTAAACGTTGAGGAATATAAAATCATGTTACCTCATTTTATATACTTTTCTTGTAACAGGATTGTTAAAAACACTGAAAACTTTGAAAACATCAGAGAAAACAATATCAATAAAACTTGGAAATCTTAAAGTACTAAGTAGAACCCCATGAACTGTTTCCCCCATTATTTTGGTTACCCCACGCAGATCTATTACCTTGTTGCTGGTTGTTGTTGTTGTTACCCCATGCAGAAGCATTACCTTCATGGTTATTATTATTATTATTATTATTATTGTCGTTGGAATTATTATTTCTGTTACCACCCCATGCAGAGCCAGCACCTTCTTTGTTACCCCAAGTAGAAGCACCACCATATGTGGAGGCAGCACCACCACCCCAGGCAGAGGTAGCACCATTGTTCTCACCACCAGCAGCCCATGAAGATGCACCACCGTAACTTGATTTGTTGCCCCAAGCAGAAGCACCACCCCAAGTAGAGGTTGCACCAGTCCCTTGACCACCCCATGCTGAGGAACCACCAGTAGATCCCCAAACAGAGGTACCACCAGTTTGGCCACCCCATGAAGAAGCACCACCCCATGCAGATGTGCCACCGGAACCGGCACCATGTGAATTGACTGCAGGTGTTTTACCACCATCGAAGGCATTGTTCCAACCTGGTGTCATACCACCTGGTAATGTACTACCCATTTCGCCTGGCTGTCTACCAGTGTTCATTGGGTTACCTGCACTAACGTAACTTGGACCCATTCTACCTTGTGGAACTCTACCACGTCTATTAACAAGCTCATCATAGGAAATACCTTCACCACCTTCACGATTATAATAAGTCAATTTCCTCTTATCCACTGTAATGTGCTTGTTCTTTGAATGTAGTTCAATTGTAGCTTTGTCACCGTTGACATCCTTCACTATACCCAATTGACCCTTGTAACCTGCAGAACGAATTCTCACAGTCTTACCAACAGCAACTTCACGCGCTGGACCAGCTTGAGGACGTGGAGTCATTGCCGATGGAGGACCCATCTTTGATATTATATCTGGGTTCATCCTACTCAAATCCATTTTATTACCTATCATGTTATCCTTTGATGCAACAGCCTCGATATTACTTGTATTCAAGACAAAGACACCAGCATTTTCGATAATCTTCTTAGACATAACAAAAACTTGTTGGTTTTGAATAAATAAAATTTCACCCTCTCTACGAGCACCTAATTTTTCTATGACACTATCACCAATGTTAATTTCTCTACCTTTACTATCAATAGTAGCTAATTGTAAACGGTTTGTATTGATCTTGCTCAATATAGAACCTTTGTTGATTGTAAATACTTTCCCACCTTCATCAAGCACTTTAAATATATCATGTCCAGCTTGGATAATACATGCCACATTTTTGGCACTTAGTTCAACAATATCATGCAAAGCGTATTCACTGGAAGTTGGTGTGGAATCAATAGATTTCGATAGATTATTAGCAGTAATAGTGACTTCTTGTCTTGTTTGATTTGACATGAAGGTAACTTGACCTTGTTTTACAATCAAAACCAGACCAGCATCACCTTGATGGTCACCGTTAATGACGGTAACATGATCACCAGGTTCGAAGATCTTTCTTAAAGATGAGATAGGGAACTCCAATGGTTTCAGTGGGAATTGAGGTAATTTCACTGTGGCAATATCTGTGGTCGTCTTTGTAACTATACCCTTTGAACTACGTTGTTCACCTACTAAAATTTCAACACGATCACCAGATTGGAAAGTTACCTTTGATGCTTGGGATTTCTTCAATGCTTGGGATATATTAGACAGATCCACAGAGCCATCCTTTGAACTGAATCTAGCAAGTTCTTCAACAGATGGTTGAATATTCTTAGTTTCAATATATTGGATTCTGAATGATTTAAACAAATAACCATCGATGTAATCTTCATTCTTGTAAGTAAAATGATGATCATCTCTCTTATATAAGTTTGCTTGATCAAGTCTTAATGCCATAGTTGGGTTAAACAATTGTGGAGAAGCTCTATTAGCGAATGTCGCTCTTCGTGGTTTTCTTTGTCCTGTTGTAGGATCAATTTCATCGAATTTACCGTAGTCTAAACGAGGAACCACTTTAAGCATGACTTCCAAATTGTTTTCACTAATCTGGTCAATCATAGCCAAATCACCCTTATAGATACCTCTCTTAATACGAACATAATTACCTTCTTCTAATGTGACATCATCTGATTTGTTAGGTTTCAAAAGTAGGGGTAATTCTTGTACAGGAATCAACAGTTTTTGGTTAATATATATATCTGGAACACCATTGCAGAATTTCTCAATAACAGATTGTTTTGGAGCTTCAATATAAATTCTACCATGATAGTTGTCTCTCTGGAAAATGGAAAGAATTTTTAATTTCTTTTTACCCATTGCTCTATCTAAGTTTAGCTTCTTTTTGAATAATTTTTTTACCAATTCTTTTTCTTTACCAGGTCTACAACGAACACCCCAAACAGTAGCAGTATCAACACTAGGCAACAAGAATCTTTGTGGAACATAACCATCTTGTGCAGCTGCACGATACTGTTTTGAACTTGTTCTACCATACCTTTCCCTTAATTCCTTTGCCAGTCTTTGAGCATCTTCCTCAGATGTTTTGTTCATATTTTGATCTAGTTCACGGTGTAAACGGTCTCTACCTTGTCCTTCTTCTTCATGTTCATCGTCACGAGTGATGAACCCTTCTTTCACTAATTCCGATTCTTCTTCATCCTCATCCTCATCCTCGTCATCACTGACTTCGGCTTCAATATCTAAGAATCTGTTTCTTTCTTGACGTTGTCTTTTACTTGGCGCAGCATCTTCATCCTCGTCCTCCTCTTCATCATCATCATCATTGTCGTCGTCGTCATTGTTGTTATTCTCTTCATCATCATTGCCTTCAGATCTTGGTCTCTTAGCTGTGGACGATGCGCTTTCTTCGCCATCATTTTCTGTATTAGATAAACTGTCTATATAGTCAGTTTTTACAGTATGAGCTTCACTAGGACTATCGTTTTCTTGATTCACCTCAGGTTGAGCAGAAACTTCGCTAGAAGTTATATTGTCCTCTGTCCTTTCATTATCTTCTTCAGAAGGAGCATCATGTGTATGATTCAATTCAGCAGCAGGATCTGATTCAGTCTTTGGAACGTCTACCGTTGAGGATACTGTATGTATGTTTTCCGTACCAGTACTGGATCCTGACTCCACTGTAGGATTTGGAGTAGTATCAGTATTTTCACTCATGGTTTAGGTAAAACGATAACTCTATACCTTGCTAATGAGTTAATAACGTTGTGTTTTCCTTAAGAACAGATTGTGAAAGATGTAAAACAAGTCTCACTCTTAAATCATGAAATTAGAGACTTTAACTTCTCTTGTCTGTTTACGGTCTGCTTCAATGCAATCTGTTGTTGTGGTTGTTATTCATGGTTCAGGTAGCAATTTTTCTTCCTTCTTTCATTTTTGCTTTGCTTTGCTAAATGGAAAATACCCATAATTCGCACAGTTGAAAAATTCAGAAATATTTTTCAGGAAAAGAGGGTAACCATTACTAGTCAAAATGGAACCATTTATAAGAAAGAAAGAGTACTATCACTCCTTTAATCATTGCATCCAGTCAGTGTATTCAACCAGTTTTACGTTTTACGATTATTGAAATAACGGAGGATTTTACTTTATTGGTTCTATTTAATGCTTAACTATCATTATTAGACGAGCAACCTTTAAAAGTTATGAGTGATAAATTAACTTATGAAAGGGTATCCCGATTTGCCAACGTGAAAGTTCCCCAAGACATAGAGGATGAAATGCTAAATGTGTATGCTACATACAGCATTGAACATGATATGAACATAGACGATTTAGAACCATATTTCAAAGATTTAGAGCTCCCGAAGGATCTATACAAACTAATAAGAAAAGAAGACCTGGTTATTGAAGGTACCAATATTATTGATTTCCAATTATTGATAAGAAGCACATACCATATACTAATATACATAGATAATGAAGATGTTATTAAAAACTTATGGACTACAATGGTGAAAAATTGTGGTAGAGATGTTCAATTTCCAAATATTAAGTTAACGGATCATGTTCTTAGTGTGAAGGATCTTCAGAAGATATCCAATGTTATAGGTATAACAGACCAATCTGGTTTGATACAAATGATGAGTTGTGCTACAGAGGGAAATAGGTTATTTATTACATATTTAGATTTTGCCTCTGTATTAGGGAGATTAGGTCTATTAAGGTATAGGAAAGCATAGATATATGGATATATAGACAAGTTTACATATCTATAATTTTTAAAACTTGAAATATGAAAAGTGGAATGCATTATTTAAAAGGTTATGCAACATTTTTAGGGGAACAAAATATGATAAACATCTAATAAACTCATCACTCGTCCTCATCTTCATCTTCATCAGTTTCTGATTCGATAATGTCTTCGACTAATAAACTCCCATTTGGCCATAGTTGTGACACCTCTCTTATCTTAGTATGTTCATTATGAGGAATTTCATATCTTGGAAATGGAGAAACTAACTCGAAATCAAATGATAATGGAGAGTCCTTATCACCTAATTCCATCCATTTTGTTAATTCAGTAGAAATCAATTCTTTCAGATGCATTTCATCTAATTCATCCTCTATAGTTAATTTATCTTTAAAACATAATACTGAGGAATCATTAACCAACTCTTTAATTTTGTCCATTACACTCTGACTCCACTCAACAGAGTCGGAAGAATTTTGATTCAAATACAAGTAACACCCAATGTTACAGTATACAGAATGTAATGTAGCATCACTTTTAAATTTTTTAACGATTCTGGCACCGTTTGAGGTTCTGATCTGTAAAGTAGCGCATTCATTCAATTTATCTATAGAAGTATCCTGACCTAAGGAATCAACACAAAGTTTTAACCATCTTAGGTTGCTTATCGTTTCGGCTAGTTTTATCTGTTGTTCTTTTTCCAATTTTATTTCATCTTGTAAGGCCTTCTCTTCAGCATCTATCCTACGATTCTCCTCTTTAATACGATCCTTCCGTAGAGAATCTTCATATGCTTGTTCTTGCAATTGTTTAATTTCTCTTGCTACTCTAAGTTCTTCTTTTTCAGTTCTACTCACAACCAATTCGCTTTCAAATTTATCTAATGTCACTTTTAAAGAATTTTGGAATTTTCTTGTGGAATTGATTCGTAACCTAGATAATACAGATAGTCTTGTAGTACCATTTAGGGATCCATTGCCATTTAATACATTACCAACCAATAAACATTCGGGAGTATATTTAATATTTAAGTTTCTTGCAACAAGCCACGGTTCTAATTCAGTGACAGATCCAAAATACACAATCAGCTCGTCTTTATGTTTATCAAGTGTATCTAATACTTTCTCATGTGTAAAAAATTTGTTAATAATCTTCAAAGAATTAGTATCTATATTTCCGTTATTGGCTGTGTGTGTATCCGTTGAGTCTTTCACGTCATCATTTGTATCCTCAAATGATGATTTCGAAATTGGCATTGCGCCTACAAGGACCACCAATAAGAATTTAAACTCTTCTTCGCATAATTTAAGAGCATCATTGAATGGGATGTGAGGACCCCTCAACCATTTGGTGGCTCTTTCTATATTTTCACAATCTTTCTCAGTTGTAGCGTCATTCCACACGTCGGATAAAACAATTTTGTCAAATTCCTGAGTAGGTAGCTTTGGAACATGTACCATCACGCTATTTTTTTGGCCATTACTGTTATCATTATCGTCTAACAGACCAAACGTAATCAATGACCACAATACAGTGACTAATTTCCACAAGAATCTTGGTATAACCATTAATAGCAATACTACGGGACTCCAATCATTATTTCCCGGTATCGAAACACCTGGAGCATAATTCAACCCAACTACTTTAAATTTATCTCTATAATCAATTGGCAATCGTTTCACCAACGGTAATATTGGAACAAGGCTTCTGCTTGCTTGCCATTGATCTATCAACGTATGTCTGGCTCTTACCCCATCATTTCTATCAAAGCGAGGACCTGGTGTAGGAATTCTTGTTAGTGGTGGAGATGGAGACGTTCCAGTAGGTAATTCCATTTCATCTGAATTGCCTCTTGTTCCAGTAGTAGCAGATGATAATTGAGACAATGAATCTTTCCAATTATCGTCGAAAAAACGGCTGATGGCAGGTTCTAAATGCCAACTATGATTCTGCAATAGTTTTATCACCTGTGCAAGATCATCCTCTGGGAAATCTGTGATACCTTTAAACTGGTTCAATTTATCTTCTTCTTCATGAGATAAATGAAATTCCTTGTCTCCAGCATTAATGATCGGCATCCTTATTTGATTATTCTTCTCCTTTATATGATGTCACGAATAAAATAAAATAAAATAAACTACTCGTTAAAATCTATTTTCGCTCCTGTATAGCTCTTCAGTGGGTATCAGTGCCATGAAGTGTAGTCATATATCTCCCCTTTTTATTTTATACCATTTATATCAAAATGTATATTTAATGAGTCGATCTTGCAAATTTAAAGGCTTTGATGGATTTTCTCTCTAAGGTGGCGCGGATGGCTCCATCTCTCTCAGCAATACGCAGATGAGTAAATGACTGATAAATATAATAGTAAAATAATAACCAAGTCGAGATCTATCTGATGCAGAGTAACCTCATTAGACATTTATGTATATATATATAAATATATATGTTGAATGAGCAAATGCCCGGTGATGCAATGCTAAGCTCTCGTTATTCCAAGGCTTACTGTTTCTCCGCGACAACGTACCAATTGTCCCTTTCGTAACCATTACTGACAACAGTAGCGCCAGCTTGTATGCAATCTTCCTCAAGTTCACCTTCTTTATACAAGTGGTAGAACCTATACTTCGTAACCTGTTCTGCTGATGCGGCAGAATCCTTCTCCTGCTGTTGCTTCTGTTGCTCGACCAAAGCTTGAGCCGCTTCAGCAGCTCTTTGATCTGCTCTCTCTTTCCTCCATTTAGCAACGAAAGCAGCCCTGTCCTTAGGTTCCACTCCTGTCAAGTCCGGTTTCTCATGATCCCCACCTGATTTCTTGTTCTTCTTTTTCTGTTCAGTCTGTGTCTTTGTATCATGCAAAACCCATGGCACCATCACATCTTGTTTCATCCCCTCATGATAACCTCTCCTGGACTCACCTTGTTCCAAAGCCCAGCAATATATCAACACCTGTCCACCAGACTTAACTTTACTCAAGATATGGCGAATGGCCTGCACTCTTCTCTCCCTTGTGGTCCAATGGTGCACTACGGCAATCGAGATGGCAAAGTCAAACGTATTATCTCTATGTGGCAAGTTCATCCCATCCGCCACGAGGACATTATAACCGGAGTCTATCTCGTGAGCACACCCGATGAGCCCATCGGATCGATCAGAACCCAGGATATAGATATCCTTGTTGATCCCGAGATACTTCCCGTTCCCACACCCGACATCAATGCCAATACTACCAGCAGTTCGTCCTTGCAAGAACGTCGTCACTATCGGCCATGGTTTGTATCTTGTCTCTGAGAAATGTGCTGCAATTTCATTGTACACGTCGTGCACATACTCCTGTTCTTTCGCCTGAGCGTCTCTGCTACCCTCCATTTCCAAGTTGTACTAAAGCAAGCCAACAAGCACAGACAACTTATAACCAACCTTGAGCAACAAACTGCAATCGACCAGCTGCCATCAGCGTCAGCATCATCAGCATCGTTTGCTTCTCTTTAAACCAAAAACTCGCAAGAAAAATTTCAGCCTGGAAGAATTTCGGAGTGCGGTGCTCCCGCCTCGTTAACAGTGATGCGCCGCTGATATCGATAACGATCCAGCGACTAGCCTTTGTAGCTGCAACTGCATCTCCATAGCCCAGATCAATGAACTAAATCGAACTGTTTTTCGTCAAAGGTACACCAACCACCGACACATTAAGAACCGTGGGTTCATTTCAACCCCCCAAACGGCAGTTAAAATACTCAATCGTTGGTGCTTTCTGCTACTAAAGTGATAAAACTGGCAGTTAAATTTCGTTAAAGCGGAGCCGTTCTTTGAAATTTAAAAATAAAGCGAGAAAGAGAAGAAAGAGGAAAGGATTGCCAACTTTTGACGATTCAGTGGGAACTTTTTTTGCTGGGTTGGGTTTTTGGTTTTGAACAGGTTAGGGTGGATTTATCTGTAAGCAACCGTTGTTTTTACGTATTCATTTGCTGTTAGAAGCTTGTATTGTCTGTCAACTAAGAGTTATTTGAACATCTCTTATCTGTTATCGCTACCGTTTTGTTGAATTTGCTACTTCGAGTATCTTCATTATATTTAAGATACATATAGGGATACGGCGATATATTCACGCATTCACCAATCTGAGAAAGTTTTTATAAGTATCCAGTTGATTTGATTCTAGCTCTGAAAAAAAGGGAAAATTTTATTACGCTTATATTCTAATCTAACACTTATTAATTCCTATATTTTTTGCTTTTGCATTTTGAACACGTATTGATAAAAGACATAATACAATGGGTAATTCAAATTCTAAACCTTCAAGTAAGACTAAAAAATCGACTTCGAAGACAACTAAAAAGGGGAAAGAGAGTTCCTCCAGTTCTCGTCCGTCGTTAAGCACAAAAAGTTCACATAATCACAGTATAAGCACTAGAGGTCATTCGACAGAACATGTTCCGACGATTATCAATACTCCAGAATCGCCAGTGAAACTAAATGATAGTGCTACTGCGAACAGTGGGAGTGAATTGGCCTCCGCTCAAGTAGAACCTTCGTTATCCGAACAACATACCGAGTCTCATAGTAGGTCGAGTAGACTAAGACCGACGACTTTGTCTCGTACCACCACGGGACAGTCTAATAAATCTTCACGATCTTTGAGATCGAGGCGATCTCTGAATAATATGGGCATGTCACCTTCGTCTGCTACAAATAATGATGACAACACTAATAATTTGGGATTGCCTCAAATAAAGAAACAACTTTCGAATATTGAAACAAAAAATAACAATTCTATATTACAACAACCGGTATCGTCGTCGTCTACTTCACATTCACATACTCATCGAAGGTCTCATTCGCAACATCTATTTCAATCGTTCCATGGTAATTCCTCACACGATACTTCTGAAGACCCCGGCACAGATCACAATCATTTACTTCCAAGATCGGGTAGACCTTCAAATGCTAATTCGAGAAGATCAAGTTTTAATAATATGAGTGATTTACCCCCGTCCATGATTCAAGTAGAACCAAAGCCTCCGATTTTGAAAAACAGTAAATATACACAATCTTCTCATTCTTTCCAATATTATGAAAATGCCCTAACAGATGAGGATAACGATAATAATAATAACAGCAATAATAATAATAATAATACGTCATACTCCGTACAGACACCCGGTGGAGGAGAAAAATCTTCAAGACAGGAATCTATGAGGCACAGTCATTCTTCGAGGCCATCGAGTATCAAAAGTGGAATCTCATCATCATCCAGACAACGTCGTAAATCCGACAATAATAACGGGTCGAGAGCTCCTGATTTTGTATTATCAGGATCACAGGGACAGTCTCGTTCAAATTCATTCGCTTCATCGATGCATTCAAGAAAATCTTCACAAGGTTCAAATACAAATACTGCTTATAGTACACCTTTGAATTCACCTGGCGTACAACAACTATTGCAACATAATAAGATGAGCGACGAGTCACAGGATTATTTTGGTAATGGTACCAATATCGACAGTTCGGGATCAGCCAACGGAACTCCGCATCATCATCGTCACCAACATCATCGTTCGTCTTCCTCTGTAAATAATGATAATGATAATATGGAGCATCAAGTGCTAGATGAGGACAATGCCAGTAATTATACCGCTGTGTCAAAGATGGATCAATACCCTGGTGGAATGGATTCATTTAATACCCCCATCGGAGATACTGATGTTGCATCTAATTTAGGTTTTAACGGCGCTGTTGGTAAGAAGAAGAAAGTTTATAAACCAATTGACATAGATGAAACTATACAAAAATTACTGGATGCAGGTTACGCTTCCAAGAGAACTAAGAATGTATGTTTGAAAAATTCTGAAATTGCACAAATTTGTCAGCAAGCTCGTGAAATTTTCTTATCACAACCATCATTGTTAGAATTATCTCCGCCAGTGAAAATCGTCGGTGATGTCCATGGTCAATATGGGGATCTATTAAGATTATTTACTAAATGTGGGTTTCCACCGCAATCAAACTACTTATTTTTAGGTGATTATGTCGATCGTGGTAAACAATCTCTTGAAACTATTCTCCTATTATTATGTTACAAGATCAAATACCCGGAAAATTTCTTTGTCCTGAGAGGTAATCACGAATGTGCCAATGTCACTAGAGTATATGGTTTCTACGATGAATGTAAAAGACGTTGTAATATCAAGACATGGAAAGTGTTCATCGATACATTTAATACTTTACCTTTGGCAGCAATTGTTGCTGGTAAAATATTTTGTGTACATGGAGGGTTATCTCCAGTGTTAAATTCAATGGATGAAATTAGACATGTCAGTAGACCTACAGATGTTCCTGATTTTGGTTTGATCAATGATTTATTGTGGTCTGATCCTACGGATTCACCTAATGAATGGGAAGACAATGAAAGAGGTGTTAGTTACTGTTACAACAAAGTTGCCATTAACAAATTTTTGAATAAATTTGGATTTGACCTTGTGTGTCGTGCACACATGGTTGTTGAAGATGGTTATGAATTTTTTAATGATCGAAGTTTAGTGACGGTTTTTTCAGCCCCAAATTATTGTGGTGAGTTTGATAATTGGGGTGCTGTGATGAGTGTCAGTGACGGTTTATTATGTTCTTTTGAACTATTGGATCCTTTAGACAGTGCTGCATTAAAGCAAGTAATGAAAAAGGGAAGACAAGAAAGAAAAGTGGCAAATCAACAACAATTGCTTGAGAGATAGACGACTATGGGTAAAAATGATATACAAGGCTTTGTGACAAGGTAATATGGGAAAGTGACATTCTAATCTTTTTCATATTCTTTCTCTATGTATTTCAAATATAAGCTTCTGGCAACGAAAATAATGAACTACGCATACAAAAATTTTCCTTTTTTATTATTATACATTTTTGTTTAAATAATTTTTACTATTCCTAATAACATTTTCCATTAATTTATATATATCTAATTAATAAAAAATAATAATAATATATTTTCATATTTTTTTTAAAAATAAGAGTTATATAGCAGTATAAACTAATATTAAGTTAAATGTGTCTAGTATTAAAATTTATTTATATATATATATATTTATATTACATGTATCTTTATAGAAAAAATTATAGAGATGTAGGGAAACGGCTATAGAATAAGTAAAACCAGAAGAAGAAAAAGAAATATGCAGTGTTTATTTGTTTAAAGTAAGGAAATTTAGTTGAAATAAAAATCAGATAAGATAACTGAGTTGAATTTTGATGCTAATCACTGGAGTAAATATATGTTATTTTATTTTTTATAAGAAAATAATCATAATGTACTAAATTTATCAATCTGATTGACCTCTGAAATTAGAATGTCCTCCACGGTTGAATCCACCACGGCCACGTCCTCTACCTCCACGACCCCCGCGGCCACGACCATGACCACGATCATTGCCACGATTGTTATTGTATCCACGATGATCGTTATTTGAAGATCTACCGTCATTATTTGAAGAGCTTTCATTGTGTAAGAAACTACTAGCAGGTTTGAAAAGGGAATAACTTTGGGAATCTGCCTTTTCATTTTTTTCTTTTCTTTCGGAAGAGGAGTTGTTATCATTTTGATCCCTTGAGTACTTTGATCCCTTGTTGAAGTTATCGTTATTATTAGAGTACGATTTGTAACCGCCTCTGCCACCTCTATCACTGTTATAGCCGCCACGATTGTTATGGTACCCTCCTCTACTACTGCCTCTTTCTCGATTAGTATAGCCACCTCTTCTAGATTTGTAAGAATTGTTATTTCCTGATCTATCGTTGTCCTTATCTTTGAATTGTGTTGCGTCTGAACTGTCTGCCATAGTTTCATTACTACCAGTTTCTGTAGTCTTTGATCCTTCTACATTATCATTAATTGCATTTGAGGTATTATCAGTATTAGCCTGTGTTTCATCATCTTCAATGGCAGAATCCGCTAAATTCGTAGTAGTCATAGGAGATGATTCTGTCGATTGATAATAAGAATGTGTTGGAGAAGCTGAACCATGTTTCTTTGTCTCTTCTACGGATTTTTGTAATACTTCAGAGTAACTTAGAGTTGGTTTCTTTAATATAGTGATTTTTGGTTTTTCAACAGAAGCATCATGATGATGATTATCGATTAGTGGATCTGATTGTCTTACTAACGATGCTAAGGGTGCAGACTCTCCTTCATTTTGAGATAATCTTCTCAAAGTAGTAGTATCCTCGACATGTAATTCGTCCATCTTTTTTTCGATTTCAAGAGTCACTGATTGAGTATCGGTAGGTTTTGCAGAACCAAAGGGACTAGGTTTGTGTTTGTGTTCAATAAAGGGTCTCCCAGCATCGATTTGAGGGTCATTCTTTAATAAATCCGCTTTTGAAATATATTCTTTAAAATTTTCAAATATGGCTATTTCTGTATTAATATTATAAATATCTCTTAGTGGTTCTTTCCAAAAATTAGCAATTTTTTGCAAATCTCTAGCGGTATATAATTCCACGAATGCGACTTTAGATTCAAGTTTGAAATTCTGTTCGAACTCAGTACCGTTCTTCATTGTTTCAATAGAAGGATTCACGTTCAATTCCCAAAACAGTTTAAATTTAATGAATTTAGTGAATTTAGCCTGGAATAATTCTTCGATATCGCGATTAGAAAACTTTGGTGGCAAATTTGAAAACTTCACAATATACGGTGGGCCTGGCATACTCCCGTTATTCTCGATATCTTCGACATCATTAAATGCGTGAGGATCTCTATGATAATTATTGTTGTTGCTATTGTGAGATGGGTTGTGGCCCCTGGCGTCATTAGACTTGTTTTTAGCCTGTCTGAACAGATCAATGTTTGTCGTGTTGGTTATGGCGTCTAAGTTAATATCACTTTCGTCCCACACGGACGCTCCTAGAGATTCATCTCCCAGAAACTCCTCTAATGACATTTTCTTTGCATTTCCATGATTAGAGTTTGAAGCCATGCTATATCTGTAATGTTGATTTCTTAAAAAAAGGGTTAGGTTAAACTGGTACGATTATTATATTCGTATTTCTTCTTCGGCTGCTTCAACAGTATCAGCTACTAAAATACCACCTGTAATATCGAAATCTGTAGCTGAATCTCTATTTAATCTACTGATGTACTATTGTCGGTTCCCTCTCCCTCTGGCCATTTCGCGATCCCTTCAATAATAAAATCCCAGATTGAAAGTTCTGACAGCCCGCCGCTGCTGCTGCTGGTGATTTGGCTTTGTTTTCTCTCTGCTCGCTGAAGTTAGTACGTCGTGGCCAGTGATGTGGGTCACGTGCAGTCGCTGCGATATTTCATGGTGGATCTGACCGTACAACGAGCAGCAACGAGCAGCAACGACGTGTTGTGCTTGTGCTTGTGCCAACTGTGTGGTGCAGACAGCAGCCTGTGGATGGGCTGTTAACAGTGGACAGACACGGGTGGCACGTGATGCTGCTCCGTAGCTAGTGATATTCCCCGAAATTGGAAAATTACATAATTGAAAGTGGGGGTGCTGCGGCGTTTTCTCTGCAGAAACATGAAGCGAGCAATCGTCATCCCGAAAAGAAATTTGAAAAATTAAGTAATCGACTCGTTAATCCATTCAAGAGATGGTAGAGGATATACGACATTAAACGATGGGATTACATGAATGAAGAGGTTTCTTTGACACATTTCGTAGTATATAACGAGTATAACGAGTGGTTGGTTGAACTTGTAGTGGGACTAGGGCAACAGAGATAATTCATACGTTATATTCCAACTGTTTTGGGTTAAAGATCGCTATTTGAGTGGGACGAGGTATCAGATAAACATAAATAGGGCATCCCATTTTGCATAATACAATCCAAGAACAACAACAAAGAAACAATGCTGATAGATAAATCGGTAGGTAGGAAGTGGACTCTGGGTCTGATAATGCTAGCCATAGTGATTGTGCTGTGGGTGATGTCATCTTTCCTGATCAACTTGATCTTCGAGGATAATATCTATAGAAAGCCCTTTTTCATCACATATATTAATACAGCTTCATTCATTTTCTATTTGATACCTACATTTAAAAACGTTGTACGAAAATACTTCAGGGATCGTAACTGGTCTATACACAAAGAATTGATCTTACAAGAAGAAGGGGGTCCAGAGAATTCGACGACAGAAGAAGGTAGTAGTAGCACTGATAATAATGCCAACGGTACAGATGTGGTTAGAAGAGTCTCGATAAATTCATCTAACTCTACGTATGTGGTACGCAATAGTAATGATAATAGTAATACTAATAGTAATGACACTATATCTGCGGCTGCAGCTGCTGTTGCAGTCGCAGCTCGGAGTAGGAATGGGTCTTTTAGTGCAGCTGAGACCACTCAATTGTTATTACCAAGAAATAGTGTTAGTAGTATAGTCAGCATCCGATTATCTCTGAAGGATACAACTAAATTAAGTGCGCAGTTTTGTGTTCTTTGGTTCTTAGCTAATTTTGCTACTAATGCATCATTGGCATATACTTCTGTCGCATCACAAACTATGTTATCATCCACTTCATCATTTTTCACATTATTTATTGGTGCTTTGGGTCACGTAGAGACAGTGACTAAACCAAAAGTGATCGGTTCGATACTTTCATTTATAGGGATCGCATTGGTGACACAATCGGATTCCATACATGGACATTTACCAATTAAACCCACAGGTCATATGCCTCCAACGGAACCAACAACTGATTTGACATCGTGGCAAACTATGATGGGTAATCTGCTAGCGGTGGCAGGTGCGATGTTCTATGGTATATATAGTACATTATTGAAGATTAAAGTTCAAGATGAAAGTATGATAAATATGAAGATTTTCTTTGGGTTTGTCGGGTTATTCACATTGTTATTCATGTGGCCTTCTTTGATCATCTTACATTATATGGGTTGGGAAACATTTGTTATACCTACTCAACCAAAGGTTGTCATCATTATCCTCATTAATATGGTTATAACGTTTGTTAGTGATTTCTGTTGGGCAAAAGCAATGTTATTAACAAGTCCATTGACTGTCACTGTAGGGTTAAGTATTACGATACCTGTAGCCATGTTTGGGGATATCCTATTTAAACATAAGGAAATGGCATTAGAATATATGCTAGGTGGATTATTGATTTTAGGGTCGTTCGTTATTATTAGTAAAAATACAGAAGCAGAGGAAGAAGGAGATATACAAACGTTATACGATTCACGATCAAATTCAAATGATGGAAATTAAATAGTATTGTCATTATAAATTCGTCATTAAATATATATACATGTTTATATTATATGCATACTTAGTTTTTTTTTTATTGTTATATATTGTTTTTTGTATATATTTGAGTTTATGTCAATAGATGTCCGGCTTCTTTAGAATATATATATCATAATAGTTTAATACCCATATGCATACCCTGGAGATTTGATGTCGAAACAACTAATATAATATGAGAAGAGATAGAACAAGGCATAACCGAAAAGAAGAGTCAATAGACTATCCACTTTTTCGTTTATTTTCTCTTGGATAAAATCAGATTTCAATATTATTAAGCTAATAAATAGCACTCCCATCCCAATATACATCAGAGAGACGGTAAACATTTCTAAACCAAATTGCCAACCTGTCCCACCACTAAAATACATGATGTTACCTTCGTCATTTCTAGCGATAAGTGGTATTCTGTTCATCTGAGTAAACTTGTAACCCGTTAGACTTGGAAGCATGATAGAAAACGCTATAATCATCATAATTATCTTGGAAACATTACCCTTTTTCACAATGGGCCATATGACTTTTTTCAAGAACACAAACGCAATTGTAGATCCAACAAAATATTGCATAAATTTCCCTGTATCAAAATCTTCCTCGACTTCAATATATATATTTAGTACTTGAGCAAGGAAATCACCAAAATGTAATACATCATTTGAATGGTCTGGTGTAAGTTCATATTGGTAGAATTGTCCTTTAGCCCAAGAGAACGGTTCCGTTTCTTGTTTCATCATATTGATAGGAGGATATACCACTAAATGAGGTACATTCTCAATACCCATATCTTTAATCAACGAAGGAACTTCGTATGCATCTACAATATAGTATGAAATTGGGATGTCAGGTCTCTGCTTCTTAATAATCTCTTGTACACCATGTATCGTTTCTTCAAATTCCAAACACATAGGACATTTATAACTTCCATCTTCGTTCGTTGAATATATGGTAATATATAAGACGGAATATTCTCCCTCTACCCCATATTGTAACTCTTTATATAACTCCTCAGTGACATGTATTATTTCATGTTCATCCTTATATTGTCGAATATCATTCGATTGTAGCAAAGCAGCAACACAAGCACATTGCACTATAGCTGCTATGTAAACCAAAATGTTCAATCGCAATTTCATTATGTAACCAAAGTGATCTATATTATGTTCGACACTTCTAGTATTAAATATTAATCGTTGATACATTGAAAGATCTGCCCATTTTAACGCAAATATTATGGTAGTTACATCAATTTCTTTATCGCGTACTAAAGAAATGTATGTACGCGAGTAAATGTTATATCGTCACCTCATCGCACGTTCGAAATTTCGATAGAAGAGTTGTATCAGAGGTTGAGGAAAAGGTGAAATGGTTATTCGTTGTGTATTAATATGTACTTGTACGTATATATAATATTAGAGCTTGTATTGCAGACCATTCAATCTATACCTTATATCTTTTAACTGTTTCGATTCGGGTTTCCATTGTTCATATTCTTGATATAATGTATTGATTTCATCACTATCCATGTGGCGTTTCGTTTCAAATAATAATCCTCTCATGCACCAGGGTAGATGATAAGGATTATTACCTAATTCGGACAACTTATAAGGATTGTACATGACAGGTACCTCTCCATTTGTATCTGATGTTTCTAAAGCAAATTTTAAACCCAGTTCGTAAACTTGTTTCTCGTTATAGATAGAAGAATGACCCCCACCAGTCAACGGTCCTACTAAAGATCCACTTATTTCTTTCACAATATCATGATCTCTATAACCTAAATTAAGTAATGTTCCGGCGACCTTGATTATTCTTGTGATAAAGGAAGGAGTGCGAGAGTTTCTATCAATGAATGTCGCTCTAAATATATATGGGTGGTCTACAAAGAGACAAAATGCTGAGTATAAGGGAACCAATTGATCATTTATAGATCCGACTAAGGTTAATTTCACATTATTTGCAATAATAATTTTAATACTTTGAACAAGTTTTTTCGTTTGTATGGTGTCGAATTTTTGTAATTCAAATAATTCCATCATTGCATCTTTGGCAATAGTTTGATAAGCCTTCACCAACAACGTTTGATCACGACCATAAAATGGGCCATTATTAATTCCAGCCATTCCTAATATGCTAATTATTTTTTTATTACCAAATAAATTTATATCATCCAAATCACTATTCTGGTTATTGAATAACTTTGAATTATCTATATTAATAATCCCAGTTTCAATCAGTCTCGCCAGGAGAATGATTGTAACTGGACAACCTTGAGAATGTGAAACAAAATATATGAAATCGGAGTTATTGATCTCCTTGGAATATCTTCTCATAACATCAAAGAAAAAATCTACTCTATCAAAGATCTCACCCTCTTTCTCCAATGATATTTTACTAACTTCGATAGGTATTCTTTTCTCTTTGAAATATTTGTTAACGATGTCTTCTGCTTCTGTAATAAATTTCATCGATGTTCCTGTGGGTTCCCCAATAAATGTTCTGAGTACTTTTAAAGGAAAAAATCCATGAACCCCAACAATTAATACTTTCAATGGTCTTTGGTTGCAATGTGTTATTTTGTTTATTTTGGAAGGTGCATCTACACGATAAACATATTTTTGAGGATTCGTATTACGACTTCCTATCATATCATGAATTGAATTCCATAAAGATTTTTTTGGTAATATATCAAACCCTGGGACTACAATATTGGGTTCCTGATTTTGTTCTTGTTCGTTGTTTCCAGAATTGTCTATATTTGGTGGGGATAATATATTAATATTCGAATATTCATTTATATCCGCATCGTATGGAATATAAGTGTTTGCTAATGGATTCCCATATTTTGGTGCAGCAGGTCCTGGTTTTCCCTCAGTTGGTTGCATTTGTATATCAGGAGCAACAGTTGATCTTTCTCGGCTCACTGAAGGAGTTAAGTTTTTATCTAAATTATTATTGTTCCTGTTGCTTAGGGCGGAGGTAGGTTTGTTATCATCACTTTTATAACTGCTCCAGAAGGACCAAGTTCTTTTATGAGAGGTTTCTGATGAGGAAGCCATCGTTTCTATATGATCGTTAACCTTGGAGTCATTCGGTTCAGGTTCTTGTGTATGAACTTCATTTGTTTCATTTAGGGCTGTCACCTGGTTTCCTTCTTGATTATTATTATTATCTATTTCATTAGTAGTAGAAGGTCTCGTATTGTTGTCAGATACATCACTTACAGGAAGATTCAAGCTGGCCTTATCTTGTGCCATGACTTTCTCGTTTAGTTATACGTTTTTATTTTAGCACCGTCGTATATATGTGTATGTGTCTAAACTTATTTCCTGTTATTATAATGTACGTTGCTCTATGTTTTGTTTTTCTTTCTCGGTTGAGTAACGAAATGGCTCGTTTATTTAGAGAGCTTTTAGAGGATAATCAGAGAGATGAAGTATATATTCGTATCTCCAAATGATTGGCATCTATTGGTATTATAATGATAAAAGGAAAAAAGGCTGCCTAGTATAGCCCTTTTGTTTCCCCTTTGATTAAAGAGGCGCGAAAGAAAAAGAGTAGAGCATCTCACCAAAACTAAAATATTAATATATTAAAGATACAAATGAGATTTCGTGCTATTTTCTTATTAGACAACTAAATCAGTAGTCTATGAGTCAAATATATTGCTGTTGATGATTAGAAGTGGGTTGAAGATGACTGTACAGAAGAGAAAGCAAGTGACCATTGAGGAATTTTTCAGTAAGAGTAAGAAGTCGAAACCTGATGCGAAGACCATATCAACAGACGCGAAAGTGGTCACCACAGAAACCGATGAGATTAAGAATGAAGCTGTAAACAATAGGAAGTCTGAATTTGTCAATAATAAACTTGGTGAGTTACAAAGAGGAATGTTGCAATTGGAGGTGGACACCATGGAAGACAGTTGGTTCAATGAATTATCTGATGAATTCACCAAACCATATTTCTTGGGAATTAAAGCATTTTTAAAGAATGAAAAAATTGTGAAGAAAGCTACGATTTTCCCACCTGAACAAGATATATATTCATGGAGTCGTCTGACGCCTTTCAAAGATGTGAAAGTTGTCATAATTGGGCAAGATCCATATCATAATTTTAATCAAGCTCACGGTTTGGCATTTAGTGTCAAGAAACCTACACCTGCACCTCCTTCATTGAAAAATATTTACAAAGAATTAAAGAATAATTATTCAGATTTTGTTGTAGATAATAAGCAAGGGGATTTAACACATTGGTCGAAACAAGGTGTATTATTATTGAATACTGCATTAACCGTAAGAGCTCATAATGCTAATTCTCATGCAAAATGTGGATGGAATATTTTTACTAGACGAGTTGTAGAGTTATTGATTGAGGATAGAGAAACCACAGGTGATAATCTAGTGTTTATGTTGTGGGGAAATAATGCAATTAAATTAGTTGAGGATATATTGAAGAAACATAAACAGACTAAAAATAATATATTAGTGTTAAAATCTGTACATCCCTCACCATTGAGTGCCTCTAGAGGCTTTTTCAATAATAATCATTTTAAGAAGATTAATGAATGGTTAGAAGAAAGAAATGAACCCATGATAGATTGGAGTGTAGTTCCCGGTACTTCGTTGAATGAAGTTGCCAAATACAATGAAGCGTTACTGAAAAAATAAGCTCTATGGGTATATCATTCTTTTTCCTGTTTCTTTCCTATATATTATTATATGTATATATTACAAAATGCTGTATAAAATTTTTGGAGAAGGGGAGAAGATATCTAATTCTTTAAAGCTTCAGTTTGATCCTTTAATAGAGTGAAAGTTTGAGCTTGTAATTTATCTCTACCGTGCAAGAAATCCAATTCCATAACAAAATCGAATTCTAAGATATTAGCACCGACTTGTAGAAGCAAATCACCAGCGGCTTTAGCGGAACCACCAGTAGCAATGATATCATCGACAATGACAACGTTAGCATTCTTTGGGATAGCATTCTTTTGCATTTCAAATTCGTCTACACCATATTCCTTTTTGTAAGAAGCTTTGACACATTCACCTGGCAATTTACCGACCTTTCTAACTGGTACAAAACCTGCACCTAAGGCTAAAGCGAGTGTTGGACCGAATAAGAAACCTCTTGATTCCAAACCGACAATGAAGTCGATTTTTTTATCGCCGAATTGTTCTTGTAGATGAATCTTGAAGGAGTCCACCAACTTTTGAAATAATTCAGGTTTCGTGAAGATTGGTAGGAAATCTTCAAATAAGATCCCCTCTTGTGGGAAATTTGGGTATTTGTTTAGAGCGTTTTTCAATTCAACAGCGTTAGCTTCAATAGACATCTTAGTATGTTTGTTTGTATGTATCAGTAATAAATAGTACTGTTTTATCAACTAGCAAGTGAAAATATCTCTATTTCTATCGATAATCATGCGTATATATATATATATATCAAGTAACTTCAGGCGATGAGCTTCAGGATACTACCTCACTGTCTCTGTGTGTGTGTTCCACCGACGAAAAATTTTTCACAGTTTTCCTTTTGGTTGTTTCCACTTTGTTTCGCGCCGCTTCACCATTTATGCTCGTTGAGATATTCACATTTTACTGTGGCAGTCAGACACAGATTTGCCGCTGAAAATCTGATTTTGTTAGGGCCTGTTTCTGGGGGTTAGGGTTCTATCACGTGATGATGAAATTATATGGGCTTCGAATGGGGGCATCGGGAGGGGAAATGAGGGTTTGCGGTGATGAGATATTGATAGGTGGCCTGAGGGCGGGCGCTTGTGGGGGTGGAGGGGCCAATGCATTGTTCGGAGTTATTTTGACTTTGATTTGTTTGTGAGCAGAGGGGAATTTTGCATTCATCCGTAATATCCGAGGTTATAGGTTGGTGCCAAGTATAGTTATATATATATATAGGGAGAAAAGGAATAGACAGTTACAGTTACGGTATATTAAAAGAAAGTAACGACAGTACAGTATAGCAAATAGTTATAATTACAGTACTACTAATAGACAATGGTTAGATTACAGAGATATATATTTAAGAGAGATCTTAATACAATGAAAAAATATGGTATTCAAAAGGATACGACCAAACAGTTTTTTAAAAATTTACCTAAAGTTCCAATGACGAAATACCTGGAAAGAACAGAATTATCAAAGGATATGTTATATAGTGGATACAGGCCTATTATGTATCCCGTTAAACAAAATCCTTTATTTCGTAATAAGAAAAACTTGATAATAGATTTTTCGCTTCAAGATCAACAAAACAAACTGAAGGAAGAATTACACTATGAGAATGACAGTGTTTCTAATGAACTACTATTCGGTAAAGATAATTGTGGTGGGATAAGGTCGTGTGGTGTTAATGGGATTTGGAAATATAGCCCAGTTATACCATCAAATTTTCTACCACTGAATATTTGGAATAGTTCATGTATGGTAATGCAAATTTATAAAGAATGGGATAAGATACCAAATGACATCACAAAGAAGTTAAAACCGTTTGATCGAGGGAAGAATTAAGGTTATGGTATAAACTATACATATTTTAGCTAGATATATCATGATGGTAGATGATATTTATATATTCTTCAGATAAATATAAAAATTAGAAAATTCATACAATGTTAACAGAATATCCTTATATACCTTCAATGACTGATGGTTTTACGTTATTATCCTGTCAGCCATTCGTAATCAATTAAGTGACATATTTCCTTTATATTTTTTCTCTCTCTACGTGCTTGTCTGCCCATTACTACTCTTTTTTCCTTATTTTTCTTATTTTTTTTTTTTGGGAAACTTGCCCATCCATTGAAAGGCAAAAACAAAAAATATTTGAACCAAAAGTAAGCAATTATCAATACAAACATTTTCATATAATGTTGTTGCAAAACGGTATCAGGTATTTTTCGAATCATATACTACCACATCTCCCCAACAACAACACACAATATGTTTTCCAATTTCAGTCTGGATAAATTAACCACTTCGATCAGCACAGCTGCTCAACAGGTGGAAGAATCCCTAAAGAATAATTCATATCTGCCAACAGAAGTCTCCAACACTCTATCGTTTAAGAAGACAAGCAGATTCTTTCAAGAGAAAGTAGGCACTATTTCCGAACATGAAATCTCCAAGTTGCCAGAAAGTTACATCGGTTTGGAGCAAAAGACAGATCAATTAGTGAAAATCTTAAAGAGAATCATTATTGTGACAAAGACTTTCGAGATCGACGGGTATGACTACCCACCGAATCTGACCGAGAGTTTGAACGATTGGTGGTCCTCCCAACAACAACCTGCTACAGAGAAACAAGACCTTCAATTCAGTAAATCGTTCGCATCGGCGATTTCTAAAGCTGCTTACGAATCTGAAGAATTGCTAAAACATTTACATCAGTCAAAGAATACTAAGAAGCAAAAAAATAATGAAACCCAAGATGAAACTGAGGAACCTGCAGATGAAGTCGAAGAAGAAGACGATGATGAGGAGATTAATAATTTAATTGAGATTTTCGACTCATGGTGTAAATGTTTCCAAGAAGTCGATAAAAATAAGATTGATATGGATTCAACAATGATTAAAGACTTCAATGTTAAATTGGAAAAAATGATACAGGTTGATTATAAAAATGCTATGACTTTACGTAATAAAGTGAATGATTCTAGATTGGAGTTTGATGCCATTCGTCATGACATCAAGACAAAGGAAGACGCTGCAGCTGCAATTGCTAAGGCACAACCTCAACCAACGATCCCTGAACAGACAGAAATTGAAGAAACTAAGACAAAAACTGAAGAAACAAAGACAGAAGAAGAACCAAAGGAAGAGAATACAAAAAAAGAAGAACCTACTGAATCCAACAAGCCTGTTGAAGAAGAGGATCTAACTGAGAGTGAGGATTATAAATTGTTAGAAAAACTTGAAGATGAATTTGTAAGCAATACTACCGAAGCCGCTGAAGGTATGATGGAATTCACCAATAATACAGAAATCATTAAGCTAATTAAATTGTTTCAACAGACTCAATTGAATTATTATAAGAAATGCACAGAAGAACTTGAAAAAAACATGAAATTTTTAGACGAATTTGAAGTTGATGAATCAAGTACAGCCGCATAATCAACTAATTCAACTAAATAATATTAGTTATCCATAATATGTATGCTTTTGCAAAAAAATCAATAGCAAAGCAAAACAAAAAAATAACTGAAGGTTTGAAAATCACTATAAAAAATTTCTGTCTCTAACATAGACCGAATTATAATAATTTATATTCATACATGTATGTATATAGTCGTATCAAAAAGAGAATACAACAGATAATCAAATTTATATCCTCCTTTCGCTTATATACTTTCTACGTTTACTCAGCTGTTCCATGATTCGTACATAACTAATATAAACGATTAAAAAATGAATGAGGGATGACTCTCAATTCCAAAAACAATAACAATAACAATAAAAGACTCAAGATTATGTTGTAAAAGATTCTTTTTCTGTCGAAAAGTCGTATAGCGTAACGTATGTACGAATGTGGAGCTAACGCCAATCTAATAATGTCACAACAGCTAAGTTTCCTTCGAAGGTAGCTAAATCGCTTCAAATATACGACTAATTCCAATGTTCATTTGGCCAGCCACTTGAGTTTTCAGGGCCAAAATTATCAACTGCCTTATTTCTACATCTTATTTTACGTTATTACGGTAATGGCAAACAAACAGACGGGACACGATCCGTTTACGGATGGACTAGCAGACGAACACTCATTTCATTGAGCTTTATATATTACCAATCAACAAGATTACAATATTTTGTTTGCAATCTATAAATAAATATGATTCAAGAAAGGATATTATTGTTACTGTAGCTGAATTACCCAAAGGGGTCATTCGAATCATGAAGTAACCTAATCAAGTAAGTAATAAAAGATGATTTTCACTTAGTCGGTAACGTACAACTTTTCATGACTACTATATTGAAAAGGTATTAGAAGTTGTATGCTATATATGTATCTTTTATGCCTTTGCGACACAAATCGCAAGTACATCTCTGGTGGGCGCAGTTTGTTTCATCAGTTTATTTATCGTCGTTATTCTTTTTCTTCAACATGAATAGTCTCGTTCCGCAGCTGTTCGGTAAATACGACTTTCCACCATAAGCCGACAGTGTCAATCTTCAGAAATGTACGGTCGTTCCGTCCCTCTTCGGAGAGGCGCCCTCCTAATGAAAGAACTGAAAAAGTTTTCAGTTTCGATTCGCAGCGTACAGGCAAAATACCTGAGATGCCATAATAACCGAGACTAAGCATCCGTAACTTGAAGGGGATGGTGAAGTTATAGAATCGATGGACAGTGCACCTCTGTGGGGGATGGTTATGGTTCCGAAAAGTTTTGGTTTAATTAACGGATCTTGCTAGGGGGAGGCTGTTATAGTTACTTGGGCTCGGAAGAAATCGTTCTTCATGGCTCGGGAAAGGTACGATTAATGTATCGCAATTGCTATGACAGTAAAGTGTCTGTTCCGTTCATAGAACGGAGCTGTTTTGACAAATGTTACTTAACTTGACAGCAAATTACACTAATGTAATGGTTTGTTTATATTGATGAGGTATATTTCAATGATATATATATATATAAAGACAATCATGTCATCGATGAATTCTAATCAATTATAACTTGTTTGTTTGTATAATATTATTTAATGTATATATATAAACATCATCAAAGTTCACTACAGTCTAAGAAACAACAATTACATTACAACAATCCGACACACAATGATTCAAAATTTAAGTAAAATAAAGAAGCTTTTTCAAAAGAAAACAAACGACAAGCAACCAACAAGAAGGCCTAGTCGCATAACAAGGTACGATCTGATGAAGGATTCACAAGTATATCAAACACTACGAAGAAATGAATCGTGTAACTCTAGAATAACCAACAATTCTTAGAGTCAATATAGGCCTTAAAAACAGATAAATACAGTCTTTGGATCTGAAAATTTATCAACAGTAACAAGCTGTTTGCATACAACCTAGAAAACATGTGAAATTTACATATAACCTATTTTCTTTCGAAAAGAAAATATGTTCATTATATATTTTTAAATATTCATCAATAAAATATATCAATAATCATTATATTAGTACCCCAAAAATGTACCAAATTTTCTGTCTCTCAGATAGATCTAAATTATTGAATATCCTATTTTCTGAACTTTTACGTTCTTATACCAAAGTTAGTCAAATTGCATAGTCTACTCGATTGATTTTAACTTATCTGAAACGTCACCACGTAAATGGGGTTTTCCAATAAAAATTTATTAAAACAGACATTAATTTACTGCGTTACGATAGTCATAAAAAAATAAATAAATAAAATAAAATAACGATATAAAAAATTATTCTTATTATTAATATATACTAATGTCATAAAAATCCAGATTATTTCCTTATCTATAAAATAATTACACCGAAAACATAGAGGGGTTACATGAAGATTAAAAAGTACATTTTTATTTTTATTTTTGAAAAATATTAAGAAAAATATAATAAACGCATAAAGCTAACCAAATCCCTCAGTCACCAAATTGCTTAAGCTTGGACATGTTGTTCGTGGATTTGGGCGTATCTACCAGATGGATCTTCGGCACAACCCCAATCGGCCTTTGGAATCCATCTCATGACGGTGGCAGCAGCAGTAGCTTGTGGATATAGAGCGTCAAACTTCAATCTGTACCAGTAAGCTTCCTTAGTGGTTGGAATATCGTTACCCCAGTGAGGTTTTGGATTAGCGAACATTTCATCGGAAATGACCTTTTCGGCAGTGTCCTTTAGACCATCGATCCAAGAGTAACCGACACCATCGGAGAATTGTTCCTTTTGTCTCCATAAGATTTCTTCTGGCAAGTATGGCTTAGCGTTTGGATCGTCAGATGTGTCGAAGGCCTTTCTTAGGATGTACTTTTCGATACGGCCTTCCTTTTGGTTGATCATCTTTTCCTTAGGGTCGATGTTCATACATAGGTCCAAGAAGTCTCTGTCCAAGAATGGAACACGGGCCTCTAGACCCCAAGCCATGGTAGACTTGTTAGCTCTTAGACAATCGGCCAAATGCAAGTTCTTAACACGCTTAACGGATTCGATATGGAATTCAGCAGCAGATGGAGCTTGAGCGAAATATAGATAACCACCGAAGATTTCATCGGAACCTTCACCGGATAGAACCATCTTAACACCTTGAGCCTTAATCTTTCTGGATAATAAGAACATTGGTGTGGAGGCTCTAATAGTGGTGACATCGTAAGTTTCCAAATGGTAGATACAGTCATCTAAGGCGTCTAAACCTTCTTGTAGAGTGAAAGTGTGTTCGTGATGAATGGAGCCAATGAACTTGGCAACCTTTCTAGCGGCTTGTAAATCTGGAGCGTTTGGTAGACCAATAGCGAAAGAATGCACACGGGACCAGCCACCAGCGTGCAAGTTACCTTGGTCGTCTATACCGGCCAAGTTCTTAGCACCGTCGGCATCGTATTCGTCGACGTTCAAATCACGGTTAGCCTTTTCAGTTTCACGAGATGCAATGGCGGCAATTAGAGAAGAATCTAGACCACCAGACAATAGAACACCGTATGGAACTTCGGCCATCAGTCTCTTTCTGACAGCGGTTTCTAGAGAGGTTCTAATAGCCATTAGATCTAATGGTTGAGAAGCGATTCTTTCTTCATCGATCCAATCTGGGTTGAAATAACGAGTAATCTTGTCAGTTTCAGAGTCGTACACGTGACCTGGAGGGAAAGCAACGATATCGTCACAGTCATCGACCAAACATTTCAATTCGGATGCGAAAAAGACAGTCTTTGGAGAGATGGAAGATCTACCCATGTACATGGTAGTGATACCGATAGGGTCTCTAGCGGCGATGATTCTGTCCTTCTTAGCATCATATAGACACCAAGCGAACATACCGTCTAAATGTTTTGGAGCCTCAGTGTCATACTTCAAGTATAATGGGATGATAGGTTCACAATCGGACAAAGTCTTGAAGCCATAATCTGGGAATTGTTCTCTAATTTGAATATGGTTGTAAATTTCACCGTTGACAGATAGGATGTAGTCACCACATGGAGAAGTGATTGGTTGAGCACCAGAGTCTAGACCAACAATAGCTAATCTTTCATGAGCTAGAATGGTGGAGTTTCTAACAGTGTTACCGGACCAATCTGGACCTCTGTGTCTGATTCTCTTGGATAGTTGTAGTGCTCTTTGTTTAAAGTCTTGAACATTTTCATGTTTGTAAGCAGCGAAAATACCACACATGATTACTTATGATATATAAATAAGTTTGTGTGTTTGTTTGTGTGTATATATAATACGTTTGTAGAAAGAATACGTTATATTAAGATCAAGAAATTCTAGAAAGAAGAGTGAACTTAAACACCTGCATATTATATAGAAATGTAAATATATCAAAGTTAACTATCAATGTAAAGAAAATTTTTTCTCAACTCGTAGTCTGTGAAATGACCCATAACCACCACCACCATCAACGAGAACAACTAGCACATAATTTAGAATATCAGCAATCTTGGCTCCAGTTCGACCAAAGAACACCAACAAAATACAAAGTGACGATGAGTAACAATTTGTTCAATTCTGTTTTCTTCCAAAGTGAAAAATTTCAGAGTCTTCCTTCACTCGCCCACCACCCACGCTACGCTACGCCGTCACTGCGTTGGTCATATTTTTCACTTCGCAATGAATCGGATCTCGCATCATTCTCAACGAGCGGCACCGATTTCGAACGAAGATACTTGATAATTAACAGCCGGAGATGTATTCCCGAGATAAGCACCGACTATTGGTGCGTGATGGGAGCTGGCAGGCTGTGGGGTGTGGGTGTTACACTATACAAGGCATCTTTCTGTCTCTATTTGGAGTGAGATACATACAATACGTAATGCACGCCAGCGGAGAGACAGAGACAGGAAGAGTGCTCGCTGCGACGTACATAGTGATGTACACAGCACGTGACTCCAAAACGAAATGAATAGAACGGGAGAGAATCCAGCCCTAGGAGTCAGCCCTAGGGTTGTCCTAGGGCTGGAGGTTGGTTCTCTCCCAGGCCATAACACCCTTGGGAGGTTGACCAGTATATTCGAAGTTGTTGAAGTATTGGCACTGTGCCGAGGGATGTGTTGGTAGACTGGAGCAGACAGTCTGCATATATATATCTGTGTGTATATATACATTTATGTTTGCTCTGCAGTTACTACTATCCTTCATTGTTGTAGTAGTAGTGAAGAATGTGAAAATAAATAAACAAAAAATAAAAAGAATACACATCTTCATACTGACACCTTTCCTTTTCATAGAGTACAGACCCCATTATAAAGTTTCCTACTCAGTGAGTGATACCGTCATTTCCTAGACATTGTTTTGCTCTCTCCACTTTGCATACATACTTTGAGGTATGCTGAAAATATGGAGCGCAAATATATATATATAAGGAAATCGCCGGTTCGGTTGGGGTCCACCTTATTTCTCGAAGGCGTCATTCATTGCTTTCTCTTAATGAAAGATATGAAGAATGTTTGCATGTGCTCCAGTGTTCTTTGTTACTTGTTTTTATATAATAATAGTAATAATAGTATAGTACTGGTAGTAACATTTCAAAATTATGCGCGGCCGCCCTGATGAAAAATCCGAGTAGTGAAAGCGTCTTTGAAGCTCATCGGAAGAGATGAGCTTCAAACTGGAAAATTTTTTTAATGGATTACTTCAGCTGGTATTTTCTAACATAATATATTACAAGAACAAAGCTTAGTAAGGAAAGTATTATTATATAGGTTAGTTGTAAGGATACCGACTACAACTGTGGGATTATCTAAATACACCGATATTAATTTAGTTTTGGAATCATGGCTATGTCTATTGATGATATTAAAGCTACTGCAAAGAAAATTACATCTTCAAATGAAAGAACTCACTATAATAGCATTATTACTCTGTTGAATGAATTTGAATACGATCAAGCATCATTTCAGGATAATGAACTTGTGGAACAGAAATTAAGATTTCTAGTAGTGGCTTTGTTCCAAATATTTAAAAAAATGTTTGCTCGTAATGATTTATCAATGAGTACCAAACGTCCAGGTGCAAATAACAACACTGCTACTGTACCATTAGCTAAATTTAATGAATGGTGTAGGAAAATATATATCAGCTTTAAAATGAAATTGTTGGCCACTATTGGTAATTTGACTATAGAGACCTCGTTGGCTCTGGATTGTCTAGATCTTTACATGCAATTATTAGAACTGGAATCCGTACATTTTGCATCAAAGAAAGACGCCGCATTCTTCCCAAATAAAACTTTAAAGGCTTTAATTGTAGCATTATGGAAATCTAATATCAATGAAAATGAAATCGATCCATCGAATGGTCAATCGGCAAATTATATCTTATTGGAATTCTTGGAAAAGTACTATAAACCATTTGTTGATATTCAATATTATTTCCAATCGGAGTTCAATTTATTGTTGGAAGATAAGGATTCTTCTACCAGTACTACAGAACAATACACTTCAATGAAGAGTGCCGCCAAGTGGGTGACTTTAATGAATCATGATAGTCACATGGATTCTACTACTGAAGAACTAGAAGTGTTTGTATCAAATCCACCACAAGCCATTGAAAATGAATCTAAATTTAAATCATTGCTTGAGAAAAATTGGTGTGCTATACTTAATGGCGAATTATCTTTACAATTATACAAGACCATCCTAACTGTTTTACATAAAAGAATAATCCCACATTTCCATACACCAACAAAACTAATGGATTTCTTAACCGATTCTTATAATTTATCTAACGACGATATGGATCAAAATGGTATCATTCCTATATTAGCTTTGAATGGGTTATTCGAACTGATGGTGAAAAACAACTTGGAATATCCAAACTTTTATCAGAAATTGTATCAATTATTGACCCCTCAACTAATGCATGTCAAATATAGGCCTAGATTCTTTAGACTGATGGATGTATTCTTAGCGTCAACTCATGTGTCTGTCCACTTGGTAGCGTCATTCATTAAGAGACTCGCAAGATTGAGTCTTTCAGCACCTCCTTCTGCAATCGTCATAGTGATTCCATTCATATACAACCTGTTGAAGAAACATCCAAATTGTATGATTATGATCCATAATCCAAAATATTTATATGATCCTTTTCAAACACCAGAACAACAAAACGAATTGAAATTGGCTAAAAGTCAATACGAGGACCCGTTTAATATGGAAGAACAAGATCCAGAATCTACAAACGCATTTGGTTCCTCGTTGTGGGAAATGGATACATTGACACAACATTACCATCCAAACGTAGCGTCGTTAGCTAAAGTGTTTAGCCAACCGTTCAAGAAGATGAATTATAACATGGAAGATTTCTTGGATTGGGGTTATGATTCCCTATTGGCTGCAGAATCATCAAGAAAATTAAAGATCCTACCTGTTTTAGAATATGAAACATTCGATTCGATCTTGGCAAACGAGACCATTGACCAAAAAGAAGAAGAGGATACCCCTGATAAATCGGTTTATTTATCGAGCGTCTCATGGTAAATTACATTTATCTTTCCTATTAGAAAAAATATGTATTTTGAAGTATCTAATTCATCAAGTAATTTAACTTAATATTGGCATAATAAATTCTCGCAAGCTATATATGGTTACTACACATTATTTATTTTCTTCTACGGTTCTCTAAGTTGGTGGGCTACACTTTATGCACACTACTGCAATTATCAGTATTGAACTCACACCTTCTGCAAATTCTTACTGCTTAACATTTATAAACCTTCCATCAGTGAACAGACCCATCTACTTTGGGGCATTATCCATCGTTTTCAGCTATGAAAAGAGTCGAATATGAGTGGTTTTCAACTATTTTTTGCAGTTGAAATTTTTCACATTTTTTTCTCTCTGTTCGGGAGACTCTGCGTCGCTATCTGTTGTCCTCACTGAAAATTAATTATTTGGCAGCCCATCGCAAATGTTTCTACTCTAAGTGTGACATTCATACATGGGGGATCGATCTGATCAATCAACCAATGCATTTTCACAACACATTACAATATTATAAATCGAATAAGTAGACTGTTCGAACTTCTATTCTCGGAGTTATTCCTCTGTTCTTTTTTGGAAAGTTTATGATTTGTACAGTTTCTCCACTTTGAATAATATATAACTATAAATTATACATCATGTCCAATCCAACTGCAGATGAGAGTTCTCAAGCATTAAAATTTAAAGATGAAGGTAATGCTTATGTCAAGAAACAGGATTTTTCAAATGCTGTAGAATCATATTCAAAGGCTATTGAACTAGATACTACAGTATCTATTTTTTACTCTAACAGAGCGTTCGCTGAGTTGAAATTGGATAATTTCCAAACATGTATGACCGATTGTACTGAGGCCATCAAATTGGATCCAAAAAATGTGAAAGCGTATCATAGACGTGGGTTGTCGTACGTTGGTCTATTGGAGTTCAGAAAGGCAAAGAAGGACTTGGATTTAGTATTAAAGGCCAAGCCAGGTGATGCTACTGCCACCAACGCCTTGAATATTTGTGAAAAATTTATTAGAGAAGAAAGATTTAGAAAAGCCATCGGTGGTGGTGCCGATGATGAATCAAAGCACAAGATATGTCAACTTGTTGCATTGGATTCTTTTGATGCTAATGCTGACTTACAAAGTTACGAGGGACCTAAACTAGAATTCGAACAATTGACTAATGAAAAGAATGAAAACTGTGGTATTGACATTAAAAACATGTCACAAGAGTTTATTTCCAAGATGGTAAATGAACTATTTTTGGAAGGTAAGACTTTACCAAAGAAGTATGCTGCAGCAATCATTTCCCATGCAGAAAGATTATTTCGTAATGAACCAACATTAATTGAATTAGAAAATGAAAAATCAAACAAGAATGTTAAGATATCTATATGTGGTGATACACACGGTCAATTTTATGATGTGCTTAATATCTTTAAGAAATACGGTAAAGTAGGACCTGATCATACATATTTGTTCAACGGTGATTTTGTAGATCGTGGTTCTTGGTCCTGTGAAGTCGCTCTATTGTACTATTCTCTTAAGATTTTATTCCCAACTTCTTTCTATTTAAACAGAGGTAACCATGAAACTGAAAATATGAATAAAATGTATGGGTTTGAAGATGAATGTAAATACAAATATTCAACCAAAATATTCGAAATGTTTTCACAAAGTTTCGAGACTTTACCGTTGGCTACGATTGTGAACAAAAATTATATTATCATGCATGGTGGTTTACCAAGTGATCCAACTTCAACAATCGACGACATAAGGAAGATTGATAGATTTACACAACCACCAAGAGAAGGTCTGTTCATGGAATTATTATGGTCGGATCCACAGGCTGCCGATGGGTTGGGTCCATCTCAAAGAGGTCTCGGTTTCTCTTTTGGCCCAGATATCACTGCTAAATACTTGGAGAGAAATAATCTTCGTAAAGTGTTTAGATCCCATGAAGTCAGAATGGGTGGTATATTCTTCGAACATAATAAAAAGCTTGCCACTGTCTTCAGTGCTCCTAATTATTGTGATTCTCAAAATAATAAAGGTGCCATTATCCATGTTGTGCCTGGTAAGGGTAAAGCCGGTGAATACAACAACGATGACGAAGATTTGTTGATCGAGATATTCGAGGCTGTAAAACATCCTGATATTAAACCAATGGCATATTCCAATGGTGGTATGGGATTTTAAGAAGTTAATTCGTGCAGTTAAATTTGACTTTCATTATTAATTACATGATTTTAGCAAGAATACATATGTAACTTATTCAAATGTATATAGGTAGATCAGAATTTGTACTATTATTATGCATACAACCAAAAACATAATCTGAGCAATTCAAAACTCAAGGAATTGTCAATGTCCAATATAATTATATCTTTGTTGTCATTGTATGATAGTTATGTGTCAATAAAAATATTGAAATTCTCTCTGTTTGTTTCTGACGGGCGCCTTGAAAATAGGCCACAACACAATGAATAACGAATGATACACATCAACAGCAACAACAAACCAATAACAATAACAAATATTAAGTACAAGTATTAATTAGAAGGTTTTCAGCGGTTATATAGTCTTCATTACCTCTGTCAGTATTCAGGATACATACATATAATTGTCAACAAAAGGCTTTCATTTAATATATACAAATGTACTGGGGTTATTCGAATAAAACCAATATATTCGGTTCGACTGACTCTTCTCACAAAGTTGAAGCTGACTTAACTGCCGAAAGGACACCGATCAATGTTGTTGTTAAATTGGTACCACAGAAACATGGAAATAAAGGGAGACTTCCTATGTTTTGCAGGCCAGAAGGTGATTCAGTCCTATTAGATACAGATAAATCAGAATACTCATCCTTTGATAAGGTATCCCATTCTACAGAAACAATAGATGAGTTGCATAATTATTTCCAATCAGATCTGAATTGCGTTCAAAATATATTGGATGCCTATAATCTAACGTTAATTACATATGGGCAATCTTTCACAGGTAAAACTTCAACTTTATTTGGGAATAACGAAAAAGACACAACAGAGGAGAGCCTTATTCAGAAATTATCTAAAGAACTATTTGAAAAGATTAAAACGAAAAGACAAGAGCATGGTACTAAAACAGTTGTGAATTTAAAAGTGTTTGAAATTAATATGGAAAAAGTACATGATATGTTGATACCAGATGGGAAGAAAAAGTCATTGAAACTACATCATGAAGCAAACAAAGTAGAATATTCGGTCAAAGATCTTTCAGGTCGTACTGTTACATCGGCTCAAGATATTGCACTAGAAATGAATAATGTTGCAAAGAGGCGAAATGTGAGTACTAAACAATCTATACGTTCAAAAACGCACCTCTTTGTCAAAATTACTGTAGAACAAAGAAATGTCATCGATGAAACCTTGAAGACAGGAAGTCTTCTATTAGTTGATCTATGTGGATCAAATCCCCTGAATAAGGATATAGACAAAGATATTTCTTCAGAAGAAATAAAAAAACTAAATGCTGAGCTAAAAGCATTGAATCATGTTATAAATACTATCTCAGATCACCAAATCAAACACCCTGATGATAGACGGGAATACTCTATTCCTTATAGAGAATCTGCCTTGACAAAATTGCTATTGAATGCATTAACAGGGAATTCAATAACTACCTTCCTCATATGTTGTTCGACAGATAAAGAAGATGAGATAGATTCTATCAATTCATTACGAATTGGTTCGACGATAAAGAATCTAAAAACATCTATTCATGCTAATATTGTTGGATTAAATCAGAAAAAGAAGATGGATTTGTTATACGAAAATACAAAGAAAAAAGAGGATAACTATTTAAAAAGAATAAAACAATTAGAATATGAACGTAATGGTCTTCGTGAGAATCATAAAGGACCAGATGGAAATATATCCAACTCTGTAACATTTCAAAAATTACAGAAATCCGAAGCAGAAAATAAAGCGCTTGTGGAACAATTAGAGTTATTAAAGGGTCTTTTAAATAGACCTTCGAAGGAGCCACTGAATAACTCACCTCAACCAAACGGAAATATAATGGATATTACAAATTCTTTAATTCAGAAATCTAGTAGGGTCGCAGAATTACAAGCATCAATTGAAGAAATGAATCACCTAAATTATAATTTAAAAGAAAAGATCAAAGAAATGGGAGGAAGAGATGTAAGCCTCGAACAAATGAATAATAAACTTGTATTACAAATAAAAGAACATGAGATCTTAATACAGAAATTATTAACAGCTAACGCTGCCATGGAGAGTGAACTTGATCACTTTAAAGAGATCAATAAAGTTAGAACAGATAAAGTTAAGCTTCTCGAAGATAGAATTTCCAAAGTCAGTATAAATAATAATAATAACAATGCATATGATAGTTCTGTGGAGACACCTAGACAAGGTTCTGTCAGTTCATCTTCGGGACACACAATAGTTCCTATAGATGAAAGAAAAGAAATTGGTGCATCACCATGGGGCATAAAAAATGCCATTAATAATGGCTGGGGTAATAGACAAGCATCTGTGGGCAGCATTGGGATATCGACCTCTGAAGAAACATTTGTTCCACGGCCTCTCAAAAAGGGTTTAAAACTAAACTCTGTCAGAATAGTTTCAGGACCTGCTACAACTCCACACACTCCGAACAATACGAGTTAAGTATGATTAATAGATGCCCCACTAATTGGTCCGATACTGTGGAAAAGTGATATTTTTGAATTCGTTTGCACTTACTTCTGTTAAGTACCGATGAAGAAAAGTCGTTTAGCACGAATGCATATCTTAACGCTCTTTTTTGTAAGGACAATCGGCACATACATCATTTCAATTTGTATGAAAAAAAAAATTGCGATGAGCTCATCGATGAATAACAAATTATACTGTGAAATGAGTGTTCACAAGAATTTGTTATTCCAATATATATATATGTACATCCTATATAACGTTTTTCTAACAAGTAAACAGTGCAAAGAGAACACATCTGTGATAATAAATTATGGCATCTTCTATAAAAAGCAATACTGGCGTCAATGAAAAGCGTGTTAGAGCAAAAGTTCATCCATTTAGAAGAAACCAAAAGGTTGGAAAGGGGATCACAGAGGTGAAGTTTCACGACGCAACTGAAGATGAAGATAACGATGTTCGCACATATGAAGTTCATGCCAAACGTGACTTGAAGATCAAAGCCAAAAAACTACTAGGAGTTAGACAAAGCTTACCAGTGTACCAAAATAAAGAACTTATAATGAAAAATCTGATTCAAAACCCTGTCACCTTACTTATTGGTGAAACTGGTTCTGGTAAATCTACTCAAATACCGCAATTCTTGTTGGATTATTTATACTCTACGAAACAACATGGTTCTATAGCAGTGACCCAACCAAGAAGAGTGGCTGCTATAAATTTGGCTACTCGTGTGGCTAGTGAATATGGATGTAATGTTGGACAACAAATTGGTTATTCAGTTAGATTTGATAACACAACATCCGCAAAGACAAGACTTAAATATCTGACTGATGGTATGTTGCTAAGAGAATTAATGATGAATAAAACACTAAAGGAATATAGCGTGATTATTATTGATGAAGCTCATGAAAGAACTGTCCTAACAGATTTAATACTAGGGTTTTTGAAAGCTTTGATAGAAAGTTCTCGACCAGATTTGAAAATTATAGTTATGTCAGCCACATTGCAGGCAGAGAGATTCAGTACATTTTTCAACAATGCCCCAGTGATATTTGTTGAAGGTAGAAAATTTGATGTTTCCCAATATTATTTAACTGCTCCCTCTGATGATATTGTTGATAGTATTATTAGAACTGTTGTTCAATTAAACCAAGGTGAACCATTAGGTGATATATTATGTTTCTTACCTGGTCAAGAGGAGATTGACAAAGCTGTTATAATCATGGAAAAAATAAGTGCTATTATACACAAGGAAAACTCTGTTCCATTAATGATCCCATTACCGTTATATGCTGCTCTACCACCTGCAAAACAGGCTGTTGTTTTTGCTCCTATTAAAGGATTTAAGAGAAAAGTAATTTTTAGTACCAACATTGCAGAAACATCTGTTACTGTGTCTGGTGTGAAATATGTTGTGGATTCAGGATTACGGAAGGTGAAAGTATGGAGACATCAATTGGGTCTGGCAACTTTACTGACAGTTCCAATATCTCAGGCGAGTGCTGAACAAAGAAGTGGTCGTGCTGGTAGAGAATCTGAAGGTAAATGTTATAGAATATTTTGTGAGAAGGATTTTGAAAAATTGCCAACTCAAACTGAACCTGAAATTGCAAGAAGCGATATAACATCACCAGTACTAATGCTTAAAAGATATGGTGTTAAAGATATTGTCAATTGGACTTGGTTTGAATATCCTGGTAAAGAGGCCTTGGTGATGGCGTTACAAGAATTATATCAATTAGGTGCGCTTGACGATTTTGGTAATATTACCAAGAAGGGTGAGCAGATGGCTCTGTTACCTGTTCAACCTCATTTGAGTAGTGTTTTAATTCAAGCCAATGAATCCAACTGTGTCGAAGATGTCATTGACATTGTATCCTGTCTGAGTGTAGAGAACTTGTTAATGAACCCGAATCCTGAACAAAGAGATGAAGTCAATGAACGTCGTCTGATGTTATGTAATGGTGGTAAAAAATATGGTGATCTGATTATGATGAAAGAGCTATTTGACGTATACTTTTACGAGCTTGGAAAGGGATCCTCATCAGCTTCCGAAAGGCAATCTTGGTGCAAAGAGTTATGTTTGTCATATCGTGGATTTAAAAATGTTGTGAAGATCAGAAATCAGCTACGAATGTACTGTATGAGAATATTTCAATCAAAGGGGTTAAATGCGACAAATGAAGATGATGAATTAGGAGAAAGTATTAGTCAAAACAGTGAACAAATAGCAAAGGTACTGAAATGTTTCTTAGTTGGGTTCGCTAAAAATACAGCTATCGGTATGCCCGATAGGTCATACCGGACAGTTAATACAGGTGAACCAATTAGTGTCCATCCTTCGTCCATGTTATTTTTAAACAAATCGTGTCCAAGTATTATGTATGTTGAATATGTGTTCACCACAAAGGGTTACGCCAGAAACGTAAGTAGAATCGAATTAGAATGGCTCCAAGATGTGATAGTAAATGGAACTGCAGTAACTAAAAAAAAAGCAGGCTTATAGGGTATTTTGCGTATATATATATATACTTATATAAGCATGTATGACAGAATATAATAATCTTTATAGAAATTATACACATGATCATTGACGCATGGTGTCCTTAATTTTTCTTTGGTTTATGAACACCTTTATACATGAAGTAGAAAACAATTGTTCCATCGTCATTAACAATCGACAAAATGATCCTTTTTGTTCCTGGGTTACACAGTTTATCAAATACGTGATCCAAGCACTCAATTGTAAGAGACTCGGCCTTGTACTGAGCTAAACTAACAGGTAACAAGAACTCCCTACTAGGACTCCCATCATCTTCAGTTTCGCCGTTGGATAAAGGTTCAGAAGGAATACCTGACACTAGTTTAATGGTTCTGCCCTCCCATTCCAAAGACTCCTCACATATCACCACATCAGACCAATTCTGAAAATGAGCTAGGTTCGTACGCACCGCATATTCTATTGACAAACCATCTTTACTGCTTGGATTGCACATAACAGCCTTACTGTGTTCTGTTTGGTGGCTACTACCATCGAATCTTACAACTTATATAAAGCTCCTGATATCGAATCAAGTGATGAAATTGTCTAACCTCATTACCATTGTTTAATTGCATCAAATCAAGCAAAAAAAGAAATTCTGAGTGAATTTTTCACCTTCTCTTAACACGTCCATCTCTAAGAAAAGCCCGCACGCCTCCCAGTCAGAAATGGATCGCTGAGTGGAAACAACAACAAACAGAGAGAAGAAGGGTTTAAATTATATAAACAGAAAATAGACAGGCAGGAAAACATGTTATACCTTACCAACAACGATATTTCTCCTTTAACAATTGATGATTTGGAAGATATAATTATTAGTCCTGTGTTGTAGTTAATAATTAGTTTGTATTTTGAACTAAAGGAGCATATATATATAGAGAGAGACAGTATCAATTTTGCTTAATATTAATATCAAACTAGGATGAAGGTATCTTTGCTGTTCGCATCAACAATTCTGCTGGGCCAGGTATATGGTTACAAACAGGTCCATAATCCAAAGGAGGAAAAGGAAAGTACTTCTGAAGAACAGAAGCCATGGATTCGTACAATTTACTCCACTGAAAGAGAAATTGTCACCCCTACTGTTATTGACGGTGTTACATTCTCAGCTAAACCAGCTCCTACAAGTGATGCCCTTGAAGCATGGGTTTCGTTGGAGAAAAATGGTAGACCAAAGACCATTAGACCTGAAATTAAAAATGGTCACACCAAAAGGGGTAAGCCAGATTATTCTACTTACTTCCAAACAGCTGCTGTACGTACTTATTCGTATGAAGACTTGAAGGCACATAATATGGATCCTAACGAAGTGTATGAGGAAGAATATTTTATTGATGAAGACGATACTTACACCTCTTTGAATCCGATTATGAGATGTACACCTGACAACTATTTCTTCAAGGGTCTTTCTAAGGATATCTCTAGTGAACCATTCTGTACTCCGAGGGAGAACTCAATGTGGAAAATTGGTACTACTTATTTCGTTTCATGGTATACTCGTTTCTTTGAAAATGAACATAATGGTAAAGTTGCTGAAAATGTACGTATCCATTTGTCTTATGTCAAAGAAAAGGCTGTTGATAAAGGTTATCACAAGAGGGATATTCCAGGTACCTTTTTCACTTCTGAATGGATTAAGAACATTGATGGTGTATATGCAATTGAACCGGAAGAAGACTGGTTACAAGGTGTATACGAACGTAAAATAGTTCTATCTGTTCAACCTAACTACATTTCAGATGATGACTTTTCTCCGTTAGATAATGGTGTCTTATTACACATGATAATGGGTTCGAAGGTATCCAAAACTACTAAGGAAGAATGGGCTCTAGCTGATGCAGGTATAAGTGACAACAAATGGTACTACGTCGCTTTGACCATGCCTGCTGTAGCAGTTGTTGTCTTTGTCGTCCTATATTTCTTTTTGGAGGCAAATAAAGGTATGAGAGATTTTTCAGATATTACAAATATTTCACTAAATAAAAAGCGTAGAGTATTAGGTAAATTTGCTAATATGAAGAAGTTCAAAAACATGAAAAATCATAAGTATGAGGAATTACCAAGTTACAATAAAAATAAGGGTAAACAAAGCTGAAAATTTCGAATTTATGAATTAGATATTTCTGGTATTATTATCATTTAATCATTTTATTTTTATATCATATACTACAATTACATAAACTGTAACTCATATTTTCCAATACCATTAATATATACGACATCGAAAACAGTTTTTCAGTTTACAAATAGTGTATCTTTTTAATTGAAACATTTTAAGTATTATTTATATAATTTATTTAAAGGTACACAAAGCTCTCGGATTAGATCCATTTCTGTCTTGCCGCTACTTCACAAATCTTTTCTAACGTGATCACTCTGGGATCTGGCTTAAAAGCTCTTCTTCGCATAACATTTGACCCCTCGATCTCCTCCTCACTGACATCACTAAGTTCTATACTTTCATCCTCAAGATCTCCAATATCTTCGATATAATAGAAAAATGGTTCCAAAGCTAGTAAAACTTTCCAGAACGCCCGAGTATTACCGTTAATAAATAATACATCAATAAGTTCTGGCAAATATTCCAGTTCTACATATTCTTCAGCACAACATACAAATTCATCCAGTTCATAATCCTGTTCGTCTGCAATTAAAGTAGAGTACATTTCAGATAATAAGGTGAGTTCTTTGCTGATCGTTTTTGGAATATCTTGACGTGCTTGCCATAATAATTTTTGAGCCCTTGCTAATCTCTCTTTGGTAACTATATCATCCCTTTCTGAATCTGCAATAACTTTCTTTTCTTTATCCTCAACTACTTCAGAGTCACTTGGTGCTGGTAGAAAGCCATTTTTAAGGCTCTTTTCCATTAGTTCGTTGTATTCGTTGTATAATGAAATGATTTTCATCATTGGTTTATACAATTGTTGACAAACTTTCATCTCCGAGTGAGGAACAATGACTTTCTCTAAGTAATGGTTTATCAAACCTTCCATGAAATTAGCCCAGATAGATGAAAATACATAATCTTCATCATATGTAGTCTCTTTAAAATCACAGTTGATGTTTTGTTGAATAATCTTCTCCATTAATGTGTTGGTACAACCAAGTTCTTCAGTGTCATGATGGACCTTGTCAGATCCCTTGTCCTCTTTTGCATTAGATGTTTTGTTTGGTGTGTTTCTATCTTTATCACTGGGTGTTTCAGTGTGGTCCATAATATTTTTCTCAGATGAAGGATCGCTTGCAATATCGTTATCAGTATCCTCAATTTCAGAATTGTTTTTATCTATCCAGTAATCTGGACCACCCCTCTCAGATAACGTAACTAATAGAAGAAATAATTTAGATTTGACAGCAGGGCTTAAAGAATCTACAAATTCGTCAGGAATTTTGCTCACATCGGAATTAATTTTACGATGGATACACTTGATAAAGTTTTCAATATAGTGACTCTTTCTAAGACCATATTTCTCACTAAGGTATCCCACTGATGTGATTACATCATATTTCGTATTTGTAGTGTCCATATCTCTTTGGAAGTTAAATTTTGAACGTCTACGGATATTCTTGTTTCTCCTCATTCTCCTTTCACGTTGGTGTGATTTCTTTACTTTGGTACAGTGAGGACAATTGCATTCTTCATTTTCTGTACCCAGTGGACCCTGTGGTCTGGTCCTTACACTTTTGGCTACCTCTGTCGCCATGGCCTGAGATATATCACTAGTAGTCCAAATAGCACAGAATTAGTTGACTTTCCTGGATTTCTTTGTATTGGCTTTCGTACAAGATGTATAATTATATCTTTACAAGTGTCATAACACCTTTTACAGGTTATAAATTGTAGGTTTTAGAGCAGTTTGAAATAAAAGTTAGATCCTTGAGTTCATTGTTCATCGGGGGAACTTCAAACTCTTCGCTCTCTCTTTGTGTGGTAAACAGTCCAAACTTCGTTTTTTTCACTTTGAAAAATTCATTATTACCAATGCTTAGTGCGTTGGTCGTGTAGCATGATACTTGAACATGAATATATAACTAAATAAAGAAGGATCCAGTTCTGATGTTTCGTAGTTGTGCCAACTAGTTATCCTTGTAGTATATTTATATAATCCTCTTCGTTGACGAATGTATGTAGTACATGTCTTCCATTAAATCTGCGCTCTGCGAATATGTTGATTGCTTGTTTGGCTGATGCGATATCCTGAAATTTCACATATATGTTGCCTGCCTGTTCGTTTAGATAATTAAAGGTAAGTCTGTAATCTGCACTGGGTTTGATGACTTGTACAGATTCAGTGTTTGGTAAAGATAACTGTAGACATTCCTGTATATCTCTAGCCAGTGCTGGGTCGTTGTTAAGTTCTAGAGGGTTAACACAGTTTAACAGCATTAGTATGCGTGATTCTGGAATACGGTTCTCAGCTGTTTTTTTACTTAGATTATTAAAAACCAATGATCTCGTCTCTTGATGTAACTTCAAACTATTATTCGGTTTGAACCATTTATTATTTTCCAAAGTTTTGGAATCAATTTGAGGGGAATTTGTAGCAGATGTTAATAATATACATCCAGTAAACTCTGGGTCTTTTTCATCATTCTCTTTATACATTAATGGAAGAACTTCCCAATTTTCAGTAGAGAGACCCAATGATTTGATATAATTTGTGGAGGACTTCTGTACATCTTTGTCTTCGCTTATCGCCAATTCAACATTTTCTAAAGCTACAGCGTTAGCATTGCAAGTTTTCGACATATTGTCCCGTTGTAACACATATCCATTTGGTCTGTTCCATGTGCAATCCTGTTGAGATGCCTTTTTAGATAAGAACGATCGGCATGCAAGGGTCATAGTTGTACATTCCGCAGAATTAAACTTAATGACGACGTTGTTTAATGAACTATTGTATTTGAAATTAACCAATTCAAAATTCATGCCGAGACCTTTACAATAATTATCTATCAACTTCTTAAAGGCCGATTCTGTCTTGTTTTCGTTATCGAATTCGATATTAGAGATGACAATTGTTGAGTTTATTATACTTTGTGTTAGGTTTTTATATAAATGTACTTTTTGGAACGCATTTGTTTGTTTCGAAGTATTGTCTCTTTGCCTGTATTGTTGCCTGTTATTATTGTATTGATTTCCGGTTCTATTATTGTTCTTATTATTGTTGTTATTGTAGTTATTGCGATTGTTATATTGACGATTATTTGGCGGACCACTATTTCTGTTGTTGTTTCTATCTTCGTTGTTGTTTTTATATCTGCTAGATCCAGAATCGTCATTGCCATAGTTGGTTCTATATCTCCCGCCGTTAGAATATCCAGAATTGTTGTTGTTGTAATTAGATTGTTGCACATATTCATTATTATTGTTGTTGTTGTTGTTGTTGTTGTTGTTGTTGTTGTTGTAATTGTTGCGTTGTGTATATCCTTTATTCGCATCAGAATATCGGTTATCATTGTGTGGTTGAGCAGGTAGACAATTCTGTGGTGTTCTTTCATCAAAACCAGGCTCGTTTCCATACGCACGGCGCTTGTAATGGTCATGATGGTCAGGACCCCTGGTGCTCCTTAACCTCTTTTGTGGACCATCTATCTTCTGTTCCGAAGGAACAACTGCATCTTTTTTCCCCATCGATTCCATGATCTTAGCTCTCAGCTCTTCCAAAGTCTTCTGATCTCCCATGTTCTTTGCTCTATTGCTGTCCCTGTTGAAATGTAACTAGTATTGCGTGTTCCTTTTATCTTCCAGTGAAACAAAGACCCACACGATTACTCTTACCACTCAGCATAAATATATGTACCATCCCAGCACAAGAACAAGATGCAACTCCACCCTGGTCGTCCATCAAACTGCGACTCCATTTGCAGTTGCAGTTACAGTTCCCTCAAAGAAAACCAAAAAAAGTTCAAAATTTTTCAAAATTTTCCAGAACTCATCGCTCGCTTAGTTCATGAGACCCATTGAGCACAGAATATGCCGTAGAAGATGAATATATATTATAGAAATGCCTGTTCTTTCTGTATTTCTTCAGTTAAAGTTAATGTTGACACGTCTGAAGTTCTAATAACATTTTAATAGAACGTGGACTTCTTTGGAATTGCTATTTATAATTCTATATATATTTTAAATGTTTTGCAATGTTTGAGAAGTAGAAAATCTAATAATTCTTTCGTATTATTTCCTTTCATCTGATAATTATTTCAGCAAGATCATAAGCATTATATTCCATCGTGAATTTAATAATAACATATTAATAAGACACGTTACACATAGTAGTTACTAAAGAGAAGAAGAAGAAAAGATGGTACGCGTATGGAAGAGTGTCAGCTTACTACCAGTGTGGCTGTTGCTAATATCTCATACATTTGCTGCTTTACTTGCAGTTGACTATGGTCAACAATTTATAAAAGCCATGGTGGTCTCGCCACAAGCTCCCTTAGAAATGGTTCTTACACCTGAGGCCAAGAGGAAAGAAGTCTCAGGTATGGCCTTTAAGAAATTATCCAAGAAAGCTACCGATATAGAGAGATTCTATGGTTCTGCAGTCGGGTCTCTGGCTACTAGATTCCCAGGTTCTACAATGTTGCATTTGAAGCCACTACTTGGTAGAAGCATTGATGACCTAGAAGTTGTGGAATACCAAAAAGAACATCCTGGTTTAGAATTGGTTTCTACAAGTAGAAAGTCTGTTGCGATTAAGATTGGTAAAGTTAAATATCCAGTTGAAGAGCTTGTCGCTATGAATCTACAAGAGATTACTGCAAGAGCTAACAAACACATTAAAGAAAATGACAAAAGATCAAAGGATTACGTTGAAAAATTAGCACTTTCTATACCAGCATACTGGGATCAATACCAACGTACGGCGCTAATGGGTGCAGGTATGTTTGTGGATGATTTAACAGGTTTGACTCTAATCGATGACGGTTTAACTATCGCTGTAAATTTCGCTGTTAAAAAAAATGATTTTGAATTAGATCAGCCTCATCATTATGTCATCTACGATATGGGTAGTGGCTCTATCAAGGCCTCCCTTGTGACTATCACTCAGGATGCCGAGAAAGACGTTCCAATTAAGATTGAATTACAAGGTTATGGTTTCAATTCTACCTTAGGTGGTTCTCAATTAACTATGCGTGTAGCAAATCTAATTAAGAGCAAATTCTTAGAAAAGAATCCAAAGGTTACGGAAGAAGATTTGGATGCAGATGCTAGAGCCACGGCTAAGATTATTCAAGCTGCAGAAAAGGCTAAACTTGTCCTAAGTGCCAATGGTGAATCATCCGTTAGTATTGAATCAGTACTTCCTGATGTTGATTTTAGAACAGTTATTTCTAGAGAAGAGTTTGAGAATGCCATGGAAGAAGACATTAAGAGTTTCAGTTTACCTATATTGGATGCTATCGAAAAACAATTCAATGTTAATAGTAACGAGCACATTACCTTGGATGATATCACAGGTATTATATTGGCTGGTGGTTCTTCTCGTGTTCCATTTGTTCAAAAATCTTTAGCTGATGTATTTGGTTCTGAAAAACTATTGAAGACCGTTAATGCAGATGAGTCTATTGTTAACGGTCTTTCTCTGAGAGGAACTCAATTGTTTCAACTGTTTAAGACAAGACCATTTAGCGTTACAGACCGTTCGGTTTTCAATTTCACCTTGCATCCACAGGATGAAGAATCAAATGATATCCAAATATTTGAAGCAGGTTCCTCATTCCCAAATAAGAGAGGTGTATTGGTTCCAATTAAGGATGCATCGGAGACTAGCGTATACTCAATTTACGAAAATGATAGAATTATTAAGAATATGACTATTGAAGGTATTGAAAATTTTACTCTGGCAGAATGTCCTTTCGGTTCTGTGTATAATATGAGTTACGCATTGACCCAAGTGAGAACTTTAAACATTGAAACCATAGATTGTTTCTGTATCAAGGATGCCAAAGAAGCTCGTTCAGTTAAGAAGGAAATTCTTGGAATGTCTTACATTGAAGATGTCGATGAAGACGACGAATTTGAGTCATTTGATAGTGAAGAAACTGATGATTTCCATTTTGATGTTGATGCTAAGAAGGAAGCTGGTTTAATGATCAGTCCCGCTGTACGTAGTTACGATGACTATGTTATGCCGATGTCTAATGAAGAAAGAATGGAATCTACAAACCGTATTCAAATGTTAGATGAAAATGATAAGAGAAGATTCCAATTGCAAGAAGCTAAGAACCTTCTTGAGAGTAGTCTATATGACATCAGAAATTTTCTTTCTGAAGAAGAAATCTTAAGAGATGGTCCAACTAAACAAATAGAAAAATTGTCTCGATTAGTAACTGAATATTTGGACTGGGTTGAATATGAAGCCGATACAGCTGCTAAGAATGAAATTAACAAAAGAAGAAAAGAAATTTCAAGTATGAAGAAAAGTATCGACGAATATCTGGAGACAGCCGCTGAACCACTTGGATATGAACAACTTCAAAATATATTAGATACAGCAAATGGTCTTTGGGAAAAGATCGAACACAACGCAGATAATCTTGAAGAAAAATTAGCTGAATTAGACTCGAAGTTAGATAAGAAAATCTTAGACGTAAGAAAGGAATATAGCCAAATAAAGGTACCATCTTACTTGGCCCAAACTATCCGCGACTATAATACTACTATTAATATATTTGAAGAGAGTATCGCTAATATGACATCTTTTGTTGAACAGAAGATCTTTGAAAAGATGGATCGTGAACAACTGTATGGAGTTAAGACTATGTTTGAAAACTTAATAAAGGCTGCACAAGATAAATTCACTGCATTGGAGACTGTACAAAGTCAACGTCTGGCAGATCTAAAAGCTACATATCAACGTAAAATAAGATCGTTGAAGAGAAAAGAAAAGAAAAAACAACAAGCTGAAAGCTCAAAAAGTATGGCATCCGACACATCAGCTTCGGCCTCTAATGATAAGAAGTCATCTACTAGTAACAAATCTACTGAAACTACTGATGTCCATGACGAATTGTGAGTTTGTATTTGATATATAGTAGTCATAATGTGTATATATATATACATTTGCAGGTATTCGTATCTAAAAAAAAACGCTAGAATACTACCGAGATATATCTCAGTGAACGTAAAATACCTTCATTTGTTAAATTATATACATTGCTAGTTTATCAAACAGGCAGTCATCCAATTATGTGTTAACTCAAAATGTTACGTAAATCCCCTATTAAAGCCTCTCGAGCATTACTATTTAAACCGGAAATCGTCTTTGAAATCATTTTGTCCTCGGTTTTCTCTGAGCACCTCAAACAGGCAATTCTCAACGGGCAAAAAAGAAATTTTGACATAATTACATAAAATTTCGTATTACTTTCTCGAGGAGGATACGTTATCCAAATCTATATTAAATAGAGCGAGGTAAATTACTATAACTAATACATTTAGTAAGCAGTGTATTAAACAATATTCCATTAAGTTTTCAATCGCATATACATGTATTAATAACGGATTTAACTTTATAGAATATATTACAAAGAACACACATATTTTTCTAACTCTTTCAAGATCGATAAAATAGTTTAACTTCAAATATTCCGAAAAATAGTAACATATGTTAGGGGACGAAGTAGAGACCACATCAGAGTGGAAAAGTTTTGTATTCCCTGATTTCAAAGCTTTGAATGAGTTGTGTTTGCAAAGATCCAGGGATTTAGCTTATGAAGAAGTGCAAATTCATGGATTTGAAATATATATTGTGGAACAATGGACGGAGGAAAGAAAAATATCATCTCTCATAACATCATATACTGGTAATTCACAAGATACTGTGACGGCAGTACGAATATGTTTACCGTCAAATTATCACTATTGGCCTCAAAACTTTAAAAATTATTTAAATGAGTTACAAACGTTTTCGCAAGCTAAAGTTATAAATGGTGATACATTATTTATTACAAATTTGTCTTCTATTTCATCGACTTTGAATTTTTTAAATGTTGATTGTGGTGATTTAAGGACAGTATGGGATAATTATAGAACAAATTTCAATCTGAAAAAACTGAATTGTGGTGGTAGATCTGCATTATTATTGAAGGGACCAACAAATTCTGCACTCAATAAATTTGCTCAATTATATAAAATTCAGCTAAAAGCAGACACAACCAATAGTATGGTTGAGGATAACAATAATGATTTTAATATAAATTATAATCAGATGGATGACAAATATTTGATTACTCATCGATACAAATATTGCCCAGTCACAGAACTAGTAGCATTAGTTCAAATAACCTTAAATTATTTTGCCCCAAATTCATGTATTAAGAGGGTAGATGGTCTGTTATGTAATACTACAAGAAGAGCTATTGATGGTTGGTGGGATACATACGGAAAGTTCTATTTAGGGATAAGTAGACCAAAGAATGAAGTTATAATGGGTCCAACTACAGTTGCGTCTTTGTTTAGTTTATTACTAACATGTTATTTCAAACTAATCGTAGAAGGATCTATGTCTGCTAAAGACCCCTTTGATGAGGATGAATTTTATTCTGGGATTTATGTTTTTCAGAAAAAACATAATATCAGTAAACAACAAGAACATACGTATCTTGATCCCATGACGCTGCAAATACTTTTTGAAGTCTCTGCAAAATCTTCAAATAATGATATTTTCAATCTAAAGAAGGTGGTCAAGTCTACAATGCAGGATTTTGCAGGTAAAGGAAATTTCATGCATCTTTCGAATGAAATATTAACATCAGACCTTTCGATTTTGGTTAAAAATATCCATAGCGGCACTCTGGCTGCCCTGTGGAAAGGGAAAGGTGAAACACAAAAATCCTATCTTAGAAAGAAATCTACCACGTTTGTGAATAAGAAATTTAATCATGGGGATCCGATTGCTATAATTAGGGAACGTTATAACTTGCAAAAGATTAGCTCAATTAATCCAGCTGATATGGAACAATTATATCCCTACGCCTTAAAAAAACATGAGGCTGTATTTGAAACTGAGAGTGTCGCGGGCGACACTTCATCAGAAACATCAAGTACATCTTCTATGATTAATAACTATGATACAGTGGACTCAGAGAAAAATGTTGAGTCTGATAACACTTATCGTAGAGAGTTTTATAGACGAAATTCTATACCTTTTGTTCAGGATGGAACTAAGACCCCTGTTCAGAACGGTGCATTTAAAAGAAGGAATTCCATATCAGAGATAGTTGATAATTTAGAAAAATGGAACATGCCTTTTAATATTTCAGTTGTAAGAATTGCTAGAGACCTTAAAAGGATTAATACTCTGATGGCTAGTAACGATGACTCCAATATTTATGGATATGATATATCTCCTCTATGTATTACTCCAACTGGAAATTATGATGAGACATTGGTATTTAAGGACTCCATCAAAAAGATGACAGATGTTTGCAAGCAGTATCATAGAGATAAGTCATATTTAGAGCCTCGTGAAAGAGAATTGGAAATAAAACAAACTCATTTACAGAAAGAGATGGAAGAGATTAATATACTGACATCACGATTCAAATATAATATCAGGATCTTGAACGCACGTATTAAGGAGGTCGAGACAAATGTCAACAGATTTGATTCCAAATTAAACGAGGTAGATCTTAGAATATCTAAGAATGAATATCCTATAGATTGTGAAGTTGATCCAAATGATGATAAGGAAGGTTTTGAAGAATATATTGTGTTGTTAAATACTCTAAGAAAAAATAAATACAGAGGTATTAGTTGGAAAGTGCTCAGTACCAAATTGGTGAAAACTGGGAACGAAGTCTTGAAGAGCTGGTATAAATGGATTTTCCAAGGTTGAATTATGCAAAGGGTGTGTATTCGTATATAATTTGAAATATATTCTTTTGGTTACTTATATTTGATAGTATTAAACAATTTTATAATGAGAAACTTCTTCTTACTTGCAGTATGTTTTAGCAACTGTAATATCCTCTTTACTCAAAAGTTTTATATTGAATGATTCATCTAAATTTTGAATTTGACTCAACAATAGCTTAAATTCATGTTTATCTTTAGAAATCAAGGACCAATCAATATTTTTAAACATACTTTCAAGTTGTGCTATTATTCGAGATAAATTTTTCCCACTTATATCCTTCTTTTCCCTTAAAATATCTATATGGGAATTAAGTATCACAGCCTGAGACTCGAAGTTTTCATAGATGAAATTATCTAGATCTTGCTCTCTCATAAATTTCTGTTCTTTTATAAAATTCTTGATCGACACAAAATGTTCCATTATACTTTGTATGAGTATTGATATTTTATTATTGACAAATCTCTGTTGTTCAATCTGGTAGAGTAAATCATAGTTTTCATTTATTAAAGTATCCATTTTGGTAGGTATCGATAACTTCTCATAATTATCAAGTGTCTCTGATGTAACTTCTTCGCCAAGTTTTTCATATGATATCGATGATTGTTTTGCGACCCTTTTGAGAAGTAACTCTATCTTATCCGTCTCTTGCCTGTTTGATCTTGATTCGGAAGCCAATACACCCATTAATTGGGATATGTATTGGAAATTATCGTTCGCCGTCTCATTCATTTCTAAAATTTAATGTTCGGTTGAAGGTATACGGTATTCTATTATTCTGCGAAATGTAGTATCAATTTCTTTTAATATTTGTGTTTTCTGTTCGATCGTCTTCAAATTGGTTCTTACTTAAATTGCATTGGCTACATTTTTCTTTAATCTTCCTCTAACCGAAGTACTATATATTACATAAGGTGGAAAAAAATAAGGTGAAGCATTGCAAAATTAGTTATACTTATATATATATATATATATATATAACAGTATAGACGTAAATGAGGTATCTGATAGTAACGAGTGATTTGTGAAGTGAGCGAACGACTTAGTAAGATTCAAGGATAATTTTAAACTCTGGCAACAAAAAAAGAATGGCCACAATTTCAAAAAAGAACCATGCCGATTACTCGGATTTTAATGAATTCACTAGTAGAGATGAAACATTTGAGATGCTTCTAATGTCCTACGAAAGTTTATGCGAGGATCAAAGAGACTGGGTGTGTAATTTGTCTAATGCAGCTTCCTTATTATGGCATGCTTACAAGTCCCTTAATGTTGAAGTTATTTGGGCAGGATTTTATATTGTAAGGAGTGGTAAACCTCTAGAGTTATTATTAGGACCATTCCAGGGTAAAGTGGCTTGTCAAAGTATACCTTTTGGTCAAGGAGTGTGTGGTTCTGCAGCTGCTACTCAAGAGACCCAGCTTGTTTCAGATGTAAGTAAATTTTCAGGACATATTGCCTGTGATGGTGAAACGAAAAGTGAAATTGTTGTGCCAATTTTATCAAATGATGGTAAAACTCTTGGGGTTATTGATTTGGATTGCGGCGATTTTAATGGATTTGGTGAGTCGGACAAGATTTATATGGAAAGATTGGCCACTTTAATTGGAAAAACGTGCGATTTTTAATAAAATAAAATTTTATTAAATTCTGTCCATTAATCGATGAAATGTCATGTATGTATATGCAAGAAATATAACAGTTATATTAATATATTGAAAGATCCGAAATATTTTGATATTTAAAACGTTTGGTTGGTAGATTTTAAACATCAATTACCATATGTCCTCCCAGAATAATATTTTTAATGTTGTTTAATACATTTTGGTTAATTGTATATTAGAATATTACCCGAATATACAAAATCTTGAAATCAATTATCCTGGTTCTATATAAATAACAAAATATTACTAAAATTCTCGATTATTATATTTATATTTCTGATATCTTTTTTTGATTAGTTGTTCCTCATGGAAGTATAATTTTTATGTTTTTGTCATTTTATTGCAATGAGGAAAAAAAGAATAAATAATTAGTAATGATATTAGACAGATACCGACAAAATGATTGAACACCTTTGACCTGTAAATTAGATCAACGACAAAAAAAAAAGAGTGCAATCTTAAAAGATTGTTTCAAAAAACAATTGATTTCGCCCAGGATCGAACTGGGGACGTTCTGCGTGTTAAGCAGATGCCATAACCAACTAGACCACGAAACCTCAAATTGTTAGATATTTTTCATAAAGTTTATATACTACAAGTAAAGAAAATATGCTCAAGATTTTATTGTTTAATGTCTATACCTTGTTTATTTATGAGCTGAAGAAGACGGAGTATGGTAAGATATTTATTAGCTGAATTTATTTAGTGGTTGGTAGAGGTATGGAGGAGTGATCTGAGATGTAATGTTAAATAAAGCAAAATATGCTTGTTGTTATTTTCTATTTGATTGTAAGTCATTTCTTCTTATTGTATATAATTTATACGACGAATAGATTCGAACTTAGAATTTGAGTTCAGAATTATCTGCCTTTATATATTATTTGTTTTCTTGACCTTCTGTTTCCCTTATTATCTAAACGGTTATTACCTAATGAAATGTTTGGCCATTATTCATACATTTTAGATCTCTCGTTCCCACATAATTTCTGTCACAATTATACTATTTGATACGTTTTAATGTTAACAAGAAAAACATATATTTAGTAGCTAGAACACATTAGAATCTCGATATCATATTGTCTAGAAAACATCAAGAAAATCTCACATTTGATAAGGCTTAATACATAGTTTCTTAAACTTATTGTTACGTTTCAAAGAGCGTAGTATAAGGGATTAGTACTCAAGAAGCATCATTTGATTTCTAGTCAATCAACACTATATCTGAGACTTCGACTTCAATTATGAAGATAACTGTTATACACTTAAGAAGTGCTAGATGCCCCTGATATATCAAAACGGCTACTAAAAAAAAAGATTGACACTATGTAAATCATGCTTAATTTTTGGAGTACTCGAATCCTTTTACTAATAGACATCTTGAAATTTTTGAAACAATTTGAGAACAACCCGAAATATTACATTCATCGAACTTGTGACAGTAAGTTTTTCAAAGTCAGTCAAAACCCTTAGTTAAATTTGGGCCTAGTAGTGTTCAAGATGAGATAGGTAGACTGTTAAACAGAGGTGCTGTTGTTAGACTGCTCATCTTTTGTGCATAGTAACGTTGGACAATGTAGCTCCAATAAACCCAATGTAGGGGGAACGAATACTACATTATGCAGTATATATCATGTGTTATTATATATACGACAGTGCAGCACACTCTAAAATTCTACTTATATTAGCTACCTTCACCTTCAGATAGGTTAAGCTAATGTTAGCCTTTTTAGTGCTGCCGCTATATTTAACATAGACTTCAAGGAGCCCTTAAGGACCATTTATTAACAAGCATAAAGTAGAATAATGGTATAACTTGTCGCAGTTGCTTTGACATAACTGTTGTTATCCACTACATCCAAATTGAGGTCCAAAGAAATAGTATGTTGAAATAAATAATATGTTGAAAGAATCCTTGCAAATAATTCGTACTATATTTTCCACTTCGCTGTCATTTAGAACTTGAAGTTAACCTTAATCAATAGGCCATTCAATACTTTTGCTTCTGGTATCATGAGAATATCTTGAACACCTTAATTCATTCTAGTGTTAGTCAAACGCGGTGTGTGGGTGCGTATAGAAAATTTTTCTTCAACATGAAAAAAAAAAATTGCAGAGATGAGATGCGATGAGATGGGTTATATTAGAAAATATATAGAAGATACAGTTATCAATCATATCGGTAACAAAGGTATAAGCAAGTAATAATTTCAAGCGTTGAAGTTTACCATATCATATATACACAATATATAATGGCTAAACCTACAAGTAAGAAGGAGGTCACCAATATGACAAAGAAAAGAAGTGCCTCGGAAGCCGAAGAAAAGGTTCCAGAGCAAGATGACAACTTAATCGTTGATGGATTAATTGATGCTGGCGATGACAGTGATGACGATGACGATTTTGAATCAGCTGCAGAGGACTTTGCAGACTTGGAAGAGGATAAGCCAGAGGAAGCAGAAGCAGAAGAAGATTCTGATGCTGAACTGAACCGATTACTTGCCCAGGAAGAAGAAGAAGAAGAAGAAGAAGAATACAATACATCTGATTTTTCTGATGACACTGGATCTCTGACTGATAAACTATCAGGTATCAAATTAAAGACCATTGTTGATCCCAACATTTACACCAAATACTCTGATGGTCAACCAAGAATTGTTAAGCCCGAAATTAATCCAATTTATGATAGTGATGATAGTGATGCTGAGACAAAAAATACTATTGGTAACATCCCATTATCGGTTTACGATGAAATGCCACATATTGGTTACGATATTAATGGTAAGAGAATCATGCGTCCTGCTAAGGGGTCTGCTTTGGACCAACTTCTAGAGAGTATTGATCTACCAGAAGGTTGGACTGGTCTTCTAGATAAAAATACCGGTTCTAGTTTGAATATTACAGAAGAAGAGCTGGAATTGATTTCTAAGATTCAAAATAATCAACAAACCGACGACAACGTGGATCCCTATGAACCATTAATAGATTGGTTTACCAGACACGAGGAAGTTATGCCATTGACTGCTATTCCGGAACCAAAAAGAAGATTTGTTCCTTCTAAACATGAAGCTAAGAGGGTTATGAAGATTGTTAAGGCTATTAGGGAAGGTCGTATCATTCCACCGAAGAAATTAAAGGAAGCCAGAGAAAAAGAAAAGGCTGAAGATTTTCATTTCGATCTATGGGGTGATTCACCAGAAGAAATTGAACATGTTATGAACTTGAGGGCACCAAAATTATCTCCACCAACTAACGAAGAAAGTTACAACCCACCGGAGGAGTACTTATTGAATGATAACGAAAAGAAAGAATGGGAAAACACTGAACCAAGTGAAAGAGAGAAAAACTATATTCCACAGAAATATTCATCCTTGAGACAAGTACCAGGTTATCACGAATCCGTCAGAGAAAGATTTGAAAGATCTCTTGATTTGTACTTGGCACCACGTGTACGTAAAAACAAGTTGAATATCGACCCTGAATCCTTGCTACCAGAACTTCCTTCACCAAAGGATTTAAGACCGTTCCCAATCCGTTGTTCCACAGTTTATTCGGGACATACTGCTCGTATACGTTCCCTTTCAATCGACCCATCTGGGTTATGGTTGGCTACAGGGTCAGACGATGGTTCAGTTAGAGTTTGGGAAATCCTTACCGGTAGAGAAGTTTACAAGGTTCAACTAGTCGACCCTGAAGAGGATTCCGAGGATCACATTGAATGTGTTGCATGGAATCCAGATGTTGCTACTGGTATTCTAGCTGTTGCTGTTGGGGAACATATCCATTTAATTGTCCCACCAATCTTTGGTTTTGACATTGAAAACAACGGTAAGACTAAGATTGAGAATGGTTTCGGGTTTGATACATTTGGTAATGTTAAGAAGAGTAACCTTGTTGGTGATGATGCGGATGATGATAATGAGGATGCCAACGAATCTACCGGTGTCAAGAAAGTTGTTGCGCAATGGGTTAAGCCATCTGCCAAACAAGTTGAAAAGGATATTTGCATAACAATCATCTGTAGAAAGACCGTGAAGAAACTATCATGGCACCGTAAAGGTGACTATTTTGTCACTGTACAACCTGAATCTGGTCACACATCTGTATTGATCCATCAAGTTTCTAAACATTTGACACAGTCTCCGTTTAAGAAATCTAAAGGTATCATTATGGATGCCAAATTCCATCCATTCAAGCCTCAATTATTTGTTTGTTCTCAAAGATACATTAGAATATATGATTTATCGCAACAAGTATTAGTCAAGAAGTTACTACCTGGTGCGCGTTGGTTATCTGGTATTGATATCCATCCAAGAGGTGATAACTTGATTGCATCATCATACGACAAGCGTGTTCTGTGGCACGATTTGGATTTGGCTAATACACCATACAAGACCTTGAGATATCATGAAAAGGCCGTTAGAAACGTATCCTTCCATAAGAGGCTACCTTTGTTCAGTTCTGCTGCAGATGACGGTACAATCCATATCTTTCACGACACAGTATATGACGACATGATGAAGAATCCACTGATCGTTCCATTAAAGAAGCTGACTGGCCACAAGATCACTAGCAGTCTGGGTGTCCTAGATGCCGTCTGGCATCCAAGAGAAGCCTGGTTGTTCTCAGCTGGTGCCGACCACTCTGCTCGTCTATGGACCACTTAGAACCTCATAAAAAAAATCCAAATCTGCACATTTCGTATATATATATCTATATACACATATATAACTGTAAAATAAAAAGAGATTAATAAAAACCGCCAAAACTCTAGAATCGGTATATATGTCGCCAGGTCACATGATCTAGGGCACGTGACCTTCCACAGTATGCGAAGAGGTGACTTTCTTCCCCAATTTGGCTGTCTGACCGGAAACTGTGGCATCGCCGAACGGGAACAAAAAAATGTGACAAAACTTTTCACTTCCTGAAACGTCAACTGTGGTTTCTGCTAGTAAACAGAATCTGTGAGGATGATTAAAGCTTTTAGATATCCATTGATATATAATACGAGGGATGGATCACGATTAAATGAGACGGTTCTGTGAATAATTTATTCTCCTTTTTTTTATTGCAAGCTTATGGATAAGACTATACACTTATTATTCTACCAAAATCAAGTAAACTACACACGGCAACTAACTATTATGTCCACTATCCATCAAATGACTTTTTCTCAAAGCACTTTATCTTCTAATTGCATCCAATACACACATGGTGATTCTCAATGTAATGGTCTCATGTGTCACTTATTCTCAATAGATTCAGCTGGTACAAACTTAGACGCTTCCAATGACGAATGCGATCAAGATGATGACGTTATTGTTGATTTGAATTCGGGCTCTTTGGATCCTGTATCCTTGAAGAGCTGGACCCTTATGACAGAAATGACAGAACAATTCACCAGATTATAAAGGAATGGAGTATGTTACATCCCATCGCATCACACTTCATTACATCTCATAAAAAAATCATATTTGATTTCATTATAATATTCATTCACGTCATTTACATCAACTTCCTCATGTTACACTAAGCATCCCCTTCACGGTTAAATTATTGTTTAAAAAACAATTACCGTCATTAAATTTTATTCAACGTTTCGTCATTAATTTATTGTTATTTACATAGACATCTATTTATACCCTTCATATATAGTATATTTAGTAGTAATATTTATATATTTTGCATTATTACTGATAACACGTCGTTCATAGCGATAAGCTGCTACGAAAACGCACTAAAAGAGAAAAAACTTCAAGACAAAAAAATTGAATGAGCGCAAGCCCAACTCTCTTTTTTTGGTTTTTTGAAATTGGTTGAATCCATTAAATAAGATATTAGTCGATGGATGAATTGGAAAATACAATAAATCACGCTAACGTTTAAAAAGGGTATCTTTGGAAATTTGGGTCAATTCTATCAATTTAGTGTAAATACAATCAGGCTATTTTTATCCTGTTTACTTAAATATACATTGTATGCAAGATGTTCGGGAATAATAACAGATCAATGTTTGGTGGGAATAATACTCAATCGCAACCATTAGGAAACACTAATAATAATAATGCATTCGGTAATAATACGAATCAATTTGGTAATAACGGTGGTGCTATGAATAATGCTCAGAGTGGGTTTGGTGGATTTGCTTCTACTCAGAACAAACCAATGTTTGGAAACACCAATAACAATAATGCAACAAACACTGGAGGCAATATGCTTGGACAGAATCAAAACTCAGGATTTGGCGGTGGTATGAATAATACTGGTAATGCATTTGGAAGTAATGTAAATGCAAATACTTCTGGATCGGGTATGTTTGGAGCCCAAACCAATACTAATAATACCAGTAATACATTTGGAAATAATACTAATAACAATAATGCATTCGGAGCCACTAACTCAACTAATACTACAGGTTTCGGTAACAACAATAATAATAATGTATTTGGAATGAATAAACCTTCAACTGGTATGTTTGGCCAAAATACCGTAGGTAATAACATTACTCAGTCATCTATGTTTGGTCAGAACAACAACAATACTAATAATAATAACAGCGGTAATTCGATGTTTGGTCAAAACAACAACTCTTTCGGAATTAGTACATTAGGTGGAATGAATAACAACAACAATAATCGAACACAGACACAGACAAATGGTTTGTTTGGTAACACTAACACTAACACTACCAGTATAAATAGTCCGTTCGGTAACACTAACAATACTCAATCCGCCGGTCTATATGGACAAAACAACCAACAACAACAACAACAAGCTGGGACATTTGGTCAAAATAATAATAACCAACAACAACAACAAGGTGGATTGTTTGGTAACAAACCAACTACTATGGGATTTGGTAATCAAAATAATTCAGGTTTTGGAAATACAAACCAACAGCAAACTGGAATGTTTGGTCAAAATAACAACAATAGCGCCATGGCTGGTAATAACGCTGGTATGTTTGGTCAAAATAACCAGGTAAGTTCTGGGTTTGGTCAGCAGTCCTCAGGTGGGTTATTTGGAAATAAACCAGCTACTGGTGGTCTGTTCGGTCAAAATCCACAACCGCAGCAACAGCAACAGCAACCAGGTGGTTTATTCGGACAAACTAACTCAATGCAAAAACCTGGTGGACTTTTTGGTCAGAATAATCAGCAACAACAGCAAGGTGGTCTGTTTGGAAATAAACTATCAACAGGAGGATTATTTGGTAATAACCAACCACAGCAACAACAACAAGGTCAACTGAATACTTCGGCTGGCGGGTTATTTGGTAGTAAACCAGCTACGGGTGGTTTGTTTGGGAACAATAATATGGGTCAGCAGAATCAGTCAACGGGATTTGGTAATTCGTTTGGTTCAAATACAATGAATACAGCCACCCAGAACAACACTTCTGTTGGTGGTTTATTTGGTAATAAACCTGCAACTACTACTGGTGGTGGTCTCTTTGGTAACAATAATAACACTCTCGGTGCACAATCCGGTTCAACATTCGGTACAAATAATACTACTTTGGGTGGTAATAATATGGGTGCAACTACTAGTGGTTTATTCGGTGCAAAACCTGGAAATACTACATCTGGATTTGGAACAACCCAACAGACAAATACGGCAACGGGTGGACTCTTTGGAGCTAAACCGATGGGTACTTCATTTGGGCAAGCTCAACCTGCGTCAGCAACCACAAGTGGTGGTTTGTTTGGTGCTAAGCCGTCCACTATGGGTGGTCTAAATAACACTGTTGGTGGGACGGTTGGTTCAGGTATGTTTGGGAATAGTACAACGACCAATACTCTTGGTTCAAGTACAACAGGAACAAACACCCTTGGGGGTGGACTGTTCGGAAATAAAGCTGCTCCAAATAATGGTCCTTTAAGTACTGTCGGTGGATTAACTATGGGTGCTTCAAACCAACCAGCCATTAATTCCAATTTGAACAATTTGTTTTTGAATGGTACTCTTCCTGAATCAATCACACAACCTAATAAAACATCCATTGTTAGAGTTAGTGCTGATAATAAAATGAATACAACATTAACCAAAGCTTATAGATTGGCACCTAAAGTGTTGTTCTCTACCAAACAGTTGGCTTCGTTGAATAGAACTTCAATGAGATCTTCAGAGTCGACTATTACATCAGGTACAACTAATGACGGTGCACTATCGTTGGGGACTAAGACTGAATCTGAGATAAATGCATTAAATGGTGCTACTCCTTTAAAATTATTGTTTAGCCCAGATAAAACATCAATGAAATCTTTGATTGTTAGGAAGAAACTAGAGAATACCGATGAGAATGTAGCTGAGGCCAACACAGTAAAGCAAATTACCTTTAATAATCCATCTACCTCTTCAAGTCCTCAGAAGACAGCCGCATTTGAGATTCCATCTGATGAAGAAAAAGAGCAAGAACAAGAAAGGATTAATGAGCTAGATGATGATAATTCAAGTACAGTCTCTGCTCTGTTACCAGAGAAGGGTACTCCACAATATATTAAATTGCATACAGCATTAAGCGATGATGTCGAATTTTTAGATGATAATTATTATATTTCACCATCTTTAGATACTTTGAAATCAAAATCTTTACTTGATTTAAGACAAGTTGATAATTTAATTGTTGGTAATACCAAGTTTGGTAAAATGGAATTTTTAGAACCAGTAGACTTATCCAATGTTCCATTAAATCTATTGTGTGGTAATATTATTAATTTCAGTCCTAATGAATGTTTAGTCTATTCGAATTCTTCATCTGTTCCAGAACCTCATGATGGATTAAACGTTAGAGTTAGAATCTCTATATACAATTGTTTCCCAAGAGATAAATCAGATAGAAAAATTATTACAGACATTACACATCCTGCATTTACTCAAATTGTTGCCAAATTGAAAAAGAGTCACGACAAATATGCGAAGTTTGAAAGTTATGATCCGTCAACTGGTACATATACATTTATTAGAGAGCACGCTGTCATTAGCGTTCCATGATGTTGATAACCATATATATATAGCATGATTATTATTAAAAGTTTGTAATTGTTTAAAAAGATGTGTCTGTACGTATATTAAGTAACAGATAGTAATTGCATAAACTAAATTATTTGTATATTCAAGATACAATATCGTTAAATATATTTATATATATTGATGTTGTTGTGTTTTTTTTTCATTTACTAATGGTCATATAGGCAGTTTATAAAAAGAATTTACAGAAAGATTTTGGTGTGGGTGGGGTGTTAATATTATATAAAAAGGGTGATAAAGTAATAACAAATGTTCATTGATAATGTTTATTTGATCTATTTTATTTTTAATAATGGATGATTACAATGTACAATTAAGTATAATGTATTTATGAAAGGAGAGAGAAAATAAAGAGAGAAAAGTGCTGTTCTATAATATCATTTTCATTTCTTATTCTCTCTAAATGGTTTTTCTATTTTTTTCAATGCTCATAGAATTATCTTCATCCATAAATTCTTGATTAATAAGGAGAAGAAGAAGAAAGAGATAAAGGGGGGTGATTTTTGTTGTTGTTGTTACTTGACAAAATTTTAAAATTGATTTTGTTGAGAATCTTGGAAATATTGTTGATATGCTACATTATTTGGATTCTGACTATTATTTGGATTTAAATTAGGATTTGGATTAGTTATCTTTTGATCCTGGGATGGAGTCATTCCATTTGAATGAGGAGCAGTAGCAGAAGAATCTATATTAAATGGATGTTCCACGTTCTGTTGCATTTGATTCTGTTGCATCTGTTGCAATTGTTGCATATGTTGAGCTTGAGCTTGTGCCTGAGCAGCCTGAGCCTGTGCTTGTGCTTGTGCTTGAGCCTGTGCCTGAGCCTGTGCTTGTGCTTGAGCTTGAGCTTGTTGTTGAATAGCCAAATCATTAGTATCTCCGTTTTCTTCCTCTTCTTCCTCTTCCTCTTCTTCTTCTTCATCTGGAGCATTCAAACAAGCTTGAATTAAATTTCTACCTTCTTGTTGAGTCACAATTGGTTCAAATTTAGGAGTACTAAACGTATAAACCAACCCAGTCTCTGATACTACCAGTAATAAAACTTGAGTACCTGTTAATACCGACAATTCAAACGCTTTCTTCATAATCCCATGTTTTCTCTTAGAGAAAGTGACATGTCGTCTAGTTTTATTTTCTATGAATTTAATTTCGATTTTTCTTCTCTCCTTGGAGTCTCCTTTAGCAGAAGGAGAAAGAGAGTTATCATTATCATTAATCTCTTGGTCGGACATTATGTGAAGTTATTAATTATGAGTATTTTGATATTTTTCCAAAAAATTAGGTAAGCTTATTCGTGTATTTTTTAAGTTTTAATATTTGACAGATTTCGAGTTACTATAAGCAGTAAATAAATTCGAAAAACAAAAAAGGAGGGAGGGAGTAATAATAATAATAATGTGAGTTTCCAAACAATATATCTGTCAGTTTGCCTAATCTTAGATAGTATGATTAAGTTTGTGCTGAGTCGTTATAAAATATGTATAGTATAATGTTGGTATACCTTAAATTGTTATAAGATAAACAAATTTTCAGTATGTTGATATTATTTATTTTACCGAATTAAATAGAAAGATGTCTACATTTGGGAAGTATTACTTCTTTGGTTCATGTACCCAAATCTTACCAACTGAAAAATAAAATAAAATAAAAATATAAATTATTTGAAAATTTCATTCTCTATTCTTGTTGCAAATGATGAAAATAAACAAAGCGTGAATAGCTAGTAGTAATAGTAATCGCAGTGATTGGCAGGTTAGTCGTACAATTACACGGTAGATGGGAGAAAGGGGAGGCCTGTACTGCGGTTCTTTCAGTGTGGGAGGGAGAGAGAGAAACAGAAAGAAAGAGCGCAATTTTTTATGTTTTTTCTCTTCTCTTCTCTCTGTGGGGGTGGAGGCTTAAAAAGGTCATGTGACGGTGCACCCAGACATCTGTCACTGAGTACGGCAGCGCGGAAGTTGCCGGCAAAAAGGAATGCGAATTCTGTGGATCGAACACAGGACCTCCAGATTTCTATTTTTGACCGAAGTATATTCTTCAGTCTGGCGCTCTCCCAACTGAGCTAAATCCGCAAATAATTGTGTTGGAATTGGTCGAAATATTGACCCGTATTGGTATTAAAAATATAAGTTTTGTATGATATTTATTAGAAAAGGATGAGCTGAAGCTTGAGTAGTAGAGTTAGTTCTTGATTTGTTTGTTCCATATATAGTAGAAGGTAGAAAGATGTTGGTATTTGTCGGAAATATATTATAAGAGGGATAATGACCAAGGTTATTGACAGGAATTATGTGAAATTAAGATATCTAAGATGTCCTAATAAGAAATAAACATTTTATTAGGTAATAGTCGTTTAGGCCATAATCGTTTAGAAAATAAGTTCATTACTTATCGATCGTTTAACCAACAATCGTTTAGGTAACAAATCAATTACTTGACAATCGTTTAGGTAATCAGTTTACTACTTAACAATCGTTTAGGTAATAAGAAGAAACGAAACTTCGATAAAATAAATGATATATAAAGACAAAGAATTCTGAACTTACATTCTGAGTTAGATTCTATTCGTTCTGTAAATTATATACAATATAAAAAGAATGACTAACAAATATAAGAGAAATATAACAATTATATTTTGCTTACCTAACATTAAAACTTAAGCTACACCATTCACCTCTATACCTAACACCTTTAATAATGAACGAATATAAGTCTAACCACAGTATGTCTACTTCAGCTCAGTTATGATCTATTGATAGATTCATCCCGCAATGATCTATTGATAGGTTCATCCCGCAACAACTTAATAATAGATTACTTACGCCACTGTCGAGTGAGTTTATAATCACGAAAATGATAATCCAACATATATAAATGGAACAATATTTCATTTATGAATATAATTGTTTCCATAATTTACTTTATATATTTTTATATAAGAGATAAAAAGATCAGACGACTATAAGTTGATTTTATAATATAATAAAATTGGTTCAGTTAAATAGAAGATGTCTAATATTCAATTTTCCCATCAGGTTTTGACCACTATCCCTTTCATCTCTTAATTTTAGGTTGATTTCTCTCTTTCATTTATTTTGAGCCTCGACAATGGATATGAAAATCTAAAAATACTCAAAATAAAATTAATGGCAAACAATAGAGGGAGCGGAGCTATTCGATTTCTGATAAATATATTGTAAAATACTGCCGTTTTCTATCTTGTAAATAAATCAAGCTCATCTGATTCATGGTACCCTATGTGAACTATTGGGACGAATCCTAATACATGCATCCTTGACATCAGTAACCAATATACCATATCCTCTTTTGAGTCAATTATAGTGAACAGAATACCAGAAATATATTAGGATCACTAATTGGTTTTTAAGGAATATCAAAAATGTTTCTCAATAGTTTTAATGAGGAATTGTCTCCTTAATCTAGCAAGATATTGAACGAATCGATACCATATAGTTTAGAATTTACCAACTAGCTGCGAATTTGGATATACTGTAAGAAGTTGAAAGTTGTGCGGTTCATTCATCTTATCAAGGTAACAACAACTGGTTAACAATATCCTTATCTAATTCCTCTTTAACAGCTTTTCTGTAATCATCCATGTCATCTCGTGGTTCAAAGAACGTATGATCTACTTGAATGGTTCTTCCACCAATTTTTGCACCATTTAGGTTATCCACTGCGAGCACACTCGATCTTTGGTCTTCATACTTCAAGTATGCAAACCCTTTAGAATCACCAGTCTGTCTATCCCTCATTAGAAATACATCTACCGGGATTCCATATTGCGAAAATATTGTTACTATATCACCCTCTGTAAGTTCTTTATTAAGACCACCGATGTATATGTAGGCCTGATCAACGTACTCATGGTGCCAGGATTTCTCAGGATCAAGGATTCCTTGTTCAAGCTCTGCAGCGTTTATCCTTTGTATGGATTTAATCTGGTTCATTTGTATGTAGTATTGAATCAAACACTTTCTTCCGTGTCAGTTTGACTATTTTTAGCTTAATGTTTAGTTTATTTGTTTGGTATCGTGTTGGAATTGCCTTACTTAAAAAATTTTCAAAACAATTATCAAGGCGAAAGGCATCTTAAAACAAAGTTTAATTAGGATTATGGAAAGGGCTGAACAGTGAACAAAAAAGGTTCAATATGGGGTCATTTGGACCTAATTTCGTAAAAGTAGATACGTATACTGTGAGACAATGAAGATCTAATCGGTGTTGGTAGGTACACGTATCCTTTCTCTTGTGAAACATTGTATGTTCATGTTAAATATGTGTTTCAATGTCGGCGACTAAACATGTGGAGATGACTGCTACATTATTTAGTTAAAAATAAATCTCCTCTTTGTTATTACGTAAATATGTTGTAGATATGGATCATTGATGATTCACAATTGTCATTTCTTTATTATCGTGTTCTTGCATAAAATATATATGTGTGTATAACATTATTCTAGTTCATCTGCCCATCCTCAGGAGTAGAGTCGTCAACAGCAACAACATCTTGACCATTCTCCTCAGTATCAAACTCATCGATGTCTCCTTTTAACATCTCCTGTTGCATTAGAGATTCGGCCATTTCTTCAACTTGTTGTTCCAGATATATTGGTCTCTCGTCACCATCTCTAACCTCAATCATTTCTCCGACAGATATTGGTGTTTGGGATGTTGTTCTTTCTACCTCAATTGGGTTCTCTACTTGTTTTGGCTCCTCTTCCTCAGAGACAACCAGTTCATTATCATCAAGTGCCAAAATGTTCATATGTCCTTTTGGTGTCTCGCCCTCTTCGGAGTTGTTACATGTTTCTGCCTCTTCAGTATTGGGGTTCTTTTGTACTTTTATTGGTGTCAGAATAATGGTCCAGTTATTAAATGTTTCAATATCATTATTTTCTGTGGAATCAACAACCTTCTTGATACCGCTAATCTTTGTTGGGAGCTTCCGACCACGAGGACCTCTGGCCCTCTTTTGACGAACATCACCCAGGCCAGTTGTTGAACTACTAATATCGCCATCTGAACTCTGATTTCCAGATGAAATACCGAGCTTCTTGCTTAATTCAGGTGGTAGAACACCGCCCGGAACCATTCCAGGTAATGCAAACATTCCATTCATATTTCCAACCATTCGTAATGGCCTAGCTGGTATAGATTTCGTTTGGGCAGATGTATCATCTTCTGTAATCGGCGTCGATGGAGATTCGGTCAGGCCTTCAGTCGCCGGTGCTGTCTCATCTAGGCCTAAATTTTTTATTTGCTGTCTTTGCAGCATTTGATGGAAAGCAGCTATCTTTGACGATGGCTTTTTGGGTACTGGAGGGGGTCCCTTTTTAACAGGTCTCGATGGTATCGAAGGCTCTTCTTCTTTCGGGGCAAGTTCTGGTTTTTCGGTTTCGGTTTCAATATCGTTGGATTGCTCTTCTTTCAATCCATCGTTTGAATTATTCTGTAGGATATCATTTTGCAACTGTTCATCACTCTCATCTTCAATGGATTCATTGGACGGTTCCAATAATGGCTCAGTAACCTCTCCTATGCCTTCATTGGAAATATTTTCAGATATTTGTTCAGATTTCGTAGTAGTAGTACTTTCTGTGGTTTGCGCATTTTGTAATAAATATTTATTGGCATCTAGAGAACCAGAACTGATAATATCAACTTGCTGGACTTCCTTTTCATCTTCGACTGTTTCTTCAAAATCTGACTCTTCGTTATTTTGGATATTCTCTTTCAAATTCGCAGCAGAGTATTCCTCCTTTACTGATTGAGAATGGTCAACCTGCACAGTCTGTAGTCCAACGGATGTTGCTGCCTTCCTTGGTCTTAGAGGAACGAAGGGAGCAGGAATATCGGTAGCTGTTCTTCTGATTGGTCTTTTTGGCATTAATGGTTCCACTAATCCAGTCTTGTTATCTGAATATTGTGTTTCTGCTTCATCTGTCACATTTTCAGGCTCAGTTGTATCATTAACACTTTTATCAGATAGAAGCATATTCCTTCCAGCTCTTTCTCCTTCTTCTTCTTCTTCTTCTTCTTCTTCTTCTTCTTCTTCTTCTTCTTCTTTATTTTTTTCCTGTGGGGGATTCGAAAATTCTGGGTTTACCTTATCTTGGGTAGATTGGGTGTTGTGTTCAATCTCTGGTATATCATTACTGTTAGAAAAATCATGTTGCATTTTAGATATTGATGGACTTTGCTGATCAGATTCGTTAGTTTCATCGGTAGCAATAGATCCTTCATGAGATCCAGCAAGAACTATGTCTTCATTGGTAGAACTCCCCTTTCTAATAGATGGTCTAGGAGGAATATGTGGTTCATTATTCACTACTTGATCAACCGATATATTTTTCCTCATTGGTCTTGCTGGAATATGTGGTTCGTTAACGTTTTCCTGCTCAAGAGCTGTTTCGTTTTTTATTGGCCTGGCGGAGATTTGCAGGTCAACCTCATGTTTAATAACGTTGCTCTCATGAGTAGGTCTTGTTGGAATGTGTGGTTCCTGGACTGCATTACTGGGGTGTGTATGGGTTGGTCTACTTGGAATGTTGGGAACTGTTTTTTCCTGTAAACCGCTTGGTTTAATCTGATCCATCGTATCAATCTCTGTAGATTTTATTGAAGAGCCTCCTGATGGTCTGGCTGGTACATGTGGATAAGCATCTTCCTCTTCTTCTTTTTCTTCTTGTGATGGAGTTTCGACCAACGATTCTGAGGTCTTAGGTCTCCGTAGTGGTCTTGAGGGTGGAATGATCCCTGCTTGGGTAGATCCAGGTAGTTCACTCTCTAATATCTCCTCAGTACTCATATCTTCGGTAGAATTTGAAGAAGTTGTAACTGTAATAACAATTGATTGAGAATGCTATTACTTCTAATCTGTTTCACCGTGCCTTAAAGGTTAGTATTCGGGTTTCCAGTTTAACTTATCTGGCTTTTAAGGGCTTCAAAATGAATAAAACGCCAAATTAAAATATAATATTGAATTTCGCTTTTCACTGTAAAATAACAAAATGATGAACCAACGATGAAGAAATGAACTACATTGAAAACAAGCTACAGATATTTTCAAAAAGGGGAATAAAAGTGATTGATTGCCATCAATTCGGATATTTCTGTAATATTTATTAAATAGTATAACTATTGAACTGTTATATTAGATACAAATTGGCGACATAATAGTTGCAGGAATAAAGTTCAAACTATCACTTGGAAGTGACCTTGGAGGAAGATTTGTTTAATTTAATCACAAATTCAGTAATTCAGCGAACTTAAAAAACGGTTAAGTGAACTTCTTTGATGTATTATCAGCTCTGCAATTGATTGAATATTTATACCGAGAAAGTTTTATTGCATGGAGCTTAGCGATTTTGATGAGGATGAGTACGACTCTCTGTACCAGAAAAACATTAATAAAAGTGTAAAAGAAACAGTGATACGAACTGCTGTACCTGTCCAAAGAGATCTATTTAACAACATACTTCCAGGTCAACAATCTTTTTATGAGGAAATTCAAAGGGATGTAACTTTTGGGAGAACTCATCACGATTTTAATGATTCTACTTTAAATGATTACATCTATCCTACAAACTTCGAAGTAAGAGATTATCAATTTGATATTGTGAAAAGAGCACTTTTTACAAATCTACTGTGTGCGATACCGACAGGTATGGGTAAGACTTTCATTGCAAGTACGGTAATGTTGAATTTCTTTAGATGGACCAAGACAGGTAAAGTTATCTTCATGGCGCCAACGAGACCACTGGTAGCACAACAGATTAAAGCCTGTCTTGGTGTATCTGGTATACCTAGTAATCAAACAGCTATCCTGTTAGACAAAACCAGGCGCAATAGAGAAGATATCTGGCAAGAGAAGAGGGTGTTTTTTACTACTCCTCAAGTGGTAGAGAATGATTTAAAGAGAGGTGTGTTAAATCCAAAAGATATTGTATGTTTGGTTGTTGATGAAGCACATAGGGCCACTGGTTCTTATGCATATACTAATGTTGTTCAATTCATCAACAGGTTCAACACATCGTATAGAATATTAGCCTTGACTGCTACACCGGGTTCGACATTAGAAAATGTTCAGGAAGTGGTAAACAACTTAACCATATCAACTATTGAAATTAGAACTGAGGAAAGTGAAGATATTGTGAAATATATGAAACATAAGGAAAGAGAAGAGGTTAGAATTGAACTAATTCCAGAAATTGAAGATATTATCGAACAATTGGGTATAGCTATTACACCAGTTTTGAAACAAGCAGTAGAGTTAGGAATATATGAAGAATGTGAGCCAACAAGAATTAATGCATTTGTGGCTATGCAACAAAGTCAAAAGATTATTTCCAATCCAAATATTCCGGAAGGTATCAAATGGAGAAATTTTTTCATTTTACAATTATTAAACCATTTTGGTCAAATGTTAAAGAGAATCAAAATTTATGGGATCAGAACATTCTACAATTATTTTAAAAACAAATATAACGAATTCACTACTAAATATAATATGGGTAAGTCTACAAACAAGATTGCAGCATCATTCTATTTCCATCCCATCTTGAAAGTGATGATGAAAACGTGTGATGGAATGACAGCGAATTCACAGTTTCTTGGCCATGGTAAATTGGAACGTGTTAGGGAAGAGTTGGAGGTATTTTTTATAGGAAGTGATCCCACATCGAGAATAATTATCTTTACAGAATTAAGAGAAAGTGCATTGGAGATTGTGCGTTGCGTGGATTCGATGAGGAACTCTGATATTAGACCTCATATTTTTATAGGTCAGTCAAGAGGTAAAGAAGGTTTTGATGAGGTTGAATTTACACGTAAGCATAAAGCAAAAGGTAGAAAGAAAGTTGACCGTTTGAGTAGGCAAGCAGAACAAGAAATGCTTGAAACCAAGAAGAAGCAAGAGAAAGAAAAAGCGAAGCTCGAAAGAAGTGCGAGACGTACAGCTAGTTCCGAAGAAGCCCAGATAAATGGGATGAATCAGAAGCAACAGAAGGACGTGATACGTAGATTCAAAGCTGGTGAATTCAATGTCTTGGTGTGTACATCCATTGGTGAAGAAGGGCTAGATATTGGTGAGGTCGATTGTATTATTTGCTATGATACCACAAGTAGTCCAATTAAGAACATTCAACGTATGGGTAGAACTGGTAGAAAGAGAGACGGTCGTATTGTCTTATTATTTTCTAGTAATGAATCATTTAAATTCCAACAAGCCATGGAAGATTATATCAGTTTACAAAAGATGATAAGTCAGGATTATATTGAGTATAAGGAATCGGACCGTATCCTTCCAAAGGACATCACACCCCACTGTGTCAAGAAATTTATGACAATTAATGAGTCTGATGAAACAGTTAATAATATGGAAGACACAGATGATGTTATTCTGTATGCCACTCAATGTATGTTAGGTAAAAAAGTCAAACCCACAAAAGCCAAAAAGGTGACGAAAAGGGCGACGAAAGCCAAACCAAAACAATTTTTCATGCCAGACAATGTTCCAACAGGTATTATTTCTGCTGGTAATCTTGTTAACAAATATGTGGAAAATGGTTCTGGTGAATTATCCTTGGTGAAAAAGGAGCATTCCAATGAGACAAAAGCTCCTACGATGCTGGATAAGATTGGTGATTCTTCCTCATCTTCAGGTATGTCTGATAATGATGAAGACGAATTTGTTCAAAGGAAAAAGGCGAAGACGACTATCAAACCGTTATCAAAGCAAAAATCACCTGTATTTCATAATGTGCACTTGAATCCGGTGAAGAGCGAACCCACGGCAGTTCCTAATCTTTCAGAGATTGAAAATAGTTCACTAAAAACAAGAGTCGAAGTTTTAGGTAACCAAGGTTTGTCAAACACGAAGAGGATATCAACTGATCAAGAAAACTCACCATCCTATACCAAAAGCGGATTTCTTACTCCTGATGAGCATAAATATTTTAAAGAGCACTATGAGCCGAACAGCGCTCTTTCTATGGATCTAATACCCAATTTTGAAAACCACACGAAGATATCCAAGATACGTCATTCAACTCCTAATACGGCCATTATCAAGCTATTTTCTGACCTTCGCAGCAATAATGTAGCACGAACTATAGACATGAATAGAACTAACTGCATTGCAAAGGCGTTACATACATCTAATCAGAGCATTAGTACATCCATGAGCTCCGATTTGTCGTTACGGAGCCACACAGCATCGATGTCGCAATCAACACAAACCCGAGAAGATGTGCCAGATCTTTCCAACGAAAAGGTCTTGGACGATATTCTTGGCTCGGACTCAGACTTTTAACTAACGACACCATGGACTATATATACATGTATAAATAATAATAATACACATTTGCATTTCTACCACTGATGGTTGATTGATAATGCCCCAATGCAATCAGATCTTCGTATTGGAAGTTGAGATGTCAATGATTATCTCACCACTACGTTAAAAGTGATCTTTCCTGGGCTGTATTCGCAAAAAAAAAGGAATTTTTTTCTCGTTACGATCTTCGCTGTCGAGAGAAGTATATAAGGAGATGTAAAACATAAGAAGTTCATTATTAATTTCGTGCACTTTCTCGTTGGCTATAGTTGCTATTATTCTTGTCTTTTTGGCCTAAAGAGAGTATCCTTATGCACGGGAAATACGCATATCAGTGAGGATTCGTCCGAGATTGTGTTTTTGCTGGTTGAAATTTATTAACCAGACCTACTCCTCATGATCGCCATGGGATGTTCGCTTTAGAATGTCTCTGATTATGTAGGGAATTTTTGGAATACTTTTTTTTCTTTTTATTTATTTTAACGACATCGTTATTATACATTATTTTGTTTTATTTACTATGCTGGTGACTCACTTGCACTTGGAATATTTTTATATCTTTCAAAATGTGATGTTTCGTGAGGACACGGAACCTCATTTTGATTATATTTAAAAATTGAACACTATTTTTAAACTAGATGTGTCTATATTGATAGAAGAAGTAAAAAAATAGAAAATATATTTATTAAATTGTATCCTTACAGATTTTGTATATTTATAAAGAATTAAATATATGAACGAACTAAAAACTACTTCAGGCTGGGGCGGTGATGATCAGAAGAGAGAATGTAAGAAGTTATGGATGAATGAGTATTTGTAAATATAAAAGTTTATTCATCATCGTCATTGTAGAAGTCGTCTGGGTATCCGAATTTGTCGATGATTTCATCTAAGGTATCATTGAGAGATTCTGAGATGTCTTCGATTTCCAATATACTGATTAGTCCATCATATAGAGTGACCTTGTCAATTGGAATGGTATCTACTACTATAATGTTAGTACTAGTTGCTGGATTATTCCTCAACTCAGTAGGGCTGTTAACAGGTAGAGAATTAACTAATTGGGAGCAGATTATAGCGAAAGTTAAAGCGGTAAATTTCAACATTGTTAAGTAATTGGTGTTTTTGATCTATCCCAAGAAAACTAAGAATATAAGTAAAGTAAAGTGGAAACCATCTCAGGATTAATCTCTGAGCTATTATTTCCTTTTATATATATTTTTTGATTACAATTTACCTATCTGATTCTGGTAGGCATCCTTTTCCTATGCCCAATTTATTTATTCACAAAAAGGATAATGGGTAACTATGCTATAATATATTACGATATATGGTTAATCATTACAATTATACAGAGTTTTGAGGAATTGTGAGTACAGATGTGTGTGTGTGTGTGTTTCCTTTACGTTAGTTTTTAAAAGTAAGATTTGAGATAAAGGTAATAAAGTTTAGTCACATTTGAGATAATTTTCCATTTTACCCACTCAAAAGCGTACAGTACCAAACAAAAAGTGCTAAGAAATTAATGTAGTGCAAGAAGAAGGAGAAATATAACTACTGCAGAATCGTTCTGATATATTAATGGGTAATGTGATTACCTTGATTCCATGAAGTTGATTAATGTATTGATGGCTAGAATACTTAGAGGTGACACATTTTTCCCTTAAGGTGACACAAAAAATTGAAGAGACAAGAAATTTAATTTGTTTTTAATTTTTTCTAGAATACAAAGGAATAAATTAAAATATCTAAGGTAGTTTTCAGTTTATATTACAGATGAATCAGCATGTTTAATATTATTTATGTAACAAAATGCAAGAAAACCTCCTAGTGACATTTTTTTTTTTTGACTGGGCTACAAACGAAATAATTCTTTACCAGATAACAAAAAGGGAAACCTCTTTGAACAACGTTGTATTACGGTAACATTGTCTAATAATCAATAAAAAACACAGTGACTTAGTTGTACAAATTAGCAAAACCATGGTCTTATTGTGACAAAATATTTTAAGAAAATGTAAAAAAAGAATGTAAGCACTCACACTGGGGGTCGAACCCAGAATCTTCTGATTAGAAGTCAGACGCGTTGCCATTACGCCATGCGAGCTCAAATTCTTGGACAAAAATTCGAAAATTAAGATATATTAATTAGCTAAACTTTGGATTTTCAGATGTTTCAATATTAAAATATTTGTTATTGATAGAAATTATGTTAGAACGTGTTATAATATAGAAAGTAGCAATACTTAGTTATTACAATTTTATGTTTAGTAAGAAATTATTACTAACTGTTCAATATGATTCTAGAACATTCTTTAAGAATGATTAGTAAGCAAGTATTACTAATTGGTAGACTGCTTTCCTTTCCCAAAAGTATAAAAGGAACACATATTCTAACTTTATATATATACAATCTTCCTTATATAGACTTACTTTATATAACATAAAATAAACTACAAGATTATACATTTGAATATCTATAACTATGTCCGATGATTTCAACTCGAATACTAATCGTATATTCTCGATTTCAAACTTACGTTTACAGGATCAATATATCTCGAATGTGTTATGAAGCGTGTTATAGTATGAAATAAATATTATGTAATGATTAAATAATATGAGAAACAGATTGTCGAGAAAAATAAATAATATATAAAGACAGAGAATTCTGAACTTACATTCTAAGTTATATTCTGTTTGTTCTATAAATTATATACAATAAATATTCACTTACAAGTATAAGAAAAGTATAACAAATAATATTTGCTTTATTTTAATCATTAGTATTCAGTCTACACCTACTCCTCTCTACCTAACACGTCAAAAAAATATGACTAGCAACATTTCTGCTTCAAACACAAGTTTTTCTCAAAACAGTTAAAGTTTGATATACTAAATAATATACTTGTTTAAACTTTTTAATTTAGAACCTTTAATGTCATTATTGATAGATCTTTCCCGAATCGAATAGCTGCACTTAAAAGGCCAATATTTACTTCTACAGAAATTGATGGGAAAATTGAATATTAGACATCTTCTATTTAACTTAACAAATTTTATTATATTATAAAATCAACTTATAGTCGTCTAATTTTTTATATCTTATATAAAAATATATAAGGTAAATTATGGAAACAATTATTTTCATAAATGAAATATTGTTCCATTTATATATGCTGAATTTATCATTTTCGTGATTACAAACTCACTCGACAGTGGCGTAAGTAATCTATTAGTGGGTCGTTGAAGGATTAATCTATTATCAAATCATTGCGAGATGAATTTATCATCAGATCATAACCTTGGTCATTATCATTCTTATAATATATTTCCAACAGAAATTATATGGGAACAAGATATTGTACAGAATCCGAGATAGAGGCTTTGCCTCTAGTAGTCTCTTCAAGCAGTACTTTATTTAATTCGGACATTTTATAATACGATAATCGATCTTTCGTTTCTTCTTGTTACCTAAACGATTGTTAAGTAGTAAACAGATTACCTAAACGATATTATTAAAGCCACGTTCTCCAAGGTTACTTCTGTGTAGAAGAGCTGGTTAACACTTCAGCAGTTATCAATAGATAATTACAAAGAAACACTTAGTGAAAACCATCAACAATTAAATTCGACAAATATGTCATCTCTGAGAAAGCAAGACCGAACAAACTCCAAAATTTTAATTAAGTAAGCATGTCATATATAATAAACCATTATAGAAGAACAATAAACTTTAAGTATTATATAGTATAAAAATGATTATCAATTATTGTACTATTAAACATCCCAATTATAATATTAGTACCACTGTATTAAGAATGACCTAAATATTTGTTAAGAAGTGGAAGGTTAGAAAGGTTAAAACAGTCATGTAATTTTCCTTGTATTTTATAAATTTACCACAATATTTCTTTATTTAATAGTTCATAGATATCTGCGAAAAGGACATTTTAACAACTATCCCTTATCAATTCAAGCGTACTCTTCAATAATTTCTTCATCAATTGTAAAAATATTTCTTTAGTTGAACTAGTTATCAATTATTACTACTGACCAGTATGATTTAATTCACATTAAAAGGTGTCTCAAAACAAAGTGTAATATAGCGTTCCTCTCTTCATATTCCAATGGAAATAAGATTTATTATCATATGTTTGGAGGTACTTATTTATAGTCAGTTATCAAAAGAAAGGAAATCAAATATAAAGATTCTTATATTTTCAAATAAAAAAAGAAACATTTTCCGATACTTCTACATTTAGAGTCATTAAGATTTAATAGCTTACTAATTAATACAATGAATGGCTACCCTCTAGTAATAACTTTGAATTGCATTCATCTCATACTACGTGGGGTATGTATATCAGTTATAAGAACACTTTTTTTTTCTTTTTGCTTGTGATCTGTTACTTTAAGGATAGATCATGAGAATCCAGGAGCCATATATTAAATTGTTGTTGAATATAATAATCCATTGGATCTTACTGTTTTTAGTAATTATACAATATTTTTTAAAACAAAATCGTAACTTTAATTATTGTTATATTTTCTATTCCTATTAAAACAATAGAGAGAGAGTAGTTCAGTTGTTTCTAGCACAATTACTGTGTCATCACTTAAGAATATCTGGTTCCCAAACAATCAAGCAAATATTTGTTGAAACGTAAATTAGTGTGACTCACAAACAACTATTAGTGAACGAAATAAATATTGAAGCTAGTCCCCCCCCATTGTAAATGAGAAGATTCAGTTCTAGGTAATTACTAATTTACTGTAATTCTTATACATATCTCCAAGCTTTCTTTATTTGCCTTACAACAAAAAGGTTAAATATTGTAAATAAACTATCTTATCCTTCTCCTTCTTGGCCCCCCCTTCTCTTCCTAGTCACGTTCATTACCTTTTCCAAATCTTAATAAACTCCGATTTCGAAGTGCTTAAAAAAATATCAAAAGAAAATCAATTTCTGGGCTGAGCTGAACTGAATGACCAGTCCTCCGCTTCCCCCCCC